TTGTAAGTATATAACAGTGTGTGAGCTTGTGACAGTACAGCATGAGCTAATGTGTGAATTTTAGTCTGATATGCTACTAAAATGTATCTCCACTCTTCTTTTTTGCAGTGATGACTAACCAGCAGCATGGAATCTGTAAATATTTGATATGGTATATATTGCAATTGAATACTACAACAACCAGCTCCCTTTGTTCCCAATTTTTCATCAAACATTTTATATAATATATTGAGATTTTTAACAAGGACATTTTGGAGTCAACAGTATTAAGAAAAGTTTTTTTGAACCAAAAGAGAGCCAGTGTTGTTGAGAAAGCAGACATGGTTTTGAAGAGAAGAAACTGAACTGGCTTTGGGACTCTTACTTTGAAGGACTGTCCAGATGACAGTGTTACTGTGCCTTGACCGTCTAGCTGCCTTACTAACAAAGTCTGACACGCTGCCTGATTGTAATCATGAGCACTGTTTGGATACGCCTGTGTGCAGTCTCACAGATGGATGGATGCTTTGATGGATGGACAGATCTCTTACTTGTAGCAGATGAAGAAATGTGGGTTGGGTCAGTGCTCTCCTCTTCTCTCTCTGTTTTCCAAAAGGAGGAAATGGCAAGGCAGAAGCTCAAACGCAAACGTCTCTCTCAGCCCTGAAGGGATGCAGGGTTCTGGTGGAGAAAAGACAAATAAAAAGACAGAGAGCACAGGGGGCAGATTGGCTTTCTAGGCAACAGAGCCAGCCACGCTCTGCCCTGGTGTCACACTGAACACTCAGATCCTGCATTATTGAAACTCTCCAGGAGGAGGCGACAGAGAACACTCCATTTCCACATTTAAATGAGAGGAAAGACACACCTGGGGCTAAGTCAAGGTTATATGGGAGTAACTGATGTCACAGGCACATATGGAAGGATTAACTGCACAGAACATGTGGTGGTGGCTCTTTTGTCAAGTATTTTAATTACATCATGCATGATCATAACAAGACAGTGTTGTTTTGCAGCCTGACAGCTTGTATGACTTGTGGTCCCATGTCGAAATTTTAAATGGCATTTTTATCCACACCAAGCGGTCATTTCTATTCTTTCTGTTTGAACAAGCCACTCTGAAAAGTCAGAAGGTCTTTATTTTAACGAACAACATGTGTAGCAACAAGAACTTGTATGTTTTATTTTGTTATTCTAGTGACTTTTGTCCAGTTTTATTTTGCATTCCTGTGCAGAGCTTTGAAGGAACCATTTAAAGTATTCACGATGTGTTTCAGTCGCCTGACGAATGACTGCAAATCAGAGGAGTTTGTTAACCATTTTCATGTTATCATTTAATCGCTAATGAAGATGTGTGTTGTTGCTGTTTCCTGTTTCTCTGGACAACAGTGTGAGTTCTTGCTGCTGACTTTAATGTGTGTTGTTTGTTTGACATTTTTAAATCGGTATTAGTCATTTGAACTGAAGGACTAACAGACTAAAGAATGAAACTGAATTAATTTTATACACAGCATTGTTTTTATGGAGTAATTATTCATTTCTATTCAGTATACCTGAACACAAAGGGTTATTACAGTCGTTTATTCTGCGTTTTGTGTGTTTGCTTTTTCATAATCACAGAAAGAGTCGTTAATTTCTATCAGATGATATTATTGGTGCGTTTGGTCTAATCTTAGTCTCTGAATTATTTCTTGGTGCCTGAATACTTTTGTACATTTGTCTCAGCTTTCCTATGCATGCTCACATGTAGAGTCATACAGATGTCCACAGAAACATGTGTCTCATTATACACTTTACTAAGACTCAGCTTTTTAGACATTGGCTTTGCATACGTGACATAGGGGAGTACATTGCTGTGCTTCATTTATGTCTGTTATGTACACGCTACTTCAAATCAATTGTTTAAAAAAAATTTTTTGAACTGAGTTGAAATGAAAGTACATTATCATGAATAGAAAATTATGTGAAAGTTTTTTTTGTGGACATCAGTGTATTCCCCTTCAGTGTTCGTGCTAGTTTTCAATACACTACTATTCAGCACTTACTTAAGAATACTATCTGGTTTTTGTGATATACGACTATCTAGCATTCATTAGCAACATTACTATTGTTAGCCTGAACATGACCAATCAGAATATTTATCAACTGCTTTCCTGCCAATCATTGCAGCATTCACAGGATTAAATCAGTTCAGTAATGTTTGAAGAAGGTAGATTTAACATTTTCATATATTATTCAGAGGAACATTAATAGGTACATCATGGAAGTGGAGTTTCTTTTTCCATTTGGTAGATTGTTCAAGTGTCACTGTGTTGTTTACTTAATCAAATGTTTCACAAAAACGAATAACTGAGACAAAAAAATTCCATATTATTAAGATAAAAATAATATGAAGTCTTCACTGAATGGCTCAAAAGAGAATGTTTTTGAACCTACACTGCACCTCTAACTCATTTAGTAAAAAGTATATTCTAGTCATGTTTTTGAAAAGCTGTACATTAACTGCATACCATTAAGCTTACATGTAATAGCCGAGGAATATTATTGAACACAGATCAGTTTAGCATAACTCACACAGTTTAAAGGTTTATTTCAATGAGAGCTGATGGTTATCTGACATTTGACATGACTACATGTGTTTATTTCTTGTCCAGATTCTATCAGTTTTAGTGTTGAAGTACAGCGTCTGGCTACAGTTTGGTGTTGATGAAAGTTCACAGACCATCATACAGTAGTAGCTGGACTTTGTGAGAATGTTTTTTTTTTTTTTTTGGTTGTGTATTTGGTTGTAAAAGAATTAAGCTATTTTTGTAATTACTTGTCTAAAATGTGTAACATGAAATCTGGTCAACTAAACATGAAGACTGGAGTAAACTCTTCAGTTCTGTGTTAAATTTGTCCATTAAAAATTATCATGTGAAATTGTTTTGTTTCGTTCTTTCACTATTAATAATACCGAACATTTTTCTTGTTTCAACAAGAATGTAAATATTTAGAAAGGAATTGTTACTGTCCAAAGAATTATAATAAAAAACTTATAATAGAATAAATTATCTTTTAAGAGGCTCAAAGTATTGTTGTGTAATTATCTATGATAAAGAGATCTTTCACTGAACTTGTTCATGGCAATATTTAGCATATGTATTTAATGTAAGTGAAAAAAGGTTTAAAAAAATAGTTAACCAGCCACATGAAAATTTAAATCAGCCAGTTCTTGGTTGCTAGTAAACTCTGACATGAAAATAAGGGATCAAGAAGTCTTAAGTATACTGTGATCAATACAAGAGTGTTTTCCTCCATATGTTCATGAAGGCACTGTGTTTTTGAACTCTGGATTGACTCTAATGCATGGATACAGAAAGTGAACCCATCAAGGTGACGGTGTGTGCTTTTATACAATCTTTATCAAACAAATTAAACATTTTCACAAACTGTCCTCAGATGTCCTCCTCTGTCAAAGCTGAATGAGCTCATTGTTTTACAGCTAAACAACAGATTACAGAATTGGCTAGTGGACATGTGGACTAAAACATTGGTACAAGGGGCAGATAACCTTCCACTTTAACAATGGCTTGCTCTGAATTCAAAAGACATCATTTGTTACTAGACTAATTTCTGCACCCATATGATTGAACAGAACTGGGACTTTTTTTTTTTTTTTTGATAATTTGAATACGGAAAAACTAAGCTAGATAAATGAGAAAATGTATTAATTCCAAAGGAGACAATAAAGTACAAATGACTTTTAAGTAGGTGCAGTTAAATTCCAGCAAATTGATATTTCTATAAAATAACTCCTGAGGTCTCCTCTACATATCAATCAATCAGTCTTTATTTATACAGCACTTTTCATACACAACATGTAGCACAAAGTTCTTTACACAGAAAAAGGAATAAAAGAAACAAAGAATACCCAAATCTACCCCAACTCAAGATTAAAAGAATACTCAAATCTACCCCAGCCCAACCTCTCATTCCCACCCCACGATCTAATTGCAACAGAGACAGTATTAGAATGCATACACAAAAGGGGTTGATTTCGTGGAAACAGGAATGTGTGCACAGAGGAAACATCATTTTAAAACTCAAGATAAGGAAACACTGGAGGTTTAGGCTAAAATCTAAAAACAACAAAGAAACATAGAATGAAATTTAAGAAATAATAAATAAAATGAAATAAAAACAACAGTAAAAGATACTAAAATAAGAGCACCAAAATAGCTCAATAAAAGATGATCCTGTTAAGAAAACTATAAAGAGATAAATGCTAAAACACTTAAACAAAGTTAATGATATAAAATTTAGTTAAAAACAAGACTAAAAAGGTATGTTTTCAGTTTGCTTTTAAAAATCATTAAGATTAGGTGCACTCCTCAGGTCTTCAGGTAACATCCAAGCAGCTGAATTTTGTAATAATTGCAGGTATGAAATGTTCTTTTTGGGGAGAGCAGAAAAGAGTGCATTACAAATAGTCTATTCTACAAGTGATAAAAGCATGAATTAATGTCTCTGCATTGGCTTGAGAAAAAATGGTCACACTCGGGCTATGTTTTTTAAATGATAAAATGCCTTCTTGGTGATATCTCGTATGTGAGGCTCAAAGCTCAATTCTAAATCAAATAAAACACCAAAATTTTTAGCTTGTTGCCTTGGATTATAGGATAATGCTTTGAGTTTGCTGACTAGTTTCTCTCTCTTGTCCCCTGTCCCAATGACTAAAACCTGAGTTTTGTCCTGGATGAGCTGTAAAAAGTTCTCTGCCATCCATGATTTAATGTCTAAAATGCAGTTAAAAAGGGCATCGAGTGCCCCTGTGTCATCAGGAGTTTATTATTAATTTATTCATATAATTTCTTGTACAAATTCAGATGATGTTCCCACTATTTCTAAGATAACACTATCATTAAAAAAGATAAACAAAGTTGTGCAATTATTCCCCAAAAGGTAGAAAAAAAACATTTTCTTAATTCTGAATGCTCAAGTCCGAATCACGCACACATTTCCCATACTCCTTTGCGCGTGGATGACCTCTCATAGTGTTTGCATCCGGGTTTGAACTTCCTTTTCCTCTGTGCCTGCTGCGATGAGGACATAGGCTTTTTCAGGACCGCTGAAAAATCCAATCCCATCCTTGTAAAAGGCGCCACCAAACATCGCAAAAATGACCGAGCAGATGACAGTAAGGGGGACCCTAAAGGGGCACAGTGGAACGGTCACCCAGATCGCTACTACGCCCCAGTATCCCGACATGATTCTGTCGGCGTCCCGAGGTGAGGCTTCCCCGCCGGCTCCGCCAACATGGCTACATTAGCGCTTGTCAGCTCGGTGGTTGCCACTGTAATGAAAGACAGACTACCACGCTGGTGATAGCAATATAGATTTCTATACCGTCACAAGTGCATTTATAGTGTTTTAGGAGTTGTATTACGACCACAGATATTAGAGGAAGACGTTAAACGGCAACGCAGCTAACTGTACGTGGATGCTAGCAGTTTACTTTCAGATACCCACGTTTATGTGTAACCCTGAGTAGTATGCTCGAGTATAACCACTGTTGCTGCTTAATATGTAAATGTAGACACATGCAAACTGTTTCCCCGTGGCTCAAGTAGACCCAGTGACAGTTCCCCATACAAGGGATATCAAGTTGGTGCTATCTGCTTCACCCTGAATGAAACATGGACTGGACAATAAAAACTAGATCATATGTTTGTGTTTCAGACAAGACTATCATCATGTGGAAGCTGACCCGTGATGAAACCAACTATGGCATCCCTCAGCGCTCTCTGCTGGGCCACTCTCACTTTGTCAGTGATGTTGTCATCTCCTCAGATGGACAGTTTGCTCTGTCAGGTTCCTGGGACAAATCCCTCCGTCTGTGGGACCTTACCAGGTAAGTGCAGGTGTTGAAGTAACATGTGGAGGAGAGGTTGATCAGGTTGATGTATTGGTACGTGAGAGTGATACAGGTGTGTTTTATTCTAGCAGGTGGAATGTGTAAAAACCACAATCTAAATGGATGTTAAGCGTTTCCCTTAAACACTGAACTTTGAACCTTTGGTGTATAGCATAGGCATTATGAGAGGTGTACTTGCCCGATGGACCATTTTGCCCAGCAAAGACTATATGTTCTAGTGAAAGTTGACAGTACAGTCACTTTCAATGTAGATGTCAAAAAACTCCCAGCTGTTAAAATTTGATGTGCATGCAGTGGAGCACAGGTTTCCATCTGTTGTCTCTAACTACACTATGAGGTCACTGCTGGGCTTGTTAATAGCTGGGAATTAATAGTCTGGATGGAATATATCTGCAGTGCCAGTGTCAAGCTCATTGGCTTACGTATCAATAAACACATTGAATTATCACTTTGCATTTTTGCCAATCCCTGCCTCATCAATCGCTCTGGCAATGTTGAAAATAATCAAGCATTGATAGTGAGTTTGTTTTGTACTATGTAGTATCTTTTTATTCTCAAATATCTTTTACCACTGGTTGGTAAAAAAGTAGGGCATCGTAATGGCTTTCTGAGTCAGTGAAAGAAACTGAATGACCAAACTGCACTTTTATTTCTACTAAGTTATGATCTAGCTCCTGCTGTCATTCTTCTTGTCAGGCATCGTCATGCTGAGTTTTAGGTGGCCAACTGGTGCCTGCAGTGAAAAGGGAATTCCATGGGATAGATACATTTCATATGCGAAACAGAGTACATTTTAAAGCTCTGGTTAAGGGTGTATATTTTGTTGCCAAAGCATTTGACGTTTGCATTTGTATTGATTTTACAAATGACCAATGTTTTTTTCACTTTAAAATCCAACTTTTTGCCCATCTTTGATGTTTTGTGTCACTTCTTCCCAGTGGCAACACCACCAGGAGATTTGAAGGACATCAGAAGGACGTCTTGAGTGTGGCCTTTTCCGCTGATAACCGCCAGATTGTGTCTGGCTCCAGGGACAAGACCATCAAGCTGTGGAACACTCTGGGAGTCTGCAAGTACACCATCCAGGTGAGCTTCGCCCCACAAAGTAATCAGTGAGATCTGGTTCAGTTTGATTTCTATGCCTCATAGTATAATGTTGAGGCTTTAGCAAATAAAAAGGTAAATTGTTAAACTTGACCTAGATACAGTTCAATTTGAGGTCAACAGAAAACATGCTGCACACAGAGCGATCAGTGTACACTCTATATCAACAGTGATGCCTGTCTTGGCTCTTTCTCTGCGCAGACATAATTCCAGATCGTAATATGTTCCCAGTAATATGATGTGTTTTTCTGTGTTTGTGAGAAGGAGGGAAATTAGTCAATGATGGTCGGGATGACATCTGACCATTCTGATTAAAAAAAGAAAAAAAAAAGCAAGTCCCTGCTGTTGGATAAACAGAAAATGTTCTGAAATTGCAGGATGAGGGCCACACAGAGTGGGTTTCCAATGTGCGCTTCTCCCCCAATAGCAGCAACCCCATCATCGTTTCCTGTGGCTGGGATAAGATGGTCAAGGTATGGATCTGTTTCTACATCAAGTGTTCACAACGGATGTGTGGCTAGTTCATAACTGTAGCATCTTAACCCCAGTGATTATACCCATTCACTTTTAACTCTGATGTCCACTGGTGACAGTCCTGCAAATATGAGGGGCACTAGAGATGTACTTAACAATAGTTTAAGTTAAGGATGGGCTAAGCAATATCGGTAATTGATCTTTTTTTTTTTTAATCCCAACAGACCCTTTTTTTTCTGTTTTGTAGCTGTTGGGCCCAAATTAAAATCTGTGGCATTTACCCCGGGGTCCTCCACCTTGTTGCTATGAGTTTAAAAAAAAGCCGAAATGTTTTATATTTTACTTCACAAATAAGCATGTTTGACTTGACTCCTGCTACTGTACGTAATATGTAAAGGAATGCCCCCTGACTGGGTTCACTGAAACTAATCCTCCCATCCTTCACTCCTAGGTTTGGAACCTTGCTAACTGCAAGCTGAAGACCAACCATATTGGCCACACTGGCTACTTGAACACAGTGACGGTCTCCCCTGATGGCTCTCTGTGTGCATCTGGTGGAAAGGTATAAAGATTTATGCTGTAGTCTGCTACCTAACTTGTTTTTTTTTTTTTGTTTTTTTTTTTCCATTCTATGTTGGAAATGCAGGCTGTGATGTAACTTTAAAAGTACCTGTTTTACAGTGATGATAAAAGAGGCTGTTTCTGAGTGATGCCTGTGCTTACATAGGTCATGGTTTACAATGGTTTGTAACGTATTTAGAATAAACCACGAATATGGTTACTGATACAGTTTTTAAAATGTTGTCCAGGATGGTCAGGCCATGCTGTGGGACCTGAATGAGGGCAAGCACCTCTACACCCTGGACAGCGGTGACATCATCAATGCTCTCTGCTTCAGCCCCAACCGTTACTGGCTGTGTGCTGCTACTGGCCCCAGTATCAAGATTTGGGTAAGTCATGTTTCTAGATGATGAGCATATGTTGTAAAATAGCTCCAATTCCAAGGGCGGTGATGAAACTTAAAATGCCAACTGTATTTTTTTGATGATAAAGAGGCTGTTTCTGAGCTCCAACGTGGATCAGTCACATAGTTGTTATCTATTGCCACTGTATTAACTGGTTTTATGGAAGTGTACACCTACACTGTGACTGATTATCATTTTTTTGTCTGTTTGTGTAGGATCTGGAAGGCAAGATCATTGTGGATGAGCTGAGACAGGAAGTGATCAGCACCAGCAGCAAGGCTGAACCTCCACAGTGCACTTGCCTGGCATGGTCTGCTGATGGACAGGTACGTTGGACTCAGTCGTCATTGAACAAGAAGTGTTCACAACGGATGTGTGGCTAGTTCATAACTGTAGCATCTTAACCCCAGTGATTATACCCATTCACTTTTAACTCTGATGTCCACTGGTGACAGTCCTGCAAATATGAGGGGCACTAGAGATGTACTTACAAATAGTTTAAGTTAAGGATGGGCTAAGCAATATCAGTAATTTATCTTTTTTTTAACCCCAACAGACCCTGTTTGCTGGCTACAATGACAACCTGATCAGAGTGTGGCAAGTCACCATTGGAACTCGATAAGAACGTATCATTGAAGCAACTTTGAATAAAAGACAGTTTGAAAAGATCCCTTGTCTTTGTTGTCAACATTTCTGATGTGAATAATTTCATTTCTGATGTGTGGGTTGGTTGTGGGTTGTAAAATAGTGGTTTGACAGTCTAAAAGATAAGGTGAAAGGAGGACTGAAGTAAAAAGTCTATTGCATTGTTTTTGTTTACCGCATGGAATTTCAGATAAGAAAGGCATTCTCATATTTTTCATAATATACTAGGGTTCTACTCAAAATTGTTAATTCTTATTAAAATGTTTTAACGATTTTGGATTAAGCATAAGCGTCAGCAAATCTGACCAGGGTTGTTGCACAGTGTGTGAATTGACCGCTTCGGCTTTCCGTTAACCTGCAATGGTATCCTAGCAACCCTAACCAAAAAAGGACGCGAGCTGGAGGAGCTGTGGAAAATCTAGTTTTTTTATAGTACAAAGTATTTCCAAGACTTTCAAGGTGTAAATAGACTACCTCCACCTGTTGCAAAGTGTTACTTGGGCTTTACGTGCATAGAAGTAACGACGTTATTTCTCTTGTTGACGTCGTACATCATCTGATTGTTGGATTAGCTTTACGCTAACGTTGTGTAGCCTCCTGGGGGAATGGATCGACCACATCCACGTGTATTTACTGAAAGAACTCTTGCTATCGTTAAGCCAGATGCCGTCGACAAAGCAGAAGAAATTGAGGACATTATTCTTAAATCTGGTTTTACTATACTGCAGGTAAGTGAAAAGGTGATAAGTTCCCTGATATATGCTGTATCGTGCTCAGTGGTGTTTTGCCAGCTGTTGGTTTCTAAAATGTAATATTCACTTTTATATACATACCTGTAAGATAAACTAACTTTAATGGGAAGTCGTTATCTGAGTAAATTTAACCCTCACATTCTGTTCTAATCTTGTATCCTCACAGTATGTTCCGGGTCAAAGAATTGCCCATGTAGGAAGTATTTTCACCACAGTTCCAACCCCAAACCTATTCATAATGTTTAAATGACCTATGCTACTTTTTAAAAAATGTTGATTAATCCTTCCTAAATGTATCAAAGAGCAGGGAAAGTGTATTATTTTATTTTATTTTTTTCAGTTTTAACACCACTCGTTTTTGGTGAAATATATATTTAGGAGAGGAATATCTACTACACAAAATAATTTCATGTAATCTTATGTAAAAAGAATATAAAAGTCATAGTGATTTGAGTATATTTCATTGAACAACAAACTTTATATTAAACACTGTTCTCACTGCTTGTCACTTGTCCCACACTGGTAGATCTAAAATCCATCTAAATAGATACCTGTCAAATTTGACCCGTAACAGCCTAAGAGGTGAAAATGAAGTAGCACATACACAAAAATTCACATGAATATTTTTGAATTATTTCATGTATTTTGGGTCACTTTAGGAAAAATCATCAAGTTTCAGGCTTAAAGAATGACGTTTATGGTATTTTTACTGATGTTCAGTGTCAAAACGGGTTAAATTCGACCTTAACAGTTTGTAAGGGTTAAGTGTGTGATATAGGAAAATAGCTTCACAATTATGGAATTATCCGCTAGATGGCGCTGAAAAATTATAATACAGCAAACACGCCTTTTTTAAAAACTAAGTTTTTTTTTTAAGCGATTGAGTACAAACAGTACTGAAATAAATCAGTCTTTGTCTGGCTTTCAGAGTAAACTTGACCGTAAAAACTCTATGTGTGTTTACATTTCACTTGTGTCCATGTGGCAGAAGCGGAAGCTGCAGCTGAGTCCAGAGCAGTGCAGTGATTTTTACGCAGACCAGTACGGAAAGCTCTTTTTTCCGAGCCTGACAGCCTTCATGAGTTCCGGCCCCATCATTGCACTGACGCTAGCCCGCAACAACGCCATTGCCCACTGGAAGTCCATCATAGGACCTGTGAACAGCATCAAAGCCAGAGAGACTCATCCAGAGTGGTCAGTATGTTTAATACCGTGTGTGTGTTGTGTATATAATGACAAGTGGTGCGCTGGTCTTTATAAACCACGCAATAACCCATGATATTTTTTGACAATGTTTATAGCTGTGTCTCTCAATGTGTAAAAAAATGTGCTCTGTTGAGAAGAACTTTAAGGAAGCCTTATGCCAGTATTGTGCTGCTGTGCTCCTCAATTATACCAGAACAAAGTTTTTTGGTCTTAGTTTTTAAGATGTTCTGGAAGTCCTTAGCAGTCTGCTTTTTCTCAGACATAAACTGAATGACCCCCTTTTTCTTAAAGACTCAAACCAGAGGGAACAGTGTGTCTCCATAGAAAAGCGCAGTGCTGATATATGTTGGTAGAATTTACTGTCTCAGTTTTCTCCTTCTGTTACTAACATTTATATTTATATATATTTAATTAGACTGTATAACTGTACAGTAAAATGATATATTTTCTGGCTCAGGTCAAGCTATGGTTCTGGTTTAGTAATGTCTTGTCATGCTGCTTTCTGTTAAAGCAGCTTTTGTAATCATCGAGCTACATTCATTAAATTACTTTTTTTTTTTTTAATCTGAGTGACTAATGAACTTTTCTAACTCTAAGATTCAGATTGAGGGTGTTGGGGACATATAAGGTGCTTTTTGACAGCAAGAACTCTACCCTAGAACGAGGGACCATTTGAAGAACTTTGTGTGCTTAAACCATGGGAACTGGGGTCTTATGCTAGTTGCAGGGTAATCGATGTATCCACCAAAAGCCCCATACTGAGTTACAAAAAGTTCTGGGATATTGTCCAAATAGTATTTAGTTTATGCGTGTGAAATCCAACTCCATGATATTGTCTGTTCTCCTAAATCAAGAGGCAGCCAATAAAACACAGTGATGTATTTCTCCACAGCCTGAGAGCAAAATATGGCTCTTCTGATTTGAAAAATGCACTTCATGGCAGTGAATCATTTCATGCTGCTGAAAGAGAGATCAAATTCATGTTCCCAAACTGTAAGTAATATTCCATCTTATATATTGTGTTTGGTAAAGCAGTGAAGAAATTTCACCAAACAAAGTGTAAATCTTACATGGTCACTCTCTCTCTCTCTGCAGCTATAATTGAACCCTTTCCCCCTAAAGAAGCGACAGCAGAGTACTTAAGCAAGTATGTGAACCCAACTCTGCTGCGTGGACTTACTGAACTCTGCAAACACAAGCCACATAACCCCTGTGTATGTAAAAGTGCTATTTATTTGAAGATACAGAGGTATAATTTTATAGATGCATATATTGAAGATGTTTGCTGTTCTGATATCTACATCTTTAAAAAATTCTCACTCTATCCTCCTATACTTTTGTTTTCTGTAGATCTGGCTTGCTGACTGGCTGGTCAAAAATGATCCAAACACACCACAAATTTGTGATGGAGTCCAAGTAGAAGAGTCTGAATAACATCGGGGGACATGCACAAACTAAGAACTTGTATTTTCACAGCAATTTATTTGCTCAGTGCTACAAAAAAAAATCACCACTTACCATCAGTTAAGTTTACATTGTTTCAGGGCTGATGTTTGACATTTGGTCCGGAAATTGTATCAGCCCTTCACTTTACAGGTGGCCCCTGAAATAAATTAAATAAGTGTGCTACTTTGGCTCCCCTGTTGGTGTGTCTTTCCCTCTGGGTCTGTTTTCTTGCACCACTTTTTCTCACCTGATATCCTGTCTACAAAATTATCTGATTGGCGAGACATTACACAACTGTGTGTCACAAGTATACTATTAGTGTAAATTATGAGGAATGTTTCATTTTTGATTAAACATTAGCTAACGGCATGTCATAAAAGTTTTGTTTAATATCACAAATTTTACGTATTGACAGATATCTTTTGTTCCATATAATGGTTATCGCTGTTATGAACAACTAGTAGTCGGTATTGACTCTGAAAAACCAACTACCTCGACTGTTATGCAGAGGATAACACAAGTTACAACAAATTAGTATAACCCTCTATTTCACCGGATCCCTATTGATCACCACAGAGTAACATCTCCATGTAAGTCCTATCAAAAATACCCCAAACAAAATGAGGTTGCTTTTATAATGGATAACTTTCGTAATTTTTGACAGCTTTTCAGGAAAAAGAGGGGCTGAACGCACATGTTAGGATTTTTTCTGCGATTGGCATAATGGTCATCTGATGACAATTAAACATCTGAAGAATGTACCAATGGTTTGAACATTATGTTGTATTTACAGACGAGCAAATCGGTCAAATACCAATCGTCACGACAAAAGCATAGTGTTAGTAAGAGGTGGTCAGTCGTCGTAATCACGCTTTCCCTCCCAGTCGAGAATAAACCATTTTTTCATTTACAGCAGAAAAGGTACTTTGCGTGCCTTCCTGTGCGTAGGGGGTGTGAACTTCTTCTATGATAAGAATACAGCGTGAATCCTATTGGCCAATGATTTAAAAGACAGCAGTTAAGGTCCAATCACATGGACTCTCCATGGAAATGTCGTTTTTTTCTGCCGGTTCTAGAAAACCAACCACGAGTTGTCGTCGTGTGGGAGAATCCATCTTGAAGAGAGCTCTCCGGTTGTGTGACGAGTAAGCACAATTTTGTTGTTCATTGGTCATTTTTGTCGATAAAATATCACGTAAGTACCTTCTGGGTGAATTACATTTTGAGTTAATTCTGTTAAATATTAAGCAACAAAAAATACAAGTGTTCAGTGCGGCTAGAGGGTTGACTGCATTACGTAACTGCGAATGAGAAAACAGTATAGTAGAGGCTTGGTTTTATCAGTGTTCTGCAGATTGTTGCGCTCTTTAATCTTTTGCTACAGAGGTAGTGTGCTGTACGTATTGAGTTTCCACGGGCTTGTGGAATGTGACGTTGTTGAGTTGCCATTAGCAGGCACTTGGAAACAAAGACGTCGTTGTATGAATGTATGGAACGCGATTGTGCCGGTCAAAATGGTGGGAAATGCATGCATTGGCACCATGTAAATGGCGAGGCGTGCACGGCTATGCTGGTTATGTAACAAGTCTTTCTTACTAATTTGAAAAATTTGGATTTAGGTGCAAGAGTTCAACATGTCTGAGATAGAGCAGCAGTACATGGAGACGTCGGAAAACGGCCATGAAGTGGATGATGATTTTAACGGAGCCGGCCACACCGAGGAGGGGATCGACGAAAGCGCCGTGAATGAGTGCGGAGAGGGCGAGGGAGCCGACGAGAACTCTCAAAACGGTGGAACGGAAGGCGGTCAGATCGACGCCAGCAAAGGCGAAGAGGATGCTGGGTGAGTTTACTGTAAAATAACGTGAATTTGTGTCATATTGTGTGCTGTGGAGCACTCATGGTTTGCCGTGTTCCTTTGTTCAACCGGCCTTTGTTGGCGCCATATGCATAGCGGAGGGGGGATGGGCGCTTCAGCGTGGGTCAAATCTAACACGAATTGGCGCATAAGGGTCGCTCGGCACTATGTGTCTGTTGCAGTAGCATTGTAGTAATCAAGTGTATATTGATTTAATCTCGGGAAATAGCATAGCATAGCAACAGCCCGACGTCATGGGTCAACAGATGTTCGGGAACAGTGTGTACATTTGCACCCCCCTCCTGCTCTATGCATCCCCGCCCCCACGACCCTATATAAAGTTGTTGGAGAGGTACTGCATGTAATCCTTAACATGTCCCCTTCACTTCTGTGCTCAGGAAAATGTTTGTTGGTGGTCTCAGCTGGGACACAAGCAAGAAAGATCTTAAGGATTACTTCTCCAAATATGGTGAGGTGACAGACTGCACCATTAAGATGGACCAGCAGACAGGACGGTCCAGAGGTTTTGGCTTCATTCTCTTCAAAGATGCAGCCAGTGTTGATAAAGTGAGTGGGAAGGATAATATCTCATACCATTTCTTTTTATGTTATCAGAGTGCACAGATTAACTGATAATCCTTTTTTTTTTTAATTCTAGGTTCTAGAGCAAAAGGAGCACAGGCTAGATGGCAGAGTCATCGACCCGAAGAAAGCTATGGCCATGAAGAAGGATCCAGTCAAAAAAATCTTTGTGGGAGGCCTTAACCCAGACACCTCAAAGGAAGTCATCCAGGAGTATTTTGGCACGTTTGGGGAGGTACAGTATCACTCAAATTTCGTTTAGTTATCAAATAATAAAATGTTTATGCTGGTTGCTTCAGAAGTTTGTTATCACTTGTTTAGATTGAGACCATTGAACTTCCACAAGATCCAAAGACGGAGAAGAGGAGGGGATTCGTCTTCATCACATATAAAGATGAGGCTTCAGTGAAGAAGGTCATGGAGAAGAAATTCCACAATGTCGGTGGAAGCAAGGTAGATGCTTATCACTGTTGTTCATACAGCTTAACGTGCATATTGTGCTCTGCCATACACCAAAACAAATAAGGTTCTAATGTGCATTTTTAATGTGTTTTAGTGCGAAATTAAAATTGCCCAGCCCAAAGAGGTCTACCAGCAGCAGCAGTATGGCGCCCGTGGATATGGGGGGCGTGGCAGAGGACGTGGTGGTAAGCACATTTTTAGTAGTGTATCAGCAATTAGTGTTTTGAACTGTGTTTATTGGCAGATTTAAGTCTGTGCTGAGTGATCACTTGGGTCCTGTGTGCTTGAGGGTTTGACAAAGGCCTCACCTGTTGTTTCTAGGCCAGGGCCAGAACTGGAATCAAGGTTACAACAACTACTGGAACCAGGGATACAACCAGAACTATGGCTATGGACAGCAAGGCTACGGATATGGCGGCTATGGCAACTATGACTACTCTGCTGGTTATTACGGCTATGGGGGTGGCTACGATTACAGTAAGCGATAAGTGCCCCCAGGAAAAGCAAAAGAATGAGAGAAACTTTATTTTCTTGGTCCTCCTTGTTGTACAGAAGAACTCAGTCCCTTTTTCTCTTGTCCTCCAGACCAGGGCAATACAAGCTATGGGAAAACTCCAAGACGTGGAGGCCACCAGAGTAGCTACAAGCCATACTGATCACACGTAGTGCAGGTATGCATTTTTGCATCATCCGTGGTAGTATGAGAACATAGCTGTAACCATTGGTGCCTTTTTGACCCCAAAGATGTCCATCTACTACAAATCCATTCAAGCATTGTGGTGGGGTTAGGGTAGGCTGCATTGTGGGGTCTGTGACCGTAAAAGATGGATTCATTCCACCTGTCAGCCATCTCAAGATGCATCTCTACAAACACTACTTGATCAATAAGGGTTGAGTTGGTGGTGGTTGAGAACAGGAACAAGGGACCGTTTCACCTTTCACCAGGGTGCCAGGTGTAATAATTAGTGGTCGGGGCCCCCTCCCTCCCCCCAAAATGTCTGTCCATTCACTGACCTGTCAAACTCATTCATGCACCTGTCTGTCTCTGTGTAACTGCATGCCATACTTGGTTTATTCTCAGTAAACGCTAATAGTAACGTTAGTGTTCTTCTCTTAAGGTCTAAAGTAATTAAGAAAAAGAGATCCATGGTCTGACCACAACGAACATGGGCTCTGGCTTTTCCTTTGGAGTTGGCAGAAATTTGGACTCATGCTCCATTTGTACAGATCAAGTGAGGAACTGGGGAAGCAAATGTCACTTTTCCACTTTTTATTTTATATTGTTTTGTGTCCATTTACATTTCCAGTGATGGAAGTGTTATTTTTACTGTACTTTTTGGTACCTTTTTGAATCTAATGTATTGTATGGTTGTATTTTTACATGTCTACTGGATTTACAGACAAGCAGGAGCAAGGGCTTTTAAAGCTCACAAATAAAACAACTTTTTTTTTGTTTTTGTTTTTTTTTTTTCCTTTTGGTGTTTCTAGATCTTTAGTTATTTTCTCCCGTGCTGAGTGTTGGATGCGAGTTGCATGGCTTCAGATGTGGGGTGAGGCTAAATAAGGGATTTAAAGTAATCAAAGGGTTCATTATAAGCGTGTTAAGTGAATGTTTGCAGATGGTCTAGTAGACGAAGACAACCAGCATCTTTTCTTTCTATTTTCTTTTTTTTTTTTTTTTTGGCTTTTAAGGAGATTCTTCCCCATCATGTTTGCAATTTTAAGTGGCTTTACTAGTGTTATTCAACTGAACGCAAGCCTGTTAATGTACGAGGGTACTCCCTCACTCACTGGAAACTCATTCCTCTAGTGTCTTGGGCAAATTGGTAGAAATAAACTTTTGGTTTATATAACACCCTGATCTTTTTGTTATTATTTGTAAAGTTAATGTTAAATGTTTTGTACTGTTAAATGGCTTGCTTGTTTTGTCACAAGTAATGTTAACATTTCACCAGATGCCTCTTTAAGAAGCTGTGGGAGAGGGCTTCACTATCAACAGCAAAACTGGCTGAATTAAATCGCCCCAGTAAGATGTGAAACTGCAATATCATGTTTGTGAATGTGTCCAGGAGTTAGTGGTCTGGTAAGTGCTTATCAAAACCATGTGTGTATTGAGAACATGTTGCTAATTAGTGTTGTAAATTGGGAACCCATACTTAACTTTGGAACTGTGGGAAAATATTACAAGAGTCAGGAGTTTTTTATTGTTTTATCTGTTTATTCCTTTTGAGTACAAAAATATTAGTGTCACTGAGCTCCATATTGAATACCGATCACTTCCCAGGTAGTGTTGATGCACAGTAGCTTGTATCACTAGAAAGGTGACAGCCGACTGACTCAAGCCAACTGAAGTGACATCTCATATGGCTCCTAACACCTGGGGTGATTAAAAAAAAAATCAGATAGTCCTATATTGATGAACAGCGTAAACATTTTGACATGACTGTCATTTAAAGTCCTCTGTCGCATCTGATAACTCCTACATTGAGGTGACAACACAGTGTCCACTGTGAGGAGTCAAGTGAGGGGTAGCAACATGTTCTACTAGGTGAAATGAATTAACCTGTATTATCAACTGGAACCTCGAGTATAAACATTCATACCTCTACCTCTGAACTTTATGAATGTGACCATCTGACAATGTCTGATGCAATTAAAAGATTTTCTACAGGTTTAACAAACCTTAGACGTCTTCATTTTCCAGTTTGAGGTCACTAGTTTCCATGTCTGTGAGAACAAGAACAATTCAGACGTTATCCTGAAGTGTGTTCATACAATAGTGTTTTCTCAAGGGTATCTCATACCTACTGCAACAGGTCTAAGACTAAAGTTTGTGTCTGTTTTCCTACCTGAAAGAATGCGATCAATACATTGCACCACCAGTTCTGCATCCTTCATACTGAAGCACATAGGGGGTTTAAACTTCAAGACACTTTCCCAAGGGCCGTCAGTGCTGACGCAGATTTGATCCTCTTCTTTTAATCTAGTAAGAGAAGACGAGAGTTGAATCACCTATCAAACTGCAGAAGCAGTGCGCTGCGCACTCAACTGCATTTCTACCAGGAACAAACAGAAGAACAGCTGCTCATAAAAACTGTAAGAACCTCTTCACCACGTGTGCCGCTGTTATAGTAGCAGGGGTCCTCTTCTCCCTATCTGTGACCAGCTCAATACCCACGAAGAGTCCCACACCCCTGTAATAAGTGAAAAGAAGCCCCCCGCCAAAAAAAAAGACAGTTTCAGTTTAATTCACACTCAAACTAAAGAGGTACAGAAAAATGTGACCTAAACAAAATCAACTGACTGTCTGTCTTAAGCGATTACAACTTTGTTTAAATAAATACAATGAAAATATTTAAACTCACTACAGGAGCAAAATAACTGCATAACTCATGTTATTGGGGAAAATTTTAACCCAAGATTATTCTGACAATCTGCATGGTGCCTTTTGTCACCAGAGGACATTACAGTTTAACAGCACAGCTGCAAGTGATAAAAATGGCTACATCAGTGGCTGTTTCTCTGAGCCAGTATTACAGCAAACACATGCACTTTGACTCAACTGATATTCTTCAAATAGAATAGACCAACAATACAAGCAGTGGGTTAGTTTGGATGCAGGCCCACAGTGCATTCACATTGACACATAATTTACATCAGTGTCTGCGTTAATCTCTTCTCTAACAGTCACAGACACGACTGCTGCAGTGCTCAAACCTTCACAAGCCTAATTTAACTTATTCACAGTATTGGTGTGATATTTACATTAAAACTCTGGTAATTTACATTGCACACCTACCAAACACGTGTTTCAATGAAGTTTGTGCATGGTCCCCTAGCTGTTCAGTGCAACATGTCAAATTTTTACCGACAAGTGAGATCATTAGGGGCAGTCGCTTTTTACAAAAGTAACAGCCGGGAAGGTGTGCTGTGGGCATAAGAATTTAAAAAGTGTTGACAGTAAAATGGAACAATATGGGACAACAACTCCATGACAGAATGTTCCTCCTTTTTAACCAAAGTATATTATTTGACTTCAATTTTTTAAACTGATTCTTGTAGATCAGATTAATTAGAACTTTTAGTTATCCTTTTTGAAAGGTTCCTTTAAGGAAATTGAAAGACTAGGATGTCTTTTAGGGGGTTGGTGTTAAAATTCACTACATTACCTGACATCCCCTATTATCCGATGTCGTGAGTGGAGTTGTGTGAGCAAGTTCTTAAGATGTGCTCCCACCCTTGTGGCATTTTCTCTTAGTTCTTCTTTCTCAACCACATCCAGGACTGCCATACCAATTGCACAAGACACAGGGTTTCCACCAAACTGCATGAGGTTGGAGAGAAATCAAGAATCTTCAGCCAAATGACTCCATTACTAAAAACAACACGTAATTTCTCTTCCTCGGAGTGCATATTTCCCTTTTTTCTATTATAATTGCCACACTATATCCTCAAATTTAGACATTTCATTATGTTTTTTATGCTGTTGCAGAGATTAGGCAACACCAGAAAAGTACCATATCTTGATGTAAATGACAAGTATTAAGTTGTCGCTCACAGTGATAGGGATTCATGTCTCACAAATGTCTATCAAATTCAATACTAAAAAGCATTAGATGGGAAAATACTACAGCTGCCGACTCAAAGGGTCATCTTATTGTATTAAATCAGGATGCATATGTATCCATATAGTCACCGTGTTGAAGTACTCCACTCCATTGTCTGTGAAAGCTCCAGCTATTTCAGCGGTGGTCACAACACATGCCAGGGGGTGCCCGTTGCCCATTGGTTTGCCCATGGTTACTATATCAGGACAGAAATCCTCACCCTGTAGCTGGAAAGCCCAGAAGTGACTCCCCACACGTCCAAAGCCCGTCTGCACCTCATCAGCCACAAACACTCCACCAGCTGAGCGCACATATCTATGGAGTTTGAGGGAGAAGCACCATGTCATGACTGTTGTAATTATGGTTGTCTGTAAAAGAACCCTGAAAAATGAATCACCACTCACTCTGCAACTTTAGCTGAGTATTCTTTAGGCAGGATGATTTGTCCTCCCACACTTGGCAAAGATTCAGCAAAGAAGGCAGAGATCTATGGGAAAACATGTTGTAAATAGTCCAAAGTACTGTATTTTATGCATGGCTTACGTTTACTACAGCAGTCAAGTGGTGCATGTTGTGCGTATAGATCTGTGAAGTCTACCTTACGGCCTTTCTTGTGCACATCATCAATGAGGTCTTTGACTGTATCAGCATAAGCTTGTCCAGGGTTAGGATGATCCTCTCGGTATATACCTCTGTAGGTGTCTGGTAAGGGCGCCTATGAAGACAAACACATTATTTCAAATCTACAGGGGTCCACTGTTGGTCAGGGTTTTTTTTGCAAGTGTCATGAATTTACAAACCACATGAACCCACTCCTTCTGTCCTGCCAGTTTCCTGAACTTGTAGGGACTAATGTCGATGAGAGACACGAGATGCCCATGGTATGCACTAGAATAAAAGCAGAGATGGTCTAAATTAACTGGCAAGTGTTTTGTCTGAGTATTAATGTGTTGCTACAAGCCAAAATTCTAACTTACTGGTCAAGCACAATGACATCCTCATGCTGGGTGTACTGCTGTGCCAGGCGCAGGGCAAGATCGTTGGCCTCTGATCTGTCAGGAGAATAGATGTAATACTACACAAATGGCACTCTGTCAGGGCAACCTTAAAGGGGCTGGGGAAAGTTCATTTTGAGTGTGAATGACTGCCAGGGGTTAGGCCTTAAAAGATTTGAGGATTCATGGTAGTGCAGTGGTAAGGCCTAATTTAATTTCTTTTTCCATGGGGCTCAAAATTCCTGGCAGCACACCTCTGTGCTGAGTGTACTGAACAGTAATTACCCTGAGTTTACAAAGTAGAAGACACACAGTCTCTGGGGCAAGGTGGCAGCCAGGCGATCTGCATACAGGACTATGTTGTCGTGTAGGAATCGTGAATTTGTGTTCAAGAGGTCCATCTGAGCCGCTGTTGCCTTTGTTATATCTGGGTGACAGTGGCCCACTGCAAAAAAAAAAAAAGGTTGCTGTGAGTTATCGACATGTAAAACTTCTACCACATGGAGGCACTGGCGTAGTATACAGTGTATTTCAGAGTACTAACTGGGGACACGACACTGACTGATCTATTTTTTACCATGGTGGACGTTGCTGATGCAGTCCAGATAGCGCTTGCCCGTTTCATCGTACAGATATTGTCCTCTTGCTCTCACTATTTTCACCGGGTCATCAGAGTAAAAAAGTCTGCACGATTGTCTGTTACAGAAATAAAGTAATGGATCAGTGACTTCCGTATACGTCCACCAGGGAATGCTCAGTGAGCACAGATTAATGACACAATACCAAAACCAGATTTCCATACCCGATAAGTCTCCTCCTCATTGCGAGGGTTTCTTCTTTACTGAGTTGATCTCGTTCCATGTTTACGCTGTTTTTGTTTACAAGCCCTTACGTTGAACAATCGACTGTAAAAATCAGTGTTAATCCATAATGGTTGTCAAAAGTAAGAGTTTAAAGATTTTTAGAGCTGCAGGGCAGACTCCATATTCTGTCGACGCATGCGCCGATTGCGTCGACCTCAGCAGTCAGTACAACAGTGCTCACACCACGTTTTTAGCCAATAAATAAATCTTAATAAATTCATATCATAACTATTTTGTCGCCACCTGAAAAGTGGTCTTTTTTTATCACATAAACATAATTTTGTCCGTTTTTATTTTGTGCTGTTGCTTTATAGAGAATGTTCCAACTGTGGGGATGTTTAGAGTAGATGTTTAATATAAGTGTTGTATAAGTTGTTAAGAATATCATATTTATACTTTAAAACACGGATGTCATTACTTTGTTTGAAAAGCTTCCATATAATTATAGGTAACTTCACTGAAATCGTTATGTGTTTCAGACGTTGTATTTCGACTACCTCTGTATTGGTATCGCCCAAAGGCTATAAAGCCTCTGCTGATCTGCCCTCTACACGATGCACTGTGCTGCTCCGGTTGCTAAGGAACCACTGAACGCAGGTAATACATCAGGACAGCAGCTGTAGCACGTTAGCTTGCAAACAGGCTTCCTAACACAGCTAGAGCTACAACTAAAGCCATCTCATCTCTTGTCAGCTATTCCTGACTCTTTGTGGAACAATGAAAGGCTGCAATTCGAATAATGTCAACCTTCTGACCGAAAGCAGACATACACAGTGAAGGCAAAATAACGCTGTTAGTTGGGGACACTTGTTATTCTAGGAGCTAATGAATGTTAGCGGCAGAACAGGCTAATAACTTGATGCTACTCCGGCTGCATCGTGTTGACCAGCTAGCTTGTGAATACTTTGCTTATCGGTCAAAGTTTATAACCGATTAAGCCACTGTACCATGTCCTAATAACAGAAGTCTTTTTTTAAGGGCACATGATTTTCATTTAACTCACTCTGAAGGTAAGGCGTAAGATATAAAAAAATGTTATCTTTTTATGACAAGCTGCGCAACACCACCTCAAACTCGTTTGTATCATTCAATGAGCGTCATGTGTCATAAGACTAGACCTACTTAATTAACCCCTCTGTCAGTCGTAATAATGCTATATTTTTTGATGAGAATATAATACAACCGGGCAGTTTACTTAAAGTAATGGGGTTTTCTTTGTAAGATTATTAAGACTTAAAGTTTAACATTGGTTGCCTTGACTAGTATTAAAGAAAATTGAGTTATTCCGTGGGGTAAAGATATGTGACAGTCACCGACCGGTGCTCAGCCTGTGCTGGTGAGGAAGCAGGTCCTCTGGCATGTGGAACTAGGCTAGCATTGTAGCAGCATGTTTGCCACAAGGAAGAAGGCCCCAGAGGCCACATCTGATTGCCACTATCAAGTACTGTGGCAGAATCTTACTAGCAAGCAGCTTAATACCAGATTTTTTTGACACTGATGCTGGTTTGTCAGCATTTTATGTGCTCAAGAGTTAAGGTTCTAAAGTCATACAGAGAGAAGTGTAATGGTTAAAATGGCCTTTTTATATTTCAGAGTTTCTATACTGTCTGCTATAATTTCAGATTCTGATGCACATTGTTGGATGTCTTGCACATGCTTGTCAAAGATTATGGTTAAATGTGTGGACTGAATGATATTTAAAACCAGTAAAAGATAATTTTATGTGACCTGGACAATTTATCTGGACAATGCATGTAATTCAAAAGACGTTTAGGCTACCCTACTTTCTGGGCATATCACACCATTTTGAGCTTTCCTGGGTAATATAAGCCCTTGAGACATGGTCACTGATCTTTTGTCCCTCTTGCAAAGTTACTATGGCATGCTTCCAACCCCTATCGCCATTCTTTTTTTCACACACTTCCCCCATCCTTGCCCCTTGAGTCTCTCCATCCCCCCCTCATTCCCATCACAATTCACAACTTCAGCCACTGGTGTTTATTGAACCCAGCCTACTTTGACTGCCATCATATTGCTACAAAGGATTTTCAGTTGTGATATATTTGTCATATTTCCTGTAGGACTACTCCATGTCTGTAGCCTAAATAAGAAATGTTCATGATCACCGTGCATGAGGGAATTTGAAGTGTTTCTTTGTTCTGGGTCTCTTCATGTCTGTGTGCACTCTCTGCCTTTGTGAACATGAACCTCTGCCTCTCCTCAAGGCTGGATCTGGTGAAGTAATACATAAAAATACTGAACAAGTGTGTTAAAATGACTGACTATGAACTTTTCTCACTCTTATCATATATTTGACGTCTCTGACAGGCAATTCATACGTTACTGCTGAATTAAGTAATTTCTCTGATATGTGTCTGACCAGTATCAGTTGATCATCCACATTGTTACATAAGGATCCCTTTTCATTTGTATCTCTAGGTGGCCTGAAGATGATGGTGGCATAGTGAGAAAGCTGGTCAGTCTGGCTGGTTGAGGTGTTGAGGGGACACCATAAACCACGCCAGAATTCTGACTAATAGATTTGCACTGCCCCCAGTTAATCTCCTCCTCATCCCCATGTCTAACCCTGGATTTTAGCTACAGTTATGGTGACGCTTATCACAGAGCAGCTCCGGAAGCAGAGTTTGGAAGAGCCTTACTACAAGGCTTTCTCATTTAATGTGAATGCGGTGAGTTGTATACGAAACAAGCCTTGGGCCATCTCTTTTCTTCTACATTCATTTTATCTAATGGGTGCTTAATTTGAATTAAAGCGATCATATTTCTGTTCCAGTCCTTACCTGCAGTGGGCTCAAGTCCCACTGTGTCATGGAGTGCTTGCAGATCAACACAAGGCAAGTTCGTTAGTCTAAATGCAGTTTTTATAGCCTACTAGTGGCAGCACGTGTTTAAAGTTTTTCTTTTACATTTTTTAGAAACCAGCTCTGCTATACACCCACCATACACAACCAACCCCCAGGATGATTCCTGTGAGCCAGACTCTTTATGGCGCACTTCTCGGTCTGGAGAATTTCTTCATAGACCAGAGGTCTCCTTCACAGACACGGCTCTCCAAAGCTCCCCTCCACCACCTCCGAAACGTCACTGCCGGTCCCTCTCTGTACCAGAGGACTTGTCTCGATGCCGCTCTAACTGGCACCCTTGTGCATCTAAGGTTTGGACCCCGGTCAAACACGGCTGCCAAAGTGGAGGAGCATCTAGTTCAGGCTCTGGAGCCAGCTCTCTGCCACGATGTGGTCCCAGTTCCTCCTTCACCTCATCGTCCCTTCACTCATCTTCTAGCCCCACCTTTTTTAGCTTAGCACTGTCCTCTGACTCCCCATTACCATGGAGCTTCCCCTGGGACTCCACTGACAAACTAAGAGGAACATGTTCTGCCTCCTTTGCAACCCCTTCCTCCTGTTCTTCTTCACCAGCCCCCCTGATTTCTCACTCAGTGCTGCAGCGTCGCTTCTCCCTCTCTCCTGTGCATATTCAGGATGCCTCTGCAGTTTTGCTGCCCCCCCAACCCTCCCCTGCTTCTGCTCTGACTTATGGCTGTTCTGGCATGGAGCACCCTGCCCTGTCCCCATCTCCCACCTCTGCCTGCAGCACCCCTTCCTCTTCTAGGCGCCACCTGCATGCTGCTCTCCCTCGATGCCACTCACAGCCCTGTGACATGCGCAAACCTCGTCTGAAAAGACGCCACGACCCAGATGTGTTCCCCTGCCCCAGACCAGGACTTGACTTCAGTAAAATGACACAGGTGAGCCAGAAAGTCTGGGTCTGATACCCTTTTTTCCTGTATTCAGGCTGTTGCATATAGAGATACCACATAGCTTAGTATGGTGAGCTATCAGCAGCTTGGGATGATGGGTTCTCATGTTTTTTGTACTATAGAGACTGAAGTACCTGAGTAGGCATCAGGCATGAAAGGGTCTCTTACAAATCTGTTGCAGCACAGCTATGCTTGGACTCCAACCTATCCATCTAGCTGATTTCACACTATGTATTGGAACAATAGACGAAAAAGTGAGAACTTCACTTACAGGGAACTTTTATGATGTACTCTGCACACTACAGTAACATTTTTGTGCATCACCATTACAAACCAGTCAGTTCCCTCTTAAAGAAGGTAGCTACAAAACCATATTCTTCTCTGTATGTGTCAGGTATTCAATTAGACTTTAATAAAAATACAATAATAACATTCTGGAGTTAGAATGTTAAGATTGGTCATGGGTTTATTATTATTTTTGTTTTTAGATCATGTGACGCAGAAAGTCAAGCCAATTAAATATACGATGAGTTAACCTGTATATGACTAAGAAACAGGCCAGCTGAGTTGCCACAGCACTGCCTGGATCTTCCTTGATGTGGATTCTGAAAAAACAGATAACTTTAGTGGTCATGGGAATGGAGATTACGGTGGACTATTATTGTTTGAGGTGTGTCAGTGCAAACTTTTCAAATGATACCATTTAACAATGACTCCTTTCTTCTTTGCAGATTGGAAACCATGAAAACCTAGTGGGTGCCACAGGTGGCTGCTTAGTCCAGGTGTCTTCCCAAGCAGAGCAGCGATCAGCCTTCTCCCCCGCAGAGTTTCTGGGACGAGCAAGCATTGGACCACTCAGTGAAAGTGAAGAGGAGGAGGACGAAGAAGATGATGAAGACAAAAGAAATAGGACCGTTGTAGATGGAGGACAAAAGATTGTTTTTGAAAGAGATTGCACAGAGCTGGACTTGAACCTTATAGAAGAGAACTGAATGCTTCCTGGTGCTCCCAGTATGATACTGCATTCATAACTATGTTAAGCACACGTGTAGATTTTGTGTGCTCCTTTGGCTAAGAACTGGGAACCTGTTGCAATATACACTCAGAGTGCGTAATCAAAAACCAAGCAGTTAGACGCTAATATCAGATTACAGTAATATAGAAAAATGTGCATGGGCGAGTGAGCTAGTTTTCATCCACAAAGAATTGATAATATTTCTTCAGTTGTTTAAAGCATTGGTCTATGACCCAACAAGGTTACATACTGCATCCTCATGAAATAACGTTACATAATGAAGTGAGTAAATGGGCATTAATAATCTATCTGAATTATTTGGGAAAACTGTAAGAGCCAAAGTTTGATTGGATTTAGATTTGTGCCTCCTAATGACCTATCAGACCCCCCCCCCCCCTTTGTGTTTGGATTTTTTTAGTTTCCAAATGACTGCGTTGGTTTTTAGAGGTGTACATAATGTGCAGGTCTGAACAGTGATGGACAGAGCACACTACTTCATTCAAGTACACATACTGCTATTCAAATATTAGTCCAATACAAGTTAGAGATACTCAGTTAAGTTGTTAACTGAGTTGAAGTACTTCAAAAACATTGAAACTTCTTTTTAGAAAAAATGCATCAGTGCAGTCAAGACTAATTGGGTTTACATTCTGCTACATTATGGTAATTTAGAAAAACTAATTGAAACAGAAAATATTTAATACTCAAATGCTACAAATTTCCAGATTTGCTGTGCCAAAATAATTGTAATAATATTGGGAACAACCAGTGATACCTGATGATAAGGGAAAGTGTCAGACAGACTTTAAACCAAGAAAAAATAATCAAAATTCAACAATCACACACAGACTGTAGCTGCAGTGGTTAAATCTTTGTGCTGTTAACAGAGTTGGTATTTAAAAAGTACAAATCATTTTTAATTAAAAAAAAAAACCTTAACATTTTCCACAAAATAATCAGCCAAGTAGTGAAAATGAGAACAGTCATGGAACTGTAGTGGAGTCAATACAAAAATATCTATTGTTCAAATGTAGTGAAGTAAAACCAATTAAAGTATAGGGATAAAACGGTACCTTAGTACTCAAGTAAATTTACTTTGTCACTGTCCACCACTGGGTCTAAATATTACTTTGTAGGCCACAAACACTCTTAACAAAATTAATGCTCTGCTGCAGATTTGACAAAAAAATGCTTCAACTTTTATTGATCCTCTGTGACTAACTTACCATGCCCTTATTTGTGGCAACAACATCAATGTAAACTCTTTTTGTTTGAGCTGAAAGAAAGGCTCCTCCTATTGTTCATCACTCTTGGGAAACAACAACTCTGATGAAACTGTAGGATGGTCATAACTTACGCTTGACATTTAGAATTCTTGGTGCTCTGGTCTTCTTTCCACAGCCAGACATTTATCTCTGATGTCTATTAGCACTGACTGAGGTAGTTTTCAACAGGTGGTACATGCACTATAATAAACATAAAACAACTGAGTCAATGCTGCGGCTGGACTCTGAAGGGCACAATGTATTGTACAGTGTTAAAGCGAGTGTAAACACAAAGCTAGCTTTATATATACACAGTACAGGCCAAAAGTTTGGACACACCTTCTCAATCAGTGCATTTTCTTAATTCTTGTTACTTTTTTAATTGTAGATTCTCAGTGAAGGCATCAATACTATGAATGAACACATGTGGAATCATGTGCTTAAAGTGTGAAATAACTGAAAACATGTATTACATTTTAGATTCCTCAAAGTAGCCACCCTTTGCTTTTTTGATAGCACTGCAAACTTTTGCTGTTCTCTCAATGAGCTTTATGAGGTAGTCACCTGAAATGGTTTTTACTTCACAGGTGTGCCTTGTTAGGGTTACTTTGTGACTGACAGAGTTAGTCACTAAGTACTTCTGTCATCAAGAGCCAAGGGTGGCTATTTTAAAGAAAATAGAGTATAAATCACACTTTAGTGCAAAGTTCCACGTGTTCATTCATAGTTTTGATGCCTTCAGTGATAATCTACAATGTAAATAGTCATATAAAAAAATAAAGAAAAGACAATGAATGAGAAGGTGTGTCAAAACTTTTGGCCTGTACTGCATGTATATATATATATATATATATATATATATATATATATATATATATATATATATATATATATATATATATATATATATATATATATATGGAGGCAGTAGAAATGGGATAACGTGGTGGCCTTTCAGAAATGATTTTTCATGTTTTTTCAGATAGAGATATTCCTGTCGCACAATTTATGTACAAATAAAATTCAATTATCTTAATCTTGTAAAATCTCTTTCTAACAAGTGTCTTTCCTTCGTGGATTATTTTAATCTGCCTTTAATATAAGAAAAGACCAGGGGACAGTTTAGTTAATCGTGACACCTAGCGGCAAATTTTGTACAATCCTGAGGTTACATAGAAAAGCCTATTGAGTTTATGTAATAACTCCACATGTAAGCATTGGGATATTGGTTTTGGTTAACACAAGTTTCACAAGAAGAAAATGAACCTGGATTCATCATTTCAGTTCAGGAATGGAGTGAGTTTTCTAGTTAGACGAACACATTGTTGGGTAGCATTCAACAGCTGACCAAGTTTTACACGAAGCTCATGATTGAATGAGAGAGGAGTCGCTCGGCTTTGTCAGATTGAGATTGCTGCGCCGCCGTGTAACTTGAGGGCGCTCCTGCAGTCCACCGATGCTTTTCACGGTCGGCCTGACCCCCTATTGTAGAGCCACTTCCTCTTTTGTCTGATTTCATGGCGATCGGGAGAGAGGGAACACCACCGACGCACGCACACTATCTCAGCACTCTTCAAAGAGTTTATCCGGGGTAAATAACTCACTATTTTCACAAGATTCGATCATTGCTTTTGGAAGTAGCGCATTTTAGAGTCAATCTTTTAAACTATTCACTTATCCCTGCAATATGATGCATTTTTTTGCTTCTAGGTCAGATATTTCACATTGTAGCGCCACTCGCTGATAACATATCGGTGGAAATGGTCTCCCCCCTCCGCCTGCAGCTCTCACACACTCTCAGCGGCACGCTACTTAACGGCTCCGGCTAGCTAGCATTAGCAATGCTGCAAACGCCTCATAAATGAAGCTTTGGAAATAACAACCATAGACACTTATGCGTAGCCAAATAATTTCAACACGATGTAGTTTGTTGGCCTGAAGTGTGAAATTGAACTTTTCGAGTGAATATTTGGAGGTTTTTGGTGCTCAAAGATGAGTGTTTGGGTTTCTTAGCCAACACCGACTAGCTTACGTTAGCTACATTGCTGTGTGTTGAGTTAGCGTTAGCTAGGATTGCGATTAAGAAGTTACAGCAAGCACAACAACATCAAAGCGGACAAAGTTATCGTACTTAAAATTTTACTGACTGTAGATTAGACAATTTGCGGCTTTTAAGGCACACTGAAATATTGTTCATCATTTGCGAAAGCTAAAAATATTGAGCAAGCTAGCATCATAAGCTAGTTTGCTACTTAACGGTAACTTGGCTATTCCCGATGGGCTTTCGATTTGTTGATAGGGTCACAAATTTCTAGTTAAATAACCTTTAAATAAGTCAGTCTATGATGACTGGTGTCAGTAATGGTTGGCTGGTTGTATGAAAGGTTTTATATTGTGATATTCTTATAATGTGAAGTTGTAAGTGCAAGGTAGATCGTGATGCTGAACCAGTTTTCAGGTTAAATAAAAATAGGGAGTGTAAAAACTAAGTGTTTTCTTATTAGTCAGTCACCCCTGATGGCAATGAGCAATGTATATAGACTAGAGTATACTCTACATGCTTATTTGCTGCGTGCAGACACCTGCTCACACTAACGTAGAGTTGGTGTCCTCTTAAAAAGTCACAAAGTAATGTTAACCACATCAAGTTGTCCTTATCTAAAACTTATACTCCTTCTGTTTGTTTACAGTGGAAACTAAGTTGTCAGCTTGACTGGCAAAACAAACACAATTGCCCAGGTGAGTGTGTACATGTATGAAGAAATGTTATGTTGGATTATATCAAGGTACAGACTGAATTTTAAGGGGTTCATTTCTCATGCCTGTTTTTTAAGCATTTTGCCAGTTTTTCCGGCTTTGTCAGGCCCTAATTTTGTTGTTAGATATATTTTAATATACAGAGGTCAACAAGCTTGACCACTCCTTTTCCAGAATGTGAATTTATAAAGTAATTTAGATTTGCGACATCAACGGTTCACTCAGTTTTCTTCTCCTGCCTTGTTTCCTTTTTTCATTATAGGGAAACTAAGTAGACCTCAGAGAAGGGGCTCTATAGCACTTGGATCAGTTCTTCTCAGTCCCAGGTTCAGGCTGCTTAGTCTATGGCTCTGATGGACAAACACAAACAGGTCAAGCGGCAGAGACTTGACCGCATCTGTGAAGGTAAGATTTCATAAATACTATAAACGTAAAGAACAAGTAAAGAGGTAAAAGTTTGTTTATACAAGGGTTTATTTTGTTGTTTAAATATTCAGTACTTTGTTAAAACTGTCATTGTACTACACTCAGTTAAAGGGTTATTTGTGTGGTTCCCTTGGTTCCTCAAAATATGAGCTATACATTTCTTAGATCCGAGCAAACACTGTATTTTCATCTAAGTCAGCTACAATATTATGATCTTTATTGTGGTTGAATCTGCAGTGAAGGAGTTTTTCTTTGCAGCGTGCAACTGTGGTAACTACTTATGCAGAAAGTGATAGGACAATATCAACAGATAAATTAAACACTGACCGAAGTTTGTACATTCCCTGAACCATGATGCAGTGTTGCAAATGCAAATAAGGATTTCAAGTAATCACACCAATATTTTCTGGTACTGTTACAGACAATAATTTTCCATTGATTTTAGTCTGACTAAAATTCATAGATATAAAGATAAGATGAGTAGATTTTACATCAGTTTTTCAGCCCAGAACTTCAGCGAACAAACAAGCCCTGTTGTTTAAAAAATGTGGCAAATCAAGCTAAAAATATGCTTTGATTTCTATCCCTCCAGAGTTTGGTTAAATCAACAGTAAACACACACTTACTCACTCACTCACAACATGGTATAACCCCGCAGCAGAGAGCATGATTTTGTTTATGAGCATGAGGTCCTGCACTTGATTCTGCCACCTCTCTGCTTCGCATTCAGTCTGCAGCTCTCTCATATGACACATCCAGCTATTTCAGTTTCACAAGGCAGAGAGTGCTTGCTTTTTTTATCTATGATTTTACACTGAATCTTTTTTTCATCATATCACTACAATATGTACTATATAGCGCGTGAAATGTGTTTTATGTTCAGCGATTTTGTAGCATAGCGTGGCAGTTGCTAAATAAAATAGAGGATTCCCCTGTCATATTTCTTTTGCACCGATAACTACAAAGATGCCAGTATCTCTTTTTTTAAATATAGTGCACCAACGTTTGAAATAATGGCAACAACTGTGGAATGAATATCTGATATTGAATTGATGCTTTTTGATATGTGTAAGGAGCATGTCTATGGCTATGTTCACAATGCAGGTCAATGCCAATTTTTTAACCATATGTGACACATATCTGATTTATCATGCAAGTGTGAACAGTGCACTTCAGATTTTTTCAAACCTGACCCAGGCCTCTTTTGTATGTTGATATAAATCGGATTTGTATCCGATGTGACTGCAGTGTGAACGCTCAGGTCGCGTTCATCCGACCTATACGTCATCAATATGCGATGAACGTCACCATTGTTTGACAACACAAACAGGCGCGGAAAGCAATTTGCGCTTTGTGCGCATGCGGGTCACTTCACGGACGCATTCCGTTCACATTAGATGCCGCATTCGTTGTTGTAATGTGAACGACCGCACAAAAAGATCGGATTTAACGAAAAATCCGAATTGTGCATCATAACCTGCGTTGTGAACGTAGCCTATGTTGACTCTGAATGCTTTGGTTTGGTTTTGATGGAGAGCATTACTGAGCATACTTGTGTGCTGTGCTTCGCAGATGGTGTTATATTACATTGAATTGGTGTGAAACTAAGATAAGCTCTGCACAGTATTTCATATTTATTATGGTAATTGAACCCAAGCTAAACTTAATGACGTTTAAGTGCAGTTGTCCAGAACAGACAATATTTTGCGCTGTTGCAGAGTGGAGGGGAAACCACGGCAATTAGACGTAATGCTGTGCTAAAATGGAGGGAACAGTCTGGGTGAGTCCCTTGAGACGGGTGAGAGGGAGAGGACAAGGTGAAGGGTCGTGGCCGCAGTTACAGGGAAACGGGGCCAGCTGTCTCTTTAAAAAACTACAACAGCCCATACCGCCCTCAGTCCCGGCTATGCTAATAAGGTTAGTGCTGGTTGGCTGGCCCTGAATGGAGCTGCCTGTGATTGGAGGCTGGCGGTGGGGGAGGGTCTGGGCGTGGATGACAGCTGGGATCCAGCCAGCCAAGAGCAGGCTGACAGTGAGAGAGGGAGAGAAAAAAAAGAGCGATAGAGGGAGAGCAAGGCAAGACAGGGAGAGAGAGAGAGAGGAAGACAGGCTCACAGACTTCATAATGCAAGGTTAGGCCCTGTGCTCATGTGTTTTCTATTTTGGCATGTGTGTTTTAAATTTGAACTGTGGGGGGGAGAGAGATCTGGTTTGGGTGTGGAGTAGCCTCTTGTGCGCAGTTTTTCCTTTTATGTTCAGCTCGAATTGGCGTTGTCGCAGCCGCTAAGAAGGAACTGAATAACCGTGTGTGTCTAGCTGTGTCTGGGTGGAGTACCGCTGCTTGCTGCATTATCATCGTTTGCTGCCCCTCCCCCCTCACCTCTTACTCCTCCAACTGCGGCCGGAGGGAGCGAAGAGAGAAGGAGGGAGTGAGGGGAAAGAAAGGGAGAGGGAGGGAGAATGAATGAATCACTGAATGAATTGTATTGTGTGCGCGGCCATGCTTGCGCTTAGTAGGCCTCGGGTATGCCAGTGTCCTTTGACTCAAATTACTCAGTGTGTAGGCCTACTTATATATTTCCAGAACTTCTTTTTCAGAGGGGTCTTTGTGATCCTGTTTAGTTTTTCTACATAGCAAGGGTCTTTGTGCATCTAGTGAGCAGCATTGGGCCTGCTAGCTTCCTGGAGCTATCTGCACTGAACATGTATCCAACTGCTACATGGACTACAGTAGATTGTAAAATTTGAAAGCACATATCAGGCTGTTTGTTTTTCCCTCTCGTTGGTGGTGTGTGTTTTTATGCATGCGTTGGGAAATATTCAGACGTCAGAGGAAGTGTTCACAAATATTTGTTTTCCACCCTCAGCTACCAGCTCCCTTCCCTCCTTAGCTGCCACACCGTTCCCTCCTGCCCTCACTCCAAGTGAATGTTTTAGCTCGAAACACTCCCCCACTCTGAGACACACACACCTGTCACACAGCAGGGACCAGATACTGTGTGTACGGGTGCGTGTGTGTCCAGTTCAGGCCGAGTGCTGCTGAGAATAAAACAGAGAATGAGAGAGATGTAAAAATCATTGGTAGATGAATGCGTAAAGTGATAATTTCTCCTTATTTGACATCGGTGTCAGCCCAGAGATGTTCTTTGTTGTCATCAGTCTCTTTCATGTTGGTAACGCTTCCTGTGGTGGTACGATGGTAAATCTTTCGTGCACATGTTAGACAGCGTAAATGTTTATAGAACAAGGTGTGTGCGTACCATGTGTGAAGAAGGCAAGATCCAGAAAAATAGGAAGCAGGGACTCTAACCAGACAGGAGAATTTAGGTCATGACTCAGACCCCCTCATGAACCCCCACCACCTCTTCTCTGAGACCCCGCAGCTTTCTCCACCCCTCCCCCCAGCCGCCACACTCCATCACCTCTCCCTCATCCATCCCGGCACCCCCACCACTTCTCTGTGTATGGTGCTCATGTTATACAGTGGCAGATCAAGTTTCCATACTGAACATGATATCAATATTGCCCTGCTTCAATAACCGACATCTAACCCTTCCTCTTCTGAGGAGCGGACCAATCAATGAAAGCTGGTCTCCCCGCTCGTTCCCTAAACAGAGCTGCACTTCAATACCAAATAGGCCAGGATGCTGGACGCTCTCCATGCCCCTATCACAGATTTAGTTACACATCACTTTTGTAACCATAGAACACTGTGCAGGAAAACACACACACTCAAACACATCATTCCGGTATTTTTCTTCGGGTGTTGGTGGAGGTGGATGCATGGAACAACAAAGTGAAAAAACTCTGAGTTATTATCATCTTCAGTGTGGCATTTAGCCCTGTTAACTTGAGCCACATGGGCAAGGGGATTTTATGTGAGGGTGTGATGAAATGCACTACTTTAGGAAGCCCAGACATAAGAAATGCAGACTGTTGACTCACTAGTCTGTACCTCAACAATGCTGGCCCATGTAACAGGCAGCTGGTGGATGTGTGCATAAACTGTGACCAGCAGGATGTAAGTACAGAAAGATAAAGATGAAGGTTACTGAAGCAGGGAACATCTAAAGTCCTCTTTCCTCTTTCCTACTGAGATTTCTGAGATTTTAGACATCTTACTGAAAAACTCATTTTGTTAAGATGTGAAAGAGATGCAGCTTACAGAAAAAGAAAAAAAAAAGGTCTTCAGTGATCGGGGACTTAATTTACGGTAACATCACTACAAAATGTTAAGGGACATTTCCACAATTCACATTCATTAGAGTAAAACAATATAACCCAGACGAGCAGTACTGAGCAGAAAGACTCTCCTCGACGTGAACACCATCACCCCACTCATATTGCTCTTGTTGTATTAATGCCTTAGCTCACCGTGACTTGGTGCAGACATCGTACCAGGCAATTGACTAAGTAAACTCCACATTCAGTCCTGGGAAACATATCGGACAATTTCTCCCATATTGGCTACGAAGACAATGTAGGGCACACTTTCAGGAGCATGATGGAAGGAGCTTTAAGTGTTCATTTTTATGAAGCATGTAACCAAAAATTTTATTTCTTTATGTTTGATTCAGGTATCCGACCCCCCATTCTGAACGGGCCGATGCACCCGCGGCCTCTGGTGGCACTGCTGGATGGGCGCGACTGCACTGTGGAAATGCCCATCCTCAAAGATGTGGCCACAGTGGCTTTTTGCGATGCCCAGTCTACACAAGAGATTCACGAGAAGGTAGATCCGAAACACACACAACAAGACTGTAATGCCACCTGAGGGCAAAACACTTGAAACACTTGAATCTGACAGCCTGATAATTCAGGACCAGTGTTTTATTGATGCTTCTGTCCCCTCGTAGGTGCTCAATGAGGCAGTAGCCGCTCTGCTCTACCACACGATCACTCTGTCCAGAGATGACCTGGAAAAATTCAAAGGCTTACGTGTTATTGTCAGGATTGGCTCCGGCTTTGACAACGTTGACATCAAAGCAGCTGCTGAGCTCGGTATGTGTTTGGAATAGTAAATCTTAAAAAAAGGGAGAAACTAAAGATACACTGAAGCTATTTTTCTCTTTCTGATGCCAATAAAGTTTCATGAGGTTGCCGAGCGTGTGATGCCAATTTCTAATGAGACATCAGACAATCAGAAATGTAGCTGCGTATTACGTGTTTTGTGTTTTCTGGTTTAAGTTAAGCTCTGTACGAACATGAATAATTATCTTCTGAGAATGAATAGCAAAAACGTTTCGAACCAATTTGACACTCAGCCAGTGCTAGAAGAATGAATTAATCTGGAGAAATTGAGAAGATATTTTTCACACATCTCTCACTCATGTGTGTGAGAGATGATAAGAGACGCTGACTTCCAAAATGAAGAGGCTCTACTTAATTTTCCTTCCATTTTCCTTTTAGTTTGCAGATCAGGATAACTCCGCTAATATTAAAAATCTCAGAATAGGAGGTTTTCACTTGACGTCACTTCCGTGTAACGCAGCACGCGCGAAACACAAATGGAGGGCAGGAAGTGAGTTGCTGCTATAGTTACCAGCAACATGCCGATGTTTGGCTCCGTTTACGGCTGCTCGAATCAATCAAACAGGGAAAAAACCAAGAGCTTTTATCATGTGCCCAAAGTAGTGTTACACAAAGGGAAAAGATAAAAGAAACTGAAAAACGCCGGAAAAACGTTTTTTAAATCTCCGCCTACGGCAGTGGTTCTCAAGTCCAATCCTCGAGCCCCCCCGTCCTGCATGTTTTGGATGTTTCCCTGCTCCAACACACCTGATTCAAATGATCAGCTCGTTATTAAGCCATTACAGAGCTTGATAACGAGATGATCATTTGAATCAGGTGTGTTGGAGCAGAATTTAAGCATATTTCTAAGCGGAGGAAAAGAAACTAACCATGATTCCCTCAGTAGCGAAGAGGGAAGAGCCCAGCGCTGAATCCGGTGTGAGGCTGGTAGCGGCCCCCGTTGTGCCAGGGTTCGGTCTTCTCAGAGTCGGGTTGTTTGGGAATGCAGCCTAAAGCGGGTGGTAAACTCCATCTAAGGCTAAATACCGGCACGCATCTAAACCGGCACATCTCCTCCATTGCAGTTGGTCACTTCCTGCCCTCCATTTGGTCCTCACGCAAAGTCAGGATCACGTGACTGAAAACCTCCTATTGACAAATGTCAGAAATGTTCACCCCAAAAACAAGCAGAGATTCTACAAAAACCTTAGAGACCCCACAGCCTGGCTAGAAGCTTTGCGATTGTTTTTTCCACTGTGGGTGCCACAGATCACCAATCTCATGGTCCGGTTTCAAAGCCGTATTCTACAAAGATAAAGTTATTTTAGAAGGATTTCAAATTTCTTTTACATTTAATTATTTTGCAGTTCACACCTTAAAGAAGAGGCAGCTCATTCGCCTCAACCTTCAATCCTCTTCTGTGCGTCATTGATCTAACTGTGTGCTCTCATGGTCATGTAGAATATTCCTGTACTCAAGCAGCTGTGTCTCAGTGAATTTGATGTTCTCATATCCTCACTCTTAGTGCTTTAGAACTTTTGCTATGTATAATTATAGTTTCTGCTCTCACTGCAGTGTTTTATTAGAAGGAACTGTTGAGCGCTACCTCCGAAATAGAGTGGAGAAAATAGACTGATATGCTAGTTTGATAAGCTGTACTTGGGCAAGAGTGCTCCTTACCTGAGAGATGTTGTTAACCTTTTCAAACCAATGTTATCTTTTGAATTAAGCAAAATGTCTGCAACTGAGTGTACTTGAAGTCTCACCGATGTCAGCGTTGTTTAATATCAGTTGTACTTGTCAGGAGCTGGTTTATTGACTGAATAATGTGCCGCAGTTTTCTTTAAATGTCTACTGTTGACCCGGTGGAGGAGAAAACAACCATTCTGTTCTATGTTGCCATGTATCCCAGCATGCTCTGCACAGCAAAGCAATATCTCTCTTCTTGGAGTGGCTTCCTTTGGTTGAAATACTGTTAGAAAGTGAAGTACCTCTTTTTGCTTTTGTTACAATGCATTATCAAAGACTTGTCTTCTTTAGGGCGTTTCTGAGACTAGGTTTTTGATCCACTCTGAGAAAACAAGCTTCTTGATATGTGTTTCTCTCTACCCAGGAATTGCCGTCTGTAATGTGCCAGCAGCCTCAGTGGAGGAGACAGCCGACACTTCGCTATGTCTGATCCTCAACCTGTACAGGCGAGTCACCTGGATGCACCAGGCACTCAGGGAAGGAACTCGGGCCTCCAGTGTGGAACAGATCAGGGAGGTGGCTGGTGGTGCTGCTCGTATTCGAGGCGAGACGCTGGGCATTATTGGATTAGGTGAGTGATTGATTGAGAGATGCTATTTGTCTCATTTACTTGTCATTGAACACAAATAGTTTTGTGTTCTAGTACTGTGGGAGATGTGTTTATCCCAAGCTTGACAGTCAGCTGTTGGACCTGTTTTGTATTTATGCTTCAACACAGGACAGATAGTGTTTCACTTCCTCAGTGGTTGTATATAACCTTACAATTTTTCTGTGACTTTTAGGGCGTGTAGGACAAGCTGTGGCTCTTCGGGCCAAGGCCTTTGGCTTTGGTGTGATCTTTTATGACCCCTACCTGCCTGATGGCGTGGAGCGCTCGCTGGGCCTGCAGCGAATGGCCACCTTACAGGACCTCCTCATCCACTCTGACTGTGTATCCCTGCACTGCAGCCTCAACGAGCACAACCACCACCTCATTAATGACTTCACCATCAAACAAGTATGTCAACACCAACCGAAAATGCAAAACAGAAATTTTGAAGGTTTTTATACTCCGCGTCAATAATCATGATGAAAATGACTTACCTGAGAGATATGAACTGCCAGTTTGGAAAAGTTTGCTGGTCCTAATGAGACCCCCTTCTTTTGTTATGTTTATTGGAATAATAGATGAAAGCATTTTCCACAGCATCTGTCAGGTGAAGTCAATTATTTGTATGTATAAGAAGTTCAAAATCATGATTCAAACACTTGGCTTACCCTGAAATGAGCACAGTTGTTTAGACGGTTAAGAAAACCCGGCCAGATCCAACTTGTGCCAAGACATGATGGATTGGTATCAAATAAAATCAAACTGTTCCAAATGATCTCAGTTCCTACGCTTGTATTTTGATGTAGAGCGGAAGTTTTTGCAACACTAGCATAGTCTGCTCACTGTCATGCACTCACACTCTCGCTAACTGTGCTTTAAAGATGCGTCAAGGAGCCTTCCTGGTGAACACATCAAGAGGCGGTCTGGTTGATGAGAAAGCACTGGCTCAGGCCCTGAAAGAAGGACGGATACGAGGGGCCGCCCTGGATGTTCATGAGACAGAACCTTTCAGGTAACTACTGTACAAAAGTAACAGAGATGCATGGTACAGCCCTAAGCGGTCTGAGTAACACGTCTTCCCCCTCTCAACAGTTTTTCAAACGGCCCTTTGAAGGATGCTCCCAACCTGATCTGTACTCCTCACACATCCTGGTACAGTGAGCAGGCCTCTGTGGAGGCTCGCGAGGAGGCAGCCAGAGAGGTTCGCCGCGCCATCACCGGTAAGACACTCTCGACTAAAACAGAATAAAAGCAGATGTTTTACCTAAGTGGATTGGAGAGTTGATCTCCCTTATTGATCTGTTCAATCAGATTTTCAACCTGAGGAGGTGACTCTCAGGAATGATGATACCTGTAAAAAAAAAAAAAAAAACATGTTTTGAAATCGGGGGTTGTAAGCTATCAGAAGCAGAATCTCAGAACATACAGGATGACATTTGAGAGCATGCTGTTTTTTTCGAGTATCTATTCTGTGCTGATGTGTGAGGCAAAAGCAACCTCTTGATTATAAATCAATCGCAGTGAGCCATGTTAGCCGTTCAGACTTTCATGTTTTATGCTGCTTTATCCATGTACAGTGGGATACAACATTAACCTCCATTTGGTTCAGATTAGCGTTTAGTTTCTGTTTGTCCTCTTAACAAAAGCTTTAACCTGCTTAGATGTGACCGATTAAAATACTTGATCAATAGAACTGAATGTGGAAAATCAGCATGTAATTTAAAATAAGAACTTGGTCACTTCTCTCCATACATGCCACAGGTGATTATTATCTGAAATCTGTGAAGGCAGCAAAAGACAGTCTTGCATGGTCAGCCAGCTTTAAGTCCACGGGGTCTTGCAATAGGAGAGGCCAGGGTTGTGGGGTGTGGGTGTTTATATACACTGCCGTTTATATACACCAATCGGCGGTGTATCTCATTCTATGACTCCCGGGGAAACACCTGAGAGCTCATGAGATCTCGTCAGGTCTCGTGAGAAATATCGGTAGTCTCGCAAGCGCTTCTCCTCCAATATCAGCAGCAGATCAGATCCGGTGGGCGCTGTATGCTTGCCGGTCCAGAGCGGAGCATAGCTGTTGCGGATCCTGTGGGTTTAGCCAGTCAATGGTCGGCTGTTTTGGCTGCACAGGCGCCATGGGCTCCTTGATTTGCTCGGGGTTTGTAACCTTTCGCATTGCGCGTGCTCTGCGGCGTGGCACTGCTTCAGGTGGTGAAAAAGATTTGAGTTATTCCCTGACTTTGTGAGAACATGTACTCAACATAATTTGCAGTGCACATTACTCTGCTTCATGTCCGACATGTAAAACCAAAATACCTCCACACCACTGACGTTTTCGTGCCAGGGTTGTCGACGATGTCGTCATCTGTTGAGCCTTCATCTGCATTTCTGCCGGAGGTAGCACTCATTTTCTTTTTATCTCACCTACAGTGCTGTCGGCTTCACGTGTTAAAGTGCTGTTATAGTTGCATGTAGCTGCAGCCTGCTACTGCGCAGTTGTTTGCTACTTGGTTCTAATTCAGCATATGATTGGTTCTGCGCGAAGCAGACCCAGAGAAACTCCCCTTTTCATTGGCTATTCGTTTTGTCTACCAAAACATGTCAGAATGCAGACTATTGAAAAGCATATTGACCATGTTTTATATTAATATTGAGGGAAATTAATTTTTGATATTTATCATTTATCACCCAGCCCTATTTGGGCAGTCAATTATTTCACCTTTGTTCATCATTTACTGTTTGTATTTTTTCAATGAACCAACGTCTGCGGTAAAGTATCCTGTGTGTGCACAGTTAAGTGATCCCTTCTATGCTTACATGCTGCATATGTGTAGGGCTGCAACGATTAGTCGACGTAATCGATTACGTCGACACGACAAATTCATCGACACGAAAATTAAAAATTAAGCATTGACGCGTCGTGTTATTGTTGTTAAGAATCACATGCCGGCGCCTCATGCTTATCTATAACTGCAGTGCACTACAGGATGTGCTGGGGACAGTTGCGCTCGCTGTTAACATCCCGCGAGCAAACACAGAAGAAGAGTGCACACATTATGGCAGAACAAACTGAAAAAGACCCTCCAAAACTCCGACCCAAAACTTCAAAAGTTTGGGAACATTTTACGGAGAACAAACCAAAAAAAACACGTTGATCAAAGCTCAGCTTTCCTACCATGGCAGCACCACGGCGATGCATGAGCACCTGAAACGCCGACACCCCGGAAATAGGTGTTTATAAATAAAGAAGATAGTGATTAATCGGACGACTAGTCGATAGATTAGTCGACAAAAAAATAATCATTAGTTGCAGCACTACATATGTGTACATGCGCAGAAGCAGTATAGCACAGATCGTGTTCTGGGTCCTGATTGGGTACAGATCAGGCACTGACAACATAACCCTGCCAATCTGTCTACAGCCTAAAAAATGCACCGTAGTTTAACTTATTCTTTCAAGCCTTATTCCTTCTCAGTTTACCTCATTTCTGTTAAATTGTGATTGAAAGAAGCATAGGACTTCTTCTGAAGGACAATCAGGTGCTTGGCTCAGAGAAATTCAGTCACCTCACAGAGCTGCTGGCGCCTCTTAAAAGCAAAGTAGACAGAGGGGTCAACAAACTTAGTATCGTCAGTTCTTAAATCTGTTAAAAATCTGTGATTCAAATAAGGAAAATCTAAAGAAGTATAGTAAAGGCAGTGAAAAGTGTGTTGCTGAATTGGGACTTGTGTAGAAGTCTTAAAAGTTGTGGAATTTAACTCAAGGATTCCTGCACATACCTTTGAGTCAGCATTGTAATCAGTAATCCCCTTTTTTATTTTCAGGGCGCATCCCTGACAGTCTGAAAAACTGTGTGAATAAGGAGTATCTGATGGCTGCCTCTCAGTGGCCCAGCATGGAGGCTGCAACTGTTCACCCAGAGCTTAATGGAGCCACTTACAGGTGAGCAGGGGGGTAATAAGGATGTAGAGGGACTTGGATCACATGCGCTGAATTACTGGTCTGAACATTAATTGTTGCCACTGGAGCACCAATCATTTTCCCTCTTTTATCGGTTTTGTTTCAGATTTCCTCCAGGTCTGATCAATGTTGCAGCAGCAGGGGGTCTCTCTGGCGCTGCCGCAGGGGTTGAGAGCCTGGTATCGGGCAACCTGGCGCATGGCATCGCCCCTGTCTCCCACCCTCCTCACGCCCCCTCTCCGGTGCAATCTGCTAAGGCCGAAGCTGACAGAGACATCCCCTCCGACCAATAGCCCCCTCCGCCACCGCCAGCACATTCCATCACCATTGGAAACCAACCCCCTCCCCCCTCCAAAACCCAACCTCTCAGCGTCAGACACAACCCAACCCTTTCAGTGCATCGGCAGCACCAGTTTGGCCCGATGTGGATCCACACAGACCTGTTTCTCAGATCACAGAACCAGCCCAGGAGTGACTTGTCCACAGCCAGCCCCCTCCCATCCACACCTCAGAGAACACACACATCCCTCCATCTTTGTCCTCATCTCACCCTCAACCCTCCCACCCCTCCCTCGGTCCTTCACAACCCTACGACGTCAGCAATAACTGTTCTCAAGGATTCAATGATTTGATTGGTTTAAATCCTGAGTTGGCTGTTTTAAAGGAAAGTTGATCTGTTGTGGCTCTAGGTGTTAATGTTTGTGGGAAAAAAGATAGCATTTCTGACACGAGGCTTCATGGTCTGCTGCCCCCTGCAGGCTGAAAGGTTGAAGCCCCCTTTTGTACATTTAATGGCTCATGTTACTGCTCTTCTTCTTCTTCTTCTTCTTTATTTTTTTCTCTTCCGTCTTTCTTGTGAAGGGGTTAAATGTGTACCAGACAGAATCACAAACAGTACATCCTGTCCTCCTAACAGGGTGTCTAGTGACCCTGCTCAGTTTAGTCCTTAGGCTCTCCCTGTTACAGCTCAGCAAGAATCTGTCAGAGTGGAGCTCTCTCAGGCCGTCAAACTATTTCTGTCCAGCTAATACTTCAGAAAGTAATACCCAAGATCTTTTGTAACTTTTTATTGCTACGACAGTCCAGTTTTCACTCAGCTCTGTTTTCACACAAATTCTGCCCTCTTTTTTTTTTTTTTTTTTGTTTGGTCCTGAGATAAAACCTCTGAGTGTCTTATCAGAGGACTCCTAGGCATGAAATGAACTCACACCAGAAACTAGAGTGCTACATGTGTATGGTCTTTTACACATGGTGTCCAAAAGCAGCAGCAGCAGCAAGCAAGATGCGTCTCCAGCAGAGGCCGCTGTCTTACTGCTCAGAGCTGCATGCAGCTCATTTGAGAGGCAGTTGCAGGGTGGCTCGATCACACACTGCCACCATACAGAACACATTATGGATGACCAGGGATCGGCTACCGCCTTATTGTTTAAGATCTTACTGCATCCCACTGCATCCCACTTCTCTGCACCCACCCACCCACCCCCCCACTCCCTTCCCACTGTCATGGATCACCCCACACATCAGCCCATGAACCAGTTTGCATCCACCGCTTTCTTAAAATGTGAGGGGACAGCAGATTTCAGATTCCCTGTAGGAGCGAGGAGACAGTGTTGTTGCATGCTGGCTTTGTTTATGACAGTGGTGTGTGTACGGGTCTGTGTGTGTGTGTGTGTGCGTGCGTGCGTGTGTGTAAGTTTGTATGTCCCCTCACCCTGTTCTAATAACAAGCTGTTGTCTTTCCAAAGGAATAGTCCCTAGGAGTAACTCTTAAAAGCTGTTGCCCTGGTGTCAAGGGAACACCTTTCTAGTACCTCAGTAACAGATATTGAATGTACCATGCATACCCTTTTATTTTTTGTACAGATTTTCTAGATACTTCTTTACTATTCTTTACCAGAAGGGTTGTGAAATTGTAGCAGTAATGATACAATAAAAAACATTGCCCCATAAAATAAATTAATAAAATCTTTTTAGGTCACTGAATACTCAGGCTTCAAAACCAGTGTGTTTCTCTTTTGCCTTTACTGTGGAAAATTCAGCACAATGCTTTCCCATTCTTAGACTTCAGACTCCAGTTAACATGCTATAAACTCCATCATACTGACTAATGAAAAACAAGGAAAAAAAACAAAAGGCGGTCGCCGTGATCTGCTAGTTTTCTTTGACTAGGTTAGTAGTAGTAGTAGATGCTGTTTTGTTTTGTTTGAACCCCTTTTCCATTGTCTGGCTGCTTTATCTATAGTGCATGTGAGGTAAAAAGAAAAAAAAGACTTTTTAGGGGAAATACTATTGGCTAAAAGAATTTGTGTCATCTTGCTGTTTCCCTCTGCCCCCACGACCTATTCCCTCCTCTCAGAGTGTTTTCAACCCGAGTTGCCATTTTCGTCGTGGTCAGTTTCCAGTGATGTACAGTTTTCCCCTCAGAGTCTATGAGAGACATGGAGCATGTCTGTGTCCTGAGATGCTAGGCTCCTCTGTCCTGTGATGAGTATATATTTTTAAAAATAACCCCCATAGTTCGGATTATGAGCATAATAGTAATCTTAAATTTTTGCTGTTGATGATGATGATTACATTTTTTTTCTTCAGTTCAGCAGTGCACTGTTATGAAAACCATTCTGTTTTCTTGTAGGATTTCATTTTTATGGATATGCTGTCTGTGTTCTACATGTTGTACTGAAACATTTCAGAGAAAACAAGAGATCCCTCTCCTGGTGATTTCCTTTTTTTTTCTTTCTTTTTTTTTTTTTTTGTCTTATCCCAACTTTCTTTTCTAGCTGAGATCCTCTGGGCCTTACTTATTCCTCCCCCCTGTAAAAGTAGCTGTTATAGAAAGTCGCCATGGAACCACTCACTGCCTTAATACAGTTGACCACAGCAGGTGAAGTCAGGAGACACACCCAGTCGAAAAGAACGCACCACAATAAAGGCTGCTCCGCAAAAAGCTCCTCACACCCTGCCAGGCCTAAATCTGCAGCACTTTGGTATTTACTTTTCCACAACGAACCACATTTAGCCTTGTATAGACAGTTACTCCATGGCCTAAACAATAAATCTGCTGTGACGTCTTTGCATAAATTACATATTTTTGTTACCTAGTTTTAAAGTCTGCTCGGCAGTGTGTTTGTGCTTGGGCTAACAGATAAGCACAGTGTGTTTGCTCACAAAGCTCCAGCTCATATTCACCCTTGGGTGTGAGAATGCCCTCAACCCATCTAACAGCCACCCACACCCTGGGGCTCTATTAGCAGCTTTCACTGAGCAGCCAGAGTCCCTGAGGAGATGAAGGGTGGGGGGCTTAGCGGACACTGGTGTGGTCTGTCAAATAAAAGCAGAAAATTCAGAATTGGTCACTTTTCTCTTTCTCTCTCTCTCTCTCAGGGTTCAAATGCACACATATCCTCCAGCAGTCGCCCTCTGTCTCATGTCCCTCGTCCTAAGTTTTTTCCGCCCTCCGAATGCAGAACAGCCTCCTGCGTTTTTTGTTTTATTTTATTTTTGTTTTGGTTTTTTTGTCTTTTTTTTTTTTTTAGAAACAGTGCTCCCCTCTTTTCCCCCTCTTATTGTGCACAGGTCTGAACTTTTTTTTCTGTTTTGCTTTCTTTTGGCACTGACATCTAACCACCTAACAAGGAATGAATGAATGTTTGAAAGTGACTGCGTGTGATGTTAAAATTGGGAAATGTATTTTTACAACATGTGAACGTGTTTTTTTTCCACTCACTCTCATTGTGAATTGATTTTTTTTTCTTTCACCAGACTGCAAAAACAAACAAAAAAAAAACAAACAAAAAAAAAACTCCTGTAACTAGGCTCTTAAGCTTTATTTTGTTTTGTTTACTTTTTTATTAGAAACAATCATGTTTGTGATGGTAACTTCTGATGGTAAACTCCACACCGTATTTTAATAAAATCTTAAAAATAAAGCGTTTGCCCTGCTGTTTTTATCACCTGAACAAAGTACATTTTCCCATCTTCCTAATCTGCTTTGTGGACTCAACCTCGGGGTGTATTCTATATTAAATCAAAGTTCTTGATAATAATGGTTGGCAAGATGCTGGCAATGTTGGCTGCCAGTTTCTTTATCCCGCTAATTGCACTTAGCTTCAGAACAATGAGCTGCGTTAACAAAGGTTTTGCAATAAACAAATAGTGTGCAATCACAGTTTGTTAGCTCTTTTATATGGCAAGTAGAGGTTAGGCACAGCTAGAACAGGCTTGGCTTTACGAGGGGGCAGGCAAGGTGGGGGATACGGGAAAAGGGACTTCTCTGTAAAGACCCTCAGGATAGACGAGGGCGGGGATTATCAACCCAAAAATTGCTACCACATGCACATAACCCAGAGCCTGCTCTTAAAGTGGAGCAACTCCACCGAAAGCAGAAGTCCACTCCCTGGAGGCGCATTAACCAGCCTACTGGGCATTGACTACAGACAGGCTCTCAGGTTAGGTTGGCAACATTGAGGATTAGAGATGGATTGTGTTTCATGATCCCAAAATGCTATGATTTATTTTCAAGCTCATAACCTACAATACACACAACTGTTCTTTGCCAGTATTTCATGATGAGCTAATAATAAATCAGGATCAAAACCAGTGCAAACCCAATGGAACCTGATAAATTATCAATTATATTTCCTGTCAAACCCTTGTGCCTACATTACCCATGATGTAGCTTTCACAGCTGGAGATTCTGGTGTGACATCCTTTTGTTGTCTTGAGCCATCAGCTCCATTCTCTCTAATTTCTTCAGCCCACAATAGATGGTGGCTCAAATGACAACAATTAGGTTATTTTGGATTTCACAGAGCAGCTACTAAAGGCTTCAAATTACCTTTCACATGCTGGAGTGTCCCCAAATTTTAAAAGTATGTTGATATTTGACCTACATGATGGTGAAATGTCCCTCAAATCAAGATATTCCTGGTAAGTAGTGTAAACAATTAATTATAGTCATCTTATTCAGTGGCACTGGGAATACATCGAAGTTTCAAGAATTACTGATATTTTCGTTACTTTAGTTTTATAATCCCAGTCATTTGTTGTGTTTGAGCTGCAGCACAGCCACCTGGCTTCTGTCAAAATGCTATAACAGTGCTCTATCAGCTAAATGTAAACCAGCTCAGATGACAGAGGGAATCTTGAGCAGGAATCTTTGGTGCATCTCTATTTAAAATGTTAAGAAAAAGTTTGTAAATAACATACAATAATCCCTTAACATTTATAGATGTTTGATCAACTGTAATCATACGATAGCTAGTACTTTCAATAGTTATAAATAGTTCTTTAAGAGCTACCAAGACAAAGTAATATTTCTGCAATCTGCATTTAACCGACAGCAGCCAGACCCTGCATTTAATTTTACTTTCTATGTCAGGGCAACTTTCCAATAAAAGATTTCAACAACAGACAGCCTTGGTATTACTGCCAAAAAGACGAAAAGCAATCGGACACAGTGTTGTTTCTGATGGCCTTAACTCCTAAATTCAGAATACTAGAAGTGCGGCAAAGCTAACAAGCTAATGAGTACTGAGCTGTAAACCTGGCTCCTATTATGGTTCACATCAAGTCTGTTCTTGGGGTCAGAGCTTGAAACAGTTTAAGAGGTTTCTTCTTACGATGATTTTTTAAATGCCAACAAGTTTGACCAGTTTATCCATCTGTTCAATTTATCCACCTGTTTTTCTGTGTTTCAAGCTTAGTTTCCATAAAGCCTCTGAAAGAATCAGCTTATCCTTGGTAGATGTGGAAATTTGTTGAGACGTCAACATAAAAAGTTTGTAGTACTTAAGTCAAAGAGCGATAATTAGCAAAGACAGTGGAACATTTGTTGACTCGACCCTGGCAGTCAAAAGTGAACCCTACTTTTTCATTATGGTCTATGAACTCTTTACGCTTGTTTGTTACATGTGCCTACGATTGGAGGCCAATATACAAACTCATGTGCCAGCTTGTTCCTATGTTAGTGAGGGACAGGCATATTACATAACAGTGAGGGTACACAAGTGTGTGTAGTTGAAGGGGGCCCAGGATGCAAGTGGTTTTCCAACAGACATTATTCACATACACACTTCAAACACACGCTTGCTTCCTGAGTCCCACTCAAAGTGCATCTTCCACCTCACCTCACCCCGCGCCATACATAACAACTGTCAGCTCCCATGCTGGGCAGCCAGATTTTTTTTATTTGTTTGTTTAGTTCTGAAGGGGGACAGAGGAGGGGTTAAAGCATCACAGATGTCATAGGCTATGGGAAACCCAATAAAATGAGTACTTGTTCCCGTACTGCTGCTTAGTCAGTACCAGTAGTCAGTCTGTTACAGCATTGTCCTAAAAAACTGTATTTGTTATTGTGAGTGAGTAACCAAAAAAAAAGAAAGAAAGAAAAAGGAACAAAGCAACTCAAATTGGGTCAAAAGTCTCCAGCGATGATTTATCTGAGGTGCGGGAATGTTTAACAGTCAAGTTGTGTTTTTTCTTTGACATGGAAAAGAGGAGCGATTTGACAGGAAGAATAACTGCAAAGAGGGAAAGATACTATAGCCTACTTGCATGCTTGTGCATATATGTCTTTTTGATGAATTGGTCCTCTGAGAGATGACTTAAAAAACTTGGAGGGGTTGTGCTGCCAGCCTCCAAAGCTGAGAGGATAAATATTTGCCTTTGGTTGTCTTTGGAACGATTGAATATTATTCCAGCCACTGAATGCCTCAGAAGTTGCATCATCGCCACATTGCACCACCTTTTTTTCCTGTTTAAATATACTGCAGTGTATCTTTTATCAGCCCTTATAACATATTGACATTGAAACAAGATTATTATCATCAAATCAATCCTTATGTTGACATTGAAATGTTCTTGAATTAACACTCACATCAAGGTTTACACTGTCAAACCAACTGTATAATGAGATCAACAAGGCAACAAGGCTTATTGTAATTCAACAAATTCACACAGTGTCTGTATGTCCCTATGCTCGGTTGAAATCTTATATTAATGTTATACAGCTATTCTTTAGTTTGTAAGTCAAAAAGATTAGTGGTTTACAAACATCATCAGCATCTGAACTTAGAGAAATAAATCATCAGCACCAAAACATTGGCAATAACATAACATTTATCTTCATTAAACCTTTTCATCACCATCATTAATGCTAATGTCATTAACATCATCTCTGGCACCAAACTACCAAGTATGGAGTTGTTCACAAAGAGCTGGTTAAAAAACTTTCTCTAAAGTGGAGTAGGCCTGTGTGGACTGAATGTAGTGGGGTAACTCATTCCACCTCTGGGGACTAGAGGACAAGAGTCTGGCTTAAGTGCGTAGGTGTTCTCTGGTGCTGGGCCTTGAGCTTTTTCTTAAAGGTAGGAAGGGACTGCAGTTCCAAAAGAGTTGGGTAATTCATCCTACCTCCAGGGACAACAAAGAAGAGGAGTCTGGCTACTGACTGTAGAATGGAAGAACCAAGCACCTTTCACTGGCACAGCATAGTAGGTGGGATGGTGCATGGATGATATAAACCTGGATGTGGGATTGCAGGTAGGGGCGGGTTTTGTAACAGTTCTGTGGGCAGGATGCAAAGTTTTGATCATGGCGGAAACTGGAAACTATTGAAGAGACATGAAGAGTGGAGTGACGTGCAGTTTCGCATTGGTTGGATTATCTGTGAAGATTTGAATCTGAATGCAGGGAGGCCAGTCAGTAAGGAGTTGCAGTTGTCAATACGTGATTTTACAGGAGCCTATATGCTGCATGCTCTGTCAGATAGGGTCTGGTGAATCTCTGGTTGTATCAAGGGACTTAATGGGATAACAAAGAGCTCAGATTTTGCCCAGCAAGCTGCAGGTGGTCCTCATCCATTTGTATCAAGAAGGCGCAATAAGATCTGAGCCGAGACAGTTTCATCTTCAGATGGGAATGACAGGAAGAGCTGGGCATCATCTGAATAGCAATGACATCAGAGACTAAGGAAGGGTGTAAATTGCACCAAATTAGGTGGTGTTTATTGGGGATAAGCTCTCCTTAGACAGCTAATGGTCTGATCATAAACCATGAAGTGGCAGAAGGCTACAACTATTTTGTAATGTTACAGGAAAGTTTCAATCCCAAGTTAGCGTAATATGTAACTTGGGAACAAATGTCTTTTTAACACACTTCATTATCAAGAGGCGTCAAAAAGACGGTGAGACTTACAATCGGCAATTACAGTAGCACAAAACTTTGCTGTACTGTGTCAGAGAAAAATTTCTCTCATGTCAATGTGGCAAATTTGGCTAAACACATTTTTCAGAGCTTTTATATCTCAACAGTTGCGTCATTCTTGCCATCCTTTTGCTTTTCACATCTTCCCAAGTTAAGGTGAAAATTTTTATTTGATCAAAACGCAAATATCCGCAATACTAGTAAAGTTCCCTTTGGATTAATCTGCATTTTAGCTCCCAGCCTTCCCTAGGTGCTAGCACAGTGGTGGAAAAATAGTGTTTAAGATTCTTGCCGCCATTAGTAAACAGAAAACAGCTTTGAGCTGAGTCACAAAGGGCGATCACAGGCGTCAGAAGGTTTTTGGGAGACAGACTCACAAGTCATTAGTTTTGATCTTTTCATCAGATTTTTTTTAACCATGACAAAAATATTTATAGACCAGCCTTATTCTTTGAAATATGAATAGTTGCTCAAACAACTCCATGCTATCAAGCAGTCTGTATTTATGCTTCTGCTTTGTTCTTTCCTATTATTGCATCACAATACAGAGTCAATGTAGTCCATCTGCTCCTGATGCTGCTCTGTCCTCAAGCCTGTGTGTGTGTGTGTGTCTTAGGGGTCTGCAGGGTTTTTTTTTGGTGATGCAGCAGAGACACTGGGGCTCTTGTGGCTGAAGCCCAACACTGAGTGATTAGCTCATAGTTTTCCTCTCATTGCTTCACTCACTTGGCTCGTGTAACATTGTCTCGTGCACATGATTGACAGGAAGAAAACTTAGAACTATCTTGAAGATTGGCGTCAGACAGACAGACAACCTGGGGACATTATACTGCTGTGCTCGGCATCTCATTGTCCACTGTTGTGTGTCCGTGTATGTGCGTTTACACTAAAGAGTGTGGTTAAGTGATCTAAAAGGAGTGATCAAAATAATAAATTGCTGTTTTGCTCTAAGAGTGGATTCGCCTGTGCCAGTGTGAGCCCATACTCCCAATGTTTTTGTGGGCAAAGTGTGCGTGCTCACACAACAACACACACCTGTGTTTTTGACAATGTGTCGATGACGTTTCGCACTAACATGAGTCAATGTGGATGCTGAGCTCACCGTCATTAATCAGCAGCGGCAGTAGGGGAAGTCTGGGTCTTTCCCGTAACCTACTTTTAACTGCAAAGAATAGATAGATAGATAGATAGATAGATAGATAGATAGATAGATAGATAGATAGATAGATAGATAGATAGATAGATAGATAGATAGATAGATAGATAGATAGATAGATAGATAGATAGATAGATAGATAGATAGATAGATGAGAGGAGTGACAGACTACATTCTGTCAAAAAAGAGGAATACGATGAGGCACATTGGAGGAAAACAGTGTGGGAAAGATGTGTGTAGTTGACTTAATTGTTTATGACCACAAGACACAAACCTCAAATTGTTACCTGATACACATGTAACCCCACTCCCCCTCTCTCCTCTTCTTCCTCTGTCTGCCCCTCTCCGTCTCCCCTCATTCCTGGAAGGCAGACGGACAAGCCAAACAGTGACGTGGCCAAGCTGCTTTTACGGGTCTGCAGTTGTCTAATAGCGGAGATGTCTTCAGGGTCTGGCTGCTGTCAGCCATATTGAGGTGACAGTGCAGATCTAAGGACTAAAACTGTGACTAAACCACCTCATATCACTGCCATGCCCTCTGAGTGTGTGAGACGATTGATAATATACAGACTTGAAGCATAGGTGCGTCAAATGGAAAACTAGGAGGGCAACATACGTCTCCACATACGTACATACATCTTCTGCTATCTGAAATAAACACTTACTCACAGAGGTACACACAGCCTGGTGGAGTCTGGGCTTTGACATGTTGATAAGTGAGTGGTGGCCGGTAAAAAGAAACCTCCCTGGTTGTCCATGTGTGTGCCAGCTGTGGGAAATTGTGACCACACATCTTTGACACACACACACACACACACACACACATATATTTATATAAATGCACACACACTCAAACACAGGCATGAACACACTCTGACCCGAATACAAAAGGGGGACTTTGGCTGAGATCACACAGCTGGAACTGACACAAGACAGAAGAACGATTTGATAGGGAGAAAAATTGCAGCCATTGAAAACTCTTTGATTCTCCGCAAAGTCCAATCAGTAAATTAAGAGCAGAATAAAAAAAATGGTCCAGACTTCTGTGTCTGTGCTCCAGGTTGCATGTCTGTGCATAAGCCTGTCTATTTCCCTGCCATTATTCAGCAACCCGCGCCTCTGAAGCCTGATAGTGTGTATTGAAAAACATGGGTAAGAAAATACACAATGCTGAGTGGTTACCAGAGGCCAATGTGGTGTTGATTACCTCGTCAGCAATGAAGCTGCTGAGCTCATACAGCCACTAAAAGAGAGAGAAAGAAAGAGAGGAGAGAGGAGTCTGTTAACTGCCTTTCCATACAAGGAGAGGTAGGGGGAGGAAAGGGAGAGGAGGGAGGAGAAAGCGAGAGGCAGCAAGAGAAAGTGAGAGAGAGAGAGAGAGAGAAAGGAGGGTAATATGAGGAGAGACAATGAGGGATAGAAGAGGAGGAGAGAGACTCAGAAAGAGAGATAAAGACAGGATAGAAGGATAGAGCTGACAGCAGACAGCAAGTGAGCGTAGAGAGGAAGAAGAGGAGGTGAGTGAGCGGAGCTGAGGTCCCAACGGTGTGATCCTGCTGCAGCTTCTCTCTGTCACTGACTGACTCAACACAGGTAGGACGCTCGCTGAGCCTCCATTCATTCTCAGTAGCAGAGGGAAAATTGAGCAGGTTTGGATGATTGTGTTGGCCAGAGACGATCCAGTGAGATTGGACAGGTGTTGGTGTGAATGCATATGTCTGTATAATGATCAGATTCTTCAGTAAAAGTAATCATATCACTCTCTTTGTCAGGTCAAAGTCAAAGACATAAAAGTATTGCTATCAAATTTTATATAGGGCACGTAAAGATTTGTATTTTATCAGATGTTTTTTTATACTAATACTTTCAGTTTCTATCATCAGCATCAAAATCAGACTTTTGGTATTGAAAGGGGGAGACATTTTTAACTGTGTATGTTTATGATGGGTTTAATCAATGACAGTGCAGAAATGTAGTATGCTTAGCTGCAAAGAAACCTATTTCAACAGTATTGTGAAATACGCAATTCCCACAAAAAGTAGCATCAAATAAAAATTAACACACAACTGCAGCTTGAAAAATGTTAACGTGTTCTTTTTTGTCTCAGGTAAAGATAAAAAGTTAAATGTATACAAATGCTTACCTCTTTTATCTTTGTACAAGTGTTTCTGCTGAAATATGACTCCAGTTGAGTTCTTTAGACAAACTTAAACCTGCATGTCCTCACTTTTCCCCTGTTTGAGCTGCTTCCTCCACTGACCTCTTGTCTGCAAGAGACAGTCAAGTATCAGACCTCCTTTTGTGATGCTAGCCGAGTCAATTATAACATATATCAGTCTGCATTTCTGTGAACATGCCCAATGTTTGCGCCGGTAGGCACTCATCCCTCATGAAGTGCAATGAAAAATCATTGGAAACACAGTGCAGACTGGTGTTTCCCAGCCCCATGCACAAAACAAAACATTTCTGAGAAAACAGCCAATTATCTCCCTGCATTTGCCTTGTTAAAAACGAGCAAACCTCCCACTGCGTACACGAATCTGTGCTTGTGCTGACATACCTGCGTGCCTATGTATAAGAGCTGAGCTGGATGTGTGTATTATCTCTGCATGAGCCGCCTGTAATTACACGGTAAAGGTGCCCATGGGGCGTCAGCCGCTACATTTGGCTCTGTGCCACATCCCCTGCTTTTATTGTGTCTTGTGCCTGACAGAAAAAAACTGCTGTGTGTGTCTGTTTATGTTGACTGATATGTTGACTGTCTGGTTTGTGAGCACATGCTACAAGTGTGTAAGAGTGTAAACTTAATGTCTGCAGAAAATAGGTGTCATGCACTATTATTATTAAGTGTGTGTGTATGTGTCTTCAGAACACACATCAGCTGGTGGTAAGGCTGTATGTGTGTGTTGACCGATACAGTGCAGTGTGTCAGTGTGGGAATCCAAGAAATGTCTCTTTAGTGTGTTACAGTGTTAGTGTGACAAGTTCAGAGGGAAGACTGGAGGATCTACTGAACCACAGACAGTGTTTCATTGTTTATCAGATTAATGCTTTTTATAGCAAATAGATCTTATCTATGTAACTTTAAGTATATATATATAAAAAAATCATAAAATAGAATAAAGGATGTTTTCATGTGTAAATGTAGCCGGTCTTGTCTGGAATGTGTTCAAAACAGGTAAATCTTTGCAGCAGCCTGTGAAAGAGCTGACCTCATTTTCTCCACAAAACATGGTGGACAGAGTAGACAGGATAAGTTCACGTACTGATGTTAAAAAAAAAAACCTTCAGCTCTAGGCGGTGAACTTCCACTAACCCTGAGACGCACATAGACCTCAAAAGCATCAAAAAATATTTTATTAGACTGGAGATTATAATTTCTTTCTTGCCATTTTCCAAAAAGACGGTTCCTTTTTGGAACTAGATGCACATTAAAGCCTCTCCACCTGGAACTTTATCTGCCTCCTGCAGAGCAGCAAGGTTGTAGCCAATGAGATGATCGGATGGCTGAGCAGTGAGATCAAAGCTGGGCCCTGTGTGTCTCCATACTAGAGGTATTTTTATGGCTGGCTGTTAAACTGTGCAGTGGTTAATATACATTTAATGGAGACAGAGAATTGATAAAACATTCAGTGACATACAAAGGCTGTGACCAGAAAAGTGTCAGAGTTGGACTTTTGCAGCTATATTGGCAGAGAAATACTATCTGACCTCTGGAAATAGACTTCAGGGACAATGAGCAGCAGGACATGAGTGTTATTATGAGTGGTGTGTGTGTGTGTGTGTGTGTGTGTGTGTGTGTGTGCGCGCTGGTACACTTGCCCAAATTTAACCGTCTGCATTCTGCAGCTGCTTGGAGGTTTAGTTATAGTGTAGTAGCCGCAAGAATCACCACACACAAGGCCGCAGCCATGAAACAATGTTCTCCCTTTTTTGTGTTACACACAAACCCAGAAAAACCCATCTGTCATTGGGTCATAAACTGTCAACTTAAAGTGAAAACATCTGCAAATAAAATAGCAAACGGGTGAAATAAAAATCACCTTTTTTGGACTGTTCTTTTTCACCTTGAAGGATTTTTTGACAGTGTCCTCAAAACTGCAGACTTCAAACAAAGGCAAATCATTTGGGGTTATAAAATCTTTGTGTGATCCTCCGAGGAGAGCATGGAACAGTTTCATCCCACAGTCAAGTGTTTCTTTTGGCATTTCTCAGGAATAATTTAAAGCTGATATTTTAAAAACAGCCCTGCAAACCAAGACGTGTGCGTACACAGACTCTCATACAGAATATGGCAGAGCAGTTTGTCTCTGTGTCGTTGACTTACTTAAATTCTTCAAAAGCAGAGACAGTTTGAGAATATAGGTTTGATTTACATTCAGCTCTTGGAGTATTGTAAAAACTCTGCTATACACACTTACACACAGTAAGATGTGAGGCTGATATTTGTGTAGAGCAGTCCCCTTGCACGTGCCCTCCTCCCCTCTACGTCTCTCTACATAGAATAAATCTGACTCAGCAGCCGGCGGTCAGTGGATGGTCAGTCAGTGAGGTCAGTAGAGCAGCGAAGCAGACGGGATTTGCTTCTATCCTCGGAGATGTCACCCCTTGTTGTTTTATTTTAGGCCAGCTTCTGTGGCAGACATTACTGGGACGGTGATGAATGTTTTGCAGTGTAGCCATAAACTGGCAGAGGACCAACACACTCTCGGCTCGGCTCAGGGGAATCTGAGTATTGTTTTTAAGGCTTCAGGGTCAGTGAGTTCAATATGCTTTGTTCTGAGATAAAAGGGAAAAAAAAACAGAATTATTCAGGCTTGGTTTCCAGTACGCGTTCTATATCTTTTCATTTGCTTGCTGATGGACAAAGATTACATACCAAAGAACTTCAGAGGGACTTCTACTTAAAATTGGGCCAATCATGTGACGACATTCAAGACAATTCAAGATTAGGAACAGCAATTCTTTACAATCAACATTACTGGTGTCTGCGCTGACAAGCCAGCCGTTTGCAAACCTGATTCATGTCTGTTAATAATGACGAAAACTCGAACGATCATTTGTCATCGCTGCATTTCTTTCAGATGATGACATCAGAGCTCCTGACCTGTGGTTGGCTGCAGCAGCTACTCGTTGTGCTCCTAAAGCTTTGCCTCACTTTTGCTGGGCCTCTGCGACCGCTTAATGGGACAGAATGCACTGCCAAGGGTCCAGCCTCCTACATCCTGGTCTTCACGGGTCACTGGAGCCCACAGTCCTTCCCAAAGCAGTATCCGCTGTTCCGGCCCCCTGCGCAGTGGTCCAAACTCATAGGTAAGAAAAATTTCTGCCGACCAAGAAATTCATCAGAAACAGATATTTTGTGGGAATTTTGTTTTGTATTAGTGATTAGTTCAGGTCCCTTGGTTTCTGGTGATGGTTACCACATAGATGAAGTAACTCTGGCTCCACTCCCTGAACTCATCTGATACACTTGCCTCTGTCCAACTTCTCTCAATTTTCAGCCAAGACGTTCTTTTTAGTGTTTCGCATTGTTTACAGTCCAATCAACAGCTCGAGAGATGACAGTGTGCTTGGAAAGAGAAGCTAAAAATTCCCCTCCAAATATCTCTAAAGTAAACTCCATAATTTCTTGGTTTCTGCCATCCACCAATGGAGGTCCTGTTCAGCTTCTGGGAGGTCTTAGTATGAACCAAAATAGAAACCAAATTTCTTGTGGTTAACTTTAAGTAAACAGTCTTAAGTTGGTCAAAATAGGTGATGCAGATTTGTAAAAAAAAAAAAAAAGAAAAAAGAAAAAACAAGCTCCATCAGTTTTGTCCTCGTGAAGAGAAATAATCAAATCTTTATTTCTAGATGGAGGTTGGGTGGACCATTACGATCAGTCCCGGAGGCTAGGAAATCCAAACCGTAACTGATCTTCATGAAACAGCATCAAACAGATTTTTGGCTCAATTTAAAACTCAGATCAATTGCTTGTAGTTGGCTGCACTTGCACACTGACATCTGTCTCAAGATTACTGTCAGTGAGAGTAATAATGTCCCAACAAGCTACTTGCTTTTGCTTTCCTTACAGACTGTAGTTTCTGCATGTATCAAAACTAACCAGAGCTGAAAACCGATTGCTTGATATTTCGCGGACCACAAACAAACTCTAGCATAACAATTCAGAACTCAGATTTCTGTATTTCTGTACTCTTTTTTGTAGAATCTGCAGGTAGATACTGTACTGGCTCAGACTGATTTCTTACAGTCCACCAGAAGTTGAGATCCTCATCATTAGCATAGATACATACAGGGTCTACCAATGTTGATGAGCAAAAGAGCAAGAAGCATAGATGGGATGGCACTCTTTTTGTTGTCCAACCTCTGACCAGTCATATCTTCAATATTTCCCTCTTTCTTCAACCTGATCGTACACTCCTTCCCACATTTCCGCTGGTTTACCACATTGCTGGCAGTAAACACCGGAGTAAAAGCTGGCAGGCCTTACGAAGGTGGGTGATGAAAGTTGGGGTGTCTTGGGGTCAGGCCACTTACTTCAGAGCCAGGAGGAGGACAAGAGGAAGAGGAGATTCAGGCTCCTCTTTTCTGTTTTTTTTTCCAAGCCATGGAGCATGGGATGGAAGGCAGATGTTCGTAAGTGTGTGTGTGTGTGTGTGTGTGTGTGTGTGTGTGTGTGTGTGTGTGTGTGTGTGTGTTATGTTTAACTGCTCTTGTGCATCTTGTGCATCACTGTCTGTGGCTTTGTCTGGTTTCCAGCTATCCCACTGGTGCCCTACTGCCCAGCCCGAGGGTGATGGCCTACTTACTCCTTATAGAGACAGCCTCTGGGGATTCTGACACACCCATGATGGCTTTAAATGTCCCGGGGCACCATTGGACAGGAGGTGGTAGGGGCAAGGACTGGGTTTTGTCACAGGAGAAGAAAAACACAAGGGGTTTCAAAGGGCTGATGTTGGAACTGAAGTTTGTCACAGCACAAAGAAAAACACAACCTGTCAAGGGGTTTGGGGGCCTATGGTGGTGTTGTGCCTCTTAAGAGTGGAATCCAGGGGGCAAAGGGGGTCGAGGACACAACCATATGGAAAAGGGAATGGAGATTGTCACATCCAGAGGAAAAACATGAGCAATTCAAAAAGGGCGGGAAGTGGGCTTTGACATCTTGGTGGGGCTTAAATGTGAGGCGTTATCAAGTTTCAAGGTCTTGACGCTCGTTGAGAAGATGTAAGGATGGAAATGCAATTAAGTGTAAAAGTCATGGCAGTTTTGGGAAGAAACAAGATAGTGTGTGAAGTGTGCTGGACGGGTTGTGTGCGTATCTCAGCACAGTGTGTGTGTTAATGCGTGTGTCAAGAGTGTTTAGGCAGAAGAGCAATGCTCTCTTTCTGTGTGTGTGTGTGTGTGTGTGTGTGTGTGTGTGTGTGTGTGTGTGTGTGTACAGCTCTGAAAAGTGAGGTAAGGCAGAACCATCAGGGTATTTGACAGCATGTTTTTGGCTAACCTTACTCTGCCCTCATAACCACTGGCCCAGGCAAGTGGGTCTGTGGGTTTCCCTATGTGCTCATGAACCTGCGGTACAAACAGTCTGACCTGGATCAAGTCTCTTGATTCTCAGCAGATATTACAGATAAACAGGACTCAGTACAACAAATGGAAAGGAATGGTCGTCTTGGCTCTGGATTGTATAAAAAAAACAAATAAGAGTCTTGAAGTTTGTTTAAAAATGCTCGTCCACCATTTGGTTGCTGACCACGAGATTCTGACCAGTATATCCTGGCAAGTCCAGTCCATGCTGGCGTGTGATCCTATCAGTGATGGATGGAGAAAGATCTAACTATAGCTGCATGCTAATGCCAGACACATACATGTGGGCAATTTCTTCACCATTATCTGTTTAATTACAGGAAGTAGGAGGCAGTTGTAGAAATACATACAGGCTCCATGGTGGAAATGATCTCACCGTCTGGCTGAGGCTCTGTGGTACCTCATTGACATTGATATGCATTCCAGCAAATAAGAATCTAACTCCTGTCTTCTCCTCTTTCTTGTGTTGCTTTTCTCCCATTAGCGGTTGGCCACAATCAACATTTTCGGCTGTGGGAGGAGGGTGATCCAGCCAGTGTAGGGGTACAGAACTTCTCTGAACTTGGGGTGACGGTGGAGCTGATGAAGGCAGCCAAAGAGGCCAGGAAGAGACGTGCGGTTGGGGCCATGTACAGGACTGCCGGCATCCCTAATGGCATTGGGCACAGCTCCACAGAGTTGGTCATTCAGCCACGAAACTCACTGGTACGCACACATAAAGCTCTAGTAGAAGCAATAGTCATTCACAAAACTAAGCACATGCTCAGACACAGTAAGTCACACATGCTGCCTCTGGAAGAATAAATCTCCTCAAGTCATCTGGTGACCTGGGCCTCTACATAATGTTGTCCTTCCGTGCACTTCACCACTTTTTCCACTATCCAATCAAACTATGTTTAGCTCAAGGGCAGCAGCCCTGCAGCCACAAACACCCACATCCATCCTGCGCGGTCTGCTCTTTGTCTGCTGCCTGGCCCAAAAACTCTGAGACAAGGATGAAGTTCGGTGTAAGGAGTTATTTCTTATTTGTGTAATCGCTCTAAAACCTGCCATATCACGGCTGAGCCATAAGTTCACTGGTCCATTTCTTTGCAATACCCAATTCCTGAATTCATTGTCCTCCATTCACGATTTCTCCACAAATTTAACGGTAGATGATCTGAAATACTCTCCGCCTAAACCCTGACTTAAAAGGAATTCTTCAAGCTTGACCAGTCCAACAAAGAGTTAAACAAGTTTTTTGCCCAGTTCATTCAAATATCAAGTTTAAGTCAGTCTGTTGAGTATCATCCTTGACCAGAGATCCTTAACAGTGTTGCTAGGCATAAAAAAGTCATGTTCAACAGCTAGAAAAAATAACAAATTTCTGATGCATTTTTTGCTATCCACCACTCTTCTCTAGCAAAGCAAGCCATTCTCTGACAACTCTCTTGGTTAGGCTAATTTTGTTCCCCCTGAGCAATCTGACCAAACGTTATCCCTGTTTCTGGTCTTTCTGCTAAGTTAACTGGCTGCCAACACAAACTTTTTCATGTTTCTTACGATCTGTTAAAGGTATCCGTTATTTCCTGTAACTTACAAAGTTAGGGAGAAGTATATTGTGCAAAAAGTCAGACTGTTCCTTAGAGAGCAAATGTAAACAGAATATATGTTCATTTATGCTATTCTAATATCTGTTTCACACAAAGCAAGATTATATTTTCCATATTGTCACCCCCTTTGCTATCCTCCAATTTTGACTCAGAGACAACGATATCAGGGTTACACAAGAGGGAAAATTAGAGTTTCTTTGAGCTTTTGAAATGTTGGAAATATTTATTGTCTCAAACAAATTAAGGGACAATTGTAATCCTCACTTGACAACATTGCAAGAACTTCTATTAAACACTAAGTGAGTTTGAAAGCAAGGGTCATGGCTTGGTGACTAAATTTGGGTCTGGGACTCAAACAAAAGTAGTGGATTTGAAGGAGGAGTCAGCTACAGCACTGGAAAAAATGTGACGTACTATTCACTGAGTTATAACTAGAACCTAAGTCTTCTTTTATGTGCAAAGCGTATGCAGCGGATGAATGATAGAGAGAGAGGGGTGAAGAGGAAGGGTGGACTTTTGCTGGAGTTTTTAGACATAGGTGTGTGCCTGTCTGAATGTCTGGTGACCTACATTTGTTTATTGGTTATTCCACTGCCTGAACTTGAGGGCTCACTAAAATCATAAACAACCCTGTCAGGGGGCATCTTTGGTAAGTACTGGTCATGGACAGCAGCTTAACAGCTTTTCCTCTAGGTACGTGATGTCTGTGGCTGCTTTAAACAGGTCCGCCTGTTTTTAGATCCACGCACAAAACAAAAAAAGAACCCTGGAATGACGATCGTGCTTGTGTTGAACGTGACAATGTCATTCTGAGTGATCTGAGTCTGCTGACAGCCTAATCTGCTGCCCTTATTTTCTAACTGTCTGTCGCTCTCCAACGCATATCTAAGTATGAATCCCACACATATTTCTTGTCCCCTCAAACCAAAACAACCAGACTCAGTGCCCCAGAAATCTGAAGCACATATGATTTTTATCTCGATATTCATAAGCCTCTGTCTTGGGCTGCTCTACGCCTGATTAAAAACAGACTGATAATACAAGAAAAAAAATACAATTTGAGATTCAACTGGTATTGTTTTATGATCCAGACAGCGTCACCACAGAAAATAGGGCAACAAGTTCTTAGTATTAAGGTGCATGAGCTCCCAGTCTGAGCTACATGTTTTGTGGGTCGACTTGTTCTCTTTCAGGCTCAATGAAAGATTTGCTGCAATGGTGGAAAAGTGAGAGAGATCATGGGAGCTTTGAGAGACTGTCTGTGGTCTGGAGATCCTTACTGGCCTGCAGATTGCAAACCACCATCAGACCAGTGATGAGGGATACCCCTGAGTAGACAACCATGCTGAGTGGCTGAATGGATTTAGCAGGATGAGGCTTCTTGGAAAAACATTGTTTGAGAGAAGGCTGTTAAGGACAAGAGGAAGAGAGAAAGAGGGGAAGGAAGGAAGGAAGGAAGGAGGAAGGGATCATAGGAGGATTCTGAAAGCAAGAGAGCTGCCCCTGATTTGTTTTCTGCTTCTTTGCTGTGCGTCAAAGGCAAGAAACAGACTCCATGTGTCATAATGACACTACCTGCTCCCTGTCCCGAGTGACCTGCTCTGGTTTGATGTCTGTTCCAGCTCTTCCATCATGCACCACTCTGTCTCAACCCCAGGCCACCCTTTCCTTGCCATCTAAAGCTCTCCAAAGCCCACCCACTCAAACCAAAGCCTCAGCTGCTCAGCCCAGCTCCTAAATTATCAGGATCGTAAGGAGGAGGCGTTTCCAAATGTGCTGTTTTCTGGGCGTCTGCCACCTCTGCATGTGCTGACCCCCAGGCCACTTCCTGCATGAGGTCACCAGCTCTCAGGAAACATCCATCACTTTGGAGACACAGTCAAACGGTTCACAGGAAACTGAGTGGGTGCATGAGCATGCAGACAAGCAGCCCCCAGTCCCTGGGAACATAATTCTGATTTAAGTGAATTAAGATCAGCGGGGTACCTTGTATCCTAGCTGGTATACAGCATTAAATAACCAGAACTATACCATGACTTGACTACAGCATATATAAGACTGTCATCTTGGGTCACAGAGTATATTTCTCTTTGGCCAATGACAAAAGACCAAGACTGAGCCTAAAGCTCTTGAAGCTGCTCCTTTAGAAAGCAGAACAGTGCTTTGAGCTCATGACTAATAACAGCATATTAATATGCTCATAATGTCAAAGCTAACATGCTGATGTTTACTGTTCTCATTTTAGGAAAGAATGAAAGCACGGAAACATTGGAGAGAGAAAAAAAACATCAGAAGGGTCCACTTTCTTTTCTATTGGACAAAAACTGATTTTATACAATAGTAGAGGTGGATGAAGACATTTAAGAGACTATAGGGAATCACTAAATTTACACCAATTCATATACCACATTATATTTCATCAATCAATCAATCATTTAATCAATCAAACTTCGTTTATAAAGCACTTTTCCTACAAGGAATGTGACTCAAAGTGCTTTACAGTCAAGTTAAAAACAAAAACTATCCCAACAACAAGGCCAGTGGAGGGATGTGGCAGACACCGACCTCCACCAGGAACCCTGTGGCTGGCCCCTGCAACCACAAGCGACCACCGCTCCCAGTGCCGAGGGATCCCTCAGAGGAAACACTGGGGGTCCTAAAAATGATAAAAGGATAAAAACAAGTAAAAACTAAAATATGAATAAAACACAGACCTAAAAAAACCTAGGCTAGCCAGAATAAATGAAAATAAAAAAAATATTAATGGCATATATTCTCTTAATATATGAATATAAATATAATAAAATATTCATGGCAATCCACACATTAATCCATGAGATATTTCAGTCTGGAAAAGGACCAAAACTAGCATTGCAACAATGACACCCTTCATCATCTTATCAAACTTCCCCTCTGGGACTAATAAAGTTCCACCCACTTATCTTTGTCTTTTAAGTACTTTAATGGCCTTCTCTTCAATTTGTTTGGGCTATATTGGAATTCATGGGCCATCACTTCCATATATTTTGAGAGGACTTGTGTATTTCAATCCTCTAATAGTCTTTTTGTTTCTTCCTTCTCTCGCTAAGTGTTTTCTCTCTTTTCCTCTCTTTTTCTTTAATGACAGTTGTCCGTAATGGTGAAAATGATCCCCAGCCCTGATTGGTTTGTTGGTGTGGACAGTTTAAACCTTTGTGAGGGTAACCAGTGGAAAAAGGAAGTGACTGTTGACCTCCACCCTTATGACGCAGGGACTGACAGTGGATTCACTTTCTCTTCTCCAAACTTCCCAACTAGCCCACAAGAAAATATCACAAAGGTGAGCCCTGGAAAGTGTGTCATATTATAACATGGATTGTATTGTATCCAAATATATGTTTCTTTATGTTTTTGTATTGTCTCACAAGTGCATCAAATACCATCTCTTCTTGAGCTCACCTTTGATAAAGGTGTGTGTACATTTGCTGCAAAGACAAAGCAAGGTGAACGGCCCTAAAATAGGTTAACAGCACGGGAACGAGACATTATTCTTAGCTGTCTTCCCTGAAATGATTGCTTGGCAGCCCTTATGCTTAACCTGGAGTGAATTGAGTAAAAAGGGCCTCTCTTACATAATGGTCTGCCAATCCATTCCCAACATGTGTTTTCAAGTGAGCTATTGTGTTTCTGAACTTTTGCTAAGAATCTATCTGGCTATGCTGATGAATTATGCCCAACTGTTTTTTTTTGTGTTTTTTTTTCAGATCACATCTCAGATGCCGAACCATCCAGCCAACTCATTCTACTATCCACGTTTAAAGGAGCTTCCACCTATAGCCAGCATAAGGATCTCTCAACAGAGCAGATCATCGAACCGTCAAACAGCGATGTCAAATCATATTCTGCCTAACTCTATTAGTCCACATCGCTTCTCAGGTAAGATCATAGTCTCACCCATGAAAGTGTGGATAAAGCCTACAAATGCTGTAAACACAGGCTAACAGAATCAAGTCTTGTTTAGGCAGAGACTTCAACTCATATTTGTTTGTTTTTCTTTGCTCACATAAACTGTTTTCTTCTCACATTTCTTAACCGACATTCAGCGACTCCCCTGGACTGTGAAGTGTCCCTCTGGTCACCCTGGGGTTTGTGTTTGGGTCCCTGCTCCAGAGGTGGTGTGCGCCACCGCACACGATACATCCTCCTGCGGCCGGCTAATGCTGGTGTGCCTTGCCCTGAGCTTGAGGAGCAGACTGAATGTGTGCCACATAGCTGTATGAAACTCCAGTAACCTGCAGGACACACAAGCAGATGCTGCCAGTATTCAACACTGGGACTGTAATGTTGTTACTGCTGGACTAAGAAACATTGCTGCAGCTTGAGTCCTTGAAAATTCAATGGACTGTGTGTTTGTTGCACTCAAATTGAGGACATTGAAGACTTTTTGAATACTAGCTCTATGTGGCCATCAAGTAATACAAAGTGCACTCATTTAGGGTTTATGATATACAGAGTTTTTATTCAAGGTCCAAGAATTTTGATCCTTCAGATTCAGCCTGGACTGCAGGATCGGGTTTAGTCGGCCTTTAAAAATTAACATGTACCTTTTTTTTCAGAGCAATAGTCTTTAAAATAAAATCCAATATACAGTATAATGCCTGTCTTTAGCAGTTACTTTTCAAAGCAGAGAAATATTGATATCAAGCAAAATTTACATTTTTATACTGAATATAACAGAAGTGCAATGCTAGTGGAGATTGAAACATTAGTGAAAGCTACCTGGCTGTCAGCATTAAATGTTAAACCATGTTTTGATGTTGATTTTGTGTCAGGGAAGGTCATTTTTTTAAAAAAAGGAAAGAAAAAGCAGTATTATGATTAAGACACATTCGTACAGCATTTTCCAGAAGGGCCTGAGCCAAACTGCTGCCAGGGTTAGTTTGTGTCTTGGCACAAATATATATTTTATAATTTTCCAAATTATTTATCTTATATGGATAAAAGAGTTTATCCATATACCCCTTACCATTCAGATACGTGTTCAACTTGTGAAGTCTTTGTCATTGTCTCTGTAAACTATCATCAAATCAAATGTCCTCTGGCAGATTGATATACTGTTAATACACCTCCATAATCAAAGCCATGTCCATAACAACCCTGTGCTGTCTAAATGACAAATTGTTGCTATGGAATTTTGATCAATCAGAATCTAGGATTTAAGACAGTTTTTTTTAATAGTAATAAAAAAACTTATCTGCTTTTCGAGAAAAAGTGATTCATACTGGTTATTAATGATTCAGAAAAACTGCAAAAAAGGCGCCTTAACAAACATGTTTCCAATAGACCTGTCAGAGAATTGTTATGGTTTGCTTTCAACAGCACAAGCGATTGTGGCCCGCTGCAGTAACGACTATTACAACACACACACTTACATGTGGCCTTCATACACACATACAGTCTTCCTCACACAAAGGCCCTCACACACAGTGCATTCTTTGAGAGGCACGATGGCATCAGTTTGCAGAGGTAACCTACACATGCCTGGAACATGCATCTCTTTTAAAATAGCCCTGCACCCCAATTATAAGTATCACCTTCCACAAGAAACACCCATTAGCAAACTTGAGGCTCAGAGGCAGTTCAAAGAAGCTTGTCTGTCTATAATAAGATGCAGGTGTTCACAGAAAGAATAATTTCCATGATCTCTTTTGATATTTGAATGTGGAGGTTTTGTATATACTGATGTGATGTATCTTATGTTGTATAACTCAAATAAATATGGAGGTGGGTTTTTTTTTTGAAGAGAGTACATCTGTGTTACTTTTTCTGTTGTGCAGCTTTTCAGTGTTTTGAGCTGCACTGTTCTAGCAATGAAGACTATTTATTTTATATGGCAGTGAATATCTTTTTCATACTACACTTCTTTATTTGTGTCCTAAGCTTTTGCAGTCTAAATGCAAAAATACACATCAATAAACAGAGTATTAAAAGTTTTGGTGCCTTTTATTCACCCAAACAGAAGCAAAAGCTCTAAATAAAGTCATCATTGCTATATGTAAGTTTGCTGTCTTGATGCAGACTTGAATAACATTGTGCTTTCTTGTTAATATGAACTTTTTTCACCAACAAAGATTGTGAACGTCACCTGTCCCCAGCTATCGACTGTGTGAGCAGAACAGTTGGCCCACAGTTTTTGAGCCCCACTGCACTCCAACGGTGAGCATGTGTCAGTGTGGCACCTCCTAGTGGTAGAAATTAACACTAATCTACTACCCTGTTCACAAATTACAAGGAAAACACAGACATGCAGAGAAATAAGGTCATTTGTGTTTGTCAGCACTGAACATGAAGAAGGCATACTGACCTTAATATATGAAACTTCTCATCCTGTCAATATTCAACATATTACTTCAATCACTTCTCATATGGAACAGAGAAAGGACAAGAGAGCTAGATACTCTTTTATCTAATTGTTTATCTACTAAATATTGTGTTTGCATAATATAAAATGATACTGCATACATGTATTCTTGTTATTACGTAAAATAAAAATACATTAGTGGCATGTACTGCAAGTGAAGTTGTTGTGAAAAGTGTTGAGCTTGTCAAGATTAATATTTTTTACTGTAATACTTGAATAAAAGACCAAAAATATCAGGGTTGCCACCAAGACTGTGAGACATCTTATTTCCATGGATAAATGACGGCCCAAACAAGGGGTCCGTAAATTAAATGAATGACGATTTCATGTAAGATAAAAGGAGCTTGATGATAGAATATTCAGCATTATGGCAAGTGCACTGCCTGATACTGCCTCATCATCGATATATAAATCTACAATATTCTCAGCAGTATGTTGATAGGAATTCATTAACATCCAATTGAGTCTATTAAGATTTTTTGGTCATGATGTGTTACAATAAAAAAATTCAAATTAAACTTTATTTTCATGGCACTTTTCAGACAAAAAATGCAGTTCAAAGTGCCTAACAGGGGCTAAAAACAACAATTAACAACAATAAAACCCAAACCTCCCACCCACACACACAGCCATGGACCCACACACACACACAAAGACACCCTCACTCACCCACACACAAGTGTACACAGTGTGAGAATTTAAGATATATTGTTAAAGAGACATGACCTGACCCTGTGACATTATGTGAGTAAAGAGCTACTTTCGGAAAACACTGGCGATAAAGATAAAAAATGTAAAAAATGGTAAAAAGAAAGACTAAAACCTGATGGACTAAAACAAGAAAATAATCTTAACTCTTTAATGCCTGACACCACAAATTATGGCCAGAAAATTCAATTTTTTTGGAGCTGAAAAGTTTATTTCACTTACTATTTAAACCCCCCAAAATTGAAATGTCCTTAAAACTTTACAAATATATTTATTTATCATGTTTGATACATTAGATGTTTTTGTAAATTGATAAACTACAATGGGACATTTTTATCATTTGTATTCAGGTGTTTTTTTTAGTTATTTGTTGATCATATTGATTTAATAGAAGTATATAAAAGTATATAAAAGTATGTATCGCATATGATACAAAAGGCATTAAAGGGTTACATGGACAGATAAGTAAGCGCTCTTTACCATGTAAAAGGGGTGATAGAAGTAAAAACCTGTAAGACAGGAATTAAGAAAAAGACTAAGAACAGAGATAATTAATAAAATGACATAAAATAAAAACTTTGATTAAAATTAACATTTGCAAAAAGAGAAATTTAAAAAAGGCAATAAGTGAAAAGCCTGGTTACAGTCTTGAACCTCTTCTTAAAAACATCGAGTGATTATTGATTATTATATTTACTGTTGTGCAATAGTACATGCACCGACCAGCCATGACATCTTGCACACCTGTGCAATCTAATCCAATGTAATGTATCTAATTTAGCCTATTTATCATTTCTGCTTTAGCTCTATTTGTCATTTCTGCTTTAGATCTAACACTGCGGAAAATAAACTTAAAATCCGACGGATGTAATGATTAACCTGGTTCACACACAAAGCTACCGGCAGAGGTCGCTGTTCGCACTGCCGCTCCGTCTCTGCAGTACTGCCTGTCTACGAGGAGTGCGTTTGATTGTTGCAGGGCTCAATGGCGGACAGAGCAGGATAGTCGCATTAGCACTGAGGACAATAACATCTCGACTGTGTGGATTCCTGACGTGACTTGATCCGCCGCTGTGTGCCCACAGGTGCAACGATTACATTGGTCTTTCTTTTGCACTAACATATATCAAACAGCCTCTTCAGTTTTTTTTCCAGCTCGCCTTTTATCGTGCTGAGTTTCCATCCCGAGCGGAGAAGTTAGACTGTTCATGGTGGCTCACTGAAGGCAGCTAGCTTGCGAGCAAACCATGGGGGAGTCTCTCGAATTAATAGGGAAGCGTCTACTTTTGCTCCTCGACGACGGCAGGTCTGCTAACGGATCCGAGCCGGAGCAGGCCACCTGGGCCCGAGACTGGCTCCGGGGGACGGTGCGGGCAGTCAGCGTCATTGGCCTGGTCGCCCCGGAGGGTCGCGGAGGAGAAGCGACAGCCACATCCAGCGCTGCTGCTGCCGCTGCTGCTGCGGGGCTGACGGTCGGTGTTTACATACTAGTGCTACTATACTGCGTGGCGAAACACCCACCTTATCAAAGTATAAAACGCGTGCTAGCTACGAGAAATCATGTTGACCACACTGAGTGCGTTTTTGTATTATTAATACTGGTAAATGTCTTGGCAGTGGACGTTTGCTCAGTTATATCTCAGCGCGCTACAAGTCGCGGGCAGTCAGGCGAAGCTAAACTCGAGGCCGGGGATTTTCTGGCCTTTGCTTTGTTCGCGTTTAGTTCTGCAAAGAATGACATTCGCCTCCATAAATACTTGTCTTTATCTGCAGGCAGTCGGTTGCGAGGTATATACGCGCCAGAGCTAACTCCACGACCATGATACTGTAATAAAAGTGAATAACAGCGTTAGCTTGTCAATCCGCATCGTCAGCTAACGACAGTCCTGTGAAGGGCCTAACAAGTTCATATGGGGGTGAAGCAGGAATTCCTTTGACTTTTTTGTGTGGTCCAAATTGCGAAATGTTCAGATTAACGCAGAATTTGTTAATAAAATAAATCCTCTAATGAGTTAAATTAATCTTGCAAAGCTATGATTAGTCTTCATTATGCAGAGCTGTGAAACTGCGCCGACCTAAGAGTGAGATTTGGACATTTTGGGGGTGTGTTGGTTGGTGACCTACATATATGTTTACGTTTCATAGCTGGAATTTAGGTTATTAAGAAGGTAAATAGTAACACATTTAATTGGGTATTCATTTAAATAAGCAAAAACTCTTTCAAATTACCGTGTTTGAAACAGATTTTACATTACTGTTACTCTTAAATTAAAAGGTTGAGAAAATGATGATAGTTGTCAACTCTGGTTGTTGAACTGAATGCAGTTGTATAACAATATCTACAACAATGAAATTTCAGAGCTGAAAACTTAATTGTTTACTGCTGCTATTTTGTTGTTCATCAGTATTTACATATTTGATATTGATAAAATGGGAGAATGTTTTGATATATAAAGCAAGAAAATAAGAGTCAAACAGAACAAGACATGTCGGATGAATACATTTGTTAAGTAGGTTTAAAATTCAGCCACTGAGATTTAAAGTATGTCAATGGACATGACCGATCTGAATCCTTGTGCCAAGGTCAAAAAAGTTTTTTTGTTGTGCAAGAGTGAAGATGTTTATTCTCAAATTACTTATATCCTATACTCCAGCACCCCACTGACATTACTGATCCGAGTCAAAGTCAAACAAATGGTAGTTTTCTAGGATAAGATCAGCATCATGAATAAACACCAAACATTATGACTTATTTACTTACTGCTGCTATTTTGTTATTCATCAGTACTTACATGTTGATATCTATAAAATGGTAGAATGTTTTGATATATAAAGCAGGAAAATAAAAGTCAAACAGAACATGGCATGTAGGACTAATACATCTGTTAAGTGGGTTTAAAATTCAGCCAGTGAGATTTAAAGTATTCCAATGGACATGACAGGTCTGAACCCTTGTGCCAAGGTCAAAAAAGTTTTTTTGTTGTGCAAGAGTGAAGATGTTTATTCTTAAATTACTTATATCCTATACTCCAGCACCCCACTGACATTACTGATCCGAGTCAAAGTCAAACAAATGCTAGTTTTCTAGGGTAACATCAGCATCATGAATATACACTGTGTTGTTTAACCGTTTTTGTTCAAACAAATGTACACCAAACATTATTGACATTATTAACATCTCGTCAGCCTTATTCGGTCCAGTACAACAGCTCAAACACAACTTCTACCCTCAGGAAGCGTTTTTGTTGACCTCCACAGACAGGTGTTTGTTATACTTTATGTTTGTCACTGAAGATGTGGTGGTGTACTCGTGTGTGTTATCTTAGATTTTGTCCTTTTCATCTGCTGTACACTACCAATTCTCATGACAGTTTCAACACTTGAAGTATTTATCACCAGTCTGATCATGTTAACAAAAACAGGTTAACATGTTACCAACTTGAACTAATGCAGAAGTATATACCAGGCTCAATGCTACCCTTTAATTAATATACAGTCTGTAACACTTCCCTACCAGCCACTGATGCTAATGTGACTTCTGTAAGAGGTTAAAGATCAGTGCTTGAGTCATGATATTGAAGACACTCTGTAGTTTGCAGAAAATCAACACAGCTAAACTAAGCCAGATCACAACTTTGTTTTGTATAACATTTTTATTGATCCCTGGTTCTGCTTATCAATACATAGGTCTTTTTAAAAATTATTTATGTGGGCGACTCTTGCCTTTGATGACAGGGAGACAAGGGACGCAGGAAATAGTTGAGGTTTGGAGTCAAAACCCTGTCTGCTGCAAGGACTATAGTCCCTAGACATGCGGTATAACCCGCTAGGCTATCTATGTGCTTTAATACACAAAACTTAAACATTAAGTTTGCCAACTGTTTCAGATTGGTAAATCTTGTTACACGGAGTCACTACTCGGTTCCTATTGCAACAGAAAAATAATTTTAAGACATATAACAACATATAAACAGTAAAACTGCTTTTCAGTGCAAGAAAAATTATGCACAAGTTTATATTCGACCAGTTATTAAAAGAAAAAATAAGACTGACTACTTGACTCAATAGGTGGTCTTTCCTTATCAAGGCAGCTTGAGCATTTTTGGCCTGATCGACCCTTCACAGCTTCAGAAATTAAACCAAAAATTGAACTATACAGGAAAAAAATGGGGGGGTTAAGTATGTATGTAAATGAGGGAATATTTGTGTAATTTCCCGAAAACCTTTCAAGGCAGAATTTCACAGTCAAACACAAAAGCAGTCACACAAAGTTTGTCTTTATAGATACTCGTCCAGATCTAGAGGTACCCTGAGTGACGCTATCATCTGCATCTGTCTGGTGACGGGTTCAAATGTCTGAACTAACACACGAGCTGAAGTCACAGTAACCGCCAGATCTTTTAAAACCCTAACAACAAAAAGTAGATCTCAACCAAAACATGCAAAAAAGAGGCAAGTGATTGAGTCTTAGTTTGTCTCCTTACTGATGCTGTTATTATCATGGAAATCACATCAAACGGCTGACCGCCCGCCTCCTGTAAGTGTACTGTGTTTGGTTGGCCTGCCGTTACCAGTTCAAAATTGCTATTGATAGTGGAAATACAAATAGAAGAAAAAGCCTTGGAAGGTTTTTTTGCTTTAGGGATAGGGGTTCTAGTTTTTATTGATACTGATACCATTATCGGGTCCTTATCAATACTACTGTTAATGGTCTCCCTTCAAGACTCGATAGTGGACCTGAAAAGCTCAAATGCGATTTTTGGGTATTGGGATGTGCTAAATTGGGTATTTAATGGGCTTGGATATCGACCCCCATCACTATTTCGCTTTCAGGTGAGAGAGACCCTTTAACTGTTAGGTCTGAGGTTCATATTCATGCACCAATGACTGGGTCAAAGAATTTCACTGCTACACCCCCAGAAACAAGAGGAAAAATGACTGAATCTAACAGAAATTCCTTGTAGCTATAAAAAGAGTATTTTTTTCCTAACAGTTGCACAATTGCCAAGTGTTGTCAGGATAATGAGGGAACACTGTTGTTGGCTGTCTGTTACAAACACAGAAATGCAAACCTGCTCCAAACTTGACAGAAATTCACAGCAAAAGATCTCTGAACTCACAGAGTGTGGAGATAAAGCATCTCTTCGATGAAAGGGGACACACACAGACAAATCAATTTGTGCTTCAGGTGAAAGTAAGACTTGTGAGTTTCATCTCAATATCACTCACTCATCGTGCTTCGGAGCCAAAGATAAACTGTGGCTTTAGTCAGATTAAGTCAGATTTGGGTTACATGTTGGCTGAAGCAGAGAGTGAATAGAAGAATATCTTCAAATGTTAGTGGATAAAATCGAAAACTCTAAAGCTCTTTAGTGCGAGTGAACCAGCCTTCTGGAAAAAGGGCTTCTGTAACTAGGACTTAAATCTGTTAGCACCTGGACGTTAAGCAGTTTGGTTTGTATTATCTTTTATCTAGCTGGTAACAGTGACAAAATGGCATAACTTAGGTTTCGGTGGACTTCCACTGCTTTGCTTGGTGACCATTACTTGAAAATCCAAGCTGGTGAAAGCTTGACTCCAGTCTTTCAGAGAGATGCTGTTAATCAGTAACAGTCCATGCATTTCAAACCCTGAGGTTAAACGTGTCTGCTATGACTCGGTAGCATCCAGGGAACTCTCCCAGAGTCATAACCGTTTAGTCGCTCTGTTGAACAGCCAGCTTAGCTTCATTTTATAAACTTGTGCTTTACAAGCAAAGGGGTATCTTACATGAGACACAGTTGCAGAGATTGCAACACTAGGTTTCATGGTAAGTCTCTTTGTTTCTGTTTTAGCTCAGGGTTGCTTAATTCGCCATTCTTGTGACTCAGAGTTGAGCAAAACACTGAACCAGCAACTTTGAGCAAAAGTAGCTATGTCCTAAAACAGCACTTAGGGTTGTTCTGAGTGTCATCGGGTAATTTCAGCTACCACCGATAAGAAAACCCCCCAAAAATAACAGACACTAGACCATATCTTTCCAGATATACATGCAAACAGAAAACCAAAGAAACTTTTTGGTATTCTCTTGGGGCAAACAGCTTGTGGCAGAAGTTGAAAGATGGTCTTTTGTTGTTGGACTTCATTTGCTTTCTTTTGACTGTGTTTGACTAAATAAAAGGACTGAGCTCTTGAGTTTCCTGCACTTTTTCCACGTAATGCTACACTCTATTTCTACACACCCCAGCCCCTGATTTGAGCCCGTGTGTCTTTCAGTGTCCAGCAGAGAAGTGTAACAGGTTTGATGGTGTGTATCTGTTTATGTCTCGTTGGGTATTTGTTAAAGAAAGCAGTTGTGCTCTTTGTAATTATGCTTTTTATTAAAACAGTTCACTAGCTGAGACATCAGACTAAAACTTGACGATCCAAATTGATTTGAGCCTCTGTAGCATGTGCACATCATCTTCAAAGTCACTTTAGATAAAACCACATGTGCAAAGGGAGTCTGTAAACTACTTGAGTTAGCCAGGATCTGACTGTATGTTACAACAACAGTGATCTTACCACAGGATTATAAGTTATTAAATCAGTGCCATGAATATTCAGGGTTTGGTGTCTGTAGACCATTAAAGCCAGGAAAATTGTGATTGACAGACATTTTCCCTCTGATCCCTCCCATCTCTTGTTCAGCCCTCGCTCTGACTGAGACACTACCATTAAGTGTGGTGATTTGCATTAACTATGCACACCACAAATGATGACATGCTGAGACTCTTCACTTAGTCGTTGCACTGAGAAACTCCCTGATCCATGTGTCAGTTTTCACAGTCAGATGTTACAGGCAGGGCTGAACAGCATGACCTAAAAATAAAGTATCCATTTTTTAACTCCACACTTGATTTACGTCTTTTCACCATTTGTCGCTGCGTCCGTTATCTACCGTTTTGCAGCTGTCTTCAGGCTGCCACTGGGTTGTGCAAGTTGCTCCACACTTCTTCCTCTCAACTGCAAGCCTCTGTTGGAATCTTTGAAAACACAGCCTCCTCTTTTATTGTTGACACTGAGGTTTGACAAAATTTCATGGAGACAGTGGTTTGTTTGAGTTTGGACTGAGAAGCCCTTCAAGAAACCAACTTGGCATTAACACACAGTGCCACAGTGACTTATTACCTGTATTTGGGGAGAACTCAAGTCTTACTGTAAACTGTGAAAGCTAAGAGAGGCAGTGCCCTACCTGAGTTACCTTAATAAAAGTGAAATAGGATTTAGAAAATCTTCCTCGATCTTCCTTGAAAAATACTTTTTCGTCAAGCTCAACTTCGGTTACAGATGAAGCTACAGCTGTTTTTATTCTGAAACAGTCCTCATATTCATGTCCTGTCTCTCTTTGTTTTCCCAACTTTAGGTATATGTGGAGTTTGAGAACGCTTCGCAGCGCTGTTCTTGGGTGCGGGTGTATGATGACGGGGTGAAAGCTGTACTGGTGGAAGAGTCTATTGTTTGGGCCAATCGAAGTGATAGTACTGGAACTGCTGAAACCACAACACCAACCACAGCCTGGCCTGCACTGGTGAGTTTGAATCAGGACAAAGTGGAGCTCTGAAACTATATTAGATAAATGGGAAAAGATTCTCAGCACATGGATATGACCCACAGCTGGATATTAGGCCAAAACCAACTTACAATGGTTGTGTTCAAGAGCTGAAACATCTAGTGTGAGCATCACTAATTTAAAAGCATCACCACACTTCTGACAGTGATAACCGTTTAAATTCCCCGTCCCTGAAAATGGTGCTGCTTGGGCAAGTAGAGGACAACAAAAACAAAACCAAAGTGTCAAATTACTCAATCTGGGTTTCTTTTTTCCTTTTAATAGTGACAGAGGTCAGATATGACCCCATGTAAGATTTAGTTCATCTTAAATATTCAATTGAAACAAGAATTTTCTTCTTCTCTTTTGTATTTGCTGTGGATCAGGACCTGGGGTGGGCTTTAGTGTCTGTCTTATTTGTACCCACCACAGATGACTTTTTGGACTTGATTATAATCCATCCTTTGTTAGAAGTCGGGATGTGCAACAGGTACTCCTGATCAATAGCTATGTCATATTTACACACCAACACTGACTGGGACTTGTGTAACTGCAAACTCATGAACCAACCCTTTGAAGAAGATTCATAACACTGGATTCCCATGGGATAGACAAAAGAGTGAAACTCGTGCAGCTGGTGACAAACATTTATGAGTGAAAGGAACAGTTAAATACAGCAGCTACTTCAGAAACCAAGTGAAGTGAATAGACTGATATAGACTGATTTCATCATTATTATTATTATTATACTTTACATGAGAGGTGTTCTTTGCTAATTCAAATCAATGTCAACTTTTGAGTTTAGCAACAAATCATGACTGAGTGTCCTTCAAGTCTTATTCCAGTCAACATTGTTGGTTAATGTCAATTCTACTTGGCTCAAGTGGGCAGAATTGCACACACAGATGAAAATATTTTCTAATCTAGATGGTCATTTTTTTCTTCCTTAAGGACTTTAATTTTCTCACAGCATCATTAGTTTGGTTGTTGTAGTCGTTGACTTAAAAAGTAGTATTAAAAAAAAACATGAAAATGAATAGTGGTAAAATCACGATTAGTTTTACCGGAAAAAAAAGGTTTTAGAGGAGGACATTTTGGCCAACCCTGTCTGAAGTCTGCTAGTTATTCTGGTGTTGGAAGGAAAACCTGGTCAAGAGACACTTTCAGTTTGACGGCTACAAAAGGCTCAGAGTTTCATGAAAGTACTTACTTACTTTTTCTAAAAAATCGTTGCAGTCCTGATGTGTAAAATAATCATTTTCTTGTTATTACTTTCTTCTTTAATTACAGTATGAAATAGTGTTGTCTTTTTCTCCTGCAGGTCTTCCGCTCCCTCGTGGACAGAGTGGGTTTAGGGTCTCTAGTTGCTGTGGAGTATTTTGGAAACAAGAACTTTGAGTTCCTGCCTGATAATAAGACTGTCCAGAGGTTTGAGGTGAGTGCATTTGTTTTACATGGTTTGTTAAAGACGGTTCTGTTAATCCTCTTAAGTGCCATTGAATGGATGTATTAATTTTTAGAGATCCCCCTCTTACCTTCAAGGGACACATTTTTTATGATATTTAAGCACCAAAATCATTATTTTGTTACTGCATCTTAAAGTAGACACATTAATGTGGTCTGTTTTGTGTAGCCATAAATGGGACCCCTTAGATTTTTATTTTTATGAAAAAAATCTAATTATTTTTAGATCAAATTTGTTATTGTGATATTACACTAATAGTTAAATAACATACTTGAACTTGAGTTCTATTTTGTTTTGTTGAAGCACCGCCACTCTTCAGGAACTGTTTGGTTTGTGTCCTCTCTTAGGTTGATAAAGACATAGGACATCCTTTGTTGTTGGAGCAGCCCTCCCTACACTCTGCCATCTCCAGCTGGCACACTGATTTTGAACTGCAGGAGATCTTCAGGAAGGGTAAGACTCACATTTGATGAGGTTAAATGTGTTTACTTTACTGACCCTGTGTGTCCTCTGGGTATTTTAAGTTCTCCATCTCGTTGAATGGAAGCTTTGAAAGCATGGTGTGGATCACTATCAGCAGTGACTGAAAATCTATTTGTTTCTGATACACATTATCCTGTTCTAGGCTGATCTGATTATCAGCTTCAGGAATTATATTCATCAACTCTGCACAAGCAGCATGCGACAATGAGAAACTGTTCATGTCGTTTTATAGCGGTTTTTGTTGTGATATGAAAGAGTAACTTCATAAATATTACATCGACTAGCTTTCTGAGCCAAATGCCTGTTGCCACCTGATTTACAATCTTAGTCTAACAACAACCAAGACAAGTTGAATGTGGGTAGCACCAAAATAAGAATACAAAGATGTAAAGGGTTGTACTGTAGAGTACACTGAGCACAAAGTTAAAACTCTCCTTACAGAAAAGTAGTGATGTTTAGTGTTAAGCCTTAATTTAGCACTAAATTTGAAATATGTTGATTCAACACCAATAGAAATAACAGTTCAGTGATAAAGGTAAACAAGCAAGAGGAGGCCTGTTAAAGCTACAGCATCTATATAATTTGCTATTGTTCGGTTCATTCAGGTTTAAATCATACTAGAAAGCCACCCATGATCAAGCTCCAGTGTATATTTCTGAGCTGCTCCATCCTGACATCACTAGTAGATCCCGCAGGTCTTCTGACCCAGGTCTACTTGCTCTTCCCTCGTGCCAGACTTAAAAACAAAAGGAGGTTGTACCTTTTAAACTTGTGGCTCCAACTCTTAACTGTCTGCCTATTTAATTACGCTGCGCTGTCTCCTCTGATTTTGGCCATCTGCTGTGATTGTTTCCTGGTGGTATTATATTTGTTACCGTTTTTATTTTGGTTTGTTTTTATTCTTCTCTTTATTGTTGTTATTCTTATTATTGTGATATTTTGTGAAGCACTCTGTGACTTTGCTCTGTGAAAGGTGTGAAATTAAACAAACTTTACCGACCTACTAAGTACAACAACAACTTTTAAGCAAAATTAAAAATCAATAGTGGCACCAACTCAGAGATATTTTATTAGAATATTAAAACAGGTTCAAAGTTAGAATAGTGAACAGCACAGCATTTGACAATATTCATAATATGTCACTTATTCTTACCTCAACTTGAAAACTTCCCACAAACAAAAAGCAGCCTGATGTAACAGGTACCACAATGAAACTAGGCTGAGATTTGTAGACTATGCCAGTGATTGGTGAAGTTTCTCTCACAAAACAAAGTTAATCTTTCTCACTTTGAATAAGAAATGTCTAATCTACCATCTGTTTTGAACCCCTGGTGTGTACCTTCTAGGATGTGACTCTATCCTTCTCTCTGTTCCTCAGGTTCTTACACTGTTCAAGGACGCAGGGTTCGCGTGTACCAGCCGGAGTTTGAGGAGTGCTGGGCTTCAGGACTGGTCTCTCAGCACGACCCCATCTCACACATCATGGAGATTACACTAGATAAGGTAAAGTCTATTTCTGTTGAAAGAGGGATTGGGATACAAAAGAGGACTAGATGTTGTATTTCAAATTGTGGAAAAGTCCAAAACAAAAGGATTGATGGTATGTCAGTGATATAATTGTTTGTGAGTAGGCCTGTCGCGATAATCAATTAATCGCCTTATCGCTCGGTAAATAAAAACAAGGTCGATAACTTTGCCAGCCTTGATAATTGACGTGCGTTTGTTTTCCTCCTCTCTCGCTACCAAACACGCTGGATGAGAGAAGAGGTCTCACTCTGCGCATTGTTCTCGGCACCTGGGGGCGTTGGCTCTATAGCGAAATGAACGGAGTTAGTGAACCCTCCTGTCAGTCATTCAGTATCTTTGTCACGGGGGGCGCGCGCACAGGCACACAGACACAGACTTTTGGATACAGTGCTGCAAGTGAGCGTCGTGAGTGAAAAGCAAGCTAACAGAATGAACACGACAGCTATGGTGTCTGAACCGAACGCAACAGCCCAAGTGTGGGAATATTTCGGCTTTAAACCAGTTTTGTTTTCGTCAACCACAAAACTCCACGTGTGTGTGCGTGCGCGTGCGCGTGTGTCTGTGTGTTGGAGGAGCACAGCAGGCTGAGAGCTGTCAGAGCGGACTGAAGCTGCACCTATATGTTTAGCGTTTAAATGACTGAGTTTTGCAACTCTGTTCGTCATTTTCGTCTCGTCCCATCATGTAAACGCACTTTCGTCTCGTCACATTTTAGTCATCTCCGACTTATGTTTAGCTCGTCAACGTTACGTCTTCGTCGTGGGTGAAATTAAAGTTAATCACTTTTGACAGGGTGTACTCGCATTATTATGCCATTTAATATCATTATCTATAATTTAAAAAACGGTGTCAATAATATCGTTTATCGCAATAATTTGTAGCACAATTATCGTCCAGCAAAATTTGTTATCGTGACAGGCCTATTTGTGAGCATTATTGTTACCCTACTGTTGGTGTTACTTCAGCGCAGGTTTTCATTGATTAGAGTTAAAGGAGCATTTCGCAGTGTTTTTATGGATAATGTTCAAATTTTACAGGCATTGTCTAAGAAGGGAGCTCTGTTACAAACGTTTCCTAAAATAAAAATGTTATTTTAGTCGTTTTGGTTATGTTGTAAATGTGGCTGTTATAGACATTTTCAATGCAAAAGGAATAAAGAAAACAAAGGGTGAAGAAATAAAAATGCTTTTCAGTCCAAATCCAGAGTATATAATTACATAATTAAAATCAGTTTTTACATTTTAAGTCTCTTGAAGGTTTTTTTGTTGCAGTGTCCCTTTAATTAGGATGTTTATTTGTCGATGCAGGGAGAAGGACAACAGATGGTCGACCCTCGTGTGATACATGTCATGCTCACGGAGGAGGAGGTATATAGAAAATCTTATTGTAGTTGGTTAAACATCTTGTTTTTTCTACTGAATTGGTTTTATCAGCTTTATTGATAAAAACATTTCCTACTTTTCCCTCGTAACAGCTCGGTAAGAATGGACGGCGAAGGAAGGACAGTGAAACAATGAAGGGTGACGGCGGACGCAGGCGTAGGACTGCCTCTGAAGGTGAGGATGACTTGAACTTAAAACGCTTCAAAGGAGCAGGAGATGTCGGAGCAGAAGGGGAAAACTGTGGTGAATCCACCAAAACTCCAGCAGAAGGAATGGGCGTCTGGGGTGGAGACTTGGGCGAAAGAGTCAGCAGCACAACCAAAAACGGAAGCTCTTCAGACGGAACTTTTCCTCAGGGCAGAGTGTCATCCCCCAACACCAATACTCCACTCCAGATGGACCAATCAAACGCCACTCCTCCCCGATACCCTGCCCATGTCAAAGAAAATGGTCGTACAATCGCCACACAAGGGCCAGCGGACTCCACCACAACTGTTTCCCACACCCCTACCCCCCCTCCCCTCAAACCAGCCCCCTCTCCTTTCTCCACCACATCTTTCCCCTCGCTAGGCCAGATGCCAAGCCTGGTCCCTGGAGCACCAGCCCCCAAGGCCTCCCCATCCCCCCAGCCAGACCGAGAGGAGGCCTCCCAGTCGGCCTTCTCTAAAACAGCTGCTCTTGTTTCCCCGGGGCCTGTCACCATTACTTGGTCACATGACAGCGGCCCCAGTGTGGCACTTTCTGCTTCTGTGGGGTTTAGTCCTAAAGCTCCCACCTGGGGTAGCCAAACTGAGGTAAGTCCATCAAAATGAAAGGTGCCATTTATGAATACTGTCCATCTTTAAATCATTTCAGTCTCAGTTCATAATTTGACATCATTTTGTTTCTCAGGGCCCCAAAATGACTCCAGCTTTTCGTTTGCCCCAACCCACTGCTCCTGTTTTCGGAGAAGTTACCTCTCAGACAAATGGAGCTCCCACTACTTCTGCAACCTCCCAAGACACTCCCAGATCCTTTGGCTTCGGCTTTAGCGGGGCAAAGAACAAGACTCAATCTCCACAAGACCAAAACTTGTTTTTTCAGTGTATGACCCAGAATTCTAGCTCCGGCCCAAGCCTAGCTGCTGGTCAGACCCAGTCCAAGGACACCAATTACTTCACTGCAGTGTCTGAGAGCCTGAACAAGGAACCTCCGAGCCTTTTCAAACCCGCAGCCTCCAATGAAGCTCTGAAGAAGCCTGAGCAGCCCAAAGTGCCTGAGACCCATCCGACAGGAAATGGTGTGCTCAACAAGCCCACATCGGCCTTCCAGGGCATTGGAGGCTCTGCAGCTGGAAGAGGCTCTGGTCTGAGTATTGGTGGTCTAGCTACAGCTGCTGGAGCTCAGAGTACATCGAAGAAGAGCAGTAATGATGGCACCGCTGCGGGGAGCTTAAGCTTGCAGTCTGGTTTTAGTACTTCAGATAGCCACCAGAATCTTTTTCTGCAGGCTTCCAAAGAACCAAATCCATTTCTAGCATATGGAGACAAAACCTCCCACACCCCCTTTGCTGGACTCAGTGGTGCTGAACCTCAGACTCTTGGTTCTGCCTCAGACAGCAAACCAAACCTTTTCACCATGGCAGAACCACCGAAAGGGATTCTGTCTTCCCCTTTCTCAGCACTCGCAACTGCTGCCACCCCCAGTTCCTCTTCTCCAGCACCAGCCTCATTACAGAGAGCACAGACTGAAGGGACTGTGACAAAGCAGGAGCAGGAAGTTGGGGAGATGCCTTCATCCACCTCAGGCTGCCCCATGTTTGGAAGCACTGGCTCAGGAGCAATGGAGGACCTTCCTGTGTCTTTCGACCAGAGTCAGTCACAGAAGTTTTCCCTTGAGGAGAGAGGTCAGTCATCCAAACGCGACTCTGACTCCAGCAGCAACAGCGATCTGTCAGACCTGAGCGAGAATGAGGAGGACCCAGAGAAGGGCCCAGTCCCAGGAGGACCACCACACCCTGCAAAGGATGCAGCCATGCTGCAGAAAGCTAAAGTCCAGGGGGCTCCCAAGAGTCGTCCACGTAACAAGCCTTTTAAAGGTGAGTCTTGTTAACTGTTGAGAGGTGAAAAAATCGTTAGTAGAGTCAAACAAAATCACAGTACTGACCCTAAGTTGTCTTCTCCAGTGGGCCAGTCTGTTCTCAAAGACCAGAGCAAAGTGCGTCGCTTGAAGCAGTCTGGTGAGTCCTTTCTCCAGGACGGCTCCTGCATCAATGTGGCACCTCACCTGCATAAGTGCCGCGAGTGTCGCCTGGAGCGTTACCGGAAATATCGGACTGCAGATGATGACAGCGATGATGAAGACGATCCTAATGTGGCCTGTCGTTTTTTCCACTTCAGAAGGTGCACATCTCTCTGCTGCTGTGGCTTTGTGTCCTTCAGTGCAAAAAAAAAGAGAATTACAAAAAAGTAATCTGTCATTGAATTGACTTTTTTTTCACCTGCGACCAGGTTGGCGTTCACTCGTAAGGGTGTGCTGCGTGTGGAAGGCTTCCTGAGCCCTCAGCAGAGCGATGCCATGGCCATGGGTCTGTGGCTGCCTGCACCAGCTGTCCAAGAGGGCCTGGACCTTGATACATCCAAGTACATCCTGGCCAATGTAGGGGACCAGTTCTGTCAGTTGGTCATGTCTGAGAAGGAGGCGATGATGATGGTGGAGCCGCACCGTGAGTCTGAATACCCTTTCCTGACCTCATCAGAGCAGCATTGTCTCTCTGCATGTAACTCATCAGAAAGTTCTACTGTGTATGTAAGCTTTTATTTTGTTTTTGCTCTGCTCTCCAGAGAAAGTGGCTTGGAAACGCGCTGTGCGAGGCGTCAGAGAAATGTGTGATGTGTGTGAGACCACTCTGTTTAACATCCACTGGGTGTGTCGCAAGTGTGGCTTCGGAGTATGTCTGGACTGCTATCGGCTTCGCAGGAACAGGCCAAGAGAGGGTGAGTCAGTGGTGTGACAAAGAGGACTTTAGCACCAGGTGAACAAGTTCATTGTAGTTTTATTGTCATAGCTGTTCTTCTGTCTTTAATGTCATTTTTGGGTAGAAAAGTAAAGGCTGTAAAAATAATGTTAACAAAGACAAATTGTAGGGGTTTTTACACGGTTGTGGAACATTAAAACCACGAAAAACAACAATCTGTGAAGAAAAATCAAAGATAATGCAGCAGTAGTTTTATTGATGTTAGCGCCAGTTTACCTGCAACTTGTTTATTTTGTTTTACGGGGGTTTAAATGAAGGAGGTCTGTTGACTTAGAGTTTCTGTGTCACCTCTTACAAATCATGGGTGCGATGAACATTAAAGCGGCCATGACTAGATCAGCTTAAGTTACGTTGTCGGTACGCTGAAAGAGATTTAGGAGGAAAATGTGTAATAAACTACTTGGACACCCATATTCTTAAGTTTTCTCCTTTGAGGTTACCTACAAACAGGTATAATTGTTTATGTATAACACAGGTTTATATGCTCTTTTTCTTAGATGTGGATGAAGGTCCAGAAGACGAGGTTTTCGCCTGGTTAAAGTGTGCCAAAGGCCAACCTCACGAGCCACAGAACCTCATGCCCACACAGATTATACCAGGAACAGGTAACGTATTTTTTTAAGTTAATTCAACTGTAAATCTGTCCTACCTCACATGCTTTTCTTATGAAATATGATAAGTATTGGTCCTGATTTTATTGCCTTTCTCTTTTAGCTCTTTACAACATAGGTGATATGGTGCACTCAGCAAGAGGCAAGTGGGGAATCAAAGCAAATTGTCCCTGTGCAAGTCGACACACCAAGCCACTAGTGCGCCCCAGTGCCCCTAATGGCATTTCACAGGTACTGTCTTTCTTTTTAGCTTCTCTGCATTTTGGAAAAGTGTTTAACTTGCAGACTCTCATGTGTGGTTGTGCTTGTCTCAGCAGTCTACGACAAGCAGTGGTAGCATCCTCGCAGCTGCAGCCCCTGGGATTGGCACAACTCCAAAATCAGAGGGAGAAACGTCAGTGATCAAAACAGAAACAACGCAAACGGCGGCTCCATCAGACAGCGGGGGAGGGGAAAGTGTAGGCAGCACTAGTAATTCCACCAGTGGTACATCCTCCCCCTGTAACCTCCCCCAGTCCTCTGCAAAGGAGTCACGCCCATCAGGAGAGGGCAACAGCTCCGCTCTGCATTGGCTGGCAGATCTGGCCACACAGAAAGCCAAGGATGACACCAAGGGTAAGAAGACAGAACAACATCCTTAATCTGTGTCATCTGTGTGGAGTTAAAAAGTACAAATCTTTTTTGAAGATGATAACACGTCGCGTCTCTTTTAATCATCTTCCACTAGAATCTGGTTCACTCCGCGCCATGATGAGCCGGGACAGCCGGCCCCCCTTTGGCCTAGACTCACTCAGCGCTCTGTCAAAGCCCTCTGCTTCCAGCCCTAAGCTTTTTAACAGCCTTTTACTGGGATCCAGCATGGCCCAGTCTAAACCTGAGGGATCCAGTCTTCGGGACCTGCTCAACTCTGGACCAGGAAAACTCCCTCAGGGTCCAGGAGAGAGCGGGGTGCCATTCCCCTCTGTCTTTACCTCAGCAGGTGTAAGTGTAAAGCTTTTGTTGGTCCTCCTAACTTCAGAGAGTGTTTAAACAGACTAGTTTACTGGACTTTTCCTTCACTCAGTGCCTTTACACGCACAGTTAAGTCGTTAAAGCTCGATTAGGTAATTTAACTAGACTACCATCCTTGTCCCAGTTTATAAGCACCAGCAAAGAATCATAATATTAACAGAAGCATGTCAGTAGGTGGCAAAATGCTCCCTTTCAGCCCGCCACTATTGTATCATCTCCCAGTTGACCTGCTACCGACCTCTCATACCAAAATGACCGACAAATGCAAGTGACTGATTTACCTCTAATTTCCAATTTTAAATAACACAAAAAATGATCCAGTTAAGTCTATTACTATATCCTTGATTCAAATATAGTGACTCAACAGAATAAAATAAAATAAAAAAAACAACATTGAAATGGTAACACAATGACAACAGGAAAGAACTGAGTTGATTATGAGTTGTATTAATGCCATTAGCCAGTGCAATAATGAGTAAAAAGATGGATTTAAAATTACTGACTCAGTAAAATTCTCTGAGACGCTCTGCTTTGAAAAAAAAAAACAAAAAACAGTTGATTGAAGTTAGCAGGGCTTGACACTGTTGTTTTTCGCAAGGAGCACTTGTGCTCCTAAGTTAAAAAAGTAAGGATCACACAAAGAACTTTAGAGGCACAATGAAAATTTATCAAATAATGTCTTATCGTCCGACTTAAGTACTAATATTTGAAATCAATTCTAGGTCAGTTGGTCACATGACATGAAAGCTATTAAAGAAAAACTGCCTTTTTTGAGAACATTGATCGGTAATTTATTGATGGTCCCTTATTCAACACCTGACGTTGACAGTGAGGGTGCCGAGTAGATTTAACCGCGCTGCTGTTGGTATTCCCGGTTCTGGAGAGTGAGAAGACACAAGTAGATCCGCAGTGAATGTCTGTCAGAAATCCAACCTAAAACTAACTTCACCGTCGTATTTACGTGAAAAAACATTTGCTGACTTTTTTTTTATACGCACATGCACCCCTAAATACATTTTACACTTCGCGCACATCTATTTTTTGTTGCAAATGTGAGTGTAATGGTCGCACTGTCAAACTCTGGTTAGATGATTAATATTTTCTCTTTGGTCGGTCAGAGCGACAAGCTTAAGAGCAGCCTTCCCAACTTCCTGGATCACATCATTGCCTCGGTTGTTGAGACCAAGAAGGCAGAAGGCCGTCGGACCGGGGTCTCTGAGGGCGGGGAGCTCGGAGCGTTGGGGGGCCGTAAAGACGGCGTAATGGGCCTTAGCGTTCTGGAGCCACACACCTCCCATTCTTGGCTCTGTGATGGACGACTCCTCTGCCTTCAGGATCCCAGCAACAGCAACAACTGGAAGATCTTCAGAGAGTGCTGGAAGCAGGGACAAGTAAGAACTTCAACCTGAACGACAAAAATCAAAAAGCACTCAATGCTCAAAGGGTTGTAACTTCACCGCTCCAGCTTGTGTTGGCTTCTTAATCATCTTATCTTTGTTCCTTTGCATCTAGCCTGTGTTGGTGTCTGGGATACATAAACGTCTGAAAGGGGAACTATGGCATCCAGATGCCTTCAGTAAAGAGTTTGGAGACCAGGATGTCGACCTGGTCAATTGTAGAAACTGTGCTATCATCTCAGACGTGAAGGTGCGGGACTTCTGGGATGGCTTCCAGGTCATCTCAAGTAAGTGCCCCAACTTCTTCTTCCTCTTGTAGTCTTTTCACATCATTTCATTGACTGATGTGTAAGTCATTGTGTTATTTTAGCTCCTGTTTTTCTTGGATGTAAATGGAAGTTGTTGTCTTTTTCATGTGAATACAGAGCGACTGCAAGATAGTGAAGGCCAACCTATGGTGTTGAAATTAAAGGACTGGCCTCCAGGCGAAGATTTTAGGGACATGATGCCTACAAGGTGAGGAACACAGAGAGATGCTTCTTACTTACCAACCCATAAACCCCTTTATCTAAAGATAAGGTTGAGTTCACACATAAATAACAAAGTTTGCTGTTTTGTGTATCATTTTTAATATTACTTACTCATGTTTTCTTTAATTCCCTCATCCTCAAGATATCGGGCACAAATAGAATCTGTTAAATTTGTTAAAAATTTTCACATTTTCTCACAAACTATGTAAGGTCAATTTTCACTGAACGGTTGAGGTTGCTGTTTTGTAAACAGTTTCTGGACCAGTCACCTCTACCGCTTAATTACCTGTTCATATAAGACACACTTGCCAGCCCCGCTGCTGCCTCTCTTCAATGTTGTCTTTCATTGTTCCCAGGTTTGAGGATCTGATGGAGAACCTCCCCTTACCCGAGTACACAAAAAGAGATGGTCGTCTTAATCTTGCTGCCCGCCTGCCTAATTTTTTTGTGCGTCCTGATCTGGGACCTAAGATGTACAACGCCTATGGTGAGGAGAGTCTGTCCAGATGTGACAGAAACTTGACTCTTCTTAATCAGTGTTGCCTGATGTTTCATACCTTCGTTTTATTACGTCATCCTACCAACTTTTAATTTTTCCCCAGGCTTAACTTCATCTGAAGATAGAAAAGTGGGAACCACCAACCTCCACTTGGATGTCTCTGATGCTGTCAATGTCATGGTTTATGTTGGCATTCCTCAAAGAGAAGGAGACCAGGAACAAGGTCAGTGGAGCTAAAACAGGACCCCTCTTTATCTGTTAATTTGGTCTCCTCTTTCCATCTCATCTTTGCGCATACACACATTTACGAGACATTTATTACATGACAGTGATTGCCACACACTTTTGAGTAGCAACTATCATCGAAACACCGCTACCCCACCAAAAATGCACAATAATGTTCATATATAAAGGCATTTTGAATCTGGATACTCCTGATTTGTGTGGCATCAAACAGAAGTAATTTGAATTGTCAGGGTCAGTTGTTCCTCTAACTGACCCCTCCTAAACAATCTGAAGGAATATTTTTACATTTCTGTTAATTTAGTTGTGCTTGTACTGCTGTAGTTGATTCAGGCTTGATTGGCTTAGGCAGGACCCTGAAAAAGACCCTCCAGTGGGTCTCACTCATTTACATTGTGACAAAATTTCTCGTTCACAGAAGCAGATATCTCTGGACGCCAAGGTCTGTAGACTTTCAATTGTATCACCTCAGTAGCATGCCCTTCTTCTTGACTAACTCCCCTTTGTCACTGCCCTTCTCATCCTTGTGTTTAATATCTGTGCAGTAGGGGCCAGAGCACTGGGACCCATCTATTAGTGGCATGTGTGGTACATTTCTGTGTAAACTCCAGCTTCTTTTTAACAACTTCCATGGATAACAGATGAGATTCATTTAGTCTCTTTCACTAAAGTTGTCGACTTTCTTCCTCAGAGTATTTCAGTTTTACAGACACAGTAACTTAAACTTTACACACTAATGCTGCGTTTGAGTTACCTCGGAAGTCAGATGTCGGAGCTGAAAATGACGTCAAACCCGAGTTACCAGCGTTTCAGTTACCAAGTCGGAAAACAAGATGGCTACGTTTAAGAAAGTAGATGCCTTGGCCTTGGTATATTCAGACAAGGCAAGCGCTAAAATAACTTTCGTAGCTGTAGCCATCCTGTTTCCGCCTCAGATTTTGCTTTTTTCCAACTTGGTAACTGAAACGCTGGTAACTCAGGTGCGACGTCATTTTCAGCTCTGACACCTGACTTCCGAGGTAACTCGAATGCAGCATTATAGACAGGTCACATAGTTGTGTATAATAACTGCACTGGTAGCATCTTTTAGTCCTTTAAGCTTTTGGAAACAGTGCTCTGGTCTTCACATGGAGGGAGGAAAGTTTGAATGAAGGGCATTTAGACTTGGAGTCCCTATTTCCTCACTTCCTGTCACTTTCCACAGTGACTCTTGAAGTACTCAACAGTATGACCATGCTATCATCATACCGTGTTTTTTTCCTCACGTACACACAGTTGAAGGCACACACAGACACAGACCTATTCTGACATCACTTCATTTTTGGTGTTTTCCCTCTATAACGTCTGTGTTCGTACCTCTGATGTGGGCTCAGACACAGAAAGACTTTGCCAGCCCATCACACCTTGGAGAGATTTACATGGTGGACAAAGCATGTCAGAAGCTTTGTAGTCCTAACTGGAACATGCAGTGTAATAGAGGAAATTACACTGCAGTCTAACTAATTGAACAGTTGGGTATAGACGGTCATGTTAGTTGCTGTAAATAATCAACCATAAGTTGTGAAAGTTAACACTGTGTTAGAAAATGTGATTGTGTAGTTTGTTTCTCACCCCTGTGGTTCTCAACTGGTTCTTCTCCCTGGGGTCCAAATTTGTCTTGAAACGTCACTGAAATCATAACTATTCCCTCTGATTCATCCAAATCAGTATCTTGGTAATCTTCTTTGTGTTTAAAAAGGGGCTTCAGTCATTCACTTCATCCATCAGAATTCTTTCAAAAGGTAAATAAAACTCTGGACTGCTGCGTGGGTGTTAGTTTCTTAAAAGTGATTGAGTTTGGACAGTATTTTCTAAGGAGTTTTGGAAAATCACAGCACCTCAGAATAATACTGTCGTAGCCCACAGCCCAGCAGTTCACATATAATGGACTTTTGACCCACTACTGAGCCACCAGTTGAGAACTATACATCTGCACAATTTGTGTCCAACAGATTTACATTAATTCAGTTTGTCATGTTGTGAAAGATGCAGAAATCTCTTGTCTCGGTTTATAAAGAGTGTGTAAAAGCAGGATTTGTTTGGACATGAACACACACAGTGACACTTGATCCTGGGGCAGCGTTAAGACTGTGAAAATCTTCCCAGAATAGTGGCATTTTTGATGACCATTCGGTGCTCTGTATGTGTGTGCTTTGTGGTTGTGTTTGATCTACCAGAGGTCATGACCACTATTGAGGAAGGTGATGTGGATGAAATGACAAAGAGGAGGGTGTTTGAGGGAGAGGAGAAACCTGGAGCTCTCTGGCACATCTACGCTGCCAAGGACGCTGAGAAAATCAGAGAACTTCTCCGCAAGGTCAGCAGCTTTTTGCTATAAGTATTCAAAAAAGCACCTAATCTCTGGGGCTGCAGCGCCATAGGCTGTTCTTGTTTCAAACTTAAAACTTAAGATCTTTGCCTTTTTTTGTGAGGTGGGAGAGGAGCAGGGTCAAGAAAACCCTCCAGACCATGACCCCATTCATGACCAGAGCTGGTACCTGGATCAGGCACTCCGTCGGAGGCTGTACGAAGAATACGGCGTCCAGGGTTGGGCAATTGTACAGTTCTTAGGAGATGCCGTTTTTATCCCAGCTGGAGCTCCGCATCAGGTAAATATCACATTCAAGTTTGTGATGTTGTTCCGAATATAAGTACCACTAAGATTCACTCACATAGATAATCTCTGATTTAGGAGTGCTGTCTTTAATTTTCCAAGACTAACCACTGTTTGCCTCATTGTAAACATAAAGTATTCACAACACTTGTCTAAAGACAGCGACCCACAAAGGGAGAAGTCATATATTATAGAACTTCTATTGGTGTACTCAGTATAAGCATTCATTGCACACTTCTCGTCTAATCACATTACTTGGTCTGAACTAATAAAAGTATAATGATATATTTCATAAATGTCTCAAGATTTAAGAGACTTACTTATACTTTTTTCCTTCATCAACACATTTATCAAATCTCCCTCAGGTGCACAACCTGTACAGCTGTATCAAGGTGGCAGAGGACTTTGTGTCTCCTGAGCATGTCAGGCACTGTTTCAGATTGACCCAGGAGTTCAGACATCTGTCCACTACTCATACAAACCATGAAGACAAGCTACAGGTTGGTTTGCTTTTCTCCTATGAATTTTCAGCATCGAAGGATATTGATTAAGTGTTACTTCTAATCCAAAATAAGTCATATTTGTGCTTGTTGTAATAACCTGCTGAGGAGTCTTTATACCGACCAAGTTTAGTGGCTGCTGATTATTTCTGTATATAATCACTACCATAATCTACTGACATGTGATTATGTATTAAGGCATCGTAATTTTTTTTTTCTCTAGGTGAAGAACATCATCTATCACGCAGTGAAGGACGCTGTTGGGACCCTGAAGGCCCACGAACCCAAACTAGCACGTCCTTAGTTCCTTTCACTCAACGTTGTCCCAAAAGAACCAGCCTTTGACAGCCAGGCCACTACACAAACACTTGTGCACACACAAACACACACAGTATGTATTACATACCGACATACAGAAGTACAAGCTGCAGAGTGCAGAGTACAAAGATAAAGAGTAGTGTTGTGGGGAGCAGTGACAGTCAGGTATTGGGGAGGGATTGGATGGGGAGGGGCTAGTCAGCGTGTTGATGAAGGAAGTCCTTTATCGCTGTTACACAGTACGTTCAAACTTGTCTAGTTGTTTTTCAATTTTTATTTTTTAACTCTGTATTTAAGGTCAGTGCGTTCAGTTGTTTTCATTGTATACGTAAGATATGAGAGTAAGGGAGGTAAAAGCTGAGGTGCCTTTGGAGCAGAGGTTCAGCTTCCATATAAGTTGACTGACAAAATGTGAGTATCAGGCTAACTTTCCTATTTTGATGACATTGATATTACTTTTCTTCAATAGGAACAAGGTTAACCTGTATTTTGTAGATTTTTTTTTCTTTGTTGTTGTTGGAGTTTTTAAAATAAGCTGATTGCTTCTGCCCTCTGTGGCTGAGATGAATTTGCGAAGCAGCCAGTGAGGGGAAGCAGACCAAAGTTTTGTATTTTTTTGTTTTCTTATTTCTGTTTTAGAGTAAGAGGTCTTTTCTTTTTATACACTGCAAGGTAAAGATCAGGAGGACTTCTGAGAAAGCATTTTTTGTGTCCTATCTCTGTCCCTTCGGGCTGAATGAACTGCAAACTTCCAACAACATTGTTCAAGAATCACAATTGCAGCTGAACAGAACTACTGGCCATTAATGATGTATCAATATATATATTGATCTTAGCAGTCTGTTTGATTTTTCACAATAAAGTTTACAAAAACTAACTGTTCAGTAGTTTTTTAACCTTTAAAACTTGTCTAAGTGTACACTTGGGGTTTCTCTGAAACTTGAAATAAAACGAGCTTCAAATAATGGTCATTTTAGTTATCAATGAATATGTTGCCGCTTTTTCATTTTTATTATCAAAAGAGACACACAAGACTGCAGGTTTAACATTGACATGGCAAAAGTTGGATTCTTGTTCCTAAAAATTCAATAAAAATCGCCAGAAAAAGACGTGATTAAATGAATAACATTTTCCAGTTATGTAATTTTAGGTTTGTGATGGTGTTGCGTTTTCATGTTGGCTTGGACAAAGGGAGATAGTTAAGATTCATCTTTTCTGCAGTCAGAGCTTAGTTTAGTTTCAACAACTGTCATAATGAAGGGCTTATTTGTAACACACACACGCCGTCAAACAGGCATTGAAAATAAAAACACTGCATGGCTCCAGTCTGGTCTCGTTTCCAGTGTCAAGATGTCCCATGCGTCGTGCGCAATCACATTTGACCGCTGATAAAAATAATAAATACAGCTGGGTCTCTCCTGTGTGGCCTAGCGTTCACTGCTCATGTCTGAATTAGAAAGTAGATCACGAAAATGGGCCAGGAGAGGCTGAACATATCAAGCAAGGAGGGGGAGCAAGGGCGGCTTCAGTTTAAAATAATATAAACCTATGATTGTATGTTACACTTAAGGTGAAACAAACGGGTAAATTCATTGACGAGTATTTAATTTTTCAATTTGAAGGCCATGAAGACAGCGAATAAAAAATATAAAATATCTTTCCTTTAGAGTTGATTTAAATAAAATTACATTTTAAGTGAGTGTATTCATCAATAACGTCCCTCTATTGAATCCTTAAAGAATTTTGGACTTATTTTTAGTTATTGTATCAAAAATTGTCTTTTATCTGTCATCTCTTATCTCTTTCACCTCTATCTTATTTCGGCTTTACTGTCTTTTTAGCTTTTGTTAAACTTGTACTCTTCTTAATTCACCTTTTAGGCCTTTTATTGTTTTATCTTTTGCTCATTTCTGTTTCTCTATTTTATCATTACTATTATTATCAGTATTACCTGTTATTATTTTATTATCATTGCTGATATTTCCTTTTATATTTACTATCCTGTTTCCACTTTGGACCCCTCTTTTAACTGCATTTCTTTTTTCTTAACTATTTTGTTTTTATTTTGGTCCTCGTGGTCTCATTATATGTTGCATGGTTCTTGTATTGTCTGGGTTCCTTCTGACATGAAAATGGCCTTCAATTACATTTTAACTGAGCTTTTTGTTTTTATCTGTATTTTTATGTGTGCTCTATGACTATATGTCAAAGCACTTTGTAAACTTCTGTTTTTAAAACTGCCATACTACGGTGGACGAGAACCGCCGCAGCTGCTGCAAATAAAAAAGAATGCAAAAAAAAAAAATTTAAAACGGATGTTACAGATGCGAAAAAAAAGAAACTGAAGCTCACTGCAAATAAAAAAACAAAATTGTGCAGCTAAAAAGAAAAAAATCTACAAAGAAAATTAATGACACAAAAAAAAGTAGTGATAGAAAAAAAAAGTTACTTCCTGTGAAAATAAAAGGATGCAAATAAAAAAAGCCACACCAGTAGTGAGCTGCTGGGGACAAATAATGATGATGCACTAGTGTTTTACGATCTAGGCACAGATGATAACGGCAATCCTTTATTTTGCATCCTTTTATTTTTGCAATACATAACTTTTTTCTTTTGCATCACCACTATTTTTGCGTCGCTAACTTCTGTTGTGGCTTTATTTTTATGTGCACCAGTTCTTTTATTTATTCATGTATTTATTTATTCTGCATTGGTAACTTCTGTTGTGACTTTTTTTTGCCTTTTTTTTTTTTAAGTTTTTTTTATTTGCAGCAGTGGCGGTTCTCGGCCACCGTAATTATTATATCAAAAATTGTCTGAAGAGTCAATTCAAGATTAAATAGCCATTACAAAGAGTATCCTCTCTTGCACACCTCCCAATAAAAGTCACCGCATAACCCCGTCTGTTATTGATAACCCATTAGCTTCATGGGCTCAAACGGTCCATAGACAGGGTGCTCTGGCCCTTTAAGAGCCAGTCTTCGCCTCTGTGATACAGAGCAGAGCAGCTTTGGATGTGAACTGCAGCACATCCTCAATCCTGCCGCTGCCAACCCACCTGACAGCACGGCGGAGCGGGCAAACATCGCCGGGCCAGCCTCCCCGGTTCACATCACAACAACCGCGGCGTCCTGAAGGGGAATGGGGGGGGCACTTAGCCCGCCTGCAAACTGACTAGATTTCCTTGAAGCAGAGACGTCCGGCGGTCGACCAGGATGGTATCGTGGATGATTTCGAGGATAGTGGTGTGAGTACGGGGCTGGGCTGCTGCTGTTGTGCTGAATTCACCGTTAGCCACATCAACGGCTCCTCCATTCATCAGCTGTTTGATGATGAACGCTGCGCCGCGCCAACTAGCTAGGCTGTTTGTTTCTGCCTCCTTTTAGAGACATTTCCTGAATGTGGAAACACTATGGTGCTAAACAGCTATTTAGGAATCAAAATAAGAAAGTGGCCGTCCCAACCCTTCTCTTGTTTCTTCATCTACGACAGTGATGCAGTACAATTTGCATCCAGCGCTTGCTAGCCCGTGGTAGCTAACGCATGCTGGCCAGCCGTTGAAGTGTTTCCACCTTACAGATGATGTCCTGGCAGGAAAATTAACTAATAGCAAGCTCAAGTGCTGAAGTAAAACCTGATTAATTTTGCCAGGTTACAGATAAATAATGAAACCCCAGACTGCCACTGCTTCTTTAAAACTGCACTGTCTAGATATTAAAGCTCTAGCTGCCCAGCATCTCGGCAGCATATGGTACCATGAGTTGGTAAAATGTTGTGGTGAGGCTAAGCTCAGCAGGCCATTTAGGGATGTTACTCCATCCATCCATCCATCCATCCATCCATCCATCAAGGGCTACCCAATGCACATATCAGTGTGGATAAAGTGTGTACTTTCAACATCATTGCTCAGAATATTTTATCATCCAGGGTTTATTAATCCTGTGATCAGAAGAGCACTGTCTGAAGTCTAGGCCTCTGCTTTCACCTGCACATACCACATCCCAACCGTGTGGATGACTCAACTAAAGCCTGCTGTCATCTTTCAGGTCCCATATGCTGGCACGTCTATAATTCTGCATTACTGTTGTCTGAGAGCACCTGTCTGTCAGTGTTCCTCTCAATTTCTGTGCCTGCTCTTGGGAATGTCAGCTCCAAATAACTCCAGATAACATTGCTTTTGAAAAAACCCAGGTTTAGATATGTGACTGATGTTCCTTTCCATAAATACTCAGCTTGCGTGGATTACATAAGTAGAGGACAAAATTGACAAACAGTCACTTTCAATGGCTTCCAGCTGGCTCTTCCACTTTACTGTGCCTGAGGTGATCGTGTGCTGATGGAAGGCAAACAAAGGGACTTGAAATACATAGCTATACATACAGCTGCCTCTGTGAGTCAGACCATTTTGATAACATAAGGTGCTACATACTTTAAAACTGGTGGTGAAGAAGTATTACTCCATTAAGTGTATAATACGTCTGATGTGGGGGTCACGTTTGAAATTCAGAGACGTAGATCTGAGATGGAAACACAAAGAGGCAAAGGGAGTCTTGCTGGGGGAATCTACTGGCGCAGCAGCTTGCTGAAAGTCGCCTTGGCTTACTGTACAAAGCTGAGAAATGTTGCACACATGACTGAGCAGCTCAGAAACTATCTGGGACAGAGGACCTACTTAAACTCCTTGAAAAACAAGACATCCATGGATGACCAACATCTGCGAGCACAAAACCTCTGCAGGGACGTGTGAATAATGTCTCATCCTTAGCTGGATAAAACATGTAACACCAAAATTAATGCTTTACACTTGAACAACAGGCCTAAGTAATAGTGTGTAGTGTACTGTTTTCTCTCTGATGTCCACTTACTCAGCATTAAACATCCTGTCACATCAGCTCAGATCACCAGAGTGGCACATCAAAAACACAACTCTGTGTGCACAGTGCCTGAATCTGCACACATGGTGACCCACCTCTGGCAGCCTTTTGTGTGTTTTTCCACTTGAACTGGCTGCAGCCTTCCTGACTCCATGATCTCCATTAGCTGCCATTGTGTTTTGAAAAGATACTGCCAGCCAACCCTCTACTGTAACACATCACTCAGATTAAACCCTAAACCAGCACGAGTAACTGAGGAATACAGGAAGCAGATTTCTTTCATTAACTCTGAGGCAACATGGCCAACCTGCTTTCTTTAAGTAGTAGGCCATGTTACCTATCTGAATCCTTCTTTTCTGACTTGGGTTTTTCTGCTTCTCTGCTTTTTGCAGCCTTGCCTTCGGGACACTCTATCCTGCATACTCCTCATATAAGGCTGTCAAAACGAAGAATGTGAAGGAATATGTGAGTATCACCTCCAGACACAAAATCACAGCAGAGCATTTCTGACTTCTGGGTTGTTTAGCCCTAGGCTGCTGCTGGCTGTTTTTGCTTTTTGTGATGTTTTAGATGCACATTTTGATCAGACAGTTTAGAAAAAGCCCACATTTAAACTGGTTTAACAAACCTACATGCATTTCCTGGAATGATTCAGAACTCTTGGAATTTGTTGCACATCAGCCAAAGACTCATTACCAAAATTGCGAGGGTTTTTGGCAGAGATCATTGCCTGTTAGACATAATGAAATTCAAAGAAATGTTGGCAGATGGATCCATGAAGTGAAGCAATGGGGGCATCAAAATGAGCACGACCTTACCTTCATCTCAAACCCGATTCTTTCATCATTCCACTTTTGAAAGACAAGTTTTTGTCTGTAGAATAAAACGCAGAATCTGGAGCCAGACTCCAATGGACAGGTATTCTTTATTCAGTTTGATGATTAGATTATTGTTATCCCACAAACACAAGACTATATAAGTGTGCATACACTTCATAGTGATTACATAATAACCCACTGGGCGATAATTGTCTGCATCATATGGTGCAGTTGTTTAAACCTTGGGGCTGCAAAGCAAAAATATTGGTTCATAAGAAGGTTACTCCTAGAGACACTGTTTAAAGACGGTCTCTTTGTTGATATTTTGTATTAGCAGTAAAAAAAACCAAATGTATATTTACGAGGGAATAAGCATGAAAGCTGGGAGACACTGATCTTGCACCTATAGCTTTTAAATACAAAAAACAATCCTACCTCTTCATGTGTAATGATTTGTAGTTTCAACATGCACTCCCTGCTTTTCCATGATGTTCCATCACAAACACGAATAAACATCAATCCCCCAACTTAACCATTTGTATATTAAAATCAGCCACAGTCTGAGTATAAAACATTAACATTGATCTAGGAGACATGTTTGAGGTTTAGCGGCCTTGTGCCAAGAAAGCTATCTCAGCAACACGATAAATAAAGTGGTAATGAGTTTGAATGTTGCCAGTGGAAATGAGGATATGAAGTAGTTAAATCCTGTTCTGCCTTTGGCAAAGAGTCAGGGTCCTCCCTGCTTACCTCATCACTGCAAGGGATGAGAAAGAAGGAAAGAGGGGGGAACCCAGGAGGCAGAGCAGGAGGTAGCGGCACTTTGGCCCTCTGCCTAGTTTTGCACTGGAGAATAGTCTCCTCCTGGTCAGTTACTATAGCAACCACAGCGACCCCCCCAACACACACACACACAATAGCTGCAAAAGACGGCTACAGGAGGAGCAAACGAGGAAAGGAGAGAGAGATAGAGGGACTGGAGGACGCCATTTTTAAAGTGATGTTTTCATTCCCTCTTCCGTCTTGTTTCTAATGAGCTGAATGATTCATCATTATGTTATACAGCCATATGCATTTTGCTTGTTAATTCCTTTAACTAAAATCTCTTACTGCTTTTCCCTAATTTAGTGAATTGGTTGGTTTTGCTCTAAATCACTCCTCTAAGTGTCTTTTCACAACCTTTAGTTATTTAGACAAAGACATGTGTTTTCTTTGTCTCCTGGGGACTAAGCATGCATACTGATATGATGTGACAGGACCGAAACATATGCTGCTTACTGCTTTGGTATGTCTGTGTAGTGCCACGTGTCTCAGCACGTGCACACTGAATGCTGTGTGTTTTCATGTGCTATATATGTCATGGTTTCTTTCCTTACATCTGTGCTCTCGTGTGCGTATATGTTTCTGCGTGCGTTCAGGTGAAGTGGATGATGTACTGGATAGTATTTGCACTGTTCACTACAGCGGAGACGGCAACAGACCTGCTCCTATCGTGGTGAGTCAGGAGCTGCTCGTGACTGTGACCCTAAACTAGCTTGTTATAAATGAACTGATTACATAATATCAATAGAGGCATTCATGTGCACCCAGTGTGAAGTATTCTTGATATTTTTGGAACACTGATGTTTGATAAAAAGTGACCTATTTTCATTTAACAGCAAAAATATAACCTACACAGATTTTTCTGCCTTTTAAATGTGTCAAATCAGCAAATGAGCACTTTTAAAGATGTATCTGTCTTTATTCTCATGTTACATGTCTTTAACTTCTCTAATGGTATCACTCTATTTCCCATCACACAGGTTTCCATTTTACTTTGAGCTAAAGATTGCCTTTGTAATCTGGCTCCTGTCCCCGTACACCAAGGGGTCAAGTGTCCTTTACCGCAAGTTTGTCCATCCTACACTGTCCAACAAAGAGAAGGTGGGAACATGACTGTATACATTCATTTACTCAACTAGTTTCCTGGTTTGCATGTCCCTGTTCAGGTTTCTTGTCCTCTTTTTTCTGTCTTCTTATTTACACTAAGTGCTAAATTTGTTGTCTTTCATCCTTGACCTGTGGTCTTGTGCCGTAGGAGATAGATGAGTACATCGCACAGGCCAAAGACAGGAGCTATGAGACCATGATGAGGTTTGGAAAGAGGGGTCTCAACTTAGCAGCTAATGCTGCTGTCACTGCCGCTACCAAGGTGAGCTGTTTGTGTTTATGAGGATCTGTTTTTTAAATTTGATACAAAATGCTTTAAAAGAGCTCACACAGGAATAACAAACCACTGTGAAGTTTGTGATTGTTAAATGACACCTGGAGGAACAGCTCCTACCTTTTTAAGGTTATTTTACAGCGAGTTAACACAGCTGGGAATTAAAAGTATTCCAGGGAAGCAGAGTCTCTCAGAAGGAAAGATTGTACACTCAGTGAGACACTTCGAGGGCAAACAGTTCAAAATTTCGAAATCATGTTCCTCAGCCTAAAGTTACAAAGCAATTTGGGATTTCATTAGTTACAGTGCATAATATTAAAAGATTAAGGGAGTCTTATGTGCAGAAAAAACCCAAATATATATACATTTTTTTTTATTTCTGGCCCCCAGGCTGCAATCTGTTAGATCCCGATGTGAATGGTAATACAGACTCTGTTGTGGTAATACTGCACAGGCTAAAAACCGCCACCCAAAACTCCTATCTGTGAACGGTTTGTCACTGTATCCGGTCCACAAATGCAGTTTAAAACCGTGTAAGGCAATGAGGAAACTATAAATTGCAATAATCAAGAAATGCCATCAACCTGTCCGGGCCCAAGAATTTTAGGTTAGTGAGATTTCTTCAGATTTGTTTGAATTTCAAATCCAAGTTTTGGTTTATTTAAATGCTGATAGACTCACAGGAAGAAGACTGCCTACATGGAGAAGGGTTTTGTTTTCTTTCAAGTTGTGGAAAAAAACTCAAGAGGCTAGTGAGATAAAATACTTTGGACTAGAAATAAATGGAACATTTATATTTAGAACTCAGGCTGATAAATATTTCTGCCAAGAATTTCTGTCCCCTGTCATCAGCCTTGTGTGGAGAAACTTGGACTCTCAGTTTTCACTAAACACATGAAACTGTGATTTCGAACAGTTCACTTCTCCTGACCCATTCCTTCTGAAACTTGAGGGATACAGGGCGGTAGGATTATCTTTTTCATTCTCGCACTAATCTGATCCATGTTGTTTGCCTTCCTGTTATGTCCAGGGTCAAGGCGTGCTGTCAGACAAGCTGCGGAGTTTCAGCATGCAGGACTTGACTCTCATTAATGCCGACGATGAGCTGGCTCTGCACACGTCAGACTCCCGCATGAGACGGGACCCTATGGATGAGATGAGCTCAGGGGCAAGCACGCTGCCCCGGGCCAAGAGCACCACTACACGGCAGAGTAAGGCTACACACACGCACAACAAACACGGCTTCTTTTACAGCTGCACGTGGCAATGCAAAGATGCATTAATGCATACATAATTTGTGTCCAGATTGGGTGACTGGGTTGAATTTTCCTCAGAGGACTTCTTTTATTTATGAGCAGGATTAGGGGTAATTGGGCCAAGTAAAGTCATGTGATTTAAGGCGCTGCAGGATGGAGGGGGGAGATGCAAAAAAAGTAATGGGGAGGGGTGAAAGCATGTGATTTCAAGTGGGAAGAGAGGCTTTGTGTCTCACTATACTGCTGGCTGGCTGTGTGGGTCTGGTGAGCTGTGAACTGAATACAGACGCAGGAAAACAACTTTAGCAGTACAAAGTGGCACATTTCAAAAACATACACAAATCATCCTATGAATCTTACTTAAGAAAAACAGACCATGGTGACTCAAATCCAAGCTCAAAGGTTGTCTAACTTGTGATTCAGAGCTGCCATCAACATCCCACAGTCTTCTTACCGGGACTGCAGGACACAGATTACAAAAATAGCTTTTCCCAAAGAAAAGATGAACAGATTAATGTTAACACACAGTTTCTAAACTTATAGTTTTTAATAATTTTGAAGCCCCCTCTTCACCTCACCATCCTCACACCTCTGACTAACAAATGCCTGCTCAAGAATGTTTTTGTGAATATTGTCTTTAGAACATACAGAGCTGCAGCTGCTGTGTCATCAAAACTGAAAAGCCATCAAGTCACAGCAAATTTTTGATCCCTGGGTAGTGGAGGTGAATCCCTGGGCAAGAAGTGACTCTTTTTTGTTTTTTTCTTTTGTTTTGTTTTGCCGATTGTGATGTTTGATATAGATTCATTGTCACTCTTACACCTGGTAGTCCTGTTATAAATCAACGTTACTTTGCCAGCAGTGTGTGAAACAGTGTGCATTGTTTTTATTAAGCCTCACCACGCTCCCTGGGGGGGCCCCCACCCTCCAGTTCGGGGATCACTGCGCTTAACAAATTTTTTTAAATCATTCTGTTGCCTCTCGGGTCTTGTGACCATCACAACCAAAGCTGTAAGCCTCAGCTGTGGCTCTGGTTTATATTAGGGACTTCCTTAACTAGTAAAAACATGGGTCCAGAAATCAGCGCTGGGAGTCTGCGTCACTGAATCATAGCCACTTTGGGATCCAGATTGCTTTCAGCAGCAGATGGTGTCTTTTTAGTCACCCAAAGATTCTCTCCCCAGAAACTGTAATGGTGGTTTGGCAGAAGAGCCTCATGTTGAGACCTTTTTCTTTTCATTAGACTTTGACATAATGTTAAACTGTAAAAGTGGTGGAGACAAAAGTGCACAAAAGGTCACAGGCAGTATCTACAGTAATGTACATGTTTACAAAAACATGCTTTTGAACATTTGAACACTCCCTTCATCAGGAAATGAACCCCATTGGCTCTGTCTCCCTTGTACCTTAGCTCTAGTGTGGTGTCATGCTGCACCAACTTAACTTATTAACTTTCTTATCCCCACATGTTTTGAGCAAGACTCACAAGCAACTGTCATTTAGTCACGCTAATATTGTGTCTCCTTATGCAGCTCGTTCATTGGCCCATGCTGATGATGCGTCGTCCCAACACAGCTCTGACCTATCAGACACAAGGACTGAACACTCTGATGACGATATTGGAGAAAAAGCCCCTAAACGCAGCACCAGCGTCAAGGCAACCAAGAAACCTGCAACTGCTAAGACAGAGGTAGGGTCAGTGGACACATTGCCTTTATTTCTTGTAATTGAACTCAAAGGCAGACCCTACATGTTACATGTTTCCAACTGAATTTTCTTGAGACCAAAAATAAAGAAAGTCAATGGTGGATTTCCTTTTGGTAGAGCTATGTATCCTGATCTGGGAGATTTGTGGGTACAAACTGCATCATAGCTATCAGACACTGTAATGTTTAGTTTGTGTTCAGTATTTATTCATCAGATGCACCTAAAAAAGTAACTTCATATCCTTTTTTGAGAGGATACTGGGTAATGCAATATGTAAACATGAGAATGACGCCATTACTTGGCGATTTTCCGGCAGATCAGTCCTTACAAAACTTGCTTGGCTTTCTCTTAAGCTTTGACAATCAGCTCTTGACAAATCTCTTCTTCTGTCAATCCTCTACCTTTTAAAATTGTGTTGATTTCTCTTTTATTCTCCTTCCACTTTTCTTCTCCCCCCCTTTTCCTTCTTCCTCCCCCTCTGCAAGGCTCAGACCAAGACGGTAAAGAAGACAACTACAACAAAGAAAAAGACTACAACCAATAACGCGGAGACGCCACCATGAGGCCTGCAGTCCACCTGCCTACACTCCACCCGCAGCTCGCAGACTGCTCTCCCCCTGTTAGGACTTCACACAAACACACAGATACTGTATATAACACACACAAAGATTGTGTCACTCTTGCAGGCCTAAATCCTAGCAAAGTGCTGGTTTGGTTTTTAGCAGTATGTGGCCACCTTTAGGTTGATAATGGGTCTTTAATATTTATTTTATTTAATTCTGTCTCCCTTTACACACAAACAGTCAGTATATATGTCATTTTATTTGGCTTTAAAGGTGGTAAGCAACATATTCATGAATTCTTAACATATGAAAGTCCTTGTTGTACAGGCCAAGAGTATATATTGTGTTCTCCACTACTTGTTTTTTTTAGATTCAAGCCCGTGTCTTCTCTTGGATATTCTTTTCACGTTCCACTTGAAAGCTAGATGGCCCACTTGTCCACTGTGAGCAGGTCCTGTTTTTCCAGAGATGGTAGCAAAGGTCAGATTTTTTTTGGTCTTGATGACAGACAGTTGCCATTTTCCCACAGTGGAATAGGACGAGTAATTAGACAAACTTTCTGACGAAAAAGTTCCTGCTTTTGTGTTTCTTAATCACCAAGTCCAAGTTTATGTCACTATCTCATTTTAAAGGATCACATGTAAATAAACCTGTTTTTGGTTCTCTATTTTACCTTTAGTTTACCTCTAGTTTGCCTCTGGAAGATTGCATCTTAAGTCTCAGAGTTTATGGACCAGTCTACAGTTTAACGGTCTATCCTTTTAATTCTGCATTTTTTCAAGTGAGTCTTGTTCGGCTATGTTCAGGTCTCACATCCACTTCAAATCATTTGAAGTACTGGGATCCCATCGTTTAGTGTTGGCTTTGTTATCCTTCATCTAAACAGATCTTTTTGAAGTATATGAACTGTCATTTCTCTTTGAAGCTTATATTTGAACCAGTTATTTCTGTCATGTGATGTTGGTAATAATTATGATGAGTTGTGCAAATTCAAACCTCTTAAGATAACTCTGTACCTGAGTGGTGGTAGCTCCCCCTCCTGAAGACAAACAGTAGTGTAGGAGTTACAGTTGTTATCAAGGCAACACATCTGCTTTTACCTTAGCAGTGATGTCTGTTTATTGTTTGTGTTAGGAAGTGACAGAGCTGTCTGGGAGCATTTTATACTTCTCCATCTTAGAATCCAGGATAAAGCTAAGCAATATAGAAATAACGAACCTGAAACCAACATCAGGAGGAAGCATTGTCTCATCTTCATGAGGTTGTTCTAGATGCGCAGGGAGTGACAGACCGGGCTGCGAAGTGTTTCAGAATACTCTGGACTTGGTTCTGGGAGTTGCTCTTCTAGTTGTTTTAAGCCCGGTTCCCTCTGAAAGCTCTGTAACAGAAGGCATGACTTTACTTCTGCACTCATTGCTGCTGCCTGCAGTGTGACACTGGTGTGAACCAGCAGGGGGAGACAAACCTCTTCTCAGCTGTTGGCAGGGCCGCTGATCAGTATGTAAAACACTGTAAATAGTAACCTTGACTGTACATACAGTATGAGCTTGCTTGCCTTATACATTCTCTGGGCTAAAATCTAACATTTTAATCGTTTATGTGCTTTTTAAAATTGGAAATAGTTTTGACAAATCTTTTGTTCTGCAAACAGAAGAAGCTTGGACTTCAACAGTGCTGACTTCTGATGACAGCACTGGTCCTGAGTCTTTTTTTACATGCTGACATTTTGTCCTGTCTTTCCATGTTGAGGCATTTGACTGCCTTCTAGTACTGAGTAGGCAGTCCCCTCACTTGGCCAGACCTGGTTTCAGTGCATTCACCCCCTTTGTGTCCTTCTCTCAGATGAGCCCTAAAGTTTGTTCAAAGCTGGGCAGGTTTTTTCCCTTTGATTTCACCTTTGCACTGAATAAAAAGACAAAATGGCACGAATTTAGAAACATTTTTGCCCACTCAGTTACAACCCTGCATTTTATCTTCTGTTCATGTCATTCCTGAATATTTATTGTTTATGCTCCCTTTTCTTTATTGTACACAGGGATGTTAATTTGTATATTGTTTGTGCCAATTTCGATGCTCCGTGTGAAAAACAAATACAGTATGTATGCTGGGACAATGGTATCTAACAAGGTCATGTATCAGTAATAAAACTACCAATAAAGGAATTAAAATCAGTGCATCACAAACTTTGATCACTTGAAAGGTGACCTTTGCTTTCTCACTACCAAGGTGACCCAGCACAAAAAAGGACCAGGAAAAAAGATTGCATTGAAAAAACAAACAATATTTAATTGTTTTCCTCGTTCACATTTCCAAGATCTCTCAGGGAGGAAAAGTAAATATAATAAATAACACACTCTTATAAATCAAACCTGAACTGGTCCCTTAAACAGAAAAACAGGATAACAATATTCTCAGCTATTCTCCCAAACTTCACAATAACACAATTACAATATTTAATACTCTGTACTCTGACAAATGAACTACTCTGCATGGCACTGGCAGTAAGAAAGGGGGGTCAGTACCTGTGCTCCAGCATCTCCTTCAAAAAAGCTGCCATCAGCTCCCAGCCAATCATGACCTGCCACACGATAGAACTCCTCCATCAGTTGTTGATGCACCTTTGGCTGCCGTCCAATCAGGAAGAAGAGGAGGACAAAGGGAGACAAAACAACAGCGCTCCTCTACTCGGTAAAAGAGAAACAATACAATGACCCACAGTTATAACAATCTGACAAAAGCTGAATATGACTTTTAGTCTGCTATTTAAGAGAGAAAACCAAACTTCTGTTTGTACAGTTTTACGGTTTCTCTTTCTATTGGGATCTGAAGTTTTTATTTTGTGGTAGTTATTGAATGTTATCAAGCATCTCTGACTTAACACTCAAAGGGTGTTATTAAGCACACAAATGAATTGCAAGAGGAACTACTAACACGAACTTTGGTGCCGTATGAAATCTTTCTTTTGTTAAATTTACAGTATGGGCTGTAGATGGTATCAAGCAAAGTATTACCTCAGTTACATATAAACCATCCGTTTTTCCTTTCAAAATTCCTCACTGCGTAATGTGAAGTTTATAAAGTATAAAGTTTATAAAGTAAGAGTACGTGCATGAACCTGAGGGTGAAATATCAGAATGAGGAAGGCAGTATAGATAGATGATTCCAAGGTAAGGATAATAATACATATATATATATATATATATATATATATATATATATATATTATACAGCACCTTTAAAAACAAATGTTTACAAAGTGCTTTAACAGAAGAAGCGACAAAGGCAGAAACAGACGGGGAAAAAAAGATAAATAAGAAAGCTCCACAGAACAGGAACTCTCAGGCAGGTATTTGATTCATTTTAAGATCATCATCTCTGGAGCGTAGGGAACACTCCTTCTCTCCAGCTCCTCTTCTCGGCATATTTAAAAAAAGTTGAACTTGATTCAGTGTGAAAAATCGGTCTTCATTTGATTCTTAAGCTGATTTATTAGAGTCAGTGTGAAAAATGTTCAAATATTTTAGATAAAACAGATTCATTTGAATTAACTTAAACAAGAATAAAATTGAAAAGAAACAAAGAGAGGGAGAGTCAAAAAAGACAGATTTAGCTTGAATTTGTTTGATCATGGTGAATGAAATCACTATGAGATGTAAGTATTAAATGTTTTTATTCAAAATTTATTAAATTGTTAATTTGTATTGATGTAAACACGAGTTTAACATTATTTTCACTACATCAAAAATATTGTCTTTTCAACATCAACAAGTTTTCATTACTGCTGGTCTGGCAGTGTAACTTTAAGTGAATGTCATGCACTGACAGCTGAAACGAGTCCATGGGGACGGTTTACAAGTTAGTTTATAAATAAATGCTCTTTCTTTGCTTCTTTTTTTTGCATCTAACTTTTGGGGGTTTGACCGCCAAACTGTCTCACATCCTCAATAGAAGCAAAACTGACAGCAAATCATTCTTTAGCCTCCTTAAGTTATGCTTTCCCATAACCTTATGCACATTTTACTTTCGTTTCAGCAGTTTTCAAGGTTGATTAGACCAGCCCACTGAAATTAACTGGATGGCACTCAAGAAACTCAGAACAGAAAAGAACATGTGACTATGTGGAAATTTACCTCACTATTCAGTCAACGCCTTTGTCATTGCAAATGTATGCTCTGAACACTTCAACACTAAAAAAGATCAAACCGGTTCATCCTGTGCCGCCTTTCCTTTGTTTGTAAGCTGAACTATTTCACACCCATACAAAATCACCTTATGTGTAATCATGGGACAAAGGGATATTTTGATAATGGAGAAACAAATCACATGCACAGAGCATCAATGTTAAGATTTTTGTCACCATGAGAAACGGAAATATTTCAGTTGCAGCAGTGATTTCATTTCACTACTTTCACAACAACAAAGTATTTGAGCTCTTCAAAATAAAAAGAGGAGAAAAAAAGGTTTATATTTCCCCAAACTTTGTAACAGCCACTTTATTCACGATGTTCTAAATTCAAATAAAAACATACAAGAAGTGATTTTGTTCACTCTCTTCAAACATGTGCTGGCCAGGTAAAATTGAGACCTGACCCGAGCCGAAATTTGTCTTGTTTTCCTCTTTAAATGTTCACCCTTTGTAACATTTTAGAGGATGTGGTATTACCTTTTTTTTTTTTAAACTGTATTATTTTCTTCTCATCCCTGTTTTAATTTACAGACAGTTTGATTTGACTGTGCACTCCTAATGTTCACACTCTCTTGGAAAATAAGATGGGTGAGTGCTGCATGGGGTTAGAGTATCCATCAGGGGTCAGGTGCTCTTCAGGAAGAGGACAAACAATATCATTTTAAAATATAGGAAAGCAGCGACTTGCTTTAAATGGGTCAATTAAAGTCCAGAGTATTTCTCTGTATTATCCATACTGTGGACTTTTATTGAAACAACAAAAGGCAAGTCACTGTCTCCCTTAATCATACTCCTGTTTTGTCCTCACTCAATGAAAGGTCCTTCTTTAACTCCACTCATTAAGTATACTAAACCCACATGGAGATCAAAGATTCAACTGTAGGCTAAGGCATTTATTTAAGCATGAGATAAACAAAGCACACGGAGCATAAGTGTCATGACATTTATTGACAGAAGCAGAGCAGAGCTGACAACAAATATCCAGAAAATAGTGCATTCGAGCAACAACCATAATCAGTGCTCGGATTGTGGGTACTCAAATGCTTAATATAAATTGAAAAATACATGTATCAAACAAATTCTCATCCTAACATATCCACATAGCTGTCCTGAGTAGAGGACAGAGCAGACAGTACAGATCCAGAAAATAATGCATTTAAGCTTCAACAGTAATCGATTATCTAATTACTGATAAAACTCAAATGTTATTTTTATTTAAAAAAAAAATATATATATATATATTTAAAAATATGTATTAAACAGATTCCTCAGTTGGGAAATAATAAAGCTTCAGAGGACTTCTGCCTTGGAAGAATAATTTCAGATATTCTTGAAACAGACGAACTACAGCAGAGTTTATATCTGTTTGTATTTCTTCCCTGATCTTAGGCATTAATCTACTGGCAACCATATCCTTCCAGACAGTCTTCGCTCTTTCTTTGATGTTTTGTTCAGTATCCATTGCATCAATTTTTTCTATCCCATATTCCACATGGTCTGTAATTGTTCCTGTGGGATCTTTATAGTTTTTCATCACATCGTAGAGGACAGATTCAGTAGCAGCTTTTTCTTTGTTTTTGGGATTCTTCTTCTTAAAACTGGTGTCCAAACGAAGAGGGTTTGTCGTATACTGAGGGTAGGTGGTTTGAAAGCTTTGAGGATATTCTAGCTCCCCAAATGAGTATTTGTTATCCAGTCCCCAAAACTTTGTAAAAGCCACGTCAACTCTGATTACAAATTCAGCACACAATTCTAAAAGCAAAATCATACAAGGGCATGCGTTACGTCTGCTTAGACATGGGCTGTTGTAGCTGTAGATAAAAATACTTTCCACCTCCTTTCTTTTTTTGCCAACAAAACCTTTCAGATGTTGAATTAGAATTTCCTCACTGTGTGAGGTACATTCATTGGAGGAACTATCAGAGTTGTTTTGTCGATGTATTGGTTCCTCAATAGGAAAATACTCAGTTGCACCAGTTTTCATTAGAACAGCAGCAAATGCAAATTGATTTGTCCTCCATTTGTGTTCCTCCATCTTGGGTCTTAGCTTATATTTTGAGATTATATCTGCAGGTAGTTGTTCAATATTATAATGGGGTACAGGTACAGCTTTTGTAATCCAATCAAAAAGTTTATCTGTCGGGAGATCTTTAATTTTGTTCAATATTTGTTTTAACAGTGAAATCACTGTATCCACAGAGCACAAATGGAGTGGAGTATAACTGCCTGCTATCCCAGAGTCAGAATCATCCTGGGGTGATGCTGATGATGAAGTTTCCCTTTTCTTTAAAGATTTGCCAAACTTGATGTAAAATGAGGTCTCTCCTTGTAATGTGAGTTTCTTGGAAGAACGAAAAGAGATCTTGTTTTTGCTGTGCTTTCGGTGAGAAGGCTCAGATGTTGATAAAATCATAATGCCATAATTGTCATCATCTGAAAAGCTGTTTCTCTTTCTTTTCTGTCCCGTAATTGACTTCTCAAAGCCGGAGAGCATGTACAGGACTGCAGATATTTCATAATCATTATTAGGTATAAATAAATTTACTGGGATCGGATCAAAATGCTCACTTTCAAGAAAAGCTTTTTGTTCTTTTCTTTGTACCTGTAAATCTTCTGTATTAACATTAGTCTTTAAGACTAATTGAAAACAATGTAAAACTTCTGCTGGGATTAACCGTTCTAGTTTCAGGTTAGATAGGACTGCTGGAGAATTTCCAGGTGGGTGAGTGGGTGTGATGGTCATAATCTCCGGTGTACAGGGGGGATCATCTTCCTCCTGGTCTTCTTCTCTATGTGATAGAAAGGATAGAAAGAAACTCAATTCAATTTGCAAAATTAAACACTTAACTTGTCATTATAATTTCATTATTGAACAGAACGCTAAAAGACTTGTCTATTAGTTTTTGTTTTTTCCTTTCCTTCAATTTAGCCTTCAATAAAATGGTTTTAGGCCAGTGTGAGATTTTATGTGTTTGATTTAGCTTTTTTTACACCCTAACCAAACTACCATCATGGAACCAGTCCACAGTGAGCCATCATGAATATTCTTAAGCTTACCTTTGAGGTAACTGCTGTTGTTCAGTAGAATCTGTTGAACGCATATCTTCAATAAACTCTGGATTCTGCTGCCTGCTCTTCTAGGTGGTGGGGGAAAAAAAGTAGATTACATTCTACAAGTCAGTGCAGATAAAGAACTAAAAGTCATCGAACAATGTGCTAAGAGAACATGGTGAACAACTTTTGAAACATCAGTTCAGTTTTGTCTCTCTTTTTTCTTTAAAATGTTCTTGTATTGTAAAATCTACCTGTATGGCTGGGATCGGCTTTTTACTGAGTGGTTGGTTTCCAGGCATGTTGTTGTCATCGAAGGTTTCAATGGAAGGAAACAGAGGACTAAGTCAGTTTCTGTTACACCTGAAATGAAACTACCTCCATGCAACCAGTCCACATAACTAGACTAAATCAGCCTTACCTTTGGGATGAATTTGGCTGCAATGCAGTACAACCTGTTGAACACGTATCTTCAATCATTTCTGGAGTTTGTTTTCTGCTTCTGAGCAGCTTGATAAAAAAAAGAGATTAAGTGCAGAAAGATAACTTAAGATCTGTGGAAATCATGAGAAATTAAAACTTCAAGGAAAGCTTAAGAGCTCTGGGAGAAAATGATCTCTTGATCTTGGTAGACAATCATATACATAAAATACATATTTAACATTTCAGCATACTGTATATACACCATAATTGTAGTTGTTAACAATAGAGGGAAAACAAATACTACTTTATTCACTTATAAAAAGTTTGACTGCATTTTGTTTGTGCTGCTTTTAAGCTAGACTTAGATGTTTGGTTTTGATCGAACACATTGATAAAAGGCTAAACGGAAAAATAAAAACAAAAACAATGACAAATTCCATTTAAAAGGAAAACAGGAGATGAATGTGAAAATTTATTGGACTTACCAGACTTAGCTTGCTGCTGTAACCCACTCCAGCAGGGGCTGGAGAAGCTTGTTTACTGAGGACTATACTAAATCTCACTGGTTGATGAGTTTAATGGCTTTAGGAGAGCTACAGAAAAAAGGTTTTCCAGCCCCTGCTGTGGTAGATCACTGGTATGTAATTGATGTGTGGTACACTAGTCCGTTCGTTAAGTTTAACCCAAACAGAAGAATTAACTTTAACAGTTTAACTTTAACGTTACTTTAACGTTACTGTTTTTGTCGAATCGTGCATGACAGTTAAATGCTCCCACATTAAAAGTGTAATGCGTGTAACATCAGCGTTTCCATAGAAAACCCTAGCTTGCAGTTGAAAAGGTAACGTTTTAGGTTAGCTAAAACGCCATTTTCTGTTTTCAAGAGCAAATGATCTTTATGTTAAAATAATGAGATAATAAGTCATTTTCATGCAAGAACAGTGCATCAAAATAATTTAAAATCCATGGCTGTTCTCGTCTTTCATTCATTTCAGACTGGTTTCCACATAATGTTTTTGTCACAGAAAACTTAGGAAGGAGTAAGTGTTCAAAACTATGTTCTCTGAAAAAGTTTATCTATCTATCTATCTATCTATCTATCTATCTATCTATATATCTATATATATATATATATATATATATATATATATATGTATATATATATATATATAAAATTTAGGGGAAAAAAATAAATCAAATAAATAAATAAAACACATTTTTTCTTTCATTTGAATTCTTTTTATTCAAAACTAGTAAGTTATTTAAAAAAATAGTAATAATACTATTGCTACAAAATGCATAATAATAATGCTAATCATAATAGTTGCAACAAAAAGGACAACAACAACAACAACAACAACAACAACAATAATAATAATATTCATTATTATAACAATGAATATCTTTTTTATATTCAGAAACAAACTTCACTCAATGGCGCAAAAAAACTCTGGCCAAGCCAGGAACATGGGTGTAGTTATTGTCTTGCTATTATCAATAAAATTACTAGTCCTAATTAGAATAAAACTAAACTGACAAATGGAAATTTTACTTTCATTTTTTAAATTAAAAATTGTAAACCAATTCAATGTTTATCAAATACTACTACTACTACTACTACTACTACTACTACTACTACTACTACTAATAATAATAATAATTTTTCAAATTACAATAATTAAACTAAAACTCATAACATCAATAATATAATTATTTAATGATCATTATTATTATCTTTATAACAATAATAAGATAATTAACCTGTAAAAAATTAATCTGTGCAAATAAAACATGTACTGGTCTTACCATGACAAACTAAAACTGAGCAGTTTGACTGTTTATCACTTCACACATGTGTCAGAGTTTCATAGGAAGTTAAAGATAATCATTCACCGTTTAAACCAGATGTTACAAGCTCTCAACACACGGTGGAGCTGTCTGCCCAAAAAAGAAATAAAGACTGTTCTTCATAATTTATCTTTAGAGACGTAAAACCCAGAAACTGGTTCTGAGCAGAAGAGGGCAGCGGTACACTGAGGAGTAAAGTTGCTTAAATATGATGATGCCTGATTTATTGGAAAATAAAAAATAGAAAATGATGAATATTTGCTGGAAACAACTTTTTTTTACTTTGAAGTTGAGGGAAAAATCATTGAACTTCAAACATTTTTCGGTGTGGGATTGCAACGCAGCATTAGTGCTACACACTCCCGCTTACCTCTGGGTATCACCAGCAAGATGATGTCTTTTAACCCAAACATGGCCCCATAAACTGGCCTGTCAGAGGCTGTGTGGCCGTGTTGCTGCTGAGGTGCGAGGAGGCTGCTGTTCCCACTATACTCCACCCCTGAGAAAGACAGTTTTGGACAGCTTATGTAACGTGTCAGCTAAACAGGGGAGACATTTGTGTGTGTGTGTGTGTGTGTGTGTGTGTGTGTGTGTGTGTGTGTGTGTGTGTGTGTGTGTGTTTGTGTGTGTGTATTTCAGGGCATTCACTACCAGTGTTTTATAGGTTGGAGGTGCTGGCAGAGGTGAGGAGTAGGGTCAAAGTGTCAGGACTTATACATCCTATTGGTCTGAGTTTGAGGTGCATGTATGTGCTTCAAGTGCATCTATGAGTGTGTGTGTGTGTGTGTGTGTGTGTGTGTGTGTGTGTGTGTGTTATTTTGTGAGGGATTTTTTGCCATGTACAGAGTTATTGCAGGGGTCAGCAAGTCAGATGTGCACATGCTCCTGGCATTAAGCTGCAGAAATGGAAGATTTTACCGAAAGGCTGTCTTATGGGTTGAATAGATTGTAAATGTATCACTACAAGCACTATACTGACGCGTTGTTATTTGCATCCAGTTTTTGCCATCTTTTCATGTAAATCAGTGAAAATCACAGTGTATTTATTATTATCTAGCATTTTATGTAGGATTATCTTTGCTTCAAATTCAACAGTTTAAATGCCAAAGTGTGCCTGTTGTCTGATTTCCAGCTTTTCTTTTCAAGTGTCATTCCTAGACAGAGTTTGCTGTAAATGTGCGCTTATGACAATGTGGCCGACACACACACACACACACAGAGAACCAACCACCCTCTCTGATCTGAACACTGTTCCTCCTGCCTTTGCCTTTGTAGAGCTTTTATTTGCTTTCTCCCTGCTTCTTGTTATTTCCTCTCATCTCTTTTATCTATTTCTATCTTCTTTTTCTCTGTTTTTTTACAGCACAGTGTCGGAGAGGATTGCAGGTATCCATAGCAACAAGTTTGTGCGTATGTTGTGTTGTGGGTGTGTGAGAGTGTATGTGTGCTCTACGTGTGTAGCCTCTTGTCCGAGACACAATGTGGTAATTACCAGAGCTTACCTCTGTGCTAATTAACCGTCGCCGTGGTAATTGGAAGGGTCAAGTGAGCAGGACGATTGGCTCACCTTCCTGCATCATCCACAACCCTCTCCTCTATCATCCCTCACTCCTTTTCTTCTCCGCTGACAACTTGGCCACTCCACCTTCACCCCCTGTATCTCACCCTCCTTATCCCCTGTCCTCCCTTCCTCTCTCCACGCTTCTGGCCTTCCTTGTCTCTATACCTTCATCACAAGCCCCTCACAGTCACTTCAGCACCACCGGGACTGTTGCTGACATCTCTCTTTGACTTCCTGGTGTTGTTGTTTTTCATGTGAGTATTCTCACAAGATGTTTTGGCCACCATTCCTCCCTCTCTCCCCGCTTCACCAGCTTCACCTGATCGGGCAGACTGACAGCTGGCTGCCAACCAGAGGTGGAGCTTTTGACCTTCACAGTCTCCAGGAATTCACAGCAGCATCCGATTAACTTACCTGGAAATGTTCACCTCCAATATTTTGCACCTTTAGATTGCAACGATAAACAAGAGTGTTTGAACTTTTCAGCAGGAAATATGGCTTCTTCTGTGCGTTTTATCTGCAGCCAAGTCCAAATACATTCCTATTACGTAAAAGAAAAAAAAAAATTTTGTTGAGCCTCTAAAACGACTGCGAGTTTCCTTTTTAGACCAATCAATCTAGTATGTTTAAAAATTCATACATGAGGATTTTCCTTACCAGGTTGATTCTGTTAAATTTAGAATACTTGTAAAAGAAAATTTGACCAAAAGGGACAATGTGAAAACAGTGTAATAATGCAAAAGGCTTTGCTTGTAGTTATGAGCCTGTTGAAAATTAGCTCTCCGATCAGCGGCTCCCCTTAGCTTTATTGAGCTTTTACAGCGGCTCCAGTTCATTGTTTAACCGTCAGGCCCACAGCTTCACTGTTATGGTTCTCTCTCACTACTCTCTGGAGTTGTTTACAGTCACATTAGGCAGCTGTTTCTAGTTAAAAAGCCCACAAACTCACTGTGCTCTACCTGCTCAGAAGTAAAAAGCAGATAGGCTCAGTGTTAAACACAGGGACATTTTGCTGGAGAGCTGAATATTCCCCCCAGGAGGTGGTGGAGACAAAAATCCAAGCAATGATTGAAGGATTACTAGACTTATGTTGTTGGTTAATACTATAGAAATGTTTGTAGTGACGTTAACCACAGCTGGCCTAAGCCTTAATGGGGACCTTAGCAAAATTTGATTTTGTGGCCCTCTATTTCTGCCAATAATATTAATTGTTGATCATTCACACACCTTCACAAATCTCTTTGATCCATGACATGCTAACATACCTTTATCTTTGTGTTTTTTCTCTTCTTCCTCTTTCTTTTCTCTGCTCCCGAAGGATATGTCCTTTTTTGCGACATTGCTTTGCCCCACAACTTCCTGCGCTTTGGACGCTCAGTGCACATTGCACAGCAGAAGACACATAACAGTAGCGGAGCTTTGACATATCAGCAGTAAGAATCATAGGCCTACATCAGCAGCAGCACTAAAATGATTTTAATTTATTTTAATTTTACAATAATATATATTTGATCATACAGAAAACATCACTGATATATGCAAAAAATAAAAAATATTAATTAAAGACATCCAAAAAATGGTGTTGCTAAAGCAGAAATGTTGATTTCCAACTAACTTCTGGCAAATCTGGACACCTGTAAGAAGTGGAGTTACTGCCAGTCTAACATCTTTAACTCACCAACTTGTCAGTCAATTACATATAAAAACATGTTTACCTCCTACCCTCTATACCAACAAAAGTGATTGACCAGTGGATTAATGAAAACAGTTGCTGTACATAAAAACGCACCCACTCATGATGAGTGAAAACTCTGGTATGGAGACCAAAATGATACTTTGCACCAGGCTGTAAACATGTTTAATCCTGCTATAAAAAGGCAATTTAGAATGAGCTCTTATGGGTTTCTTGGGAGTTTGAAACCAGCCTGAGATGGACACTCAAGGGCCTGCAGATTTTCGTACTTCTGCACCGGCTTCATTTTTCAACACCAGAGGTTGCCACTTACTTAGAAAGCCTGAAGCACAACCCGAAATGACCCGTTCTACTGACATATTCCCCATATTAACTAACAATATTTCAATATTAAAACTTAATTTCAATGCCCTGATAGGCCAAAAACCTCAATAAGTACTAGTTAAAGAAAGGACCAGGTAAATCAACATGAAAGTGGGTTGCACAGAAATATTTCTAAAATCTGTGGCAGCATTATTCAAAACAGTCGACAACTAAAAAAGAAAGTAAACTAGAACCGGAGCTACACAGACAATTCAAAACTAAATTAAACTTAACCTTTAAGACATAAAATAGTAGATGCTGGGTGCTGGTTTTTCTTTGTGGATAAATTGAGCCCCTCAGGAAAGGGGGCTTCAGTCCTTGAAGCTGGTGGTCATGGCTGGTGGGGTTTGATTTCAACCTGCTTTTAACCGCATGTCATTCCTCACTCTCTCCTTATTGTGGTGACAAGCTAATGTTAGCAACATCTGGTGGTTTGTTTCAATATTTAGTAGCACCTTTCAGCCGCATAAGTACTGTGTTTGGTAAAAGCCAGTTTGATTAAGTAATACATCAATCTACACTCAGTAAACACCTGAATTATACACTAGAAAGAGCAACTCTTTTATCGTTTGACGTAATACAATTTGAAGAAACTCAAACTCATTTAGTGTCCACATTTGTTGGCCACAGATATTTTAGTTCCTCACTGTTGTCTTGAAAAACTCACACTGGGTCAGTCTTGTGTAAAAGGAAAGTATCAGAAGTTTCCATGCAGGAGTACTTGATTTATGTTGTTTTGATTCTCTTCATACTCTCCATCAATGCTGCATGGTGTGCCTTTGTCTTTCCTCCTTTATAGCAAAGAGCTAAAGGGTCCTGAGGTGTCAGCTACTTTCCATGCTTTGCCCTCTTCTTTTTCCTATCCTCCCCATCGCTCCTTGAGGTTTCAAATTCTCCTAATCTTTCTTGTTCTCCAGGCTCATGAAAAGAAATCCATCTGCCCTTTCGGGGAGAGCGTAAAAAATAGTCCTGCAGCTTAAATCAGACAGAAGAATGGATAGAGGTCCTTTGAAAAGAAGAAAAGGTGCATTGCAGGAACGAAAAGTGTTCACAGGAGCACCGAGGTGAGGAAGTGCTGAAATATTTGGTGTTAGAAAAGAGTGGATGACATTACAAATGGGCAGAGAGGAAGAGAGGAAAAAACAGGCAGGAGGGAGTCACAGAGGAGAGGCCTGGAAGTCAAAAGTGTGGTGATAGAGAGGTTCAGAGAGAGTGTTAGATACTGAAAGAACAGAGAGAGCAGAGAGGAAAGAAGCTGAGAAGGAAAAAAAAGCAAGGATTGATGAGAAAGAGAAAGGATGAAGTGAACGATGAGAGAGCTGGAAGAGGGGAGATAAGGTGAGACGTGGGTTTGACATCATTACCGACAGCAGGGCTTGTGTTTACCACTCGGCTGCTGTTTACGGAGGAACTCATACTGAGAGGACACCTGGTGAGCTGTCAACACACACACACACACACACACACACACACACACACACACACACACACACACACACACACACACACACACACACAGACAAACATACACAGTGTCATACACAGTGTCTGTGAGCAGCCGTCACAGCACTGCTCTCCGTGGTGCTGAACCCAACATGGAGCAGCCCAGAGCGGGGCAGGACTCCTCCTCTGCCGTCCTTATGGGGAGAATCCTGCCAGAGGGGGACAACCAGGGGGAAAGGAGGGAGGGGGATCTATTTTTAACCACTCCGCTCATTGTTTATTAATGAGCGGGTGTTTAGTCAGACCTGGGGTGCTGTTTAATGTATGATGACAACGCCGCTCTCCAGGGACCTTTCCCATACTCCTCGGCCTGCGTTTTACATAACTGACACAGATTTAGGGGAAGTGGGCTGGGCAGGTTGGCCATGAGTGGGGGATGGCGAGTATGTGTGTATGTAGGTGTGTGTGTGTGTGTGCAGATATGAGTATCTTCTCTCCCTTGCTGCTAAGTGGTGTACACATGGGGAGGTTTAACAAGGGGCCACACTGAGGTTCCCATTTCCTCTTCATGCTGGGAGCGATCCAGAATTCAGCTAAGAAGCAGCGGTCTTTCTTTGATATGCTATGGATCCTCACATCCGATAAGAAATCACACCATGTGATATGTACAAATTGTCCATATTGGCATGTTTGTTGGTAGATTTTTTATAGATTTGGCAAACGGCTCCATTTCTGAACACATCACAACAAAAATCTGGGTGTAAAATTTGATACACATCTTGCTTCAATAAATCAAAGAAATATCCAAGATTGAATCATTTCTTTTCACTAAAAACTGTTAATTATGTTTTCATTGCACCCCATCTTGACCATTGCAATGACCCACTTACTGGCAGGAGTAAAAATATGTTTTTACTGTCTGCAGCTTTTATAAAATTCAGCTGCCAGGGTGACAGTAACTAAGAAACAACATCATATTTCAAAGGTCCCAAAGATTTTTGAATTTTTGCGATAACTTTCAAAGCACTTTCAGGCCTTCTGGGTAGCTATATCATGGTGCTGTAAACACACTGCTTTTCCACTTGCCACTTGAGTTCTGCAGAGGCTTTCTTTCCAGGTTATTCCAAGTTCAGCATCTGATGATGGAGCCTTTGGGGTCAATACTCTCAAGCTCTGGAAGTGCCAGCTTGTAATGAGGAGAGCAGCCAGAACTCTTTGTTCTCTTTAACCTTTTATTATTCTCTGATCTATGCACAAGTAAGTCCTATAATGACATCAGTGTTTACAGTCTTATTATTAGTATTATCTCTCCTTTTTTTTGGTTATCTAGCTGTTTTAAAACTTTCAACTGTTCTTTAAATATGTGCAGAGAAAATATGATTTATCTGGAATACTTTGGGATCTCATGATAAGCTCAGACAGAGGTGCTATCAATAATAAAAAGACACGGGGCTCACTCAGTGTGATTCAGTTGTTGGTGAGTTTTATCCAAACTGAACCATAAGCAATGAAAAGCTTATCCTGGAAACATGTTTTAATTCTTGGATAAGACATGTTTTTATATTTCCCTCTGATGTAGGTGTGATGGGTGTTAAAAGAGCTAGTATGGAGGAGGATGGAGGAGTTATCCGTTGAGCTTTCACTTGTGTTGTGGACATAACTTGACAAAACACAAGAAATCAGAAAAGGGCCACTTTAAAAGAAAGGGTCAGCACATGTCCCAGGAGTGAAGTTTTTTTTTTGTAGGATAGTAGGGAAGGTCCCGCCCTCCTTTGCCTTTGATTGGATAGAAGTGCTGGGCTCCGATTGCTTATTCCTTATGGCTGTGAAATGTCATCGTCTGTCAGGTTAGGGTTAGGAGATTCAGAAGTGCGATAATGTTCTGTATGGTTATGATGATTGCTGATAGCTGCCAAGCTACCTAGTAAATTGACTGCAGTAGAAATTTCTGTTCAACGCCTCTCCTTTTTAGTTTGAGTGTTTTATGTTTCCCAGACCAACAAGTGGGTCCTCTGAATTATCACTGGAAATGTTTCTGATTTTAAACCTGTATGGCTCAAATCATGTGGGAACACCGGGGGGAGTGAAATCTTAACCAGCACTGGTTTCTATTCAGCTGCTTCAATCATGCCTCCCTAAACCTAATGCAGTGGTAGCAGATGATTGTCTTATGTGAATCTGGTTCTGCCCGTGGTTTCTGCCTGTGAGGAGGAAATTTTACCTCTCCACTGTAACTTGCTAAATGCTGTAAAGTGTTACAGTTGAAGATGAAATGGAAGGTCTTTATCTTACAAGACAGGCTCAATCTTATTTCATCTTAACATTGGGTTGTTGTAAGAGGAGTATGAGAGTATAGTGTAGAGCAGCTTTTTTTTTTCAAGCACCTTGGGATAAAACTTGTGAATTGGTGCTGTATAACTGCAAATTGATTGATTGGGTAGCTTCTTTCAGCGCCTATTTTCTCTCTGTAATGTACCAACATTGCCTTGTTTTCTATATATATATATATACTGACATAAAGACAGAGAAACATGAAATTTAAAGGGACAGTAATGCTCTGGACATGCTCATATTCCTCTGATCACAGACAGTGAATTAGCCCTGCATGAGTGACACAGGTTCATCCTGACAGTTGCCTAGAAGACTCCTCTTGGTGCGGAGCAGAGGAGTGAAAACAAAGCAATTTGTTTCCCCATGCCAGGCTAATAAGCACACACACACACACACACTAGCACATACACTAACAAACACACACGGGCGCACAGGAGGGGTGAGTCACGAGAACTCAGGGCATCCGCTGAGCTTTAATGTGCTGAACAGACAGGAATGAGAGCAACAAGAAGAGAGAGAGAGGAAAGAAAGAGAAAGAGTTGGCAGAGAAAAAGAGACAAGGTTAAGAAAAGAAGGGGAAAAGAAAGAAGGATGATAGTCAGGCTGCGGTGGGGGGCAGATGATTACAGGGAGCTACAAAGAGAGATATGCTGTAGCTTAATTGTAGCATAAATACATAATAATGTAACACAGAACAGAATTTAATTAACATTCACATAATCTGTGCTTTAATAAGGCTGTTATTACTATGGGGACACTTCATTTGCATGTAACACTCAACACACACACACACAGACATACACAAACTCAATGTACAGAACACTACAAATTAAGAAACTACTGCAGCCATCATCAATAATAAAGAAAAGAGACTCTGGAAGACAACAGAACAACTGAATCATACTGGTCCAAAGAACAAAGCAGACAAATGGCAGCATTAGCACCTGTTTGTGCGCGCGTGTGTGTGTATGTGTGTGTGTGTGTGTGTGCTCACAGACAGCTGACAAAATGATAAAACTACAAGCCAAACAAGTATCAGATGCCTAGGAAGGAGCCAGACCGCCCTCGTCTCTGGAGAAGCTTTAACACTTTGGAGAAAGAAGCACACGCAGCAAATAAGTTAAAGGGGCCTTCTGTCTGTCTCCATCTCCTTAGTTTATGTGTGTGAACCTAATGATAATAATAATAATAATATATAATAATAACAATAGTTTAATAAAGAGCATTTAGTGGTCAGTGTGATATTTGTATCAGCGTGGTGTAATTTCATTTTTGTCTCATGGTTTACAATTTTCATTTATTGACATTCTGTATGCACTGTGTGCACTGGTTGTTTGCACATGTCCGTGGTTGTGTGTAAATGAGTGTGTGTTCAAGTCTGCATTATTGAAGGCACGGCATTTCTCTATTTTTCTTTATGTAACATCTGCCCTGAGCTGCTGACATGCCTCCCCCATGTGTGTGTATCTTGTGTCAGTGTGTGTATGTGTGAACCATTGAGTCCATGTTTACATAAGAGTAACAGGGACTTCTCTGTTCATGGCATTGGGAAAGCCCTTTTTCCTCCCACATCCGCTGCTGCAGTCTGTTAGAGCCAGTTGAGTCTGCACACACACACACACACACACACACACACACACACACACACGACCGTTGCGACTGGCAGCTTGAATAATGAAACACGACCCTCTTGATATGGCTTCATAAATATTACATCAATAATCTGACATTAATGGGTTTTCTTTCCATGTAATCCTGCCTACTTATTTTCTCAAAGCAGCCACACAAACAACAGAAACTCCTGGAAAGTCAGAGCCTTTCTCCTCATAAAGCACATTATGAGGCCTTTAGACAACACTTGTAAGTTTCAGCACCATTGTTTCATTCAGACACTCTGTATCCTGAGCATTTTGTCACAGGTTTTATATTCTTTACAGTCTGATAACTTTAACTGTTGATGTTCGCTCTGATATGTCCTCCTCTCTGTGATCGCAGGCCTCACAGCTGTTACAGCATGGGGAAACCCTTTGTACTTCTGTGTGTGTTTGCTTTTGTAACGAGACTGCTGGTTTCTAGGGAAAGCCAAGGGCCAACCTCCACCACCCACTCATTGTTTCTGGGTACCTCCCTGTGTATCTTTGTGTTTCCCTGTCTATCCCTATCGATGTGTGTGTGCAGCTGTTTGTGTTTGGGTGGGGGCATGCCTTTAGCTGTAATGTTTCCCTCAAAGCTGACCACTAGCCCTCCATCTTTTTTGCCTTTTTCTCTTTTTCTTCTTATTTTCCATCTCTCTGCCCTTTCCTTAAATCGATATCACTTTAATGCGTTCACCCTCCCGCTTCCTCTCACTGCTGTAATCTATTATACAAACCACGGGCACAGACGGGGATGGAGCTCAGTCGTCCTCCTGTTCAGATATCATTGCAGAGGGCTGAAGTATGTGAGAGGCCATGAACCCAAAGACTTGAATTCATATCCCATGTCTTTGTTCAGCCGTATATATGATTGTTTATAGCTGATGTGGGCTTGAGCTGCTGACATTTATAAGCAGAATAGGAGGGGGTAAATGTATGTGAGGCCACATACCTCTAGGAGTTTTATCTATTCACTAAAACCATAATCCATTTGCTTCTTTTTCTTTGCTTTGTTTAAGTGTTGGATAAGATTGACAGGGCTTGATTGACAGGCAAAGGGATTTGGTCTAAATATATCAACAGTTACATTAACTTTAAAACCTTTATCCGTTTTTCTCTTTTGCATTAATTTGAATCTTTTCATCACTCTTTTTTTTCCTTTTTTTTTTACAATTGTTACTGTAGATGACAGTCAACTGGGGGGGGGGGTGACTTTGGCTAAAGGCTCTGGATAAACATGCTCAGCATTCATGTGCATGGAAATGCTCCATTGTGCAACATCAGTTCTGCATGGCTGTACTAAATCACGACAAGAACATGTCTGTTGTGTGTAAACATCTCAGGATGAAACACTCACTGCTCATCGCTAGCACAAGCACTGGCGAACCAAGTGGGATGCAGGATCTTATGTTACACCTAGTTGACTTGTTAGTATTAATGGTCCTTCAAGTCATATTGCCTGCTTTGCTTACACAACAGCTCAACCTGACTTCAGATTTTTCACAAGGGGCTGGATTAAGCAGTCAGGGTAAAAACTGACTACGTTCACTCATGTAGCTCTTTAAGATGACTAAGATTTTTTACATTAGAAGTCTTTTATGTATGAAACCTCCAGTATCTGTGAACATTGGCGCCCCCCTGAACCTGGATTTGGTATCTGGATCATGTTGATCCTCTCCAGTCTTTTAATAAAAACATGATACATGTAGAAAAAAAATCATAATCCTTGATAAAAACAAAACATAGATCACAAAACCTGAAACGTTTTTGTTAAGATAAAAGTTTTGAATATCCTGGCCAAGGGGAACACAGCATTAACCCGTGAATGCTGGCACTCCAACCCAAGAGAGGAGCCTTAAAAAAAACCTTTAAATGGCTTTACAAATGTGGAAAATTAAATTTGAATAATCTTTTGGAGCAAGTTACTCACCAAAAATGGTGAGGAAGTGAGTTTACATACACCAGTCAAATGGCTGAAAGATTATCTAAAATGAAGACATACAAAGAAATCACCTTGGAGAGTTACTCACTGACCTGTAGTGTCTTTCTCTTAAATTTATCCAAAGGTTTTTGTGTTTCGGTGCATAACTTTATTTTGTATTGTTTTATTTGTAGCAATTAGCCATTTGTGGGCTTGAACTTGACTTATGTGTGTGAATAAACTTGTATGTCTTTTTTCTGAGTGTTGATTCTTGAGAACTGTAAGAAAAAATTTAAAAAACTGACTTTTTTTTGTCAAGAGTGTATTTTCTTCAAAAGCATACACAGCCCCTAAAGTCTTTGAAAAATTCCAGTGTCTATGCTTAGCTCATGTAAATAACATCTGTGTAATAAGATGCTCTTATTTGCGTAGCTCCAGCTTCATCTCTTGACATCTCCATCACTCTCCTTATCTCCAGTCTTAACCAGCATGAGTGTGTGCCGTAGTGTGGAGCTGTCCATTGTGCTGAAACTAACAGAACTGCATCGTCATCCTACCTGCATCTCTAATCACAAAAACATGAAACAAGAACTGGCATGTCAACATGACACCCACTCAGCGAAATGCCAGAGGAAACCCCATGGAGGAGCGATACACCTCCGTGTCATCTGACAGTGTTCACACCATTTGTTTCTGAATTTATTCAGTCCATTATTGACTAATCAGCCGTCTGCCTGTGTGTGTGGAGTGATACCGAGTGTGATGCGTGTGTGTGGGTGAAGTAATAAGTAGAGCCTGTAAGTAGCAGTGTGGTGGGAGGAAAGGTACTGGCTGTTATTGGATGTGGAGTGGGAGGCAGGCAGGCAGAAGCAGGGCTCCCCTGGTTACTGTTGCTCTGTGGGTGGCTACCAGCAGCCAGGCTCTCCTCATGACACTGTCGCTGGGCTGAGGGGGCGACGGACGGGAGACTACCTCTCTCTCTCTGTCTCTTCAACTCAAACTCCCCGCCCACTTCCTGTTCCTGTTGTCCTCCTTCTCTTCTTTTCTCCTTTATCCCACCAACACGATCATTTTTCTTTCTTTCTCAAGGTCGCTCCACTATTTTTCTTTCATGGGTTTTACCTAAGTCTCCTTCTCACGCTGTCAACCTCCTCCCTCTGCTCTTGAATGGAGGTTCCTGGAGCCTGCAGTGGTCAGAAGAAAGACCTTTTCTCCACCCACCTGACCTCAGCCCCCCTCCCTGCTCTACTTGTTGCTTTCTTTTCTATTTCCTCTTTACTACTTTATTTTCCTTTTAATGTGGATTTCACCACCGACTAACAATCACAGTTTACTTAAAGTTCAACTCACCGTGTAAAATCATTGTAAAGACACCGAGCTTCTCTTTTTATCATCTATTACAGTTTTCTGTCTTTTTTCCGTGTTCCCAGTGGTCACCACTTTGTGCGTCACTTCTTAATGCCTGTTTTCACCCAGTTTTCTTTTGCTGTCTTTATTGCTGTGTCCATGTATATGTGTGTGTGTGGTCAGCTGTTCTAAGTGCTACACAGCTGATGTCAGATTGGTTAGTCTCAAAGCAATAAGGCAGTAATCTCTTAAAGGCCCAGAGGCTTTTAAGTCCACACCTTCTCTCATCTCTCTCCTTGAACGCCTCTTCCTCCCTCCTTCCCTCTCACCTTTAGAAAGGAAGACTATATTACCTCTAAATGGATCTTTTGGTGCGCTGATGCCCTCCGAGCTCGCACACACAAACACACACACGCACACACAGATGCATACATGCGTGCTTACACTCTCACAAAAAGTGCCTGTACACACACTCATGCTCCTTTGGACGTTGCTGTGCACCCTTCATCTTTATGAAGCTGAGAATTATCCCACCATAGGTAATCATAACTTGCCATACCTGGGACTCGTACAAATACACCTTGGCCCCTTTTCTCTTATAATGTGTATACAGTGATCTAACACAGACGCTGCAGACCAGGGCTTGATAGTCTTGAAACCAAGGGGAATATTCAGTGACCTAATGCTTTTACACTCCGTAGACTGTGTCACATTTGTGTGTCAGAAATGAGCAGCGCAGGACAAACTGTACTTCTGTCCCACATTTTCGTCTCGTCTCTGTGCGCTCCGTAGAGGAATAGCTTCGGAGCGCACACGCATTATAACCATGCCTTCATCACAGTGTGCACAGAAATAGAAGCACGCTATGTCGTTTGATACAAAATGTGCGCTTTGGGTGAGCATGAAAGCAGGAGGGGCAGACAGGCGGGAGTGAGATCTGCCCCCAAGCTAACACTTATATAACAATATGTCTCGGATATATAGCACACAGAGGATCCATACTGCTGTTAGTCAACAGTAGAGTCATTTAATACCGGCCTGTAGGAGCCTGATGTGCTGATGTGCATATGCATCCCACAATATTTTCCACTGCCTCAAAGTTTAGAAGAAACTTGTGCTGATAGCACTTCTACGAAAGTTTAAAGTTAGTACTCGAGAGTCAGAACTGCAGCAGCTAGAAACAGGCCTGAGTTGCATACTTAGACTTTCCTTGGATCCTGAGCTGTCTCTATAGCAACCACTGTAGGCAGTTGCTGTGGTAATCACTCGCTGTTCCTGCCCCTGGCATCGTTAAGTGTTTGAAGTTGTCCCAGAGGTGCTCCGCTGAAAGGGTTAACTCCAGTTCTCCCCTGATAAATGTGTTCGCCGGCACGCTTATTTGTCTCTTTGATGTTTCACAGTGGAGGGGTTATCTGGCATTCAGGTCTATCTGGAGGTGTTTGGAGTGTACAAGCGGCAGGCTGCAGTCTGACATTGATGCTAAAGCCAAAAGAATAGGTCAATGTGTCTGCCGGTTTGTAGATGCGCTACACCAATGAGATGCCCACCACTCAGCGCTGTGTGGCCCCCCTCAGGTGATGGGGTGTCAGAAACAGTTAACCCGGGACAGCAATGAGCGCTGACACCAGTCAGAATGGCAGATGTCCACATGACTGGGCAGGGTGGCACATGAGGGCACGGGACAGGCCAGGGCTGGCTTCAGAGACTGTGCCCGCAAGACATGGCAGGAAGTAGACAGAGGGGGTTCTAAAGAGGGTGTACACTGTGCCCACCTCTGCTCGACCTCTCAGAACCTTAGAGCCACATTAAAGGCTGACGAAATTGATTAGACACTGAAAATGGCAGTGACCTGATGGAAACATAGTACAAATGTGTGTGTGCGAATACTCAAATATCTGTCTTTGTGAGGACCAAGACTTTTACAGATGCAAAGTGAGGACATTTCTATGAAAAAGTGAAGTGACCTGTAACGCATTCAAAGGGATGTTAGAGTTAAAGGAATATTCCGGAGTAAACACACCGTAACACTGAGTTAGACACCCTGTCGAGAGATGAATGTTGCTGAATGTTACCACGCCTGCAGTACATAATGATTAACATGATGATTGTAACTTCAAGGAAATGATAAAGTAATGATCATAAATGTTCTTCCTTGAGCTGCGTCCCTCTGCTGCAGTCGATGGACCCGCCCAGAGGTCTTTGTACAAACAAGCGGCTGGGAAGATGAGTTGTATTTAGTTTCTTTGCTAAAGAAATCAGTCAAAGCTAAAAAGATGTTTGGTGGCTAGTGCTATGGCTGGGACCCTATATGTACTATTGATGAAGTTAGGTGCTGTTCTGAGCATTATTGTGGCTATAGAGTGGCGTTTTGGTTGAGCGTGTGGCTCTTCGTATTGCTATCCTGCGGTCGTTACCAAAGTTGGTATAACTAGAGAAGCAAGTGGCCGGCAACATTCATCTCTCGATAGGGGTGTCTAACTTGGTGTTACGGTGTGTTTGACCCTAGCCTAATTTTATGCCGGAATATCCCTTTAAGTGCTCCTGAGGTTCAAGTTGGTAACTGAGAATATAAAGGCAAAAACAAACAGTCCTTGTAAGGATGGAAATACAAAGGATGTTAGAAAGAGAGTCTGGGCCCATCAAAACTGACAGCAAAAGCAAGTTGTTTCCAACAAATTATTTGGGCAGCATATAGACTCGAAAACACCCATCATGCTACTGTCAATCACAACTACAGACCAGCGCCCTCTGGTGGGCAATGACTTTAACTCAGCACTGGTTTCCCCCTTTTGAGCAGCATCTATTTCTGATTCCTGCCAAATCTTGTTTCAAGGATCTGCTCATTCACTGGATGAAAAGGAAAACTCTGCAGCAGCAGGTTTGTTTGTTTTCTTTGTGCGACAAAACTCCGGTGTAAGTGGTGTCAAAGACAGTATTTGACAGGCATTGGGTTTTTAAACATCTGTCCCAAGTTAAGTATTCAATTTCTATATTGGAAGTAGGGCAGGAGAAAGTTTTGAGTGAACTAAAATGCTGAGCTCTTGATTTTTTTTTGTGGTCCTTTGAGCGTTTTACCAGAGCACAGCGAGCTCAAGATCCTGCAGAAACCTTCAAAGACTGGAGAGCCTGGATTCATCAGGAAAGACCAGAATAAAGTAAAAGATAAAAATACACTATCTGCACCGGAGAGGAATCATTTTTATCTTAAGATATTTCATCATCTTTCATCAAATTTGAGGTAAATTCTTGAGGATGGAGCTTTAGATGATGCTGTTTTCTCAGCATTAAGAGGCGTCAGTAACTTCTTGGTTGATCAGCTCCAATCTTTTTCTATTTCTATTCAATTTCTTCTGGCGTGTTTTTAGTGTGAACTAGAAATACTGGCACAAAGTGGGATGACTGAAGATGATGCTGGCAACATTTTGCACATCAGTTGTCTCATCATTTTTAATTTGAGTAATTTTTTTTCTTTCCTTCAGTGGGACTTTCGCACACATCCATGAGCCTGCTTTGCATTTAATCTGGCTCTAGACTTCAGCACCAAAATGGAAGTCCTCAGTTGTCGGTGGCCCAAGAGCGTGAGGGAGAGGTGAATCCCAGGAGTTTAAGCTGCACTTATGTAAGCTCTGATCTGATGTGCTGGCAGGCCCTTGCTGACTACTTCTCCTCTCTTCTCCTCTCAGAGATTACCTCGATTACTTTGGCAATACATCAGAAGGAAACCAAGAGAAAAAAAGGCAAAGGGATAGCAAAAAAAAAAATCTGCTGCATGACTAAAAGTGTGGCTTGATCATAGCTACCGGGTAGCTGCTGTATAGTAGGGAAGACTATACTTTGGTCAAATAAAAGATTCTGTTTTCTGTCCTGTTTTTTTCTTGATGCATACGACAAAAGGCTTTGATAAGACTGACAGCCATGTGTGTGCAAATGGTAGCAGCACAGTTCATAAATAAAGTATCTGTTTAAGATCAAACGTACAGCAAACTTCAATTCAGCTGACAGATTCTTCAGAGGCAGTGCAGAAGATGGGGCTGAAGTTGATACGGTATTGTAAAAGCTGCATCCAAACAGATGACGGAAAAAAACCTCCTTCCACATTTTTCACATCTTTGATAATAAATCTATAAGTGAATCACCCCCTCCCTCTTTCTTGCCCTCCGTTGTTCCAGCGCTTCATCAGAGTGATTGGCTTATAAAACATGTCTAATCTGCTAATACTGAATGAAGAAAGCCCATCATCTTGCAGACTTAACCCCCCCAACCCCCCACCCGCAACACCCGCCTTTGTTCTCCTTCATCTCTGATGGAAATAGCAACACATGGGCCACTGTGTTTGTCTTTAAGATGGCACACGGCTAATCCTGTGTGAAGCTGGAGGGATCTCTTCAGCTACTCTTGTCAGCGTTGATTTGTCAACAACAATCTTTTCATTTCCTCTGTAAGCTGACACCATCATGTCTGAGCGATAATGTGATAGAGGCGAAGCTGGATTGAATCGGAGCGGGGTGCGTTTGCGAACCAGGCTTCCACTCTGCCACTGAACAAGTGGAGCTTTTGTGGGGTTTGTGCACTGTAGCTTTAAAAGAGGAAAAGCACAACAGTTTAACAAACAAGCCAACCAACAAAAAACTGTTGACTTAACTGTGCTGATTTTAAAGACGCTTGAAGGGGGGAAAAAAAAGCGTATACATAATGCAGAGCAGCCATTTAATCATGCAATTGTTTGAAATAAGGAAACAAGTATTGAAGGTAATTAAAGATTTCAGCCATGGTCGTCTGGCTGGTGAATATGCAGCTATGAGCAAAAAGAAGCAAACAACAATTAAAAAACCTCAATAGGAACACCCAGCTTAAAGCGAGCAATCATGTCCGAGATGTTGGGCCTAAATGAGGATGTTGTTTTCTCTTTTCTGTTCTGTCAATCTCCGCCAGAAAGCGATTTCCTCCTGAAGAGTGGCGGCCAGGGCTAAAAGCATGTTTTAATAAGCGCACTGACACATCCATCTTTGTTTCGGAGAGATAAGTCACAACGAGCGCAGAGCAAAGCATCCGGGGCTCGCTGGAAGGATGCCCATTGCTGCGTATCAGTCGAATGTGCTTAGGCGCACAAAAACACACAGACGCGCACTCGCATTCAAGCACACATGCACGCACATACAAACAGAAGAAGCTGTCACCCTAACTTAAATCCTATTTACCACCAAACCAATGGAATTTCTCCGTGGAGCCGAAGGTGGTTGGCATGTTCACTTTATGCCTCCTCGGAGATTAGTGAATTCAGCCCTGCTCTGTTCCCACTGTGTCTCCTTTTAAGTCTTCCCTCTCATACTCCCCCTTCCTCTTCTTCTTCACATCATTGCGCTGCATTAAATGTGCTTTTATTTGTTTATTTATTTATTTGTTGTTTTTCATCTAGAGAGGAAAAAGGAGTGAAGTCTCAGATACCTGGGACTTAGAGCTGGCTGAGGCTGGCAGCTGTGCGTGTGATTGAGGAGCGTGACAGAAATGTCCTCATTAGGTCTCCGCAAATGCTGTGAAGAGAGGCACGCTGCACAGGGGAGGGGAGGAGAGGAAGGAGGCAGGAGGAGAGGAGAGAGGAGAGGAGAGGTGGAAGGCAAGGAGAGAGGAGAGAAAAGTTTGCGAGCTTTTGACACTTGGCGCCTTTTATCTGCGCGGTATCTCAGGGTTTAAAGTTGAGAGTGCTGTAAAAGATTTTCATGCCGAAGCACACAGGCACAAGTCTCTCTCTCCCTCTCTCTCTCTCTCACACACACACACACACTGAGTCACAAAGTGCATCGGAGTAACTCTGTGTCATTATTATACACTATTAATTAAAGAGAAATAATAGAAGCCAGATGAACTTCTGTTCAGCCTAATTATCATGTCTTTGATACCAAATTGTGCAGAAAAAGAGAGTGTGAGGGACTGAGCGAGCTGTAGAGGGAAAAAGAGAGGGAGGATGGGGAGGTTCAGACTGGGACTTGGGACTTTGGGAGTGAAACTCGGTGAGAGGAGGATCTTACACTGCATCCCAATATGGCACCCATAACCCTTCCTTGAAATCAAAGCTCGGTTTCTTAATTACGGAATGAAAAGAGTTACACATGCAGGGAGCTGAAGACTAAGACGGACTGCAGGGAGGAAGAAAGGGTGTCGGGTAAAAGAGGGATGGAAAGAAAGGGATAACAGCAAGGGGTGAAGGGGTAGGGGGAACTGTTGCTCAGGGGAGAAACAGAAACAACAAAACAAACAACAATCATCCGTTTTATCTCACCGCTGTTCCTCCACGACTCGTCCTCTACGTGCATCTAGTGATCTCTGAACCCCGCTTCCATGCCAACTCCCCTGTTGCCTTGTTTACATGTTGTTGCCGCCGCCTTGCTCACAGCACGTTGATCATTAACATCATTATATGTCTATGATAGTGCATGTTGAGTCACAAATCAACTCTTCTTGCTTCCTTTCTGCTGGTCTAATGATGTGACAAACTTTGCAACCTTTTCTTTTATTGAAATGTGTCTGCGCTCATTGTCATTAAAGTGCTGCAAAAACACACCTGTTTGTTGTGGATGTGACAACTCGCAACGCAGTGTGTGTGTGAGTGAAGTTCCCCCGGCAGCTCTGCCGCCTGTACAAGAGACGAGATTCACCAGAGAGGCAAACGAAAGGATGCTGGACTCAGCAGGAGTGACAACAGGGTGATCAGCGGCGGCTGCAGGAAAGATATTCAGCAATAAATGGGATGTGAATAAGTCAAACGGGGAGAGGACAGATAGATGGAGATATGCAAGGAGAGAAAGAGGAAAAGTCAAAGCGATAGGGGAGAGGGAGAGAGAAAGAAGGAAGGAGAAAGTGGTGGCACAGCTGAGGTTGACACTAATGAGGAGCCTTTGTGATGGGACCTGACAGAGGAGAAGAAAGCAGAATCCCCCGACACCGATGCTCCACAACACTCCTCCGCTTAATTGGGAGAGCCAGAGCCCACAACGAGACTGTGTGTGCGCCAAAAGAGTGTGTATCTGTTTTGGGAGGAGTAAGTGAATGTAAGACAAAGTAGACTTATAGATGCTCTCCTAATTAAGTCAACATATTGTGTGTCGGTGGATAAATGTATGTAATAGCACTAATGTAGGTATTCACAGCTCACTCTGTGTTCTTGGTGGATTTTCACACTTTTTGGTCCAGAATTTCACGCTTTTAGTTGATGTTGGCAAGATATGCAGCTTAGAGCATTACATGCACACTGATGGCTCTGAGGTTCACACATCGGATATCTGCCATCTTCTCACATTCTTTAAAAGTGTCAGGAATCCGATGTAATAAGCCCACCCCTCTGTCTTGCAGTCGCCACAAACGTACATGCATACTGTACACATGCACTCACTCCAGTGACAGCACTTGCGCTCGCATGAGCCGAGGATTAGCGATCCATGTTACATAGCTGCACTGGTGCACATGCACGCACTCAAAATACTCACTTTGTGTGCGGACACAAGTGGGGGACACTGGCTTGCTCCCTCCCTGCGGTGCAGTTTCCATCTTTGACTCTGAATCAATCATTTTTAATTTATCAGAAGGGATTTGTGTCATGAAGGCTGATGCCAACTCCAATAAGAGGAAAAAAAAACAACACAACAGCAGTGAAAAAGCCAGCGCAAATCCCTGCTCTGATGCGATTATAACACACAACCAAATCAGGGCCGACTTGAATAGACACAGAACACAAAATCATATTAAGGGAAATTCGATGTGCATGGCATTACATTGCTCTCAATCTCCCCTCTTTTCTCTTTCTGCTCCTCTCTGCCTCATTCTCTCTCTGACTTTTCTTACTCCATTTCTTCCTGTCCTTCTCTCTATCTGTCATCATCGCCGTCGCCTCGTGATTTTCCCAATGCTAGTGACCTGAAAAAATTGTTGCCAGTGACTTATTCGGTTGCTTCCTCTTCTCCGAGCTCCTCTGCTTTCTGCCGCTGATAGTGATTCTGCTCTCCCCCGGGGACAAACTCTGCTAGCTTGTCATGTCACAGGTAGCACCCAGGCTAAACATTATCAGATTGAAGCCTGATACCATATAATTTCCAACAATGCTGCAGATATAGAATGACAGATGAAAGGCAGTTTCTGTTGAAATGTGGCCACAGCAAAAGCTTTTGTTTGATTTAAATGACAAAATAGCTGTGCTGCAAGCAGGTACGTCGCAAAAAAAGAAAAAAAAAAAGGCAAGAGAGGTGAGTCAGGGAGAGAGGGAGAGAGGGTGTGAGGTGGTGGTGGAGGTGGGGGGGGTTACAGTGTAGAGAGTGCGAGAGAGAAGAAGCTGAAGAGATGGATAGAGTAGGGCTGTTATGTCAGAGGCAGTCGAGCTGCTCTCATCTTGCCATTATCTCAAGCACCCTCACATTACCATAATAATGGCTTTTAACCAAATGTAGCACTCTCCAAAGCGGCGCAGGCAGAATCTGTTTTAACCAAATGTAAAACACTCATGGATGGGCAGAATCAGAGGGGCTTAACGTTAACATCACCATAGAGTGATGAGTGCTGTGTGGAAGCCGTGTGTGGGTTTGAGTGGGAGTTTCAGGTTGGATATAGTCTACTGATGCAGTCTTGATTATGCGTATAATGTACAAAGATCATTGTATGTGTCATATTAGCACCTACATAATGTAAGTGTTTCCCAGGAACACATATCAGCAGAAGAGCATGCATGCCTGTGTGTAAGTGTGAGTGTTTGTGTAACCATGTGTCTGTTTCTGGCTACATGTGCAGTGTGTGTATGTACACGTCCGAGAAGAGCGTGCGGATGAGTCAGAGTCAAGCTCCAGGTCTGGCCAGGTACTCTGCATGTGTTTCCCCCGTCCAGATGGCCTCTCTGCAGGTTTGGGCTGGGGTGCAGGGTGTCCTCCTGCCCTCCCACCCTGCCGCCGCAGAAGGTCGACTCGACCGCGCCGCCCGCCCGCCCTACGATGAGCGCCTTCCAGACCATCAGCTCCCTGCCAGAGGAAGAGAAAGAGCCAGAAAATAGTTTTGAAAGCAGGTTTGTGTCATCGATGTTGTTAAGCAGATGTATAAAACAATGACCTTCTTCTTAAGTGACAGCAGAAACACACAGAAAGTGTCACTTTTCTCCTCTTTTTTCATTTTTCTTTTTCTCACATGAGCTCAAATTCTCCTCCGAGCTTTTATCTTATCCTCTCATCGCTCTACCACCTTTCCACTTGTCTTTTGCCATGTCTTCAGTAATACACTTCTTGTGTGAGTGTGTGTGTAGGGTAAGGTGCCAGGAGAGTGTGGAGACCCACAGATGGTCAGGGTGGTTCCCACTCAGTGAGACCTGGGTCAGAGCCCGCTCTCAGATTAGTGGGCCTAACTCGTGAAGCACCACCTGCAGGTTTCTGGGCAGACCTGGATCTGACACAGAGGTTTTGTTTTGTTACAGAGCGACACACTTATCTCGGATAATAAATTGTTTATGAAAGGCATGTCACCTTCGCATGCATCAGACGTTGAGTTTTGAGCTTCACTGTACGTCTTCATCATAGCATGTATATACTATGGACAACTTCATTCCGCCTTTCGCCAGTACACGGATTTGAAGCCGAAAAGCTCTTAGTAATTATGGGATTTTTCTTCATTTCCTGAAACCAACATTGTAAACATTTGGCGGGAGTCACTGAGAGTCGCTGTGATGACGCCCGGTTCAAACTGCATATCCCTGGGTGAGCTACACAATCTTCATATACCCATTGGCTGTATCAACTGTCAATCATAGGAAACATGAACCCCCTAATAACTTTTAAAAATGGAGCTGTACAGAAAAAAGAAGATTTGAGCACAAACCAGTCTTATAGTAACTACATGTCAACATCACAAACAGGGAGGAGAAAATTTATATTCTGTGTAATAAATTTCTAAAGTTTGTCCACAGCCCCATGAGGATGGCTGGAGGAGGCGGAATTTATGACCTACACTGCAGCCCGCCACCAGAGGGTGCTGTTCTCGGGGTGGCTTCACCGAGCGAGGAGGCAGATGCTGTCCATTCCATACAAACTCTATGGTCTTCAAAAACTGTAGATTTGAAGAACCAGCTCTGTGCCTAAATTAATCATACAAGTACTTAAAATAACGCTGTTCAAAGTAGTCCTTTAGCGTGACTCCTTTGAGGAGTCTTTCCAGGCCTGCAGAGCTGAAAAAACAATGCAGTCCCTTGACAATTCCTCTCTCATGAAAAACTACAACACAAAAGCAACACAAAGGAAATTTTTCAGCCCACATGTTGAAATCAGCACATCTATGGATGCACATTAACGCCAAGAGCTTCCTGAACTTCAAATACACAAGCAAGCACTGATGACAACTGCGAGTAAAAAGTTTTGCCTTTTATGAAAAGTTCAAAACCATTTAGTCTCTTCTTCAAGGACACTTGAGCTGGTTGACTTCTTGCTTTGAGTTGCTTAAGTGTTTTCACAAGAATTTATTCTTGGCATCCATGTACATTGTGTTCATGAGCCTTTCTGCTTGCACACAATGAGGGAGTTTTGTTTAGGCAAATTGTGTGCAGTAGCGTTTACCTTGTGGTTCAGATTAAAGGTTAAATGACTGATGTAGGGAGAACTTCTCAAGATTGTAAAAGTATTCTTATGTCTCCTTCTGTTAGCTTTCATACTCATGGATCTATAATTAAAACCTGACTTCCTGGCTTTTATGTCTGACCATGTCCTGAAGCAACACGCTCCGCCTGCTGCACCTACAGGTACGGTTTCCACCCGAATACCTGCAAATAAATTGCATAACACTTAACCCTAGAACAATATCGCCGGGTGATTTTGACGCAACCAAACGTGTTTACATGATTTTCATTATGTTGCGTTTGTCTGAGTATCATGGGTCCCTGAGTAGCTTCAGCATTTCCTTTGACATCTTTAAAGGCATATTTGTTTCCCTGATCCAAAACCTGCTTTTTCCGACATGCACGTGTTCGGGTGATTTTCACCCAACAATAGTGATAGAGGGTAAATAGGTTTAAGTTTATCTGACAGCTGCATGTAGGCGAATAAAGAAAGTAAGAGTGGTCCTCGAATTTGCATGCTATCTTTATTTAGTGCAGTGGTTATGAATAACTATCACAAAGTAGTGATTTTCAAGGGAATTCACAAGGTGATAAATATCTTAGTCAGCTGGTCATTTTTACTCACTCAAAATCTGCCATATTTTGTTCATGAATGCCTAATTTCAGTTATTTTGCTGCATTTTATATGGTCCCCTCATGGCACTTTTTTTCCTCCCTTTGGACATTGCACAGTTAAAAATGAAAGAAAGCTACTTTAATTTGTCATGTATTGTCCTATTTTGATATTTGACGACATGTACTCTTTCTTGGGTGTATTATTTCGGGTAAAAATCACCTGGCGATAGTGATGGTGTTACTAATTTTAGCGATAGTGCTCTAGGGTTAAAAAAAAACATATATGTATATTTTTAAATAATATATTCAACAGGTTTACAAACAGTGCCTCTTTCACATAAGAGCTGAGTAAAAGCAGTCGCCCTGGTCAGTCAGCAATCACTGCTTCATGCTGAGTCTGACAGGACGTACACAGAGGTAATGGTGTCATAGAGTGCGAAGCAGCATCCCGCTGGTTTAACCCCTAGCATGCCACCACAGATTCTGTCAACTCTCAGTCTTTACAATGATGCTCATGTCCGTCACGTACTAACACACACACAAACAGGAATATACATCCATGCAGGCTCATGGATAAAGGCTCTCATATGTGCGTAGACACACATACCAAAGCATCATTATGAATTAATTACAATCACAGCCAGTGTGTTTGTGTGTGCGGGTCGCTAATAAGAAGTGACAGGGGCTGCGGCGATGTGTTCATCACTCCAGGCTTCCTGCTTTTTCCTACCGCCTCTCCTGACATCACCCCCACCATCATCCACCCCCCCAATCACCCACTTCAATTTGACATTTCTATCTTTGTAGTGTGGTCACCTGTCACTGTTTGAGCTGCCTGTTGGCTCGTCGCTTGTACTGACAAAAGTGCATGTGCGCGAATACACATGCAGAAAAATGTCAGCAGCTGCACGTACCCAAAAAATGAAAGAAAGAAAAAAAAAGCATATGAATGAGGAAAAAAAACCCTGTTCAGACACCTGTGTATAAAAAACTGAGCTTTATGTATCAGGTAAAGTTTGTTAAAGGCCTCTTTATAATAGATGTAAATGAATTCACTGTCCTCACATGTGTCTTAGGATAGGTTTGTGTGTAAAAAAGTGCTTAGTTCAGGTGCTCCAATGTACAGCAGAATAAAATGAATAAATCCTCCACAGCAAATCTGTGACTTCTCACCTCATTCATTATGTAATGGGAGTAACAGCCCATCTCCCCCTCCTCTCCTCACCTCCTTCTCTCCACCCTGTCCTCCCCTCAGCCTTCACCTTCTGTTCACCACCTGTACGGGAACAGATTCTCTCCTCTCTCCACATGACACTTCAATCTGTTCTGCAGCAGATTCAACGACTGAGTGTTGGTATTTAGGGCCCGAGCGTAGCTGCTAAGCAGCTGCGAGAGCCCTCTTGTTCCTGCATGTTTCCTTCTTTTGTTATTATTATTATTTTTCCTCCCCTTTGAACTGGAAAATGGCCCACTTCCCACTGGCAAAAACTCATGAAATTTGGCAGGACGACCGGGCCTGGTGAAAAATTTGATATTCCGAAGTCGCCCAAACAAGAAAATGCAAAATGGCTCCATAGCGCCCCCTAAGGTGAAAATTCACACTATTGACTGTCACGCGTGTACGCTTTGTCAAAATGACACAAAAATTGACACACACATGTATCTCAATAAGATCTACAAAAAAGTCAGTGCGGGCGTATCTGTCAAATGTACGGTTAAAGGGTTATTTCGCATTATTTGCCGATACGCACACATTGGAATTTCGCTAACTCCTCCGAAGGCTTTCGTTCCACCGGCACCACATTTGCTCAGGCCAATCTACACCCCATGGCCATTAAAAGTTATTCAAATCATGATGCTGCACCCCACGGTTTAGGTTCTAGGGGGCGCCAAAGATAACCCTAAGATCCACATATTTAAAAGTCTTATAACTTTTTATTTTTGCCCTCACTGGCCTCCAAGTTTTCTAGGATGATGCAATGTCCAGCCATCAACACATTTGTGAAGGAATTTTTACTCCCCAAAAGAGCGCCCCCCCATGGCAGGAGAAAAAAGTCCATTTTTTCTTGTCCCCTAAGGTGAAAATTCACACTATTGACTGTCACGCCTGTACGCTTTGTCAAAATGACACAAAAATTGACACACACATGTATCTCAATAAGATCTACAAAAAAGTCAGTGCGGGCGTATCTGTCAAATGTACGGTTAAAGGGTTATTTTGCATTTTTTGCCGATCCGCACACATTGGAATTTCGCTAACTCCTCCGAAGGCTTTCGTTCCACCGGCACCACATTTGCTCAGGCCAATCTACACCCCATGGCCATTAAAAGTTATTCAAATCATGACGCTGCACCCCACGGTTTAGGTTCTAGGGGGCGCCAAAGATAACCCTAAAATCCACATATTTAAAAGTCTTATAACTTTTTATTTTTGTCCTCACTGGCCTCCAAGTTTTCTAGGATGATGCAATGTCCAGCCATCAACACATTTGTGAAGGAATTTTTACTCCCCAAAAGAGCGCCCCCCCATGGCAGGAGAAAAAAGTCCATTTTTTCTTGTCCCTTAAGGTGAAAATACATATTGTTGAGATTCACGCCTATACGCTTTGTCATATTGACACAAAATTTGACAATCACGTGCCTTGCCTGGTATCATTTTTTTCAGCACAACCTCACCTGTGCGAATTTACAGTTATTTTATCATGTTGACATACTGAATTTACACAATGGACCCAAATTCACACACAAAACATAAAATCAGAGTGGAAAAAAGTAACATTTTTACTGTGAAAACCACAAATATGTGTGATGAACTGTTTTTAAAACTTAAACTTCAAATAAAAATTGTAAACTTCAAAACATATGCAAATTTTTAACAAAGAACATAGTGATTTACCTCTATTTACATCAAAATGCAGGCAATGGCCCAGGCGTTCTTTGTAAAATTATTTACAAAACACTGTATAGTCTCACAAATGTCACTTTTTATTTATGCCACTACAAAAAAACATGATGTAAATGATGCATGATGTAAAACATGATGTAAAAAACTTGTGTAGATCATCCTCTATGTCAGTCCATGTTTAATTTTTCCACAATTCTTTGTTTTTTGCAGCATTTTTGTCAGTGTAACTGCAGATTGTGCTGACAGTGTCTATGGCACAAAAAAAAAAAAATTTAAAATGCCTCAACATGAACCCCTGGTGGTCTCTGAGGGTGAAACCTGCTAACTGCTGCAGCTCTGTCAGCTTCAGTCTCCCATGCAGAGCTCTGAGCGCATGTGTGGCTCTGCACCCTTAGCAGCGTTGCTAACTCCTCAGTAAGGAAAGCCTGCTTCATGTCAGAGTCTCTAAACTCCAGAAGAAGTCGATAAAAGTCCCTTTCTTTCTAAAAAGTCGTTAGGGGGTCTGAAAAGTCATTGAATCTAACAACAAAGTCGCTAGGTTTGCAACTACGTGTCCCAGACTGCATCCCTGCTGAGAGTCCCTCCCTCGCTTCTCATGTTGCAGGAAGAACGTAAGCGCCTGCCCCTTGTCAATCAGTCACCATATAATTTTGGATTGGTTGTTGTGGTGAAGTTTTCCACCAATAGGAGAGATATTGTGGTGTGTTTTTTTTTTCTTTTGGCAAGCCTTTTCCGCCTGTAAGACCTGTCGCTAATGTCTGCATGCTATGTTTTCCTGTCTCATACAGCGCGATCGAGCGCCGAACGTGATCAAAATAAGCAGAAAAAAAGTATCGCGGACATAATTTATCATAACTCTGGTTTTATTTGGCCTATCAACACAATTTAAAAACTGGTATATAGGTTGAGGTCCTCACTTTTGAGATAAGTTGAAACGGAGAGTCAACGAGGCTCCGTCTTGCAGCTACATCCGGTTAAATATGTCATGTGACTTGAACGCACACACAGACACGCACACACGCACACACACACACACACACACACACACACACACACACACACACACACACACTCAGAGTCTGGTTTTTAGCACCTGCAAAAACATGCTATTTACATATTTGACAAGAATGCAGAGGCTCCTTTTGCCCCTGAAAAAAATTAAATTTCAAACACAACTTGACTGGTCATTTCTCCAAAAGACAACCATGAAGCTCCATCCAAACCTGAAGCAGGCAGTTGGTGCATGTGTACAGTAACCTGAGGGGAGTGAGGTGAGTGCTTCTGAGGAGAACATGAGCAGTGAAGATTCACCTTGAAGCTAGAACAGAGACGTGCACATGATTATACAGGGGCAGGGGCTCAAGTTTTTTCCAGTCGTTTATACAATATGGAAATTAATGTGAAATTAAAACACAAAGTATTAATAGAAAGGTAATGACTGTCCTGTGTAGGTGACAGTGATATCCAATAGGCTAGGCACTCACGAGGCTGGCTGTGGCAAGTGTAAGTGAAAGCAACACGCACTGGCAGGAAGAACAGCAAACGCCGATGAAGGAAAAGGGTCTTTGCAGTGATGGGCGTTACCAGAGAGGGCGATGGCCAGAGGACGCGAATGGGACGGGGAGGCAGCGCGTTGGGGGGGGGGGGGGGGGGCGCGACACAGCTCGGGCCCGCCAGTGCCCCAACGGGGCCCTAGTTTATTCCTCTTCCTTTTTTTTCTATTATGTGTCTATATTGGATCAGTCTGCACGTGTTAGTCAGCGTCTGACATGCCCGGATGCCACCTCGGGTCAGATTCAGAAGGTTAAAGGTCTGACATTTGAACACAGTGCCAGCAGGGTTGATGTCTAAATACACGTGCCATCGTCTGTAGGCACATTCGCATGCAGACAGTCTGTGATTATATGTGCACATCTGTAAGTGTGATGTATTTCACTGAAATGCGGCAAGAGCTCAACAAGTTTTTTCGCTTTTCCTGTTAATAACCAGATTCATTAAGTTCCCATATGAAACGTTTAATTAAGACCAATACCCTGAATGTGTAAGATGTGAGAACAAGAAGATCTGACATCAGGAGTGTAAGAAGCACATGTGACGGAGAGATGAAACAGATGGATACAGGAAGATAGGAGGAAGAATGAACAGCAGGTGAAAGAAGAAATCATTTACATACTCTGTCACACACATTCGGGTTATAAAGAGCTGGTAACAGAGCGCTGATGGTTTCCCTCTCGATGCTAAAGATACGTCTGATGACAATTCCATTAATCCTGTCAGTCCTCTCTCAATCCCCCTGTTTTTCTCAGTCCTTTTTATAGATGAAAGGCTTCCACTTTTTCTGTCAATGGCCTGCAGTCATCTGAATTAAACATTGATTTTATCGGAAGTTTAGTCACTGCGTCCGTGACAACTCACTGCCTCCTAAAAAAACCATGTGTGAGTGTCTCATCGCAAAAGGAATGCAGAGAAGGAGAGGATGAAGGGAATAAAAGAAGGAGCAGAGAGAGGAAAATCCAAAGAGAGGGGCGGGAGGGGGGGACAGAGATTTCAAGAGGACAACATTAAAACCCAAGACGGGAGACACATGGGGACATGGGGAGCTGAGGAGGGAGACAAGGAGAACACAGGGGGATGAGAAGAAAGAACAAGGGATTCAGTGAGCAGCAATTAAGAGAGGAAAAAGAGAGAAGAAGAAAGAGTCAACGCTGGATAAGGCAGCGCTCACACAGAATAGAAAGGGGAACGAGGTTTTTTGAAGTGCAGTGTTCAAATCTCTTTTTTTGTTCCCGTCATTGTCCAACACCTGCCACAACTCATATCTATTAAACTCACTCCTGTTCTTATCCTCCCTCACTCCCTCCATCAACAAAGATACATCACTGCTAATCAGCCGGGCCACCACCCAAAGGCCCAGATCCTTTTCCTGAATTATTAAGACGCTCCAACCTCCCCGTCCAAGGAACTGCTGTTGCTTCCTGTTGCAGCTAAAGCAGATAAAATACAGAACATTGTTTTTTGACATCAGGAGCATGTCTAAAATGATTTGACTGTAAAGGCCCCTCAGGCACACGGACTTATAGGCGTCGCAAGTCCAGCCTTAGACATTCAAGGAAATGTTGACACGGTGACCCTAGCACCTTTTACAGAACTTAACTTGATGTTTGTAACTTGTCATTAACAAGTATAGTTAAAGTTATGGTTGATGATTGGAGAGATTGGTAATTATTATGAACCTCGTTTCTATGGCGATCATGGTCCTATAGTGCGATCTCCACAAAGTGAAGAGAAAAAACAACGGAAAAAATCTGTTCACTCTAGCAGGTGCAGGGTTGCAAAAACATTGACCAATGGGAGCCATTCGTCCTGGACAGCTCCCGTTGGTCAATCTCCTTCTCTCCATCCAATCACCTCGTTGTATTCGGCACACCCCTCTCCCGTGTTTCCGACTCATCTCCTCCCACTCTCCTGGCCCTCCCCGGAGCTCTGAGTGACTAAAAGTAACGTAGCAGCTTAGCAACAGGAGCTGTGATGGAAAAGGACGCAAAAAACACTTCACCTTGCCCCTCCGCCAGAAGTGCTTATAAAATGCAAGCTGACAGAAGAAAGGGCAGAGTCGAAGAGGAAATGTGACCAAGCGAGGATCTAACTCGAATAAACATCGGGTCATCCTTCGAGTGGTGGAGAAAGCTCCGCCAGGATTTGGGCCTGAAAACAGACGCCCAGACAGCAGAGTTTTTGTTGAACAGGTAATTTTTGCCTTTTTTCGTGGCACATGTTACATAAATAACTCTTATTAGTCTCTGCGATGTCAACACGGTAGCTGTCCAGGCAGCTGCAGACGGTGCTCGCTAGCAGAGCTGGTCACTAGCAATTCGACATGGGCAATCCTATTTGAAGCTAGCGTAGGATCTTCTGCCGGCCGGCTTCATGCTCTGCCAGAAGAGGTGTGTCGTGGGGAAGGAGATGCAGGTTCGGAGGGGAGAGGTTTGTGTGTGGGGGTTGGGAGGCTTTTTTCAAATCTGCCTCAACGGCTCAGTATTTTTCAACTGCTTCTCAGATCGTCAAGCCTGCCTTTAAAATCACTGGGGTTAAAATGGATTTCAAAAGTGTATCAAGTTGACATCATCTGTATGTCTTAAATCCAATTTAATCCAGAAAATTTCATGGGTTATGAATTAACTGCAGTTTCCTCTGCAGAAGCAGAAAAGTTACCCTTGGCGTCTTTCACTTAAAAACACCAAAATGCAAACCAAAGGTTTTTTCACATTTAAGGTAAATAATCTCAAAGAATGTGACTTTTGATTATTAAGCAGAATAAGTATTTTTGTTATTGTCAAAAAAAAAATAAACAACAAGTATCCTCTGATGCTGAAAAATGAAGGCTGCGGAGAAGCACAAAAAACACGGCACCTTGTCCACTAGAGAGTGGCAGCAAAACTAAAATGAACATTATTGTTACAATGCCTCTTAAAACAGCAGAATGAGGCGACTACTCTGATTAAACGGATCATACACATGAATGAAACAAATCCACCACACGTTCAACACCCTACTCACTTAAGCTGCTTATTTGCAGTAGCTGAAATCTGATGTTGAGCTAAACACTCATGCTGTGATAACCAATAAGCATGGAGATCCCCTGGTGAGGAAAATGGAGGATATACTGATCGTGACAATATGAGCTACTGATCATGATCCAAACAATACAACTTGATTTTGATTCTGAGAGAGGGGTTTAAAGAAACTCAGAGAAAAGTGAGGAAAAGGAGGAATGTTTTAACACAACAGATCCTCACAATGTAGTCAATTTCTACATGTTTGTTTCCTGGAGGGAACCTTCCCAAAAGGATAAATAAAGTTGTATCTAATTTAGTCTATCTAATATCATATCTATGGTTAAAGTTAACAGACAAATAGTAAAAAGGAACCCTTCCTCTCTTGGATTAATTCATGTGTTTTCGCGCTCCCGTAAATGTGACATGGCACACAAACAGAGCATGCTTAGAGAGCGAGTCATTCACTCAAATTGAGCGAGTAAACAAAGAACATTCAGGTGAATTAATAACTTTGTTTGCATCTGGTGTGAACACATTATAGTCTGGATCAAACACGGTTTTATGACCCAACTGTTTTGATGATGTTGAGGCTGCAAGTTGAGGATAGATCTACAGAACCATGGTATTTTGACTTACAGGTAGCGACTATGTAGCTGCCGACCACGAGGTTTACACCTCAGCTTTACCTCTTTGTCTCTCACCAAAAGTTAAGCTGTGCCAGCATTTTCAATAAGGGGACCATTGTCATTTGGCTTCAGAGCTTTCTTAGGAAGCCTATGGTTGATGTCACAGAGATACTTCCACGTTCTGCACAGTCTATGCAAAAACACTACAAGAAGTGAACTACTGCTTTGACCACAGGGGGCGCCAAAACGAACACAAATGGATAGTTCAAGAACTTTGCACAATCATACAGGCGTTCCATTCCCATGTAAATAACTCAACAGAGGAGCAACACACTTAACACAATGAGCAATACACAATGAAATGAACAGACAAAATAATGCAACACTGAAATGCTACAGTGTAGCACTTTGTTGTTACAAGCCCAAAAACTTCAATTCTTACCGCCTACTAACCAGATAGCCAAACACTTACAAACTGGGTCCAATCAAAAACAGGGAGTTGGGGGCATGATGACTCAGCCCCCCTAACACCCATGTTTGATATGCACATTAAATTTCCTCGCATCCATAACCTCTGGTGAGAAAGAGGGAAAAACAAGGCGATGTTGACTCCATTCTCAAATAGTACCAGCCAAACTAAGATAAACAGAACAGGTTGACCCCTTACATGCGAATGCACAAGCTTTGCTGTCATCCCCCTCTGGCCAAAACTTCCCTCCTTTTCATCCTCTTTGCTTCTTTCCACTCTTCCTCCATCAGTGGTTTGTTGTTGGGCACCCTGAGGAGACATGAAGATGAAAGGGAGCCGGTCTCAGGGGAGTTCTGGTGCTGAACGGGGAGGCCCTGCGCTGTCTTAACACTCATCCCTGCAGCAGCACACCATCTCTGGGATGAAGCATCTCCGGAGTGAGACGACAGTTGCTGGGTCCTCCAGTTCATGGCCACCACCCCTGTTTAGAAGTGCACATACACAGACACACACACACCTTGGAGGAAATGGTCCCAAATGAGCATTACAGATAAAACTTCCAGTCTCCGTTTTAGTCATGTTCACGGGGCGTGGTGGACTCGAGGGAAAGTAAAAAGCGAATTGAACATAGATAACAGCAAAAGTGCGTTAGGGAAGCAGAATAAATCTAAGGGGCGAGTTTTCATGGAACTCATGAACATCTCTTTTTCTCTCATCTCTCCCTCCTTCCCTCTTTGTTCCCGTCTGAGCTCTTCTGGCAGCTAATGTTGGAGTTCCCTCACACCCATGGCCCTGGGGTGGCACAGCTTTGGCTCCCAGAGTGCACTACTGCCCTAGGAATACCTCGTCCATTTGGGTCAGGCTCTCTCTCTCTCTCTCTCTGTCTCTCCATCCCTCCCTTTTTTCCTGTCGCCGGTGTCGCTCTGTCCCTCGCTCGCTCTCCTCTCTTACTGCAGTAGGTATGAATAATTAAACCTGCGTTTCCTCTCCTCTCATGTCATGTCTCTGTCTGCCACCCCTCCCCCAGCCCCCTTCGCTGTGTCTCTCACTCGGGCTGAAGTGTTATAACAGAAGAAGTGAGTCATTTAGACAAGGGAAAAGGCTGCAGATCAAGGAGAGTTGAGTTCAGTTTGGAACTTGGCACGTTACATAAGCTGTCACTGTGTGTTATTGACTAAGGTGGTAGTGGTGGTGGTGGTGAAGGGTTAAAGAGAAACAGAAAGAGGAAAGGTGAGACTATGATAATGGTGAAAAGAAAGAGCCAGCGAGGGAAAGATGGTGTGCACAGGATCAGGAGGAAACACATGCGAGGTGATGTTGCAACAGAAGTGATAGAGTTGCATACAGCTCTTAAAAGTGTTTAAGCTGCTCTTCAAGGATACAAAAAAAAAGTCAGAAAAGATCCATAAATGTGAAGGTCTCACAGTCAGTGTTTAAAAGTTACCTTAGATTGTATTGATCTGTACTTTGAATCACCGTATTTAACAAGCGAAGCGCCAAAAAGACACTGAACGTCTCCCCTGACATCTAGAAAAGTTTAGATCCTGAGAAATTTTTGGATTAAAAGACCAGATTCAACATTGAGGAGGTGATAAAGTGCACACATATTCTAAGAATAATAAGTGAAGGTAGGATATGAAGGACAGTTTTTGTTCAAAAAAGTTTATAGTAGTCAGTGGTAATAGTATTGATGTTAACTATCTTTTAAAAACAATATATAAAAAGTATATACCGACATCATTCTACTAAAAAACATTGTAAAACACATGACATAAAATGAAGGACAACAAAGAAGTAGCCAAGCTAGCGGAAGCAGTCCTCTGACAGATAATGAGGCACTTTTAAAACTGATGTTCAAGATTTATTGTCAATCCAAAAACAACAGAGCTTGTTCCTCTTTGGTTTGCTGATAAACTGAACATTTACACTTTATTTTACTGTTGAATCTAGTTCTGTAACAGAAGTGGAAAACAGGAAATGAAGCAATCGAAACCCAAAATAGAAAAAAATCCAAACGTAAGCATGTCAAACAAATGTTTAATGAGGCAACCTCTTCTCCAAAGAAGTTTGATGATAAATCATGAATTTAAATGTTATTGATTATGGGTGATGAATGAATGAATCCATGAATGTAGTACAGTCTTCTTAGGGGCTGTCAATCCTGCAAATATAACTTTCCTTTATGCCAATCTGGTATTGTCATTGAGAAAGGAGCTAACATAGAAATAGGTGAGGATGCATAGGAACTGGAAATTCCAAAAGATGGCAAAAGCTTTTTAAATACTCATGCTAAAGCAGCTCTTTATTCAAGCATATTGAATTCACTTGGGAAAAAAAGCCTTGTGTTTTTTTAATTAATTGAATGATTAGCTCAAAATAAAGAGACAAAGAAAATGTCCCTGTTTTCTAGATTATGAAAAATATTGTTTCAGAATTACAAGAAAATTTTTATGCTCCTTTTTTTTTTTTTAATTTATGAGATACCAGTCTCTCAAAATCCCAACATAAGTTTTTATCCCTTTAGTTCTTTAAGATGATGCATCTGAAATGCATTTAAGCCTGGCTACAGGATGACTTTAGAGACAATTGGGCAAATGTTTAAGATACCGGCTAGCTATCCATACAGTGCAACTGAGGTGTTATATCCTGTCAAAACAACATTTTTTTTTTACATATATATAATTTATTGGATTTATTGTAAAAGTTCAGAAGACCTTTCATAACTCAATAAGAATATAATGTTGTCCTTACGCCTTATTTCTATGTGTAAGCTCCCCTTTACTTTTCTCATACCCTTGCACAAAACTACCTCCTTCTTTTGTCTTCCCCCTTCCCTCAATCCCTCTGACAACTCCTTCCATCTTTCCGTCTCTCTTCCCTCAGGTGCTGTATTTCCATAATGGCTTCTTGTGACGATGATGTACTGAGCAGCAGTACGGAAATGCAACATGCCACAGCGCACATTATCAGAGCTGAATGCATTAGATATCATTTGTGTGAGTATACGGCTGCACGGTCATTATGTGTTAAACTGTTCTGTGGGAAACAGGAGGGAAACTGTGATGGTAAAGTCCTTTTCATGTTTAGTACAGTGTGCTTTGGTATTCTGCAGCCTTGCTGGAGTAATGATGCACAGGGAAAAGATACACAACACAGCCTTTTGTCAGTTTTTTTTTTCTTATTGCCCCATTTCTGCAATAATCTCTGCTGCACCATTGCACCATCGTATCATGGCCTCAGTCAGTTCAGAGATTCACAGTCAGTATTCTGATTTAGTCTCTGAACTGACTCACCAGGAAAGGATGTCACCTCAAGAAACAAAACAAAATTCACAAACGCCATCGATCAAAAAGCATATGCAAGAGGATTATACATTGATTCAAAAAGAAAAATTGACACCATAGATCATAAAATATTAATTAAAAACCTTGAATTACATGGAATCAGAGGGGTAGTTTTGGCGCTATTTGGACAATAGAAAACAGTATGTTCAGTTAGGAGATAGCTGCTCATCAAGTTTGGACACTGTTTGTGGAGTCCCTCAGGGGTCAGTGTTGGGCCCCAAACTGTTTTTTTTATACACTAATGATATATGTAATGTTACAGATGTTTTGAAACCTGTTCACTGATGTTATGAATATATTTTGTTCAGGGAATGATCTGAATGAAGTACTTTCATTAATAACTCAGAAATGAGTAAATTAAAATCATGGTTTAATATAAATAAGCTATCAATACATCTAAACAAAACAAAAATAATGATATTCAGGAAGGGCAGAAAGATTACACAAACAACGGTTCAACAAACAACGGTTCAAATTGATGGTGTGGACATTGAAAGGGTAACAGAAACCAAATTTCTGGGAGTAATTATTGATGAAAATCTTAACTGGAAACCTCAAATAAAACATCTACAGTCCAAAGACTCAAAAATGATTGCAGTACTAAACAAAGCAAAACAGGTTCTAGATAATAACTCACTTCACATTCTGGTACAGTTCTCTATTTTCACCATATTTAACCTTCTGTGCTGAGGTTTAGGGTAAAGAAGAGCTCTCTACAATCTCTATTCATTCTTCAAAAAAGAGCAGTAAGGGTCATTAACAGAATAAGTTATAGGGATAATACACATTCATTGTTTCTTCAATCAAAACTGTTAAAGTTCACTGACCAAATAGAATATCAAACAGCACAATCATGTTCAAAGCAAAGAATAATCAACTACCAGGAAATATCTAGGGCATGTTCTGTCAGAGAGAGGGAAAATATTATTTGAGGGGATTGTTTTGTTTTTATAATGTAAAAGTAAAAACTACAAGGAAAAGCCTTTGTGTATCTGTTTATGAGGTGAAACTTCGGAACTGTCTGAATGATGAATCGAGACAATGTCCAAACATATGGCAGTTTAGGAAAAAGTACGAAAATATGATCTTTAGAAGGTACAAGAATGCAAGTGCGTAAATGCCGCTGAAAGCTGACATGGTTCCTTTTGTTTCTTTGTTTTTTCATTTATTCATTTTTCTCCTCATTAATATGTGGTTTAATATATTATTTGGTTCTTTTGTTTATGTTGTGATATTATTATTATGATTATTGTTATTATTATTAACTGGAAGCAGGTAAATTAATTATTGATGATTCGTTCAAGGTGAAGGGGTGGGACTAAATTAGTTTCGACTTCCTCTCACTCCATTCTGAACATGAAAAAGACAAACTTATTTGACTCTGGTTTTGTTTTGTTTTTATGTTTTTTTTATGTTTATGTCTTTAGTTTGAACAATGTTTAATTGTAGTTCATCTTTGACATAAAATTCACTCTGGCACAAAACATGTAAATCCCTTCATTACTGTGACATTTGTGGTAAGAATGTGGACGACATGATGCATTTGTTATCCTTTATCACATTCTTCTCAGTTCTTGTAATCAGGTAAAACATGGTTGGACATTTTTGGTTCCCACTCAGTGTTTCCTGAAGACTTTTTTGATCCCTGTGTTGATCACACTTTAGGTACAAGAAGTGTGACTAATTTTGGATCAGTTGCTCTAGATTCACGTTCATGTTTTCTTACAAGCAGCAGCTGTCAAACCAAATCCACTATACAAATCTTTTTCTGTGTGAACATAATCTGAATGTCTGATGTGTTAAAGTTAAAGGGCAGGTTATGGGTCTCACAGACTGTCGGTAGAAAGGGGGGAGAAGTGGTTGAAAACATAGCTTGTAGTAAATGTGCCTCAGTCTCAGTGCTGTCATCCATGAGCTTTAGGACAGGTTCTGGAGCCAAACATTGGTTGGCACCAGGCTTGAATCTCCTAACTTTGGGTCAACACAGGCGAGAGGGCGAAGCTGAAGCAGGCTATTAGCCTTCTGGCAAATATCTAGAGTGGGCTCCATACAGCGTGCTGATACTTTATAAAGACAGAAATGTACTTTTTAAAACTTCTATTTAAAACTTACCTTGAGTTTTAAGTAGTTACTTTAAACCTGTCGTGGAGGGGGTCAGAGAGTAAAATGTGCCCCCCAAATTTTGTAAAGGTACTGTATTCCCACAAACTAGTTCTTGTAATAAAACCCGAAGCATTTATGTGTGAAGTGATTTTGGTTTTGCACCTATCCAGGGGACATTGTTGAATATCTTTGTTGCATCTTTTGTCAGAATAGCACTTTGTAGATGATCCCTTCAGACTGAAGTCAGGGCTGTTCAGACAGGGCTTACTGTTACAAGCCTAAAATGAGGAATTTAATGTTAAAGAGTCAAAATGATGCCAATGCGTTTGTCACAAATCTTTATGAAAAATATCATGAAACAAGATTAGATTTATGTCAAGTGGCTTATCAAGAAATAAAATAGTTAAGTATTTCAATGTATTTGAACATATCAGTTGAAAGTAGCTTATATGAAGTGTAATACGATATTTTGCAGCCTTGGATTTATGACATGCTTCATTTAGAAAAATTTCCAAGAATGCTGGCGAGAAAAAAATTCTGGAGAAACACAGTATGAAAATTTTATGCTGTTTGGGTAAACACGTGCAGGGGCTTGAATGTGTGTGCGTGCGTGTATGTGTGTGTGCATATAGTGTGAGATGTGTAACCAACAGATCATTATTATTGCCTCTCTTTTAAAAATTTGAGTTCAAAAGTAAATACTGAAGTACTTCAGATTTTCTGCAAAATCTTCTGATCACTGAGGTTTCGACAACTACCCATGTTTTTGTAGCATTTTCCTTAAAACCTTTTAACACCCTTTTCATCTTGCTGATTATACAAATGAATATGTCTCTTCCCTTTTAGAGGAACCCTGACCTCCTCTCTCCAAAGTAATGTCTGATTTTCCTCCCTTTTGAATGTATATGTTTCTGTGTGTGTGTTGCAACAGATGTGAGAGTGTGGTCTGTGGCTTGTCTCCTCTCTGCAGTAGGACCCTGGGATGAGTCACTGTGTGCTGCCTTGGGGACACATGCCCTGCTCTCCTCATAAATATAGCAAACCCTTAAGTGCAGAAAAATGTTCCTCTTTGAAAATGGGCAAAAAAAGAAGAGGGAGATATGCCTGTGTATGAATATTTCAGCGTTTATATAAGGTCTAAGCGATGCTGGCGGTGTGCTGTGGAATCATGGTAAAGAAGACAGGTTTATTGTGGTGCGCCGCTCTGATACGTGTAGATGCATGGGATGTATTTGTGCAGGTGAGAAAAGTTTTTAAACGCAAAGAGAGAGCTCAGAGTTCATACAAGTCACACAGACGGTGTGCTTTTTACTTAAATAAAGGCAAAGGAGGTGGGGGGAAAAAGGAGAGTGTATCCGTGGGCATCGCTTCAGGGCATCATACTCTGAGTGCTGGAGAAAGAGCGAGACTGAGAAGAAGAGGAGCATCCTGTCACCTATCAATCTCTCTGCTACAGGTTTTATTTATTTCACTGTTTCGTCTCTCAACTGTTTACTCAAATTGTTTTTCCCCTTCAACCTCTCTGCTTTTCAAATAATGCACCGCTCAATGTGAACGCATGTTATTGTTGTGGAAACTCAAGAGAGGGGACGATGAGGCCTCCAAACTCCAAATCCCTCTTTTTGTCTTTAGGCTGTCAAAGTTATCGCTGTCAGTTGTCATTTACTGTACAAAAACAGTGCAGTTTATGCTTGTTTTAGTTTAGTGGCATGTGCGCTTACTGCTCTGCTCTCCTTTTCAAGCGCTTCTGTGCCTCTGCCGTTGTTTCTCCCCACGTTGGAAATTATTTGTTGCATCTCAACAGAAAACAGAAATCAGTCTTTGCAGCGCTAACTCACAGTGATTCACTTTAACCACAGCCTCTGAAACACTGGCACAATCACATTTCCGCAGAACTGGGTGAGAAAGTCAAGAATTCATTTATAGTCTCTACCCACTCAATCCTTTTCACAGTCACCGGGGACTCTGAAAAGATCACCAGTCAGTCAGTCAGCCAGTCAGTCAGTCAGTCAGTCACAGGGCCATCGCAGATAGACAAACGCTCACTCACAGTCATATTCTTACCTAACAAATTTCCTGCAGTGTGGGAGGGAAGTCGAGCGTCATGAGGAAACCCATGCAAACACCACAAAGGCTGGGAATCTGTGAAGCAGCTGAGCCACCATCACACCTCTGATGAGCAAATATATTTTGCATTAAATCAGATAATTAATATTTGCCTGTTTTTTTATTACTCAGGACAGATCAGAACAGCCCTGTGTAAGTTTTGTTACATTATCTTCTGGATGTTTTTCACCCGCTGACACTTTAATGAAGCAAGTGATTTGTTTGGTGCATTATAGTTTCATTTTACTTGTCAGCACCTGTCTGACATCATAACAAGGCTGTTTAAATGAATCTTATGAAAACAAGTCAGGAATCAGACTCAAAGCACTGTTATGGTTTACACCTTTGATGCAATTACTCTCATACATTTCATGACACAAGATTTGTTTTCATGGATAGTTACTTTTAAACCATTGAGAGGAGTGAAATTTGCTCCTGTGATCAAGGCTACCACTTAATCGTCCTTGCAGTGTAAAAACAACAGCTTGAGGTTTAATGGGGTATTGTGAACAAGGCTGTTTTCGAGCTTAATGTGTTAATGTTGTCCACACAGACTCCACAGTTAATGTAATCATCACATTATTCTTGTGAAAAACACAATGTACCCTGAGTTTGTTTCTTTCTTTTTCACATCAAGTGTTTTAGAGATGGTAAGGAGAACTTTGGTGTTTTTGAACACTGTAGGCTGACAGTTCACTCGCTATCTGCCAATAGACAAAGCTAAGTTAACCAGGTCATTGGAGAGGAGTTGTGAAAGTATACAAGACTTTTAAATATGCAGTCATTACATTCTTATTGTGAGTACAAAAAAGGTTACATAACAAACTCAGTTTTGTGATCCTGACTGAAGTGCCATGACTTGCATCCATCTATAACAGCCCCTTGAAAATGGATGATTGCTGGTAGCACTAGTTTATATGCATCTCCTTTAGGGGCATTGGAGGGCCGTGCCCGCCCACCAAGTCAGCTGTGCCCGCCCTAGACTAAAAGCAAAATTTTCTGTTAATTTGATTTGGGGTTTGTTTTTTCCGTCAGAGTAGTTATCTTCAGTTAATCCCATCAATCTTGACATGTCAATCAATCTGACCAATCCAATCGATCACAGGCAACATGTTAGCCAATTACAGGTAAAGGGGGACGGGCCGCTTACTGAATTAAAGGTCAAATATTCATAGACGGACTCAGCGTGGCGGAAGGTGGACTCGACGGTAAGCAAAAATGGATATAAGAGGTTTTTTTGTTCACCAAAAAAGGACGACGACTAACACTGACAGGAGCAAGCAGGAAGTAGCGACCAGACCAAAGCAATCAATCTTATCATCTACGTTTACATCATCGAATGTTTACATTTTAAGGCGTCTTCATTATCCCCGAGGGGGCGATTTGTTTATTGTGGGTCCTGCATACCTGCAAAAACACACTTAAAATGTTTTTTATATTTTTCTTAGTGTATCTTATTCTTTATTTACTTTGTATCTTAATAAAATGTTGAACTAATCTCTAGTTTCTTTAGTTTTTAGTACAGATGCTTTAAAACTGGCAGTTTAAAAAAGAAATTGTGATAACAATCGAGATCGGAAGATATGACAAAATATATTGTGATAACTTTTTTGCCAAATCGCCCAGGCCTAATATGTACCAACTCATACTTAAACGGGTGACCTACCACCAGTGTGACAAGAGCTATAGCCTCTGTGGTTGAGCCACCTGCCCCACCAGCTGAGCTAAACTGGCACCCCAGGCTACAGTTGTACAGTTAAATTCTTTTTCAGCGGTATAAATCTGGGTATCCTCTCTGAAGTCTTCACATAGACCGCTTTTACCCCCTTTCTCTCAGTTTGCAGAGGAGCTGATGGTGTCTGCTGTCTCCACTTTGTAGAACTGAGGGGGACAGATGGAGGAATCCCTTTCTCATCGCCCACTCCCGCTTCAGTTTTCATCCCCTGGGAGGGCTCACATCTCCCTCAACACAGAGGTGTTTTCAAATTAAATACTATCTAATGAACTGGAAAACCTGCCCCCATCCTGCTCTGTGTGTCTGTGTATGTCAGTGCATATTTGTGGAGTACAAATCTGGAGAGTGAAAGAGAAAATGAAAGAAAATCTGCATGAGATTACAAGAAAGAGAGGTATTTGCACTGCAATCTAGCGACTGCACAGCCTGTGTGTGGCGTCATGAAGCGTGTGTTCGTTAATTGTATATCTCTGCAGTTCTAATTGCTTTAATTCCCTGTAATTAATCAGTAATTGCAGTGAGGAGACACGCACAGCTTCGCTCTGAACGCAGAAGAACTTTTCAGCATGGAGTGCATAAATATAGATGAGAAAAGAACGGACGTAGATGGTGTGGAAACAGAGACGAATGAAAAGAGAGGAAGACAAGAAAGAAAAAAGAAACCCCACTTTATTTAGATTCCTGTGAAAGGCCTGAACCATGAAGTATATGGCAGGGTCTCATTTCTCATTAATGTATTCTGATGCAAATGAAAATGAGAAATAATTGTTGAAAGTGGAACTCTCCCTACAGACTCTCAGCAGTGTTTCACACAAATCCTCTCTACTCAGAGGAGAAAGCGTTTTTAATCTAGAGATAAAGGTTTGTCCGTGAAAAAAACACAGGTCCACATCATAGTGTTCTTGATGAGAAGTCATGAGGATATGAGTCCACCACACAGGAAGGTGTGGCGGCTGTTTTTTCAGTGAGATCCCTGTCCCATCCGTCCACCAGGGAACAAGAGTGAGAGGAGAATCCCTCCCACTCGCCAAACTGTAGCAAGGTAATCCCCTCCTCTCTCTCTCTCTATCTTTATCTCTCTCTCTCGCTCTCTCACCCTCCCTCACTCTATGTGGCCCTCACTTCTTACCTCACCCTGCCCCCCTCATTAATTCCTAATTAAGACAGCAGCCCACCCACCCACACACACACCTCCTCATCACACGTATTGCACATAAATGCTTTTTCTGGTCAGACTTTTAATTTACAAAGGTTTGAGCTGAGGTTAGCAGACTCACTGAGCTGTGTGAATGTGTGTGTGTGTGAGCGTGCGTGTGAGCGTGCGTGTGTGCGCACATGTGGGTGTATGTGAATGTTGTATAATGATCGCCTCTCTGTTCCTTTCCCCAACCCTAGATGAAAGCAAACCTTTGTCATTCTCGATCGTTTTTTAAATGAGAGCCGGTGGCTGGTCTTCGGTGACCTGCTGCGCCCCTCCCTCCTCTTCTGCCTTCTATCTGCCCCCTTGCAACCCCCTGATCCCCCCCCCCAATAAATGGCCCCAACTCCCTCGTAACAAGCTGGATTCTCATAGATCTCCATCAATTTGTGTCACACCAGGGATTCCCTGAACAAAGATGCCTTTGCCATCACCCACAACATCTATGCATTATTAAGGCAAGAAAAACAGCCTGCAAAGAGTCTTCCACAGCCTTGGTTACGGAGTGGAAAGATACAAAGACGAGCCAGAAGCAGGGAGCTCAAGCAGAGAGAGCGACAGACGAGAGAGACTAATGATAAAAAGCTAACATTGTAAACGTGGATGTTGGCGTGTACATTCCTCACTACGGTAGGGATTTGACCATGAAGCAGAAAGCTCACTCCATCACGCTCTATACTGGGCTCACTCATCTAAAAGATTTCCCAAGATGCATCTCATACATGAGCGGCCAACATCAGTCAGTATATGTCGAGACAGGCAGTAGTCCCTAAATAGTAGCAGCACAGTGCTATTAAAGTATAATACCACAAAGGACCCTATGTCAGAAAAAGGACATTTTCTAAGCACATGCTGCCCTGTACTTTTCACAATACATCAGCTGACGTGCGTTCACCAGCCACGTAAAGCGACAGCTGTCCCTGTATCTAATCGTATAAACAGCAAACTACAATAAACCAGCGTGTTGAGGCTCTGAGACATGCTCAAGAGGACCAACAGCTGAAGTTCAAATCAAGCATTAGTAACTTTGACTGTGGTGTTGTGGTATTCAGTATTTCAGAAAGTGCCGTTTCACTGGGGGTTTTATGTGCAATCATCTCTGTGGTTTAATGGTCCAAATAAGAGAAAATAACCAATGAAAGACAAATCTAAAAACAAAATGACTTGTAGATGGTAGTTGTAAAAGTAAATTCTGGTTCTCATGAAAACCTTTGGAGTCTTTTTTGCCTCTCTTATGATAGTGAACTTCTCTCCAGATCATTTGAAATAAACACAAGATACTGGTGGTCTGATGAAAAGAATAAGTACATAGTGAAGAAATCTATAGCTCTCATTCCAATATCTATGCCTTTCTTATAAGCTATTTAACCCACTATAATGTGGCTCAGTAGTGTGTTTGGCCTCTTTGTGCCTGTATGCATGGTCTGACAATGGGTCTGAGGATCTCATTCTGGTACCTAACAGCAATCAGGGTACCTCTGGCTAGCATATCGAAGTCTATATGGCCCTACAAGGATGTGCTTCCCCTGACCATCACTGACCCGCCACCAAATGGGTCATGCTGGAGGATGTTGCGGACAGCAGCAGAGTGTTCAGTGTGAACCTGCTTTCATCTGTGAAGAGACACAGAGTGCTGATGGCGAATCTGCCTCTTCTAGTGTTCTCTGGCAAATGGCAATACGTCTGGTTCTGACCAGAGTTATCTGCTTGTGGTCATTTTGTAGGGCCCTGGCAGTGTTCCTCCTGTTTCTCCTTGCACAAAGGAGCAGATAGTGGTCCTGCTGCTGGGTTCTTGCCCTCCTATGGCCCCCTCCACCTCTCATGGTATACCAGCCTGCCTCCTAATATCTCCTCCATACTCTTGACGCTGTGCTGGGAGACACAGCGAACCCTCTGATCATCCTGGAGAAACCCGACTACCTGAGCAACTTCTGTGGGCTGCAGATACTGCTTTGCGCTTCCATCAGTGGTGAGAGCCCTGGAAAAAAATGCAAAACTAGCTAAGAATCAGCCAGGATGAGGAGAAAAAAATTATCTGTGTATGCTTGATACTTGGTTGGTAAGCTCTGACAATCATCAGATCTTATTCATAAAAAGCACCTTTAGTATGTGGTGGAACAGTCAATGTGCAGTTCAAGGACCTGCAGCAAATCTTTAACAAAGATTTCATCACTTTGCTGAAGGTGGACACAGAGAATAAAGGTTTAAAAGCAAACTGAGCTCCAGCCTGGTGCATGTAAGGCAAATATTAACCAATGTTCAAAGTGGTTATCCAATTATCGTCTAATCTGCATCCACAATGTTTTGAAAATCTCATACTATGCAACCTCAAAAGTCCCCCAAAAGGGCACTGATGGTCTTGCAGTCTAAGCACCCCTCATTTGGAGGCTACAGTCCTTGATGCAGCAGTCACTGGTTTAACCTTCTCTTGCATGTCTTGCCTCACTTTCTACTTCCCACATTTCCTGTCACTCTCCAGCTTGTCCAATCATATAAAGAAAAAAATGCCTCAAAATATAACTCTGTTGCGTCCTCCCCCAAAATGCACCATCTCATCTTTAAATTCAATCAAATTAATGATGCCACGATCTTTGAGAAATCCTAAATGCTTCATGAGCAGGAGCAGCTCTAGGTGGCATGATAACAAACTAGATTATCAGACTTTAATTTGGGATTTAATTAAAGGAAGTAAACATGAAGAAGCTGCACTGACACAAAAATGGAGAATATTTTAAGTTCGGGAATTCCTCATCTTGTGTTTAGCCACTAATGAGTTTCATTAAACTGCAGCACTGAAAGGTTATGATCCACGACATGAGTCCATTTGACCATTAAACATGGTGCAAATTCATTTTTAAGCTCTGTGGAGATCCAGGATTGATAACAAAAACAACGCAGAGGAAATGGCAAGATTAGACCATGATATAATGAGAGTATGAGAGTGGAAATCGACAGTGTCAGCCAGTTTAGCAAATGCCCAAAAGTGGAATAATTATGCAGGGACCAAAGGTGAGTTAAGTGACAGTGTTATACAGTAATAAAAGAGTAGGAAGTCAAATTGAATGATTTGGGCCAGAAGTTGTTGCACAATTTTAAAAGCAAGTATTATTGACTAGAATTCAAACATGCATGTTAAAAAAGACCTGCTATTGTCACATTGAAATACCAGCAAATCATCACCTTCAAACTAAAACAGAACAGGTATGTGCTTCTCTTTTAGTTACAGGATACAAATATACAAATATGTACTGCTATTGAAATACTAGCATACCAAAAGGTAATTTTAATTGTGCTTCAAAGTCAGTGCGCAGATAGCCAAGTGGATTAATGCACACCTCATATTAAGGGTTCGATTCCTGTTCATACCAAGCATGTCATCCTCCCCTCTCTCTATTTCCCACATTGCCACACTGTCCTACCCATTGAAGCCCCCCCAAAGTAAAAATAAATAAAATAAAAAAAGAAGAAATAAATAATAAAGGTATGCTTCAGAGTGTACATTTATAAACTAAAAAGGGGATGAGAAGTTTATTACTAGTAAACTAACAGTATGCATATTCAGCTACATTTAGCTATCATTCGGATATCAGGAAGTTTCATTTGTGTGAATCTGTTGGTCAAAAAAGGTACCATCTGTCTCATCACTGATCTTGTCCTGGTGGCCTCCCGGTCAAAAAGAAAGCAGACATGGCGATGCAAAAAAGTGCAGTTCCTTGAGCGTCCACCAGAGGGTTTTACCAATACACCCTGTCAATCTTTGTGTAAAAATGCCTATTTTTGCAGAAAAATCAAGCGTGTTTTTGGTCTGTAAATCTCATTTCTTCTGTCATATGCACTGTTAGGGTGGTGATTTTCTCTTTCTATTTTTCAGTCTCTACTATGGAAGCTGTAAACAAAAAACTGCTTCAACAGTGTGCTGTCATTTACCTTGTCTGGCATGGACTTCAAAAGAGGGCGCCCAGAATTTTACTCAATAGTCATTTTTGGTCAATCTTGCTTGATTGTATCACACAGAGTCATCAGTATCAATTCAAGTCTGTTTCATAACCGTCTTAAAACGCCTCACAGGAGCTTTCATCCAGTATAGTAATTCTTGTCATGTCCAACCTGTACTGTACAGGCAATATGTACCATTGATAACATAATATTAAATGATTATTGGATAAAGAAAAAAAAATGACATCAACAAATCTGCTTTCCAGGACCTGAAATTAGCAATGCTCTGATAAAAATCGTCAGGAAAAGGCAGTAGTTGAAACAAAACCATGATGCTATTCTTACCTAACATTTATTTCGCCCAAACCACGATCACATGCTGTGTACTGAGGAGCGCATGTTGATGTTTCTTTCCCTGTTGATGACTACCTCTCCATGATTTTGCCCTGCTGCTACATACACATGCAAACACACACCTTCGTGAATTCACAGTGCACCTTTACCTTCAACAGTCACAGTAATAGGATCAAACTTGCTCCGCAAAACCCAACCTTTGTTTTATCCGATGGAGGCATGAAATGAGATTCTATTAATACCTGCAGCCCAATTGGGCTGGCTGGCTGACTCCCAACGGAGGCAGCGCTGAAAAGGTTAGGTGCGGCAATTATGCAGGTGGAGTTGCAGAGGAGATGGGGGTGAGGAGGAGATGATTCTTCCTTGATCGCTGGTTCTGAACAAGGTGTTATCAGCTGCAGGAAAGAGAGTGAGGGGGGAGAGAGAAGTGGGGTGAGGAAAAGGGAGGGGAGTTTGGCTGCCAGCACAGCGTTAATGAATCGTCTTGTTTTTTGAAGCGAGGAGTTGCCTTTTCAAAGGAAAGGCAATTAGAGGGGGACTAGTTCAGTTGTGCTAAGGCTACTGCTGTGACTTAGTAAAGCTGTCACCTTCCAGCCAATCAATTCAGGAGCAACTGGTGAAATTCAATTGCACACAGTGATATTACTGGCATACACTCACACCTGTACTTATCTGAACAGCCTTGTTCTGTGCAAACAGTCTCTCAACACATTATCCCTCCTTCTCGTCTCATTGTGATGAAGAGGACATGCAGACATCCATATTTAAGCAGGATGTACACGCAGGATGACACGCTCACAGTATAGTTATTATATGTCTGAGTGCCTTACATGTCAGCCACATATTGTATGTAAAGCACAGGTGACACAGATAATTGGAACCCTTCAAATCTCATTATGCTGCCTTGCTCAAAAGAAAAGGGAAAACGTGGAAGAAATTTGCCTCCTCTCCCTCCCAAGCCTCTCTCTTTGTCTCTTTGGATTATCCAGCAGTGCAGTAACACACCCACCATTAGTTTTCTGCTGCTGCTGACCCCAGTCATTCATTTAATTGGCTGTTAATTGCTATTCTCTCTGCAAGACACAATGTATATGTGAGGCTATATTTAGGCTCGCCCCTCGATGGCTCTTCATGCTAAATTACAACTTTCAGCCAGGCGCTGAAGGGCCCCATTGTGGCCTGTCGTTCTCCCCCTCTGTGACTGACTGACAGGCCTCCCTCCCTCCCTCTGTCTATCTCTTCTTCTCCTTTTCTTCCCTCTTTCTATCTGCTGCCGCTGCACTGTACAGTCTGACACCTGGATCAGGCTGAGTGTCACTCTGTCCCTCCTGTCTGTTTGACACAACGGCAGCAACTTTTCATCTGTTTCCAGGGATGTTTTCAGACTTCACCCGCCCTACATCAGTTTCTCATCACCTTCTGTCTGCCGTGAGAAAGAGAAGACATTCTTATTTGGCACATTTTACAACATGGGCTGTGAATTTTCGAAGTTATTTTATCATGTAAGACTCCCTGATTTCTCTGTTATGTGTCACTCGTTCTTTTTGTCTTCAAAATATCTTTATGAGTGATTTCCATCCAAAAAAATCTAAATACATTTCCAAAATTATCAGGTTTATTCTTATTCCTAATTCTTCACTCTTATCTGTCCCTGCACATCCACTTCAACCACAAAAACACCAACCAGCTGCGCCTGACTCATGTAAGATTGCAACACACGCACACAAAGAATACACACAGGAGTGTTTGTGACACAGATGTGAGTTTGATGGATGACAAGGGCCAACAGCTGACGTCATCCAGTGGAAATCCCGGATTACTCAGTCCCCCTCACCCCTTACCCCTCTCGTCCCTCTTTCTCCCCGCTCCATTTCTCTCACTCCCTATCTGTGTTTTTTGTCTCCCCAGCAGGACACGCAGAGCCACCGTTTGTCCAGATCGGATGAGGACCGAGAGGGGAGAGTGAGAGAAGTGGGGAGGAGAGTTCGCGAAAGGACCTGAAGGGGGGAGAGGGGAGGGGAGAGGAGAGGAGAGGGAGAGGGGAGTGGAGGGGGGCTCCTGATTTATGGCTCTGACTTTTCATTTGTAATACCCTGATTATCTCCTGGGAGCTGGGTGGGAGGATGGTGGCGGGTGTGTAGGGAAGGGGGGAGGCCTGAGAAGCTTAATAATGTGTACATGCCCACAGCAGCAGGGGGATATAAGGCAACAAAAACGCTGCTCTCTTAAAATGAGACGCCTGAGCGGAGCAAACCTCCCTCAGAAAAAAAACAACACCGGCAAGTCTTTGATTTCACCTGATAACCACTCTTTGTTCCCTGCCATGTATCTGTCATTATTAACATGTTTGCACCTTCCCGATAGAGACTGGAGGTGATAAAGACGTTTGGATGAAAATGCACTTGTATTGAATTCTTTCGCAGGAATCCCGTGAGACAGACAGTGATGAGATAATTAGCGCAAAGTCTCTCCTAATGACAACTGCTAACATTAGTTACGACTCCCAGAGACACAGGTGTGCCATCTGAGAGACCAGGATTCATAGGAAGAGAGACAGTTTTCTCACTCAATTCTTTTACTAAATAATTCATCTGTCAGGACAAACTGTATTATTGAAGTGATAACGCTACTTTTGTGTGAAATGTGACAGATGATGTCTCCTTCACACCTAACAGCGGATAAGACCCCTTTCTGTATCTTTCTCACATTCACATTCACACACACTCGTACTCACTCACTCACGCACACACACACACAGCTGTTGCTCACACAAAGGTAAGCTCAGCCCTGGAAATAACACCCTCATCATTGCTGCAATCGTCCTAATAATCATCATCACAAAGATACACTGTTGTTATCGTAATCAGATCTGTGGCTGAACGCAGCTTTAGCGAAACGCAGCATGAACCCTGCTCATAATAATTGCTACGGTTGTGCGCGCACGTTAGCCGAAGAGTGTGTCTCCAGTTTTCACACGGTGCTATTATCCCAGCACATAATACCTCGCTGATTATCCATTCAGCTGCTACCGTTACTGTTATGGTAATGGCACGTGTGGCTGTGATAATCCACACAAACGGTGCTCTGTCTCTCTGTCAGATGCTAATGATGATTGTGGGTGGTCGTACACACAAACAGGTGGGAGGCGATTGAACAGCGCACCACTGTATAAATCCACTTGACCCTATGACCATGCCAGCACCATACACTGTATAAAAAGATGGCATGACATTTGGAGCTCCCCTGCAGTACAGGCACCAGTCTGGGTCATAAAGTTTTCCTCCATGGAAACAGATGGGACATGGGTGAAGCTTTACAATCACACTCACACATAAATTGATATCTCTCAAACATGGTTTCTTTTCTTATAAGAAGTTCTCATGAAGCAATTTCTAAACTGAATGATATTTTTTTCTGAGCAGTTTACTTTCAAAAATAGTGTAAAGAAATGGGAATATTTAGCAACAGTATGATTATCGATTGAAACACTTTCCTGCTCACCCCTCTTGTTGGTGGATGGACGGAGGTCCTCTAAGACAAGAAGCTCTTGTGATGCATGATAAGTATGATCCTCCATTTGTCCAGTTCTTACAATCTAAACATCCATCAATACAAATTCTTGAGCCCACAACATCCACTGTCTTCCAGGTGGTGGAAGATTTGTTGACTCTTTTATAATATTATGGGGTATTATTCTTTGACTGACAGCTCTGCTGATAAATGCTGTGCCTGTGAGACTGTGTGCCAGAGATAAAAGTCAGTATGTTAACCTGCAGAGTAAAGTCGAGCTACTGTTCTAGCTCGATTAGGCGATTTCACTGGACTACTGTCCATGCCTCAGTTTACACGCACTGGGCAAGAGTCTAATCATTGACAGAAAAATGCCTGTGCTACAGTAGGTGGCGGCATGTCCCTTTCAGCTTGTTACTGTTTCCTGGTTGACGGATTAAGTATCAAAATAGCCAATGAAGTGCATAAGCAAAGGGCCAGTTGTAGGTACGTCGTACGATGAAAACCCTGACACTTTTACAGCTCTATTCTGTTTGTTAGGAAAGGTTTGTCTTTTTTACATCTTTCCTTCAGCTGTCAAGGTTTATTTTTTTTAACCTACCTGGCTTCCTAGCAACATATCAATGCTGTTCACAAAATCTGGTGTGCAAACCCTGGGGCATGTGCAGAATGTTTGAGGCCAGTTACAGTTTGATTGAGCTGTTAGTCTGACAATGAGAAGTTTGATTAAGTATATTTTCAGTCTGACTAATGCATTTACATGTTAATAAAAGTCCAGTTTCTTATTTTATTTTTTAAATCTAACCTTTATTTAACCAGGAAAAAAAACAAAAAAAAACTTGAGATTAAAAATCTCATCTGCAAGGGTTTCCTGGACGAGACAGCAGCATGTCCAACAGTTCTCCACAGACACACGCAGTCATCAAACTGATTCTGATTGAGGCAATAAATTGACTTATTTGAACAACATGTCAACGTACTGACTGAGAGAGGACATGTTGAACACTAACACAGGGGTCATTGAGCACACAACTGTTCGAAACTGACTCTAATTTTTCCTTCGAGGACCAAGAAAGTTCTACTTCTTCTAAAAACAGTTTCACTGGGTTCTGTATCAACCTGAGGGACCGTTTCACACATTAATAAAGGAGAGAGTTCAGTATTTGAGGCCTTGTATGAGGCACTTGTCAAGAGAAAGTTTTTACCCACAGAAATTGTTTGTCTGATCAGCCCTTTTACTTGCTTTGAAACCACTGGATGAACACCAGCTCAAGGAATGGACAAGACCAATTTCACCACAAAAGCTGATCTAGTTATTTTTAAGAAATTCCAACCCAAGATACACTGCTTTGAGTCTACACTCTTTGCTCTATTAACAATCTCAGCGCTTTATGGTCAGTGCTGTCTCACTGAAAGCACATTGGTGTTTCCGAGCTTGAAGACTCTGGCTCTCTGACACGATGGCCCTCATTTATCAAGCTTGTGTACGGCAGACAACTTATGTACACCTTGCGTACCGCATTTATCAATCTGCACATGAGCGTACGCTACAACCAAATCTCACTACAGGTCTAACATCGTGTACGCAAGTTTGAGTCAGTGTGGATTTGCGGTGCAGCAAATGTCTGTCTGAAAATAATTGATAAACAACCCTTAAACCTGTCATTAAGCACAATCAGCCAAATTTCATTAAAGATTAAGACGTAAATAAAGTAAAGTAAATTTGTCATGTCCTTAGTGAATAGGCCTATTTGATAACTCTGCCCAGAAACACTGCCACAGAGCAGGAGCGCCGTTTTAACATTGTGCACACGAGCACATTTGACTCCTTAAAGGCAGGTGTCTCTGTCTTCGCCCAGCAGCGGGGACGTTGTTGTACACTCCTTAAAGGGTGTGGGACATCATTTGGGCCAGGACAGTTTTGCACAATGTTGCACTGGTGAATGGAGTGCCGTTGGCTGTGCCGGTGCAACATGAGGACCCGATGCCCGGAGAACAATAACGAGGACACTCACAAAGGTGCTGTACAGAGGGGACAGGACCTTATCGATGGATTCTGAAATGCTCTTGCTATTTAATCAGTGATAAAAATCCAATAGAAATCCATAAAAATGTGCCTCAGGAGCAGCAACGCACCGTTTAGTGACGTTAATAAGTATTTTTGTTCAGCCTCTGTCAGACTCTCCAGTCCGCTCTACATTACAAAGACGCAACAAATTAAAACCAAATACTTCAAATTTTAGGAGACATGTACCTTATGTCATGGCAATAAAAAAATATGAGGCATGTATGAGATATTAATTTATCATCATGTGCAACTTATTGACTAATGATTTATTCAAACTGCCGATACCAGTTTTGATGCTTCCAAAGAACAAATCCTGGTTAGTTTCCACCACAGATGTGAGGATATCCACTTTCAGCTCGGAAAAGTTTCGAATCTTTCTAATATTTCTCCTCTTTCATGTTTGACCTCAGTGGGCGAGGCTTCTAAACCACAAATATTTAAGGGTGTGACATGTTAATGATGATCGATTTCAGCTGCTGCATTTATCAAGACCCGATCATACGTATGCTGGGATTGGTCAGATATGAACCCTTTCATAAATCTCACGTGTGTCCCATCGTACTATGAATCCTGTGCTCAGATCTGCGTTCAGTTCTACGCAAGATTGACAAGTGAGGGCCAGTGTGACTGCAGCAATTATGGTAACATTTTGGCTTTTATTTGTTCATCAGCAGGAGGTAAGAGACATTATCTTTCTTTACATGCGCGGTCCACAGGGTAAAGAAAATAGGTACAAGGAGAGGTCTGAGGGGGCTCACTCATCTTCTTTTCAGCCAGGGATCATATCACAAGTGCTGATTAGCTCATTTAGCCAAATTGATCAAGTTAAAAGGAGACACCTGTTTACATTATGGCCTGCTAATCTGTTGTCATGACAACAGCCCAGGGCCCAGTATCTCCAGCTCTGTCTGTCTATCTTTAACATCCCTATTCAATTTCTTCCCTTTACTCCTCTGCTGGTGAGACTTTCCTTCTTATAACACACGCACACACACACACACACACACACACACACACACACACACACACACACACACACACACACACACACACACAGATGTCTCTCCACTGAGTCCTTCCATCTGAAGCTGCTGAGGTAAGAAGATCAGGTTTTCCACTCAGCGAAGCGAGAACGCTCTCACCTCTTCCCTGCGGTCCACCCAGCAGCACCTGTGTGTGTGTGCTTGTGTGTACATGTGTCCGCATGTGTGTGAGTTTCTGCGTATGTGTGACATTTTGGGTCCAGAGTGGAGGAGGTTAAAATGCACAGGTGCATTTCACGTCCATGAATCGTCTTTCTGTGTGTACCATGTGGAAGGTATAAATCACCAGGTTTTCTAAAGATCTGGGCTGGCAGATCGTCTGTCAGGTCAAATAGCTGAAAACAAAAAGAAAATAAGCAGGGGTAATTAAATTTAAAGTTACGGGTTGGAAGTGCTCATTTTCCGTCTCAGTGTGACACAAAAGTTTCCAGAAGTGGACGCACCTGGAGAGGGTGTCTGTCTGCCTTTCTATCAACATGTTCTGATTTCGTCCCGGTCCTTTCCGCTTCTCCCTCTTTCGCTCTGTTTCTCTCTTTCACACCTCACATCCCATGTTGGTTGACATGTGTCTCACTAATGTCTCTGACTCCGTCTCTCCAGCTTTACCTCACATCTCCATTTAGGTCAGCTCTCGAACCTGAAACAATGTGACGCTCTCCTCACACCCTTTTCCATATCTTTCTTTCCTCCATTTCCGTCGCGCCCTGTCTTTTCTCTTCCAGCTATACTTTCTTTTTTCTTTTTCTACATGAGTTGTCAGCCTGTAGTTTTACTCGGAGTATCTGTGTTTTGTTGATCTGTCACATCCTCTCCTCTCAGTCTCCTCTCCTCTCTCCCTGGCTGTTTGTTTCTCCCCTTGACTCTGGCAGACTCATTATCTTTGTAGAGCAGCAGTGTGCGTTCGTCAGCAGCGATTAGCAACGTTTCATTCCAACATCGTTAAGAAAAGACAGTTTGATATTTGACGAATGAAGATACGGCATCCTGTAATCTTCCACTGCAAAACTGTGTCATAGTAGATAGGGGCTGTGGTTAAGTTTTCCATAACATTAAAGCTTGCATTGATCATAATCCAATTAATGAAAAAAATGGACAAAAAGGAGGGAAAAAAAGAAATGCTTGCCTCATTAAATTGAAAGAAATCAACTGTAATCAAATTGCTGAGTTCTCAGAACTGATGAAGTGTACAAATTTAAAGATCTAATGAAAAGTCTTGCAGTTAACATAATTAATTTGCAGCCCTTTTGATAAGTGGTAATGACTTGGAGATTATTGGTTTAAATGAATAGTTGTGTTGTACAGCGGAGAGAGAAGTTGATGAGGAGGAGGGGAAACACTATCCTACTTTCAAAGTTCCCGAGGAGATGAGGCAATGTTTTTAAAAACACAATAAGACAATTAGACGGCACTATAAACTAATTACTGCAGCTTTAATTCCTTTTCAGATTAAACTGCAATAGTAATAACACGACATCTCCAAGGAGGTGTTTGTAAGCAAGAGGAGAGACACATTTGTAATTAAAGGTGGGGGATATATTTTCATGAAACAAATATTTGTACAGGAGGTAAAGGTGCAGACACGTGCGGGTTTTCTTCCTCTCTCTCTTTTTCTGTGGTGATAAATCGGAGAAGATGCTGCTCTGTGTCGCCTCCAGAAACAGACCAGCAGCCTGCTAACAGGAGGTGAGCCAGGCAGACATCTCCTCCGACATGATATTAAGACACGAGCTGATGGCTGAGCGTTGTTTTGCTCTGAGGCTAAGAAAGTGGGACACTTAACTCACAAAAAAAAGGAACTTTTCTTTCATTCCTGCCATGTTGTTATTGTGAGAAAGCGGCGGTATAATGTTATTACAGCTTAGAGCCACCGCAGGCTTTTTCCCATGCTGTCAGCTAATGTCGCTCGTCGCACTGCACACTAACAGCGTTGCCTCTGATGGACTCAAAACAACCAGTTTCAGCACGACTGACTCTCTCTTATCATAATTTGATTATTTTAATGATCTTGTTACCAAACCTCAGACGCCGTACTTGCATACACCCAGAGGGAAGCCACGGATGAATGCATCGTATGAATCTCACATGAGGCTCAGGAAATGTCCAAGGGTGACAATATACAGTGGTGTGTTTACCCGTGTGTGTGCGTGTGTGTGTGCTAATGTGCTTGTATGCTAGTGTGTCACAGACAAACACAATGCAGCAGCCACAAAGAAGAAGGTTATGGAAAACTATCCACATAAAACAGCCCAGTGCACTATCAGTCAAACAGCGGAGCCAGAGGGGGCTTGATTGTGGCGTTTCATCATCGCCTATTGAATTATCTGGATTAATTTAACGCATTTAGGCCCATGTGTTTTCCCCAGCTCACAACTTCCCCGTCTCTTCGTTAGCGATAATTACACTAAGTGGGTCATCTCCTTCTGCACTCCTTTTTCTTTCCTCTTTCCCTACACAGCATAACAGCACTTTCAACTTCTTAAACAAAGTTTGTCAAAAAAATCTAATGATATAAACGTCGTGATTCACTCTGCATTCTGTGGATGAAAGCCTTGAAAAGCAGGCGGTTGACTCAGAAAGTGGAGGAGTGGAGCGAGAGAATAGCCGGGTTGAACTTGAGTTTTTTTTTTTTCTGAGTTCACCTTTAATTTTATTTTACTTTCTCACACATTCAAAGCCCTGACTCACACAAACAAGTGTGTTTGTGAGTGTGGCCTGGTTGTTTGAACCTGCGTGGGCAGTGTTGGTCAGTGGAACTACTAAAGCTGAGTTATAACATAATACATTACAAATCATGCTGCAGCAAATTTAGCAAAGAGGGCCAGATTACATAACAAATGCCAAAATTTTATTCCAGTGGTACAACAAAATGGTTACAGTAGGTTTCTGTTTTACAAATCTCGACGGTCAGGGACAAATCAAGTTAATTACTCTAAAAATGTGCTGCAAATTTAGCAACGATGCACATCTATACACACAGAACATGACCAAAAAAACTGCTTCAACAGCAGATGGACTGCAAAAACACGTAGAAACCAAATCCATGAAGCAAACATTCAAAAAGCAGCAGCAAACATGGCAACAATGGCGCCTCTACGAGAATCTAGTGAAACAGGTTTCAGTATATTACAGTTCTTTTATTTTCATGAAAAGAGAGATTTTTGATCAAATACACTGTGAACCACATGGTTGCAGAGGTTAACGCTCTATTTCAGACCTACATACCAGGGGGGGTCATAATTATAGATCTCCAACAAAGGTTATCAGCTAAAGTAAGCTGGTCTGAGCCGTAAAACTTCTGAGCTGAATGTAAGTCACACTGACCCGAACAATCGGAAACTATTTCTCGATCAAAGTCATGTGGGGCTTTTTTTGTTGTGTGTTTTTTTTTTTGCGGTAGTCAGGGAAGCACAATCCTCAAAGACACTCTGCAGTATTGTGTGATTTGTTAACAAGGTCACTGCCTCGTCTTTTCCACTTTGTTATTTCCAGTAATGCACTTAATTTGTCTTTTTATGTCCCGTGAACTTTTATTTGCAGCTCATTTTTGCAATTACATTCACTTTTGACTTTTATGTAGGCTAATAAATTTGAATCACATTTCTCTTTATGTAGCTTTTTTTTTCTATTTGGGCTATCGTTCAAACACCACCACTACCACGCACAATCTTTAAATAGGATTTAAGGATAAAATGGAACAAATGCTTTTTATGGTTTCAGTCGCATCAAGTCAAATTCAACATGTGTAACTCTTATGTGAATAAAATGTTTTGTTGCAGATCTGGGAACCCCCTTTCAAAGCCAGGCTTATTTCTGTACCATCCTCCTTAAAGAACAAACAGAAAATCAAGGACAGGTTAAAATCCTGAGACAAAGAGAACTGAAGTCAAACTTGAATACGTCTCCTAACAAAGAAAACCTAACGGAGAAAGCATAGCTGTTAAGGCATTAGGAAGCTCATTAACACCTTGTTTAATTGGTTCCTAATTGATCGTAGATGTTTCAGAAAGCTGTGAACTGAAGGGATGTGTGGCGGCATCAGCAGACTCTCACGGGAGCCTGGGAGTTAGATAAAAGTCTATGAATAGACATTTTGTGTCGATATTGTGCCACATGGCTGTGAGAACCACTCAGCAGAAATCTGAACTCGTCTCAGATTTCACTTTCAGTTCAGTCAATAAAGTCTCAGAGGCTGTAGATTTGGTTTCAACATCAGAGGGATTCTTGAAGGGCCATTTAGTTTGGATGTGATCTCAGGGTTTAGTTGTCATGAGGCAGGAAGTTAGTGTAATAAATGGGAAGACGTGATATGAGGTGCAGCTTAGGGGAAGAACAGTGATGGAGGTGTCATCTATTTTCGAGTAGTAACTTTCCCTCTTTTTTCTCTAAAAATAAAAACAGCAACAATAAAAAAAACCTCAAACATTTTCCACTGTTTCTCTTTTTTCTTTAAAAAGTCTTGATGATTATAGGAGAACAAACTGGGGCTTAAACCTTGGACCACTTTTCTAATTGGTTTAATTGGTCTGAAAATCACTTTGTCATGTAACAGATAAAAGGGACACTCAGTGTGGGACCCATATGTTCAACACCATAGTGTACACTCTGTTCACATACATAATCAATAGCCTGCATGAAGTCTTCATAAGTTAATGGAAGGTATGAAGCGGCACTGCTTTCCCGAAGCGTGAATTCTCCTATTTTTGTGCTTGTTTTTCCACTTGCAGCGCTCTGCTATCCCCCCTGTCATTCCCGTGACAAGAGCTCACCTGTGAATAATTCATGAGGAGCAGCACGTACGATTACACTGGTTAAAAAGTAATGAGGCGCTGCCATAATAAAAGGTTGTCTTGCATTGTTTTACCAAGTGTCTCACACACACACCTATGTTGTCGCTGGCCCTGAGTTCATATGAAAGCACATCCTTGTTGGCCCTGACAGAGCGCTGCGCTAAAAGAGAGAAAACAAGAAAACAAAACCCCGGCCTGTGGAGCAGGTGGTTAGAAAACAGGCACCACAGCAGCCTCCCCCCATCAGCAGTGTGATCTAGCCCAGGCTATGAGCTGTCACTGGGGGCTTTTCATGTCTGAGCTTGGGAAAGATCAGTCGACTCCCCGTCTGAGCTCGGAGCCCTTTGATAATCGATGGAGCTTACAGTGGTGCTTTGTAACGACAGCCACCGTTAGTGGCCCAATCAGACTGCACTGCTGTCCTCTCCTGTTTGTTCCCAGGGTTGTGCAGGCGATTTCCTGTTTGACTTAAAATGAGGCCTTGTTTTATGAGCACGCCAGTGTTGACAGCGAGGAGATACGCAGGCATTACAAAGCTCCTCCTTTTTTGAGCTTCAGCACGATATCAGATTTCATTCCCGCATTGTTTGGGAACAGATGTACAAGGCTGACACAGTTTTTACATAACCTGAACTCACACTCTGTGACACACTTTGAGTTTGGTTACAGAGAAATCCTACTTTTCATTACACATAGAGATATTTGTATGCTATTAGTCTCTGCTAGCAACCCTGGAGGTCAAAAGTCAAGTATAAGAAGTTATCATGATTAGCTTGGAGTGATACTGCAGCTAAAATACATGGCAGGGGGAGTCATTTAAAAACAATAAATTCCTTTTAGGTAAATTCAGCAACACTAATGTCCATTAAGCGTTATACAAAATTGATTTACATGCTTAAAGGTGGTTGCAACTTTTGTGATTGGAATCTTCGGCTGTGGTGGGTGAATTTTTCTGAAATACGCTCATATTTGCAGCTTGAAACACTTGTTAGAAATTCGATAAAATTGTCAAACCACTACTGTGCGACAGTTCGTAACTAAGTTTGATGATAAATGTTTTTAATTTTTCATGTTAATGTGGAAAAAAAGATCACTGTGCCTCATCAGTGCCAGTTCAAGAGTTTTTGGGGATGTAAAGAATTAAAATACACGGCAGATACAAACATCACTGCAGGTATGGTTGGAAAAGATTATTTGCCGCTGCTGATGTTTCTTGATTTTAATTAAATTAAATCAAAATATACTGTAATCAAATTTAACTCAAATAAACACTTGTTCTTTTACAGGAAGGAAACCTCTTTAGCTTTTTTAAAGAGTGTTTGTTGATGTATTATTTTAGTGGATGTTGAATTCAATAAGATAAAGCCCTGGAGTTAATGGGATTCATCATTTTGCCACCAGAGAAGGTGAGCAGGAAACTGTTTGTGGAAACTTCAAAGAAGTTGATGAAGAAATGTGTGAAAGATGAGCGACCAGCGTGATCTCAGGTATTTCTGTCCCATAAATATACATTATTCAGTGGCAGTGGATCTAATTAAGTATTGAACATGCACAGATGGTGCCCTTGACCTCCTGTGAGTGCAGTATGTTGTATGTACAGTATACAACAACTGACACACGTTTCTCCATCTGCATATGGACATACAGTACCTGTCAGTTTAGACATAGATGTGCCTTCAATCTGAATTGCAAGGACATGCTGTTACAATTTCTACAGTATGTGAAATGTGAAAAAGTGCATTCCTGTGTGCATGTGTTTCATGGCATGTAATCAAAGTATGATTCTTACAGTGACGGATGAGGGAACCTGTTAATTTTCCGCCCCCTTGCTGCACAGACCTGTGCTTATTAAGCCATCATGCTGGAAACATTTTTAAATTTCCACTACCTGCTCTGAGTGTATCACACACATGATTATGGACTATTTCAGTGTATGTTTTCTCTGCTGCTTTAAGGTCCCAGATGAACAGGACAAACAGTCCAATAATACAAAAAAAAATGTGACGCAGGAGAAAGAGAAAGACCTAATGGATGAAAGAGTGCAGAGCACAGATTGACTGAAAAGCAGAGGTACAAAGAGCACATGTAAGGGAGGCATACAGCGCTCACAGGAGCTACAGCAGCTCTCTCACTCTCCCCAAGGTTGTTCTCATATCTGCGGGCCACTTTCTCCTGCTGCTGTGGTACACTCGCGCGCACACACACATAATAAATGTATATATTATATGGATTTTTAAGTACACATTTACTGGACACTGCATATGTTCACTGTATACCATGAGTCACTCTTATATGTCGTGTTTTCATGCTTATCGACAGAGTTTCCCTCAATGTCCATGAGTTGCTCCCTGTCATTTTCAGGTATCTTGAGCTGTGTGACATGACAGGGAAACACTGAAAACACTGGGAGCATCTGTCCTTTCTGGTAAAGTGCTCTGTTAAAAATACTAAAAGATACTACCACAAAATTCGAAGTCTTTCTTTTTAAGTTTCACAGGGATCACTGAGATTCTTCACTGCTTCTCCTTGTCTGACAAAGCCTTCTGAGTACATGTGAAGCCTCTCTGGCTGGGCAGGACTCAGCCAGAGAGGCTCACTGAGGGTCCCAGTTCGATTTTGCGACACACTTACCATACATTTCCCTGCCTATCCAGCTTCCAATCGAAGAAATGGTTGATGGTTTGATTCGTCAAGAAAACATCTAAAACTTTTCAGTTTCTACCATATATTGTCAAAACAGCATTTTAACTAAGGTATGATGTACAAACAGCACCTGATTAGAGTCTTCTGTAACTATCTGGCCCTCATTGTACACCTGCTGCAAAGCATTTTGACCTACAGTGCAAGTGTTTTGTTATTCTCACCCAACACACTGATCAGAAGTACACCCAGCGCCCAGATTGTGTAAATAGCAAATGAATGAATGAATGTATTTCTATCTTGGGGACACAGAAAGCACCTGCGCCTTAAACCAGCCAAACAAAAACCTGGTCAAAAGTCTAAAGCCCATGTCGCAGGGCCTGCTCCTCTGCTTTTCCACATAGACAGAGATGCACAGCAGAGGGATATTCTTCCCTGATACAGTCACAGACACCTGCATTTTCCCCAATCTGGAGAGAGTCAATCATGATAAAGTACGATGCTGGTTACAGAGTACTAGAATAAAGATAACCTTAACACTATTTCCTCACAGACCAGCTTCAAATCAACCCTGTGCAGGGACCAAAAACTTCAGACTGCTGTCACCAAGGTCTACATCTCACTCTTAAAGTATATGCAGGAACACACCCAAACACACTCACCAAATGACACTTGTTCAATTCGCTAATACTGAATGGCACTGACAAATTTGCCCACAGATTTCAAGAGATTAAACTATATCTGTTGCACCCGCGGGACAAAGTACAACTGACTGATCTAGCAGCAGTAACACAGAAATAAAGATTAACAGTCGCCCTTTCTTTCATGCAAAATACACGGGACATCACCTAACATTAGACCCTGCCTGAAAGATACTGTCTGCATGCCCTGAGTTTTGAATTACTGATAAAGTTAAGACTTCTGTGTCACATGAATATAAATGTACATGTCTCTGTTGATTTGTAGAGTCACTGCTGTTAAGAGGAACTGCTTCAGTTGATTTAACATCACTCCATCCACCAACATAACTCAGCATAACTCTGCGTTTACATGGGCACAAATAATCGGAATAAATGCCCGATCAGAATGAAAATGCGTCATGTTAACGTGTCAATTTCTGATCCAATGCGGCTCAATTGGAAAGAAATTGTATTCGGATCAAGAGGGGTGGTTTATGCCGATAGTTATTCCGAAACGCGTCCATGTAAACACAAATTCTGATCATGACTCTTACCTGAGTCGATCTTCACTCTTCATTTACTGAGGTCAGTACAGGAGGTCTCATTATTAACAATTAACAATTAATTAACTGGCTTAAAACACAACCGCAGCTACCGTGTCTGCTCTTCCGGTAACATAACAAGGCGTACATACAGCGTAATGATGTCACAGCCGCACGCACAGTGCGACCTTTGACAGAACGGTAAAATAAGTGCGCAAGGGCGCCATCTAGTGACATTATTTAACAGGGGTGAAAACTCCTGAATTGGATGGCGTGATCCACTGCCGCGTTTGTTGGTTTCTTGACAGCAGAAATACAACTCCTCTTCTTCTGCGGTTGTTTTTGCGAAATCAGACAAGTCTGCGCATGTCCAAATAATCCGAATAAAGCTTGGTGCATGTATACGCACGTCATGATCGGATTATTGATATAAACAGTGGATTCAGATGATCTGAACCCTCATATTTTTAATTGGATCAAGAAATTTTCAATTTCAAATTTTCAATTTTCATGTAAGCATGGCTCATGGTGCTGTGATTTCACACCACTTAACTGAAAAGCAGTTGGACATGCCCTAATTTGTTTTGCACCAAAAATGCAACACACACAAAAAAAAATATATAACATTTTACACTAATCTGACATCTCTTTGTTTATTTGAAACACTTTGGGCTGCATTTTTGTATAAAAGGTTAAGTATAAATGATGTTACGATGTGTTAAATCAGTGTGCAAGCTTTGGTTCCTACATACCTGGTTATATCTTTAAATGTTTCCACACTTTAAAAGCTTCAAATCATTGGCCTTGTTCTCTCTTAGGTGGGGTTTTCTTCCCGCCTGCAGCTCCTTCCTCTTTTATTGCCATCCATCACTCTCTCCATCTTTCTCCCTGTCGGTCTCAGCCTCTACTCTTTTCATTTAATGTCTGCTGTGGGCTGGCTGGATCAATAGTCTAAGACAAACATGCACTGACATAAACACATACACACACGCGCGCGGTGGAAAGATCAAACCACGCACACATTAAAGAAAAATATGTGGGCACTTTAACTATAATCACAGAGGCTCTTACTGTCGGGATAAAACTGATTCTTATCCATGTTTGATACAATTACAGCACCTGATTTTGTAAGACAGACAAAAAAGGATCAGAGAGGGTATTGAGGTAGAAAGCAAAAAGGCAGATAGGCAGACTAAAAACCATCAATCTAACCAGCCAGCTGCACAGACCGGCTTCATGCGCACACAAAGAGAGCAGGGCACGATTTCCATCCTGTGAATGTGCATGAGCCAAGTGGAGCTGAGGTGAAATGACTTGTGTCACATCTACAGGAGCACTAGTGGCTGATGGCCTTGTCGCACACACAGCCTCGAGCAGCCCACTTGCGTAAAAAACCTGATTATGACTTTTTAGCTTTTCAGATTTCCTCTGCCCCTCGCTCAGCGGCGGATGCACCCAGTCACAGTTACTCAATCCCAACCTCTGGACGATTAGGCACCATCTCACTCCAAGCATGAGTGATTCTTCTGCTACCCTCTCTAACACACTCAACGCTCCTTGCCGAGGTCAAGGGACAGACGATCTGAGGACTTCATTCCTTACGCTTCTGTCGCTTAAATCAGGTCGGATGAGTGTCATCCTCCTTTCCCCTTTAACTGCATGGTAATCTGATTCTTTCTCCTCATGCCTACATCCGCTCCCCTCTCCTCTAACTCTGACTGTAGCAGTTTATCCCCCAGCCCCAAGTCTTCATCGCAGTGCTGTTGTTATTGAATTAAGGCCTCTGGATGGGCCTTCATGTCCCCTCCATACTGCTCCGGCTGCTCAATCTCGTTGCCAGTGCACTATATGCTTGCCTGCCCTTTTTACCCCAACACTGCCCTGTCACCTTGGATCACAGGAGAGGAAAGAAGAGAGGGACAAAAGAAAACAAACACTGACCTCAAAGGAGATTCTGCGCCTGAAACATTTACCACATGTGCATGTGTGTGAATGTGTACATCTGTGAGATCAGGCAGGAATGAGAGGTCTGGTTGTTATTTGACACTTTCTCTCAACTCTGACCTTTCTGCTCTTCCTTTTCTCACTCCTTTGCTCCTATTTTCTCTTCAAGGGGTTTAATTTAGCTTTGGTTGCATTTTAATCATTTTTACATCACCTTGCTACCCGGCTTTTGATAAATGCTTGATTCTGATTGGTCAAAATTCCATCACAGCAGGAATTTATCGTCAGTAGACAACTGAAGCCAGGGGCAATCTGATCGAACACACACAATTCAACTTGGCCTGTTGACACTGTGGCACAAATATCATGTCTGTCCTGGACTGGTCTCAAGAGACGGGATAAGGATGTGGCACAGATGTGAGAGCAGCCTGAAGAGTAACAGGGCCCCAACCATCTCTGATCACTTTACATTATCCCTTATTAAAAGTCTTTTAAAGCTACTCCGAGGGGCTTTCTGCACGTGTTAATTTCAGCAAACATCTGTGGCCAAAGTCAGGAGACTAATTTCTTTGCCTCTCTTGGTCTGTTTATGTGCGGGTACTGCTTTCGATTGGATTTCTGGTGGTCAGCTCTGTCCCTGTAATAAGAAATTGCCAGGATACAGACATACAATGGGCTACAGTTTTTTTACAGACAGGGCCAAGTCTGCCATGTAGTTTAACATTGTGAAACCCTGACCCAACCACTCATCTCAGTGTATTTAACACTTGGCCCAAAGAAAGTTTATTCCTTTTTATACTATTTGCAAACGTAGATTTATTTATTTTTCTGCCTGCACTTTGAGATATCTGCATCTATAAGTCCATTTTCTCCTCGATGCATAGAAGAGACAGTAAGAGGTTAACATTAGCAGCAGTAGCAGCAGTAGGCTCAGGCAGAGATAGTGGGGGGGTTGGGGGCAGAGGCTATCCAAACAGGCTGGTTAGAAGCATGTTGTCTTAATTATCCCTGACAGCCTCCTCAAAGAACATGAATAAAGAGTGTGCAGCCCAAGACCTGGACTCATACATAATGGCTTAACGCCTGGAAAAAAGGGTGGCTCATGCTTCAGACACATGTAATTAATGCACAGATTAGGGCTCTGATACCGTATGAGGATGTGTGTTAGGAGATGTGTATGCAGTAATAAAAGGAACGGCTAATCGGAGTATTTCTGAACATGAGAAGAAGAAAAAAAAATCAGTGCTGTGTTTTCGATTGATTCCTCCACTTTGCAAAAGTCTTTGAAAGCAACACATTTTCAGCACATTGATAAAAATAACCCTTTATCCTCTGATTTTCATCACACTTTTATCAGCTTGACCAAAGGGTCCTTGTATGACTTACCTTTACTATGCTTACGTCCTCCCTCCCTCCCTCCCTCCCTCCCTCCCTCCGTTGCTTGCTCACTAGCATGCTTCTCAGAATAGTCATATGCTCGTTTCCAAGGCAACTAACCAAGACCTGTGTCCAGAGAGGGTTGACAGACGTTGAGTGGAAGTACATGAAACACAAAGTCGTTGCTTTTATTAGCTTGCTGAAACATTGCTTGTGAGCATGTGTGCGATATAACAAGCCAGTTGGCAAAAGTGAAACTAAAATGAAAACTTTTTACAGTGATAACATCTACCTCCTGTCACATTTTCCCTCGCTATATGGATGACACGGACTTGATTCTTCAGGATAAGCTGCAGCCCCTCAGAGGGAATAATACTTAATTTTATTTCCCCTGGGCCACTTCAACAACTAAAGCCTGTTCATATAAAGAGAGAAATTAGAGGCTCACAAGAAGTGAAAAAGAGAAACAAAACTCAGCGGGCCAGCACTAAGGGAGAACACTGCTATCAGACGTCTAATTAATCTGTTGGCTCGCTGACGTCCAGGGACAAATGGAGGCACGGCGAACCGCAGCAACGACAAGAGAACAAGAGGAACAATAGAAATCTCAGTCTCACACTTCTTCACTGGGGTGTTGTATAATCCTGATATTTTAGGCAACAGAAGAGTACAGTTAAAAGCTAGGGACTCAGTGAAAAGAGCTGGAGGGTTAAAGATTTTTGTTTTATATCGTGTCTGTTTCCACAAGGGCGATAGTAAACTTCTGACTTAATTACTGAGACAGAAAATTGGCACTTTGTGTTGCTAAGAATGAGAAAAGATACTCCTTATTCAGAGTTTTTGCCCTCCTTGTGAAATACTCTTACTCTCCAACAGGGAGTGCTGTTTCCCTTCTTCTCCTGCAGGTGAACTTTGTGATCCAGCTGGTCTGTTAGAAAAGAAAAACACAGCCTCGGGACAAGTGACCTCCTGAATTTATCTCAGCTGACACCATGCCCCAAAAGACATCGTGAGTCATGCACAAATTTTTGTACATTTCCTCCACTCATCCTATTAACTTGGACATGGTGTAACGATAATAATGGTGTGAATGAGCTGATATGGTGTCTGTGCAGGTGCACTATTAAGCATTAATCTAATGAGCAAACCCTTATGGAGCTGTCCTTAAATGACCTCAGACAAAAGTAAAGTTTGAAAGCCAAGGTCAGGATTTACTATTCAAGACATAAAAATTAGTGCAACGCTGTAAAGACTGTGACTCAACTGAGAAACTTAACACTAGAGAGGGTACAAAACTAAGATCATTCATAATTCAGTGAAATTTGGGGTGAATGCTTCTACTTGGAGAATGTGTCATTTTCAAAATGCAGCAGTGATTTTAACATGTTATAATACAAAAATTCATATCCCCACCATGACCCAAAATTTGTCAATTTAATTTGTGATTAATCAGAGACAGAAACTTAAGGCTCCTGTTAGAGGCTCATTAGTCACCATGTCTGTCCTGTCATAAAGCCTGTTACAGAGAGCTGACTTTTGGTCCAGGCTGAGCTTTAGTTTTCATTCCCACGGTTTAAACTAGACATAAACCGATTCATAGGTTGGGACGATTAATTTAGCTCATTAACGGCAATCTGAAAGAATTGGCATTGGCTGTTTTGTCTGGGCTCACAAGGCAAATAAAAGAATGACAAAAATAGAAATTGAAGATACTGCTGAGATGTAAGAGGACGATGCAAACACTTTAAGGATGTCTAGAAATTTTACAGTAGATCTGCCCCCCAAATTTTCCAAAGTTGCTTGTTCCCTCTTGTTCCCCACAGCATGAAGTCTTTCCTGTCAGGTTAGGAACATTGGCTCCATCTCATTGTTTGCATTTTTGTCAGTTCTACGCGTATATGAACACTTTTGCTGTTCTTGTCTTGAAAATGAATCTTTTTCTTCCACCTTGGATGTTTTTATTCATCCTGCTACATGTCAGTCAATCGTGTTCACACCATTGGCATGGTAAAATAATGATTACCCTGCCCACTCACTCATTCCTTCACTCAGATTTATTTTCCTAAACACATTATGTTCTGGCGTTGTCTCACCCCAGTTTGCAAGGTTGGGGGAAAATCTCGACTGTTCATGCAAACAGCCACAAAATTTCACATAGCTCTCAGGAGATTTTTGGATGTCTTTAATCCATTTTTCTCACAGGTGATGAACATTTATGGAAACCTTCATTGTTTTCTTTGCATGTTCAAACGTAAGTCTAACAACCATGTGAAATAAATCCTCCATACCTTAGCCTCATTAGCTCATTGTTGCAGTTACATATGATGTGCATTTTTATTTACTTTATCTAAACAAATAAACTACGCAGCAGCTGTGTGAGAAAGGAAGCATTCACCTAGAGTTCTACTTGCATTCAAGTTTTTTTTTCTCCTGAAGATAGGATGAAATGATCAAGGACAGGCAGATCAAGTCTTTCTTTTGACAATATGGTCCCTGTTTTTTATTCTTTTCATCCAAATTAAAGGCAAAAGTACTGAGCGAGTGATTCTGCACTGCTACCTGCCCATCAATAATTTAAGGCCAAATAGAAAAGATCAAAATTGTGAGTGAGTAAAAAGAAGCCGCTCGTGTGTTCTCAAATTCAGGTCTTGTACGGTAGATTAGGAAGTCTGAGTCCTTCAGTTTTTCTTCGAGTAACCCTGCCTCTCCCTCTGATGAAGTCTTAAAGATCTGAAGAGCATCAAGAGACATATCTAAGAGAAGTGCCTTCAGTTTTTATTCATGTTCCTTCCTCTTTCTTTTTCAAGTGATCTGCAGCTTCAGAGAGAGAAGGGTGAGGAAAGAGAGACAGAGAGAAGAGGAGGGAGAGGGAGAAAGAAAAGTGATTTCCAACAGGAATGAGACTCTTCCGTTTGGCTGAGGCTGTCACCGCTCAGTTCAAAACATTCTGCCATGCAAAAACCACAAAAAAGCCCCTAAAACCTGAGATATGACTTCACTTTGAACATCAGGGAACACATTCACAAGCAGGTCAGGCTCTCTAAACTTTAAAATAGTCGAGAGAATCACTTAAAGATCTTCCTTTTGATCAATCTCTTCAATTACTTTCATTTCCTTTGGATCAGAATTTTGTTTTCTGTTTGATTTTTCGTCATCAATGAAGAGCATTGTTCATTTATTGGCAAGTAACAAGGAGCGAATTTGTCATAACCACGACTGTGCGATACGCGCTCACAAACAAGCACGCATGCATGCACACACACACATGGTTCTCATATTCAGGAGGACAGCTGCAGGGGTGTGTAAGCCTTGGGAAAATGGATCATGGAATCAGGCCAATCAACTTCCTCTGCAGCCAGCACCTGTTTGTCTGTATCTGCTGCTGACAATTTCACAATACGAAAAGATTATGAAAATATACAAAGAATAATACACACGTTCTGCAAGGAAATGCAATAGCTTTCTGTCACAAACATGCCTTGTCTTCATATTTTTTCCACTGAGGCCCTGCAGTACAGTAGGTATGTGGGATTTTCTGCTCGCATGTTTGTCACTGAGGTTTATTCAAGAGAGATTATGCAAATGTTAGAATAATGCACATCCTGCCCTAATTCACTAAACCCTGTTATAATTAAGACACACATCCACCGTGGAGAAAACCACACGCAAACACTCGCATATCACAATAATAAAAGTGTTACCTTGAATTATTCCCTCGACCAAACAAACCAGAGACGAAGAGGAGCTGAGATGATGACAGTTAAAATGCCTTGATGTTTTGTCACTCAGAAGGCACAAGTTATGTATGTGTGTATGTGTGTGTGTGTTTATGTTTGTGTATGTGTGTGTGCCTGCATATGTGTTGTCATGAATGTGTGTATGAGCTGAAGAGAGGAGGAGGGGGGATGGGGGGTAGACGATCTTCTCTGAAGCGGCCCAGGCAGGCATCAGCACTCAATCATCCCAGATCTGCCAGACGACACCAGCAGAGAAAACACATTACCCGTGTCGTGTCGCCTCGTCTTCTTCTGTTGTCTTCTCTTTATTATATTTAGGGCTGCCTCGCCTCAGGGTCAGGTGACAATCTGCATTCTCTTTCTACAAGTTTTCTCAAAACTGTCTCGAGTTTTTTTTTCTTCTTCTTTTTTATTGTATTTTAGTTTTTTTTTTTTTTTAGTTTTTTTCCCCCACCTCTCTGTTAAAGGGGAGCTGTTGATGGTTTTTAATCCCTACATGAGTCCCTTTGCAGATGACTCTGCTGGCATGGTGTCAGAGAGAAACTAACAGTGAGCAGCGCTACGCATTAGACAAAAGATGAATACCCTCAGAAGGGAGGGAGGGAATACAGATTTCCATTTGAAGTGCCTGTCTAAGTTTTAGTGAAAAATGAGTTCTTTATAACGGCATATAAATATATAAATGAAACACTTAAAGACATTATCAGGCACTTTCATTCCCCCTGCCTTTTGTGTGCTGGTTGAGGTGGGAAACAGAAGGGAAGTAAACACATCTGCATATCTGAGTCATTGGTTCCAAGGGAGCTGTTATGGGCTGTCTCTGCAAATCTCTTCTCGGCGTTGCTTACAGCCCACCAGATATAAAATCACCCCCCCAACACCACTGATGCCGGGTCAGATATTTCATCACTCCTCTGACTGATACAGTTGGATTTGAGGGTTTCAAATCTGATTTCAGATCTCCTGATTTCAAACCTTGTGTTTATCTGTTCTCGGGTTAAAACTTGTGCCCGCGGTCTACAGCAGGGGTAGGGGGCATGTGTGTCGCTGCTGTTTAGTGTCCAGTTGACGGTAAGCTGGCACAGTTGGTGCAACAGAGTGGGCCAAGACCGGTCAGGGCCTCTGTCTCCACAGTGGCTGTCACCTGGACAACCAAGCGTGCCAGGCCCGTGGCCACATCAGAGGGATCCGAGTAATGGCATCAACTGGCTGCAAACATGAGGCCGAGGGGTTTTTCTCCCTCCACCTGCTTTGTAGAGTGTTTGTCAAAACAAACAGTGCATTCAAAGAGAAAAACACGGTAACACTTCACTACTGTGTATTTCTGCCCAGGGAAGTCTCCCACAGTTCCTGGGGTAATTCTTTTAAATAAATAAGCGGAGGAAAAGTACCACAAGACCTTCCTTGAAGTGTCCAGCCTTGGCGCTCTCTCTGACATGGTACGTCGTTAAAGAGAGGAGGTCAAATAAAATGTACATATCCATTTGTTCTCAGGGTACAAGTTATTCGTGTTCGGGTTTTACCTCCTAACTTTCAAATGTCATAAACTCTACTCTGGCTCCTTCATATGTGATTCAGTACACTAGTACTTTTTTGTTTAGCACAAGTAACATTGCAATATTAAATGATTACTATAACTTGATATACTTGCTAATTTGAAGTAGTAGTAGAGGTATTGGGAGTAGCAGGGTTTTCATACAGTTCTTAGGGACCTTTCAGTGCGCAATGATTCTGGCACCCCCTGTGGATGAAACACTTCTTGCTGATTTTTTCTGTTCGTGGTAAAATTACAATTTTCTTTAAACAAATTATCTCATCCTCCTCTCTTTATAAGTCAAACATATAATTTTACTTTTATTTTTATTATTAAAAACTGTTCAGAAAGGGCAGTTTCTGCGTTGTGCAGTTTGCTGCTTGGTCTACCAGCAGTTGTAGGCATTTAAGACAACTCTATAGAAATGATTGATTCTGCCACTGATGGTCTCTTTTGCTTCTGTGGCTCATATAGAGACATCAATATTAATTTCACTCTGTTTCCTGACCAGTTCACTGTAGCCCAAATCTTGTATAAAAGCAGCTTCTTATTGATCAATTCCACTGCTGCCTGTAACAAGATGACTCTTTGGACTCTGCTGTGTGTTTCTATCGACATGTCTGTAATACTCCTAACCTTGAGTTTCTCTCCTAATGTTTTTTTTTCCTCTGTGTTCATTCTTGTGTGTGTGTAATCCTTCTGGTCAGCGAGAGGACTCTTTCACTATAGCTGTCACCCTGTGGACCGTGCTCATACAACAGACATAATGAGCAACTATTCTGCTCAGTCACTCTGAACCAAACAAGGTTCACAAAGACGGAGAAGTCGGCGAGGGGTCAAGGCTGAACGCTGGCTTTCTCTCGCACACAGGTCTTTATGACTTCCACTTTCTTACGCATGCCCCCAGTGTGTAGGGGTCACCATGGTAACATTGTCTCTTGCAGTAAATGGCTGGGATGCTGTGATGGGGTCTCGACCAAAGTTTATTGATCCAAAAGATTTGGTGGCTGTTTCAAAGAAAAATCTTGTTCCTTGTTGTTGAGACTTTCAATCAATAAGGAGAAATCCCAAGAAACAGGCTCGGTGAATTCAATCTTCTGAAAAATTCACAGTTTATGGGCTGTTTTTATGTGCTATTTCCAGTATCTGAAGGTATTTGGTTATGCTTTAGCATTCTTGCTCTGTGTGCATGTGTGTGTGTGTGTGTATGTTTGTGTGTTTCATGGGTACTTCCTGTGGTTATGTCTGTGCAGCACAGATGATTCATGACTTTCTGTGTTGTTTCAGAGAGAGAAAATTCACACTATAAATTTGTCTCTTTCCAACACTTTATGTCACACTCAAAGACACAAACACAAGCACACACACACACACTCTCTGGCGCTCTTACATTACAGTGTTCCTACTCCCACACAAACTGACAAAAATGAGTGCGTTTATGCTTTTCGGGGTAACTGACACAAATGAACCAAAAATATCTTTAACATGCACTTATTTTGCACTTCCTCTGACTAGCAGCTCATGATTGTGGTTATAAATATTATAATCACATAACAATGCACAAGATTTACTCAGTGCTGCCTTATAAATTCATTCATATAAATAAGCAGTTTATATAACAGATTACTTTCTGAAATCTGTCTCTTAATGCTCTGCTCTGTTTTTATCAGGCAACACTGCAGCACATTTGTGTCTAAAGTGCAAAGGCTGAAGTCCTTTTTTTTGTGTGTGTGTGTGTGTGTGTGTGTGTGTGTGTGTGTGTGTGTGTGTGTGTGTGTGTGTGTGTGTGTGTGTGTGTGTGTGCTCCTGGAAATGCTGTGTGTGCTGCTGTGCACTGCATGCTTAGCAGAGGTCACCAAAAACAATAGCCTACGGGAAGTGAGAGCATCTACAAAGGCACGAGAGCCTGAGAATATAAAAAGAAAACAGAGGATCTATATATGTGTGTTTGCTTGTTGAAACTGATTTAGTTGTAGAACTTTCTGTGCAACAAAGCGTAGAAAAACCTCCACAGTTTGTCAAAGTATTAGCAGTAATAGCAGCAGCAGTGCGCTTGCTGTGTTAGCCGGCTTATCACCATTGCCCATCGTGTTATCATAAAGGGGAAAGTCCGCACAGGAAACTTTACAGTTCACTTGTAGTATTCACTTACAGTTCAGGCAACAATTTTCCTTCTCAAATGAAACCACAACTTCCTCATTGCTGACTTTCCACGCCTCTCTGATGCTCTCTTTCTCTTTTTTCCGAGTGTGGCGTCACAGGGTTGTGGTTCTCTCACTACTCACAGTACACAGGAAGTGTGACAGGTCTCTGTCACTGTTTCCACTGAGGACCACAGAGCTAAATTTAACAGCGAAAACAAGATCACAGGTGCCCAAAATATTCACTTCCACAAACAGAGAGGTTTAATTTGACTACTCAAAGCTATTTATACTTAACCACGTTAATATACTTATGTCTGGGCTGAGGTTAAGTTTACTGAGTGACGCAGTCAGCCACAAAGGAAGCAGCCCAAACCAATTAGCAAGAGGAGCTAGCCAAGCCAGGACATTTAGCTGTTCAAGCTGAGCCCCCATCATGATCCCATGAATTAGTCTGGGCAGAATATAGAGTAATTGGCACCAACATGTGTGTCAATCTGACTAGCACATCGTATCAACACAGATTGATCAATTTATTGGATTAGCCCTTTGGCTAGCAATGTGCCCAAGACAAGTGAAAAAAAAAAACTATTAATAACATCTGTTTGTGCTGCAGAAATGCTGTAAATAAACATGCAAACCACAGAGTTCATGACAGTCCACCAGCAGTTCAATTTAAGGAAGTGAAACCTCTGCCACGCCAAATGTTCCACCTGTAGATCAGTTGGCACATTTGATGCACATTAGGAGACTGTGATCAGCCATTTGAATATTGTGAATGGTTCATGAACTGAGAAACAGACGGAGGAAAACTTTGTCCTCCGAGAGTTGACGAAAAATAAGTAATGAATAGAAAATGCAAAAGAGTGGAAAAAGAAATATTTAACCCCCCCCCACACACACACACACACACACACGCACGCACGCACGCACACACACACAAGAAATGAGGAGAAAACCATAGACACCCGAGAGCAGTCCCACACAGAGGAGACATTCCTTCATGCCTTCAGATCAATATAGTATATAGTATTATAAAGGATGGGCAGTATCACTATCAGGCCTTTATCTCCTCTCTATTCATATCAAAGGCTTTGCGAGGCCTCAGCTTAACTAACCTCTGTGCTCGCCAGTGTGCACTGTGTCAGTGCAGGCCAGGGGGGTTGGGGATGGGGGGGTGAGATGAGGCCAGTGGACTTGGAAGGCAGCCAGAGCCGGAGTGGGTTTAACTCCAGCTAAAGTTACGCTCAGCTCATTGTGACTGGCTCCGCTAACTCGGTGTGGCTGACAGCAGAAGCCAATAGCGGCACAATTACCCCTGGCACTGCAGAGTCATGTTGGCCAAAGTCTGGTCTGTGTCCATGTGGGTGTAAGTTCAGACACATACACACATTTAGACACACACATACACAGTGGCTACACATATGCTGATTGGTAGAAATATTTGAATGAGCTTTTTTTAAGAGTTACTTTCAACATTTCCCAATTTCCTTTACTCCAAACCACTTAAGACAGGAAACATCATGTTTTTCTACACTGTCTGACACTAACACATGCACTTTTTATTATGATTTTCTGTATAGGCTTATTTAGATTCTCATTACAGTGATTCAGTGTTTATTTTGAGATAACACAAAATAAGGATAACTTTATTGATTCTTTCACAGAGACAAAATTCCTTTTACTGCAGCTCTCAACCCTCAATAAAGGATCAATAAAAATAACACAATTATGAATAATAGTATCATTATACAGAAATAGCTCTTCTATCATATAAAACCCTGTCTTTAAAATTTCGCCTCTCACATGAAATTTAAATAAAGTTCAGTTTGATTATCTTTACATCAATATTAGTTTGAGATAGCACAAACTCCATCTAATCAGAAGTCTCATCAAACAGGGGTGTGTCCACACTTTATAAACCGAGGGGACCCACCTCAGACACTAACCCAAGCAGGGGGTGGCACAAAGTGTGCACACACACACAAATGATTATATCATTAATTTATCCTCTCTGTCACTGCAAGTCATATCAACTTTTACTAATATTACAGTTTCATCCTGGTGTACATTTTATTGCTGCATACATTTTTTTTTACCACAAATATAAAACAATAGAGAGTTTTACGTATTCTTCAACACTTCTCCTTTTTTTTTTCCATAGACACTTTTGCTTTCATTTTTTCATGAACTGATTTCTCACTTCTGTTTTGTGAAATACATTTGTAGATTTTTCCAGTGTTTAGGGCCTGTGTCCACCAACACTGTGTTTAGCGCTGACAGTGCCCACTACTTCAATTACAGAGAACTTCTCTCTGACACTTATTGTCATTATGTAAGGTATGTTTTCCCATGGCACTTTGTTACAAATAGTAGCAAACATTAATTATGATTTAAAAGTCTCTATATGCTTTATACTTGCTTTCGTTGAATCACATAAAAAGGACAATTGACAGACAGTATGTCCTAGCGTTAGCAACTCTCAACCTGAGGTTTGTCCCTAAAAAAAGGTGTTATTTTCTCCTTTTTGGTATGGGCCGCCACCATTTTGCTTACAAAGTAAATATCAGCGGCCCCACCCTGTCTTGATGGTTTGGTCAGTGATCAAGAAGTGACATTACCGAGTGCAGCAGTGTTCCAAAAATTGATCTATTTTCGACCAAGAGTGCTGAGAACACAGCAGCTACTATTAGCTGATAGGGGTGTTTTTGCACTGTGGATGCTGAGTGCTGAAATGCTGAATTGCATTTGGTTTGAACAGAAAATAGGGGCTGCCAATGTTAAAGAACAGCTTTAGTGGACACAGTCCCTTAGAGCACCAAAAATAGAAAATGTTTTTAATCCAATTCAAAAAAAAAAAAAAGGGTTTTGTAGAAAAAAAAAAGGTTTTTAGAATAGATGCCTTCAACATGTTTTCCTCCTCTAACATGGCAAATTGCGAATCAGTGTTTAAAATATGAGGTGGCACCGACACCAGATTTCAAGGAGGGCCCAAGCCACCCCTGTCAAATCCTCTGGACATACCACTGTAATTATAGTTGTGATTAAATAATGAGAAATAATCATGAGACACGTGAAAAAAATAAACCCACAGTGCAGCTGTCTCAAAATAGAAAAGCTTTACACTGTTAGTTTCTCTTTCATTGTCTTCTGTCTTTTTTTCTTGTCACTTCCTGTCTCCAACTCACCCCTCTTCTTTCACATCTCTCGCGCTCTCTCTCTCTCTTTCTCTCTCTCTCTATCACCCTGTCTGTGTCCCTTTGCTAATCTACAGTGGGGCTGATGTAAGGTAGGTGTGGTGGAGCTTTGGAGAAAGCAGATTAGCTCTTATTGTCACTAGTAGAAAACCAGCCAAAGGGTCTGCTATAAATAGGCAGATTTAGTCCAACCCCACAACTTAGAGCTTGGCAGGAGATCAGACCAGGCAGTGCAACTTTGGGGCCAGGGTCAGTGTGTTACTATGGCGACACAAGGACGGCAGTGCTTGTGTGAGTGTCAAGGGGCGAACAGTAATCCAAGTGTGTGTGCCCCCCCTTCTCTCCATGTTCTGTGACTCTCCGGCAGCAGTATTCAGGCTCCCAGCCCCCGTAGACAGAGAGCATGTTGGGTAACAGCAGTCTGGAGTTCCCCTGGACACGCTCCAGACCTCCTCTCCCCTCCCTACTGCCTCTCTCCCACACTTCTCCCATCTTTCTCCCCCGCCTCTCTCCCACCCGCTTCCCCTATCCCCACTGGCTTTTGTACCGTGATACAGGTTTGTGTGTGTTTGTGCGATTCCCAACAGCCCATACAACACAACCGCTGGTTTATTTGTCCTGTTTCCAGCAGGTTTTCTCCTTCGGACATTTTTTGAGTGTGTGAGTGTGTGCGCGTGCATGCAGTGTGTGTGTGTGTGTGTGTGTGTGTGTGTGTGTGTGTGTGTGTGTGTGTGTGTTTTCAGCACCGCCCTTCCTCTGAAAACCGTTGGATTTTGTTTCCATTCCTCCCTGTAGGCTTCATCTCCATATTAAACCATTAGTTGATCTGGAGTTAGTGTGTGCTGTCTCAGCAGCTCATCTCACACATCTGCTCTGACTCATTTTCTCTAGTTCCTACTTCTGAAAATGAGAAATGAAGACGCTCTCTAAACATTTTGTGCCTATTTGTGGCTCTGGCCAAGCCCAGTCAGAATACCATCATCCTCTCTATCATCATCATCATTGCAACAACAAACGTTGGGTAATAAGTGACGAAACACTTAAGCTCAGGGGCACATCAATTCAGAAACCCCTTTGGAAAAGATATACTTTGACTTATATCATTAAGGTGGATTATTTTTTCCCCTGTCTGAGATCATACATGTTAAACTAAGAGATATAGATATACATAAGATTTGGTTGATTTTCATTCTAAGTGTACAACAAAAAAAAGCAGCACCGGTTCTCCAACTCAAAAAGTCTGAGATGTGATGAAACACATTGAAAAAAAGTAGGTGTGCGAATGTGAAACATGTCAACAAGGCAGAACAATTACCGAGTAGGCCTGTTTTAGCATGTTTACCTGCACCCACTCTATTCAACGCTTGGCCCGCTTGCCAGAGGAACAAGCTGCTGCATGCTTCTGCCATAGAAGCACACAACAGTAACTCACCCTGCTTTGCACCCTACGCTGACAAAGCAAAGCGTCACAGTTTCCGAAACCTCTCCTTCCACGTTTGCATCACCATGCGTTAGAAAAAAACCCCACAACTGTCAGTGTATCTCTGTGAACTAACAGGTCATACAACTTTGAAAGCAGATTAAGTTTAATGGTTAAATACAACTCTTTAAAGGCCTTTACATGGCTTCTCTTAGTATCATATGATTTATTTCCATACGTTGTCTCTTAAACAATGAAGTAAAATGTTTTTTACTTTTAACATTGGAGCAATTTTAGCAGAATACAAGTGAATGACTTGAGAGGAGAGGAGAAAAAGAAGGAGAAAAAAACAAACAACTGATGTCCTGCAAAAGCTGCTGGCAGCAAAGTAGACCCAAAATATTTATTTGTCTGATTATAAAGCCTCCAAAAACACTCTTTATGGGGTTATTTTAGACGGTCATCTGAGGATACAGTGGTAGATGAAGACTGTGTGTTTGTAGCCCCTCTGATTAAGCAGATAAGTGACTTTAATTGGATCACTTTATTTGTCTGGCTGGACTTAAACACAACCACAGAGTCTGGGACATCTGAGCCGCAGTCTCTGAGCAAGAACGAAACACACACAGCTTCCTCTTTCCACCCAGCAGCCTGCTCCCCTCTCTCTCTCTCTCTCTCTCTCTCTCACTCTGTCTTTTTTGTTCTTCCTTTCACTCTGTCGTTTTCTCCGACTCAGCCCTGTGATATCACGGAGCAACGGATGTGATGTCACTTCCTGTTTGGTTTTTCATGTGGCGCTACCGGCAGCTATAGAGGCTACAGCTTGCTGACAGCTGTGAGTGGAGCTGGAAACATGCAAATAAACAAAGTCAAAGGTCAGAGCGCGATGATTGTGAGTGTTTAGTAGGCCCGGCAGCTGCTGTTTGAAGCCACGCTAAAGCCATTGAACACTTATTCTTCCTTGTTTGGTTTGTGGCTCGGCTTAAGCTTGTTGTTTGTTAGCACATCATCCTATTTTAGCTGTCTATAAATCAACTTTTTCAACAACCCAGGTGAATAATTCACTGAAAAGTAAATATCACAAGTGTGGCCACATAGCTGGAGCACTAAAATACTGAATCCATATAAAAATACATTACCTGTATTATTTCCTCTGCCAAAAAAGAGCAAGTTGTGACTCCTTTTCCTCATCATCTGCTGCTAGTTGAGAGCCTGGTGGTGACAGACAGGCTGTGACACCCAGCCCTGGTAATAGAAGGCAATTATAAGCCCTGGCGAGAGCTGTGGCAATGGGGGAAAACTTTTATGCAGCCCCCCTCCTGGGGCGCTGACATGCAGACACACTGAAATTAATTGCTACAAAACATCAGGCGAGCTCAACGCACACATGCGCGTAAAGTCAAACTCCTGGAAAGGAAAAGAATGAAACAATACACATCATGCGATGTCGCATTGATGCTTGTGAGGAGGAAGAAGAAGAAGAAGAAAGAGAAGCGGTGAAAAAAACAAGTAGATCCCTTCCAACAAATCATGTTTTCATCTAAATAAAGAAGCCAAAGACAATAGACTCGGGTACCTTGGAGACCAGGAGGACTATTTCTCCATGGCAACCAGTGTGGTGTGTGACAATGCCGCAGTGCGAGGGTTTGAACTGCTAAAGCTGTCTGGGAATGCAGAGATAGATGGGGAGGAAGGAGGAGAGGGGCTCAGAGAGTGAGACCCACGGAGGGCTGTCTGTATGCTCGTAATGAGAACACACATTGTCACAATCCTACTGCGTGAAGAATGAAGTTCATGACTTTCTAACACACAGTATTTTCTTTTCTTTCTATCTTTAACCCGATGCAGAGAAATCATGTTCCTCACTAAATTATTACACTAACACTGTTTATGTTTCCAACAGTGCATATCCAAATATTCTCACATGTAAACATTTCTCCAGTGTTGCCATGGAGTTGTTCCCCTGTTGGGCTGTTAGAAAATGCAACAGCATGTGGCCTTTGAGGAGATTTATTTTAATTGTGCGGTGTATTGTGGCCGAGACATCGTCAGGCTATATGCAGGGTGTGTGCAGTCAGCACACTTGTGGATACATGCAGACACATCGGCCCTTAGACTCGACAGTTTGTGTGTGTGTGTGTGTGTGTGTGTGTGTGGGTGTAAGTGTTTGCCAAGCCACGTGCAGTGTGTTTGGATTGTAAGACAAACACAAATAAAGAACGCACAGGTTTGTGTCCTTGTAGAAACCTGTGCATGAATTCTTGTGCAAGGAGGGTGATAGGAAAAAATCTGACTTCCTGTGTGGTCACTCTTTCTCAAACATGTGTTTTAATCACAGATTTAATTGGGTTTTTGTTCTATAATCTTCATTCAAGCAGCTAAAAGGAAGAAAAGGATGTTTTTTTCTCTCTCTCTCTCTCTCTTATTTGGGGTCGTCCAAGGCTACTTAATGTCTTTTACAGACTGTACACTAGTGCAAGTCTCAACTCCATCCTTCTAATTTCTCCTTGTCAGCATCACCCGTCAACAATCATCATGCAACCTCCTTTGTGTGTCTTTATTTTTATTTGCTGCGCGCTTTATAGAAATTCATTACAGTGTCTGCCGCCAGCGTAGGCAGAAAAATATTCCCCCAGCTCAGCTGAACTCTCACCCTCCTTTAATGTAAACACCGCTCCCCAGTCACGTTTCTCCCATTAAGGTAAACGTCTGCATTATGTATGAATCGAGTCTCCTTAATCCAGTCGCACCATTAACCTCCACACCCAGACGTTTTTAAGTCCACACATCAAGAGCTTGAGAGACACAACTCTAACCCTGCTAATTTGTGATAAATCTCTAAATTTAAATCAGTAACAGCAAATTACTCATTACTTTTAAGGACTTCTGAGTAATGAATAAGATACGGATTTAGCCTGATTCAAAAAGTGAAAGTCATTCCTTCATTTTTAAAAGATCTTATTATTCTTTATCCTGAATTTGAAATGAGGAGATTTATGTAAAGATAGTTAATGCCAACAGATACAGGCACACAATCAGACATTATAATACCAGAATTATCAGAATAACAAACGACTCATGCAATAAGGTGATGTAAGCAGTAATCTGTTTACTCAACATTTTTACACTTACTTCCTTGCTTTTTCATGAATCAGACTTTTTAAACTCAATATTGATTTTGAAATAATTTGATAAATTTAAAATGGTTAGATTTGTTTCTATTGAAAATAGTCAGTCATACTTTCAGTTTAAGGTGTGTCTGTAGTAACAGCTAACCCCCAACCTTCTTAGAGAGGCAAAGCTAGCTGTTTTCATGCACTTCAAACTGAATTTTCCTCAGTGAGGCAACCCACTGAGTTTTTCTGCCTCACTGTGTCAGAGTCTGTGATATTTACATTTGTCAGTCCTTGAGCACATTTGTAGATTTACTTAAATGTAAGGCTTTCCAAATATAACAGTATGTGGATAATGGATTTTTTCAGAAAAATCAGACAGAAAAAAAAAAAAAATAAAATAAAATAAATGCATGATAAACAATGGTAAAATGAGGCAATGACCTCTCCAAACAAGTTTCAGTCACAGGGCTGGTGATGTGGATGAATCACAAATTTGAAGATCATATGAAATGGTTACATGTCAGTCACTGGTGTTTATCAGTAAAGTTCAGGAAATAATATGCTGCTCCACCCTTGTTGCACCTTTCCTTGGCGTGATGCTTGTGTTGTTTTATCTGTTTTTTTTCTACATTTTCTATATGTTATTCATGATCTGTGAAAATCTGCCCTACTTGGATGTCAAATCAGCTGGACTCCTTTCTGTGCATTGATGTGATTTCAGAGACTCTGCCAGAGTCTGTGATCTGGACCACATCCTCGGCAATGTTCTGTGAAACATATTAACAGACTGCTATCAAATAACAGACTGTTGATATAATAACCAGAATCTACTGCTTTAAAAAAATCTGTTCTGCAATGTGATCACTGTAGTGAGGAGTAGGGATCAAAACCTGGTTTTACTGAGGACCCAGTTCCACTATTTTGTGTTTGAGCTAATGGATACTGCCATTGAGTCTCAAGGCTCCCATGGCATAATAACATATATCTAGTTGAGCCTATTAAATCAAATCAATGCACAGATGTTGTTTGATAAATGGAGTTTTTTAAATAGAATAAAAGATTGGAAAGAAGAGTGGTTGTGAGAATGGCTGTACATGTGGGCAGGTCTGAAGTTTGGCTGCTTGCAGTGAATTCCCCTCTGTTACCTTTGGGCTGAAAAATTTGATCACCATCCACTTAATGCTGCTTCTACAGGAAAGTCATCCTCTCGGTGATAGATAAACAGTCTTGACAACAGAATTAATATCACTGAAAACAAACCCCCACCATTCATTTTCAGTTGAACATGCCATAACTGCCTGGGACAAGAAGAGCTAAAGTCATCCTGAACTTCCTCCAAAAGTAAAAAAAAAATTAGCTCTACTGCTGAGTGATCTATCGCAGAGGTTGTCGTCATCAAAATTAGCTGCAGTCTTTTACCAGCACAAGTTACTCTTCACATAAAGCTTCAGCGAGGATTTTTCAACTAGATATGAAATAAACTATACGACTAACACTGATGTTTCCAAATGGCCTATAAAAACAAACCAGACCATCATCAGAGAAGTCGATAATGTCTACAGTCATCTTTGATGTCTGTCACTGCTGTCACCAGGTTAGCATAAAAAGCTCGCAACCCAAAGAGTCCTTTACGCAAATATTCAGCAGGAAGGATTCACAGAGAGTTTGAAGATTTTTTGGTGAGAGAATTGTAGCCACATGTGCACAGAAAGAGTTTTGTCAAGGGGTTTGCAAAAAAAGGCATAAAACTGATAGCTCCTCATAGTATCTTTATTTCATCATCTGGCTGCTGCAGAGCTTTTAAAACCTGATGCTGAATCTTCAGTCCAAGTGACCCAAACTGACATTTGGCCCCCAAGTCTCAACTCCTGAAAAACCCATTGTCCCATAAGCCAAATGCTTCTGACAGTTATTTATTTATTCATCCTCCCCTCCTCCTCTTTTTTTCCTTTTTCCTTGGAAGCATACTAAGAGTGTTAGTGTTGTTTGTGGTTTTTGTGTGTCTGCCTCATCAGCCGTCATGCCTGCTGACGTCTGGCACTCGGAGTTAAACGATTATCGTATGATTGTAAAAGTGTTGCAGGGCTTTCTGATGGAGACCTGTCTTCTCAGCCCTGTAGGCTATCCCACATCGGCAGTCTCTAGCTGGGGTAGAGGGGAGGAGGGAGAGGGGCTTATGTGAATCAACCTGTCGTACCTGCCCTGAGGCCCACCTGTCAACAACTCAGCGACAGCCGCTTTCTCTCTCTCCTGTCTCTCTGTCGCTTTCTGCCTCGGCTTCTCCATCACTTCCTCTGTATCTCTCCTCACCCGTTTATCTCTCTGCCTCTCGCTCTCTCGCTCTCTGCGTCACTTTTCTTCAGCTGCAACGCCACAAAACAAATAACTCTCACCTGAGCGGATGTGCCGCTCAGACTGTCATTTTCACTTCACAGCGAGTTATTGGGAATAGCTTTAGCCATTGGACCCAAGGAGGCTATTTGTCTTGGCAACTTCTGATGTGACTCAAAACTCAAATAAACTCTGGAGAACAACTTAAATGTTTGTGTGTGTGTGTGTGCGTGTGTGAGTGAGCAAGAACTTGCCTGTTTGTATAACACCAGGTTTAAACAGGTCATCCTTGAAAAGGCAGGGTGATTTCAGCTTTTCTTTACTAAATTTCAGTAGCTCTGGTTTTGTATTTATAGCTTTTGGTCCATAGAGAAAAAAAGATAAAAACCCAAACCTGCCAAGCCTTTCTTAGAGTTCTCTCAATAAACGTCAAGGTCCAAGGAGTGAGCAAGGGTGATGGCGTGACTGTCTGATGCAATAATAAACCCACGCTCGTCCACATAAACAGATGTGGACTGGCTGAGCTCCATTTGACTGCGGACTAAAGCAAAGTTTAAATTCCTGACAAAAAAAAAAAATCTGAAGCCTGTAGTAGAATAAAAACAGGTCTGTGAGTCTGGATGTTTTCTGTCTGCTCCACGTACGTATGCTCATGACTCACACCCAAACGTGTTGGCTAAAGACAACAAACCAAGCCGCTCCTCAGTCTGGACGCTGAGGCCACATCTTCGTGCCTCCAGCGCTCCTTCCTGTCTGCCTCTGTGTCCATGTGAGGACGTCAGCAGAATGAGGAGCAGCTAGTTAGTCAGCCCAGGCAATCAGCCAATGAGAAGATTTATCCTTGTGCATCTAACATGCAACATCCAGTTAGCTTTCAGGAAAACTTAAAATGGATCTGAGCTGTGTCTAATACACTCCTCAACTCAAAGCTAATGAGGCTGTTTAAGTGTTCACACATGAATATTAAGTTCCTTTTCAGAGAAAGTAACAAGATTCTCATGTTGACATTTATAAAATATTGTAAAATTATGAGGAAAATATTCCCAAAAGTATCAAAGTGAGTAACTAAGTCCCTTTTTTAATCTATTAAGTATCTTTTGAGCTAAATCTTCAATTTTAGCACAAACTGTAGTTCTTATGGCATTACTGTGGCACACAAGAGGAGGTGTGGAACAATACTGTACAGGGGGCTCTTTTGACGTGAAATAGTTTTAGTTTTTGTCCTTCCAAAATACTGTTACCCAAACTGACCACCAGAGGTCCTTACATCCTGTTAAACTGTTGTTATCGCAGAAAGCTAGCTAGCAAAATGCAAACTGTTCGTCACCTTAAATTCCATATTTAGTTTAGATAATCTGGCTTTCTGTTTCAAAAGGCATTCTTTTACATTTCATAAACTTTCTAGACTTGGTAGTTTGGTACTTTAGTCAAAAAGACAATGACTTTATCCCTAAATTTATGTTCGCTAACATTTTAATCCAGTGTGAGAAACATAAATCTACTTTTTGCTCCTCATGGAGTATATTGCTGCTGCTGCATTTTACTCAGATTACCGTCTCCTGAGTCACTTGGATACATTAAGGTGATAAAACATAAATAACATAGACATAGACATTACTCTAAGCTGTTGCTTTTATGTTCAATACTTCCGACTGTCTTTGCTGGTAGACTTCTACCATCATTTTGGCTTTTATTTTGAAAAATTTTAATTTTCACCTCCACCTGCTGTCTAACCAAAACAGAAGATTTCAATATTCAAAATGAGTAAAAGCTTAGGGTAATTTTCTGTGTTCATACTTGTCATAATCCTTTACTAGGCCTGATGAGCCGATACACTAACTTCTTAAACCACAAACAATGAACCACAAATGATAGCTCAGATGTCACCCGCAGATCTGACCTATTATACATCAGTTCTATCAGCATGCCGGGGTCATGCCGCCCACAGACTCGGGTCTACACAGCTCAGACAAACAGAAAAGTGTTTTGTGGCAACCTTTAAATGTTACCCGTTGCTGTGCTGTGGCTGCAGCATGGTTTGGGGAAGCCCCTCTTTTCAGCGCACTACCGGTGACTCATCAGGAGCTGAAAGGTCAGAGGTCAGATCTTTTGTCACATGGATCAAACAAACAGGCCGGGGGCTCAGTGAGTCACACGTCCTCAGGGGGACATGTTTGGTAATTGTGTCTCAGTCACCTACCACCCCGAGGAGACGACAACAGGCGGATGAGCAGATAGAGCGGCTATTTGATGCTGGGGCCCTGTTTCTGTGTGATACACTTATACTGAAGCCTGAGGGGTGGGACGACAGAGAGGGATGCCTGCAGTTACCAGGGATTGTCACAGATTGTTTTTCAAACACTTCTAAGGCCTAAAGCTTCACTTGGTGAGCTCCCAGGAGTGAAAGAAAACCCATGAGCTGACCCGCAGTACACTCATAATCTGCTAACACGAGGCAGCCTCATTTCCAGAAAAAAAAAAAATGTGTGGCTGCTTCAGTGCAGCAACAGGTGGTGCTCTGTAATCTGCATTGTGCTGTAATGGATTAGATTTCACTAAGTTAGCCAAGGTTTATGATGAGTGGACCTCTGAGTAGAGGTGTCAAGTATTTAAACAGACGTACAGCTCTGGATGTCTTCATGCATGATTGTTTCCAAAATCCCATTAGATCCATTTGGCTTTTCATGCGTGTCAATTAGTTCAAAGATTTTTCCACAAACTCTTCCACTATGCCAGTTTCCGACAGATTTTATCCCTCTAACGCCAGTTTGTCTTTTCCCAGGCACATCTTGCTCTACTTGTAAAAAGGTCAGGCCACACACTCCTGCAGGCGTCCCTTTAAAAGCTGGGAGAAGAATGACATTTATCAAATACGCTCCTATCATGTTCTCTGCTCTCCTCTACGGCTCTGCATGACTGTGGGGCTAATATTCAGCCTGTCACTCTAGCTGAGACCATCAGGCCTGCTCTCCTCCCCCATTTAATTATCAACCCCGTGTGCTGTAAGGACCCCAAACACATCTCAGCTAAATTTAATCTTTTATCATCCTCGAGTCCACCACTCTTATCCCATCCCTTTTGCCAAAATAAAAGCGTGAAAGTCTCATCCGTGCTCCAAAATAATCAGGTCCTCTCTCCCTCCCTTCCTCTCTCTCTCTCTCCTTTTCTGTCATTACACACACCCCTCCTCATCCTTGTCCCCGCTGCCACATTATGTAACACACAGGCTTTGGTAACTGTAACCATCCAGCCACTAATCTAGATCCGCCCATCATGGGAGCACACAAGGCTGCACACACCTGTATGCTAATGCAAAGGGATTGCACCACCAGTTGGTGTGGGCGGCCCAGTAGGTGCAGAGGTGTGACTGAAGAGCATGAGTGTCTGTCTGTCTGCCTGTCTGCCTATCTCTCTGTCTGTCTTCCCGTCTTTCTGCCTGGCAGTAGATGCTGACAAATACCGGCACAAAGCTCCCACGTACTGTATGTGGGTGTGTGGATTCTCTTTTGGGCTCTGTATTTTCTATTTTTCTCTCACCCTCACCCTTCCTTCCCACCTTCTCCATCTCTTTATTTTCTCATCCTGCCTTCTTCTCCTCACTCTCTACTGTAAAACATCTCTATTTCTTCACTCCCTCTTATTTTGACTCCTCCAGCTCCTCTCCTTTTCTTTCTTCCACCTCCTCTCTCAGTTTTTGGCTCCCCTACTTCTTCATCTCTTCCTTGTGGCAAATTAGGGCATGATTAAATATCTACCAAAGCTTCCGCTGTGTGTGTGTGTGTGTGTGTATGTGTGTGTGTGAACAGGGGCGTTGTGGCTGCGTAGGTAAAGGGAGAGCCTTTGTTTCTCTCTGCCTGGCAGAGCGTTGGAGTTTCATCAGACGAGGACTCCTCTGGTTGTTTTGTGTGGGCAGCAGGGGGAAACACACTGAGGAGTGTGAACCAGCTGACCCAAACACTCACAAAAACACACGCAAGCACATATGTAACAGTGTACACACACACGTAACAGCGCTCACACACACACAGACTAATTCTCCTTCCCTTGCCCTTCCAGCATCTGCTTCCACCCCCTCCATGCATCGGAGTGAGGGAGGCCCAAACAGCCGCTGTGAACTGTTTATCATCTTTATTACTTTATTACTTTTCTGACAGTTTTCCCTAACCTGATTTTATTACTTTGTCATCAGATGATGAGTTCTCTCATCTGCTCCCTCTCTGCTCTTTCTTCTTTGCTTTGCCACAGATTTATCGACCTTGGTAACTGATGCATGACAGCAGCAAGGGATGCAGACAGGAGTTTAGATTTGGCAAAACAACTTCACCGCACAGGCTCTTTATGCAACTCACCGACATTGTGTCCTGACGTTCTTGCCTTTTTTCTTCTTTCCTTCAACCAAAAGAACTGGATATGAGTTTCATCTCCCTCTCTGGAAACAAAATACAAGTCATACAAGTGAACATGTGCGGTGGGAGCCCCATTTCCCTCCTAAAATATGACACTGCTGTGCAGAACCCCATACCTTCAAAAGTGATTAGATTTGATCATTTATACATATCTGACTGTATGAATAAACAGCATTACACATTCTCCAGCTGCGCCCTCTACTTCAGGCTTATTTGGATTTTGTGAAGGAGCCTCTGCTCCAGATCATCCATAATAAATGACAGAATTTCGCTATCAGACTAATGGTGGTAAACAAAGAGATTTGCCAGAGGCTGAATGGGAAACGCCTGGGAGAGAATAAAGACCAAAAACCTACTCTATCTATCTATCTATCTATCTATCTATCTATCTATCTATCTATCTATGTCTGTCTGTCTTGATTTAAATCTGTAAATAAAGGGAAGATGAACACCATGTGTGAGTAATGAAACACTATTTTGAGTCTAATTCAAATGATTTTGAAGTATACCTGCGCCACCTCTTCTTTTTCTTCTCTCTCTCTCTCTCTCTCTCTCTCTCTCTCTCTCTCTCTCTCTCTCTCTTTCTGTCTTTCTTTCTCTAAGGCCACCTCAGTGTCCTGCCCACGATGTCTCCCAATGAGGTTGCTCGCATATAGATCCAGTCAGCAGCAAGGGAAACACATTGATTTCCCGTCAGCATCCACCGAGCAGTGCTGGCGCGCCGGCCGAGGCTGGAGCAGCCTGGGGGGGAACATCGGCATCCCGCAGGCGTCCTGGCAGCTGCGCGCAGTGTTGTTAATGCGGCCCATTAGACCGCTGAGTGGCAGAGAGATTCCCCGAATATCGAGCCGGGGACACCCCTCAATTACGGATCGGCCCGCACCTCGTCAGCATCCGCGACTATCCGCTCTCATTAATCAATGCCAAAGCCGAGAGAGAGATGCAAAGTTCATTTAAAAGCAAGTTTGCAAGCAGCCTGCGGAGTTTGCACAGCCTTATAGTTACCTACCTTTGTAGTTGTTTAAATATAGTCACTTTAACAAATATTAACATCAATTCAACATGGAGCTTATTTTCTGTTATCAATACTACACAGAAATGCATCACAATGTGCCAATAATGCACAGAAATAACACAAAAGCAAGTGTTAAGTGATCAAGTAGTTTGTTTTTTGTGCTGTGTATTTTGGCTGAAAATGAAAGTTACCCGTATCCTTAAGATGCCGAGATTTGGCTACATTTGTGTTCAAAGCATGGTTCTGCTCTGAGTGCTCAACCACATAAATGTTCTAACATTTACAAAGTTAGGAGCCGCCAGCATTTCTTTATACACATACTCTTCCACATAGTGTCAGAGTTGAGTTGAAGTTGTTTTTTATTGCAGGGAAACAGGATTCTGCTGCTGACATTAGTTATTGTGAGCGCAGGACATGATTTGCACTCCAGCCTCTCATTCACTGCCAAGCAGCGATCAGCGCTGCCTCAGGAAGTTCCAAATAAGGACAGGGAAATGGAAACCCACCGGAATAGGTCCTTATGTAGTCACGACCTTATAAGGCACGGCGGAGCCGGGCTTTCCGGCAGCAGCGCTGCCTGCTGCACAGATGGGAAATCCAAATCAAATCTACGGGGCGACAGGGAGAGCGCAAGAATTATGCTGCTGTCTGCCGGAGCTGCTCTGCTGTGAAGACACATTGATTCGGGACAGAGGAAGAGCAGCAATGTCTTCGCAATTTACTGGGAGAGCTTAATATAAAGTCTCTTCTCTCTGCTTTCCCCCAGGCCAGCGTCATGTGTTCTCCACTGCAGTGACTAAATATGGGCTTCCTCCGCTCCAAATATGGACATCTACGTCACGGCAAGAGGGTATATAAGGAGCGGGGAAACCTCTCAGCTCAGAGAGAGCCCTGAGAGCCCACAAGAGCAACTGTTAGAGCAGAGATAGAGAGACAAACACATAGAAGTCCCTTTCCGAGACACATCACAACAAACAAAAAGTCAGTTCAAAACAAAGAACATCCAAGAAGGTCAAAACCTGATTGGATAAGCTATTTAATACAGAGATTTTTAAAAATCAAGATTAATCTGTTGATTAATTTTGATGTATCTTAGGGAATGAGTATAAATGACACTTTTGATTTTTTCTGAAAAGACAAGTGGATCTTTACTCATCTCTGAGAGAAAAATCAACAGGACATCTGGAGAACAAGAGAGACGGAGCATCTTCCCTGGCATCAGCAGAAGTGTGCAGCAGCGCTCCCTGAGCTGAGCTAAGTGATTCCCTCCACCTGTGAGCAGCGCTCAGCCAGCGTGCGCCCAGCCTCTCTGTCCTCCACAGCAGCTTCCTGCACAGCCTCAGCCCTGCAGCTCCAGCACCAGCAGAGGATGGCTGCAGCCAAGACCGAGATGATCCTTCCAACCCTGCAGGTCTCAGAGCCCCTGAGTTTCCCTCACTCCCCAATGGATAACTACCCCAAGCTGGAGGAGGTGATGATGCTCAGCTCTGCAGGGACCCCCTTCCTGACCGCCTCCGCACCTGAAGGTGCTGGCTTCGGCTCGGGGGAGCCAGGAGATCAGTACGACCACCTTGCTGGAGGTAAGAACTGATTTCTTCCCTCCGGTTCCCTATGCTGTTTGTAAAGCTCAGCTAAATGTGACATTAAATCTGCTGAACCACTAAAACCCACTAAAGAAAAAAAGAAATTTAAAGATGGACAGCCTTACAGTTTGAATTATTATTAATGCTTTGCAGTTTATGTTTATTTCACAATTATACATTGTCAAAAAAGCACGGCTTGCACTTGAGTCAACATTGTTCTTAGTCTGTATTAGTTTATTTTTCTTCTGACTTGTTGTGAGAAATTCACCTAAAAGAAAATTCAAAGACCACAAGAAAATTAAAATTTCAGCTGAGATGATTTTTTTTAAATATACAAAAATAAAAACACATTTTAAAAATGAGTGAAATTACAAACAACCGCCTCGATACCAATTCAGTGCTGGCTCTTAATTCTGTCGGCTCTCTGAGGACTCAAACACTGCTCTGTCACTGCATGCCTCAAGACACTCCTACAGCTCAATTCAAATTGCATTCCTAAAACCAGCTGAACTGCAGTTTCGGTAATCAATTGCCTCGGGCTCTGTGATGGGCTTCAAGAATAAGTGTGTGAGTGTGTGTGAGTGTGTGTGAGTGTGAGTGAGTGAGACAGACAGAATGAAAGAAAGATCGAGTGTGAGCAGAGGATAGTGCATTTACAGAAAGCTTGTACAGCAACTTCAGTTGAGGTGTGGAAGAGACAGTTTCAGAGTTTTAAAGCAGATGAGTTCGAAGTTTGCGTATCGTTGTGTGTGTGTCTGTATGTCTGTGTATGTGTGTATGTGTGTGTGCGTTTGGGGGTTGCCTGCATGGGCGCCTGACGGATCTGTCACAGCAGAGCGGGGTGACACACTGTCCACTGTGCTGGCAGGATTCCCCCTCTCCCTCCTCTGGATATCGACAGTTTGATTAATGTCTCGCTCTCTCTCTCTCTGTGCTCTTTGCAGATACGTTACCTGATATCCCCTTCAACTGCGAGAAGCCGCTCACAGAGCAGAGTTACTCCACACAGAGGCTACCCCCCATCTCCTACACAGGCCGCTTCACCCTGGAGCCCGCCACCACCTGCAGTAACAGCCTTTGGGCGGAGCCCATCCTGGGCTTGTTCACTGGTCTGATGGGCAACATTGCCCCCAGTTCAAACTCTTCCTCTGCGTCCTCACAGACCACCTCGTCCTCCTCTACATCCGTCCCGTCCTCTTCCACTTCCGCTTCTTCTACCTCCTCCTCATCTCAGAGCTCCAGCCTCAGCTCCTCCATCCACCACAGCGAGCCCAACCCCATCTACTCAGCTGCCCCCACCTACTCAAGCCCCAACTCTGACATCTTCCCAGACCAGGGCCAAGCTTTCCCTGGCTCAGCTGGAGCAGTGCAGTACCCTCCTCCTGCCTACCCTAACGGCAAAACATGCACCACAAGCTTCCCAGTGCCCATGATCCCAGACTACCTGTTTCCTCAGCAGCAGGGAGAGATCAGCCTGGTGCCCCCTGACCAGAAGCCCTTCCAGAGTCAGTCCAGCCAGCCCTCCCTTACTCCTCTGTCCACCATCAAGGCCTTCGCCACCCAGACTGGCTCCCAGGACATTAAGAGTGTCTACCAGTCACAGTTGATCAAACCCAGCCGAATGCGCAAGTACCCCACCCGGCCCAGCAAGACCCCTCCTCACGAGAGGCCCTATGCTTGTCCGGTTGAGACCTGTGACCGCCGCTTCTCACGCTCTGATGAGCTGACTCGTCACATTCGTATCCATACAGGCCAGAAACCCTTCCAGTGTCGTATCTGCATGCGCAACTTCAGCCGCAGTGACCACCTGACAACACACATTCGCACTCACACTGGTGAGAAGCCATTCGCCTGTGAGATCTGCGGCCGCAAGTTTGCCCGCAGTGACGAGAGGAAAAGGCACACAAAGATCCACCTCCGACAGAAGGACAAGAAAGCAGAAAAGGCGGGAGCGGTGGCAGTGACAGCAGCACCAGTATCAGCCGCCTCACCTGCTTCCAGCTACCCCTCACCCATCACCTCCTACCCGTCTCCTGTGTCCTCTTACCCCTCTCCCGTCACCTCCTGCTACTCCTCCCCTGTCCACACTTCCTATCCGTCTCCTTCCGTGGCCACCACTTATCCATCAGTGTCCATGTCCAGCACCTTTCAGTCCCAGGTCGCTTCCTCCTTCCCTTCCTCAGTTGCCTCCAATATCTACAGCTCCCCCATCCCCACCCCGCTATCAGACATGCAGTCCACCCTCTCCCCAAGGACAATTGAGATCTGCTAAGGAAGAGAGGAGAGAAAAACTTTTTTTTTCAGTCTCTGCACCTCTCCTTCCTAAAGGTTCTTTGAGGGGAAAGAAATCAGCATCAAAAGACTTTGTTTTCCCCTCCAAAAAGCACTTTTCTGTCTGCTCCCTGTGCAGTGTTAGGTGAATCTTGAGGTTTACCTGAAAGTGAGAGACACATGTCAAGGACTGGGCAAAGACAATAAAAGATGAAAAGGGATTTTTTTTTTCTGTCTTTGTTAAACAAATGCAGCACTTCAAATGCATAAGGAACTCAACAGATAGGGTAAAGAAACGGGCACCAACGGGTCTCTGCTATGAGGTACACAAAGACAAAGAGACAAACAGATTGGCAGCAGTCATGGTGCCAAGGCACATCCGCCCTCGCAGGCACTCACACAGTGCAAAAGACATTGAATGATATACATAAGCTACCATATATGTATATTGTACATGTGCCATGTTTCGTTTTTATCATTCTTTGGTACCATTGATGTGAAAATGATTTGCATATTTGCATTGTATTATTTGAAGTGAGCAGGGCCATATTTTCTACATACTTTCTCTATTATGTAGTGATGATGCTGTGATATGTTTTGACATTGTTTGAAAAAAAAAGCACTTAAGTATTCAAGCATGAGTAAGAGTGATGTTATTTTCTGTTTGTAAATATCATCCACTGGTACTATCTCTTTCTCTCTTTCTCACATGTGACATATCGCTCGGTTATATGAGAGAAGAACAGATAGAAGAAAAAAAAAAAACGTTTAAAAAATCTAAACACTCCCGTTATTTGGTGCCTTTTGTGAAGCCTTGCTGGTGTTGTGACTCGGCTGTGAGCAGCTGCGAGAGGATGCACTGCATCTCGCCTTAAGGGTTGAGGGAATATTTTTGTTACAGAATGTAAGTCATACTCAGAGGGAGGAAAAAGGGACGAGCTGTGAGGGCACCGCTTCATTTCATTAGAATGTAAGCAAAAAAAGGAGAAAAACTATAAAGTATATTTTTGTAAAACTTAAGTGTAAATATCCACATCTTCAAGAGCTGGAATGTTGAAGTTACCTACTGAGTAGGCATGGGATTCTTTTGTATGTTATATACATGCAGTTCATTATTTTGTGGTTATCTTTATTTTGTATTTGTGTTTGTTAAAACAAGTGACTGTTTCTGGCTTCTAAACACATTGAATGCGCTTAACTGCCAATGGGATATTTGGTGTACAAGATATCCTCCCAGAAATTAAATATAAATAAAAATATAAATATATATGCACCTCTGTTTTCTTTCTTTTACATGGTGTTGTCAGATGTCCCATTACCATGTCTTCTTTATATAACACTCCACACTTTATTTCCTCATGCACACACCTCATGCATGCGCATTATATATTCCATCATCCTATATGTTAATCGCATGCAGATTATTAGTGCATGGATACCATAACTTCACAGCACAGCACAGGGGGACGCCCTTTCATTTGAAGTGAGGATAAACTCACGGAAAGCCTCTATTTAAATCACAGCACTCCAATTGAATCTTTAATTGAAGATAACACTGACGCATGACTCCCATGCCGATAAACTCTGAGGATGAGGAATCCTTATCAAGATCCAACATGCTCTTGAAGATATTAAGCTAATCTTAATTTCCATTTCATTTTAGATTTTATGATACTCACTGGCCCTCACTATTGAGCACACAGACTTCCAGCAATTTCATCTGGAGGCAGAATTGCAAAATATATATCTATTTTTCTATTCAGTGCTGTTAGAGGGATGATCTTTTGGAGAGAGATATTTTAAAACTGCCTGTGCTTAGACATGCACGGGGTTATTTTCACAGAGTGCAGGTGAAATCCATCACACAATAATTACCTTCTTTTCCGCAAATGTGGTCGGCGAGAAGCTGTCACCTCGTAGGGAAAGAGCTGTAACACACAATTGGGCAATATCTGTGTAGGTTAGACTGAATTGTTGCACGGGTGCAGCTGAACAAAATGGCCCTGAAGGTTTAACCACTGTTTCTTTTGGTTTCTGAGCGGAATATAATAACAGCCTCGTCGCACGGTCATTATTCATCCGCCACTGTTCCCTGGGCAAAGAATTCTTGCTCCATGTTTGAGTATGAAAATAAAACAGCTTGGGGTTTTTTAGCTCATGTAGACCAGAACCATGCTAAGTTTTTCTCTCGGAGCTTTAGAGTCATTTTGCGTTGTTGGCTGCATAAACAAAAACACCCACAAATGCAAACGCAGCTAAAATAGAAAGAGGGAACACAAGAAGAAGAAGACGGTGATGGAGAGAAAAGGGAAATAATTAAGATAATTGGTCTCCTGATCCCAAATTGACTTTCTAAATTAGGTCTGATGACTTGTGTGTGTTTGTATCAGTGTGTGTATGTATTTACACATATATGCGTGGATATTTGAGTGTGATATACGCTGCAGTGACTGTATAGACTGACTAATGCACTTCTTTCCCGCTGTGTGTGTCTGCACGAGACGTGTAATTGTGTGAAATCTGCCGTGTTAGCAGCCCCTGTTCCGCTCTGTGTGTCCTTGTTTGAGACTCAGTCACGCCATAAAAGAGATCTACCTGGACATCGCCACCTAATATGCTTACACAGTTTGCACAAGTGTGTGTTAGTGTGTGTTTGTGTGTGTACTGTGAGCATCTACTTAGGTAAACACAGTCGGTTTTCTTGTCCAACATTAAAAATCCATGGTAAACAAAAAAGACACCACAGTGATTCAGACAAACACAAATCAGTAGGATGGTAGATCTGTTCAGAGGATTTTGATTATTACTGACTGTGTTTATCGTCCTCGTTTATCCCAGTTTAAAGCTCCTGTGAGTAGCTCTCTCTTTAAATCGATTTCAGCAGCCTAAGGGGTCAAAGTGACACCTCCGTATCTCTTTGCCGACTTTGTTCTGTACATGCATAATGTTGCATGATAAAAAAAAAAAAATCTTTGTCAGTCTGATCATTCACTTTGAATATTTGTTATAGACAGAAGACTTTAGCACGCGACCAATCGTCTGGTCTGACATCTACCCCCTCGCAGTGGTTACAGGCTTTGAAAATAAAAATTGAGTTGGTTATGATCTTGTTTGCTTTTGTAGGTCAAAAAGAGATGCAATACAATTAATTTCAGTCTGTTTCATAACCAACCGCAAACTCCTCACAGTAGCTTTAAGTATGATAGCTGACTGTATCAGCTGCCACTGCCAAAAACAGCGTCCCAGTTAAAAGCATGTCTGTTGTTATAGTAGAGTCTTGTAATTATGTCGTCAGTGTTTTAGAGGAAGTGTGTGTGTTTTTTTAAAGACACGTGTTTCTCTTGTATAAGAATAGGGTTAGGCTGTGCATGCATTTCTTCACTGTCCCTTAGAGAACAGTGAAAGGTGGAGCAGACCTCTCTGGTTTAGATGTGCTGAATCTGGTTTAACTCTTGTTTCAAAGCATGAGACCAGATTACTTGACAGTACCAGTGTAAGGATTGGATAAATATCAGCACTCCATCAAAGATAAATCATCTTGAATTGTAAATAACAAAGTTTACACTCAGAGGCACATCACACAGCCTTTTTTTGGCAAATATCAAGATTCCTTGTGTGGCAAAGAAAATACTGACATCTGTCACTCCTCGCCGTTGTTTTTTAAAACATCACGATCCCTGGCTTCAAATTCAGTTGCAACTTTTCCTACATTTATGACACTCTAACTCAACATGAAAATCCACATACTCTGGAGAAACACAGACCTAATAGACAATCTGTGTCTCTCTCCTCCATCCTCCAGATGTGCCCTACACTGACTTCACTACCTGTCATTCAAAAAGCAGAGGCCAGGGCTGTCTCATGTTACGAGACAATATTTCAACTGGCAATGTCACAGTCTATCATTTATCCCAACAAAGGCCAGAAAGACACACAGTCAGTATCCCTCAGAACGTGATTCAATCTTCAATCTCAGTCAATCGTTATTCACATAGCATCAATCCCAAACAAATGTTATCTCAAGGTGCTTTGCAAAAACAGAAGATGTAGACTATACTCTCAGTTATAAATTTACTTTTACCAAACATCAAGATGAGATAAGATTCAATCTTACCTCATCCTAATCCGCCATGGGAAAAGCACACAAATAACAGACCAGACTGATGTTCAACAAACATCTGCTATCGATGTGTTGGGATTAGAAAGAGGCTGAAGAGGGAATCAGAACAACAACAAAAACAGTCGCTCACACAGACCAGTGGTTACTTTGCAAATGATAATAATAAAAGTGAGTACTGTTGACAGTAACAAGGATAACAGGTCTGCTATTAGTATTCATAATACTGATATTGATGATAGGGATAGGAAGGATAATATCAGTTATCGCAGTTAGAGTCAAGCTGTTCTTGAATTAACATTAACCTGTTACAGCGATAATGGTGGTGGTATTGATACTATAATCGCAGCAGTTAGAGCCGAGCTGGTCCAGCAGCAGGCTGTATGCAGCAGAGAACCAGAGGAGCCTGTAAGGCAGAGGGGCCCCTGAGGAATCTGTGGTTAGGGACTTTAATAGGAGAGGAAGATTTAAAGTTAGTGGCACGCAGACTGAAGGAGGAGAGAGAGGGGGAGACTGGGGCTGACCCAAGCAGTCTTAGCCTATAGCAGCATAACTGAGAGCCGGTCCATGCCTGAACCAGCTCTAACTACACGCTTTAAAGTTCCAAGCCCACTCTGGAAAGAAGAGAGAGTGTCTGACTCCTGGACTCTGTCTGGTGGATGATCCCAAAGAGATCATTGATTAAATTGTGTCCTCCATCACTTCCTCCTGCTCTGATTCGAGGCGCATCCTCACATATCAAAGCTCACACATTGGGTCTGTTCTGTTGAGGGAGGTGTGAGAGCAGCGCAGGAGGAGTCGGGGGGTGCAGCTGCGTTGTGGCTCCACTCTATTGAAACCCACAATGGAGCCACCTCATGCACCCAAAGGGGCTTCCACTTCAAGAGCCCTGCCTTTGTTCAAAAATGTATTTGTTCTCGTATTCTTTTTGGGAACTGTGTAAAACAAAAAAGGACGAATGGTGAATAGATCCATTCTCTCTCCCTCCCTGTACACCCTCGAAACCCTGTCCCGCTACCTCCTCACTCTCGCTCTCTCTCAGTCTCCCTCTCTGTCTCTACCTCGCTCTCCCTCTCGCGCATATTTTGCAGGAGATGCTAATGATCTCCCCCCCTCTGTATTCTGATGCAAGGTCTGTCTACACTTTTCCCTTTCATCCACATACAAATGTGCTCTTATTGCCTCTTCACCCTCGGGCTTTTTAAGATGCCTTTTTGAAATATGCCGTTTGATAAGCACATCATTGGCCAAGTCCCCGCAGTGATTAGAGACCTCTTTAATGTGAGCAAGTTAGAGAGTGAATGAGGGGCTCCGGGGCCGGCAGCTATCCCTTCTCCCCTGCCCTCACCCCATGACATCTCCCGGGCCGCTCGGGAGTGACCAGTATCAGAAGGGACAACCCAGAGCTCGGCTTAGCACACACACCGTCGGCCATCTTCCATTTCCACATGGAGATGAAACGCAGGAGGAACGACACTGGAGATTCTCCTTCACAGAGCAGCAGTACTATGTGCTGGAAGGCTCGATTCTTGTACTTTATCACAGGGATATGACAAGAGGACTGCTCTCTAATGTCTTTTAAATATGCTCCATTGATCTCATGTTCAGAGCCCTGCTTTGCTTCTCTGGGATGTATTTTTTTTTATCTCACTGCCAATAGAGACGGCTGATACAGTCGTCAGGTGCTTTCTCCTGTTCTGCCTCCTGCACTCGACACCTGTTGATCCTTTTGGGATAAGTAGGTTATATTTAAACTGCTTGATTTCCAGCCTCCTCGTGGTTACATTTCAGGTAGATTGCACCATTTAAAAGACACAGTGTTCAGGAAACGTGCTCGGCATATCACAGTGTGAAACAAATGTCAGACAGGAAGAGTGAGTGCGATAAACCTGGCCAAAATGTAGCAGTCCATTAACTTTCAATTATCTCCTCATGCTGTACTCAGACAGACCTACAACTGATGCTCTGCTTTACACATCAGGGAACACAGGAACATGATAGATAATCAAGAAGTCACAGATTTGTTCTACGTTTCTGGGTTAAGATGTATGAAAGTTTTGAATGTGTTTTTAGCTGTTCAAAAACACATGAGATGTAAGAGCAGCTCAGCTCACAAGCACCTTTGAAATTATTTGTGGCAACACAAAAGAGATTTT